TGATATAATTATGTTATCACTAAAGATTGAACAGTTTAAATTCACAGGAGGGATTATATTTTATATCTGGGCCGGAAACACCGCGGGATCCAGCAGGAGGAGCTGAGAAATGTTGCTGTTCTTGGTCGACTTGTTTAGACTGCTGCCCCTGTGACCCCATCCCAGATAAGCAGAAGAAAAGTAGATAAGTATGAACTTCAAAGAAGGTAAATAATGTAGTTTAAATACCAAAGGTAGGCGTGTTCGTTTAGTGCAGTCGAGAAAGGAAAAACAGGGTTTGGCAAGGTCACCTCAGCGGTTTGATAAAAGTAAGAAAAATGTTCTCCTGAGATGAAGAGCAGAAGAAGAAAACTGTAAAATGTGTTCAAAGTGAAATCAGGCTTTCATTGTTTTATCTTCAGAGACAAAATTGAATTCAGTCTTAACTTGATCAAATGTCCGGCTGGTTCCGCGGGTCTAATCCAGATCTAATCCAGTACCCAGTGTACAGAGGCTAAAGCCCTCTAAGCAGTTGACCTGAGGCCCTCTTGGCCCCTGTGTCACTCTCCACTGTATCCTCTCAGTTTCCTAATCTATCCGCTGTCATGTCCTCAGAATAAAAGCATGAAAGCCCAAAATAAAACGTGTCAACTGGTTTTGTTTGGTTTGGAGTGACTGGACTCATTATCATGGAAAACCCTAAAAGGACTCAGCTTCTCTATCAGGTAAATTACACGCACACTGCCCTCTAGGGGACGAGCTGTTAACTACAACATGAGAATGATTGATACCAACGACGAGAGGCACAACAGACCAGATGAACATGATACTCAAAGTTTGATAAAGCACGTTTTACAAGAATCTTAAATTTAAGAGTTTTATGTTTTTGCAGAGACCTGATTGGACGATGAAAAAGAAGCTGCAACCATCAGTGAAGTTAGTCAGCTGCATGACAACAGTCCAAATACAGGCTGATCATCAATCATTAATTTATCAAATATCTGAAGGAAGGAAAAAACAGAGACAGGAGGGTAATAAAGAAAAGAGGGAGACATGAAATAAGAAAACGAGTCGGTGTGTTCAGTAAAAATATGAACTTCTGAACACTGACGAACAAAAACGTTCAGACACAGATGTTTCTTTCTGAACTACTCTCCACATCTGTTTCTATATAAACTCTTAGCAACAAACACTCTCGTGTTTCATATTTATGAACACACCGCAGCTCCCACAGAAATGACTCACACGCTGTGACTCCCTCTGCGTCTCCATGGTAACCACGCCAACAGTAACGGCATTAGCTGTAGACCTGAACTTAACCTTTGAGACTGGATGATAACAGCTCTGCCCTCAGGACTGAGAAAAACTGAGTTTAATTCATTTAAATCTTAGTTTAATGAATTTCTGGAACGCTAAAGAAAGAAACATCAAACTTCACCATGTTTACATCCCACTGTTGTGGTTACTGCTGCACTGCATTGTGGGTTATTCATACAAGTCTGGTGTCCAGAGCTTTTTTCTGTGGATTTTCTCTGGGTAACCTGTAAACATCTCCTTCTTGTCTTTCTCTGTGTCAAATCTTTTTAGGGGATTTATGTTTTATTTTGTCTCTGTTACTTATTTTGTTCCAATATGTAATTTTTAGAAAATCTGCTGATAAAAGTTGAAAATCCAGTAATAGTATAAACAAGTATTTGTACTCATATATTTGTATTCATGCTTCGACTTTTAAACTCTTTAAACTTCACAGCACGTTGATAAAAGTGTTTTTTGGGTCTGAAGATGTGTCCGATCATAACTGTCTCTCTTTAGGTGCTTTTCAACAGCAAGAACTTTCTACAGGAGCTGGGAACCTTTAGAGGAACTGCTTGCATTTCAACAGCTAGGACCAGGAGCTAAATTTGGTTTCTGGAAAGTCCTAGAAAGCGAGATCACATGTATCCTGTCGAAACCTAATGTTGTTTGACCATTAAAATCATCTACCTACATGAATCATAACCCAGTTTGTTTCATATTGGTATCCACACGTCTTGAGATCAGTCAGATTTTATTATTATTATTATAAGGCATGTATCATGAGATAAACATGGCCTTTTTGAAGTCAAATTAGACATCATTATTCAACAAATGGCAAAAACAACGTGTTTGACATTTTGAGTTTTTGCTCCTGAAATGACCTTCACAGCTGTTCACAGATTCGTTGTTTCAGTTGAAATTGAGTTGTTGGCTCTCTTGATATCTATTTATAACCAAACTGCACTTCATAAACTCTGTTTATCTTCTGTGCAGAAGTGACTTATAAAGTAAACTTAAGTTTCAAATGAGTCCAGTGGAGTGAGAGAGGACAGTACAGCACTGGAGTGAATGAACTAAATAACATCTCACTCAGGGCGATCGTGTTTGTCAGTTTTTAACACTGTTTTTTTTTTTGTGTGTGTGTATCAGACACTTGTGTCAGTGTTGGTCTTCAGAGGTTTAGTTAGTGTTGTAATCAAGAGGAATGTGGTCTAGAGTTCATGCTTCCCGCTCAGGGAGGAACAGATCTGTTCTCAGAGACATAAAAAGTTAGCACTGATGATAAAAAAAAAAAACAGACACTTTTGAGAGGAGGCGCTCCGATGAACTGCCGTTCAGTCCCATGAATACCACGCAAACAAGGCCAAGGACTTATAGAGAACAAGTCCAGGACAGGTATTTGGTAATATAGTCCAGGTCCTGTTGAGTACTTCCTCCACTTCCACTACAACAGGAGTTCATCTCTGGTCTAACTTTGGGAACCGACACCATCTCCTTTAAGGGCCAGTATTATGAATTTCCACTTTTACAACAATAATGCAAAGTTATGATGTTTGACGTCCATACTAGAGACAATTTACCCCGTTTGAGACTAATCGGTTATCGGCCAAAACTCGCAGATATTTTCAGAAATAAAATGCGGAGAATAAGATTCAGTTTCACTTCGAAAATGTTCCGCCATTTAAAAGTTCCCCGACTTATCCAGTAGATGGCGCAGCGACCTCATGCCAATCTTCATCCACTAACTACCTCACAGCACAGCAGAGTGACGGATCTGAAGCAGGCAGCTCAGGGACGCACGGAGGAGAGTGGTCCGCCTCACCGGTAAATAAACCAGTTTGTGAAAAACACAATAAGTCAACAAGTTTCAGTTCAACCCACTTCACCATGTTCCCCGCTGTGCTGGTCTCGGTCACGCCGAGTTAACGGTGAAGCACCATGTAATATGCGAGCTAAAGTTAGAGTTAGCCATCTGCTATTAGCCTTGCTACACTGTTAGCCGTGCCAGTAACAGTAGAATAAAAAACAGTACACGTTAGTGATCGAGCTACTTCTCTTACTGAGGCAGCTGCATGTCTCCAGATGAGACCGGACCGGAAATGAGGAACGTGACTTAAGACGCAGAGGCACTGATCGGCGGCGGGTAGTTGAAAACGCTTTTCTGGTCCGAGTTTAATCAGTCGTTCCTCCTTCCAGTATTTATATATCTTTTATAACTTAATAAAAAAAATGTAAAAATCGGACGATTAATCGGTAATCGGACCCCCCTAATCCATACTCGATGTGCGCAAAGTTTCAAATCATGAGCTCTGGTAGGTGGACTTAGAGATCTGAAGTTAGGATGAATCAGCATTTCTAATATGGCGACCGGCGCTGATGGACTTCAGGACTCCACAAACAATCCTAAAGAGACGTCACCAACACTTGGTCCATTTATTATCAAGTAAAAAAAATTAATACACTCAAATCATATTAGAGTAGCCTTTACTAAAGCGAGGGGCCCTCTGTCATTCCTCACTGTGAATTTAAAAAAACACTGAAGAGAAAACAATAGAGATTTCCGTTTCACATAAACACTCCAGGAGTTTCCTCTTTAGGTGGAGGAGGTCTGTGCTGTATAACCGAGGACAGACCCCTGAAGAGACAGGAACTGATACTGGCCACCCAGAGGTAAAGGTGTGTCTGGTACACTCAGTCTTACTGTGACTTTAATGCTTTAACTAAACAAACAACACTGTCTCATGTTTTATAGCAACTTAAGGTTTGTTATTGACATTATCACAGCTAAGCAGAGCTTTACCACTGAGGAATTAAATGTTGAATATGATCCTAAAAGCTCTGAGACTTCCTGTTGTTCTTTCAGTTTACACCGAGCCTCATCAGTAGTTTCTTTAGGTTACAATCAGAGTTAGAGGGACTGGGAACAGGTAGAGTCCAATCAGTGAGAGGGGGAGTCACACCAGACAAGGTGTGTTAACCACTGGATAACCAGGTCTGCTAATATTTATCTAAACAGTGAGATAAAGTGGGTGTGGTGGGGTGTAGGGGGCCAGAGATGAGACTTTATTGATCTGAAGATGTGAGAGGAATTTCAGGAGAACAAGACCCACCCTGTGAGTGCAGTATCGACGAGGAGGAGGAGCCTGGAAATCAGGGTCAGAAACACGACACGTAACCACGTTCAGCTCCTGCGAGGACGGTTCTCTCAGCTCATAACGGACATGTTTGAAAAAATAACTTAACTGTAAAGTCCTAAACTCTGTGACTCAGTGTTTGAGTGAGTTGTCTTTCAATTGCAAGGTCGGCATTTCAATCCCAGCAAAGACTATGAACCCCAAACTGATCCTTGTGACACTCTCAACATGCATGAATGTATATGGATGATATTAGTTGATACTGGTGTTTCTGAGAAAGCATGACAAACCTGAGGTTTGAGACTGTTTAACAGCTGAGATTTGTTTGTTGGGTTTGTGACAGGTGGTCTCCTGCAGAAAAGCTGTCCGAGCATGACTAAGAGGCACACCTAGAAACTATCATCGGGGTTTTAAGGGTGTCCTCAGTTTTCCTCTAAGTCTACGGCTTTTTTCCAAGTCTCTGTATACTACTGAATGGGCACCTGCCAACCAATCAGAAACCAGCGTTCTCTGATCTTACAGGGAAGCTAATCTGAACCTCAGTGAGGAATTTATGCCCCTGTGTTTAGTTTGATGTGTTAAAGTCCTGACCACTGAGTCATCCTGGGAGTCAGATTGGCCAGAGTGTGTGTGTGTGAGAGTGTGTGTGTGCATGAGTGTGTGTGAGTCAGCTGGTATAAACACCACACCCCGTCCCGTCCTGGATCATAACGGAGCTGCTGCTGCTGCTCGCTGCCTCACTGCTGCTGCCTCTCTGAAGGTAAGGAAACAGACAAACGCTTCGTCTTAAACTGTTTTTTTTCATGCAGAGAATTCAGCCAGACTCGACTCGTCTCATGCAGGAATGTACGATCAGCCTGCCAGCGCAGAGAGTATGTGAGTGTTGGCACCCGGACTGCACAGAAACATCTGTGGAGCGTCTCAGAGAGTCGATCTTGAGTTTGTTAAAAGTTATAATCTCACTCAGGAGACTGTAGATGTGATAATAGGCTGTTGGCAGACGGGTGCGGCGGGGTAAAGTCTTTCCCGCACACCCACTCGGCTCTGCGCTCGCCTGTAATTACCAGAGTTTAATGATCATGTCATTTACGGAGGGGAGGATCACAGCGAGGTGATGGAGCACTGTTATCTGGGAGCAGGAGCAACGAGTTCATGAGCACTCTTACTCTCTCTTCTCTAGATCTCCTCATGGGTTGACCCTGAAAAAGTGATTAATGACTACATTAAACTAGTGGTAGGTAGACTCATCAAGGCAGCAGCCTCAGGTAGCCTCCTGTAAACCAGTCTTTAAAGATTTCACTTTGAAAACAGCTGAGCAGAGCTGCAGAGGGGTGACTCAGTCAAAAGCATTTTATTGGCTGCTTTGAAACCAAACATCCACTCACAAAGCTTAGTTTGACGCTGCATTGTACATTTGTGTCCACAGAAGGAGCATTTAACACCGTAAAGCACAGCTCAGGCTCCCCGTAAACCTCTAAACTAAGAGTCTGATCTGTTTTGTTTCCTCAAATACGACGAGGAGTGAGGATGAGGAGCTAAAGAACCACTTTGGTACATGCTGTCCCGTTCACAACTCCTGCAAATACAAGAACAATTCTGCTTGTTGGTGTGAAACTCTGCAGTGACTGTTTGTCTTAGGTGTTGCTAGGTGACAGCGCGCCTACCCTAACATTTTTCCTGTTCATATTTTGCAATAGGGTCAGAGGTCAAAGAGCTTTCCGGTTCTCCTCAAACGTATAAAACCCACTTGTAGAGTTTGGTGTCTCTATCCGTGTTACGTAACAGTAACACGCTCAGTGCAGTTTGCTTTGTGATCCATTTTCCTTATCTCTCATCCCAGCCTCTCCTGCAGACACACCCTCTGGCACGTCCCGGTCAATAAATCAAACACACCTTTCTGTACCCTCTCTCTGACACACCACTGATCGCTTGTTTAAGAGACTAAGGAGCTTTTTTTCATACACTCTCCACACAGTTACACAAAAACAGGACTTTCAAAAGATTCATTCCCATGTGACAGTTAAAATGAGTGGGTCTCCTTTCAGTTCCATTGGTGCAGTGACAGTTGTGCAACACAAACCACATGCTAATGAATGATGCATGTGCAAATCCTATGAACAAAACTCAAGAAAAACCTCCGACAGTCAAGAGGAAGGGTCCAAACACTGGAGCTATTATGCTCATCCTTGTTTTAATAAACACAAATTCATACAGCGTTGGAGGTCCTTCTCTAACTTTGTCAAACTTTTAAAACATGTTGGCGTGACCAAGACTTGTCCTGAACCTGGCGTGAGCTGTGCCGTCATATTTGGACCACGCTGAAGAACAGGCCGGTCCAAAAACTCTTTAAAACTTTCCTCACCAGGGACGTAAACTTCACCTTCAGACTTTCCTCTGCTTTGCACTTTGTTGATTCATTACATCTTGGAAAGTTATTTGGTTGGGAAGAAAAGACACGGCCTTTTTTCTTTAACAAAGACTAAAGCACAAGAAAACAGTGGGGTGTAGGGCTGGTCGATAATGGCCTCAAATCAATATCACATATTTCATATTTTGGACTACAACAGCCAGACCGTAGCACTTTGTATTCACCACATCACAACCTGGGTTTATGTCTCAGCAGTTACTGAAACATGCAGTTGTTCCATCGCTAATAGCTGGTATAATTTTGAGTAATTTCACAACAAAGCTGTGTGAAAAGTAACACCTATCAGCTGTCTGTATCAGTGGAGAAGCAGCCAAACAAAGGGTCCCACAGAAGCTGGATAGCGCTGACATTAAATGAAGATGAACAAGAACTGTTTTGAGCCGGACATCCTGCAAACAAAGCTTCTTTACAGGTGTCAAAGACAGACATGATAGTAGGTGGAGGTGAGCCTTCAGCTGAGGCAAAGCAAACTTTGTCAAAATGAAATGAAGTCAATGTGGAAACACCTGCAGCTACTAAAGTGCCAGTTTGAGGCTGACTCCAAAAACCAGGGAGACCCTGTTCACCCTCACATCCATGAATGCCTCTTCTTACAGGACAAATGAACGTGTTTACAGCCGGGTACAGAAACACTTGGAGGCTGTCTACCTCGTCTCTTTTCTACACTGCTCACTGAACTGACTCGATTTTGTGTTTGGCGTCTCACATCGTTATAAACATGCAACCTGCTCCGGCATTACAACAAGATAAACACACTTTCTTTAAAAATGGCTCCAATGGTTTCAATAAGTCGTCTGTTTTTTGAATCATTAAGGCCGAAAGTTTAGCACGGTTAGACATGATGAGGGGTGTGGCTGTCTGTCTCAGCCCCACTTCCCTTTTTCTCTCCTGCCAAGCTGACTGAAAGTCAATGTCCAGCTTTGTCTCTCTTGATGAGTGAAGTCAGTGAGTCTACTTCCCTGTTTTTACAGTCTATGGTTTTGACGAACTCTCCTCCTGGGTCGACCCAGATGGGTCAATGAATGGACCTCGATCAGCTTCACACAGGGATAGAGCAGCCCGCTTTGAGGGCGTTTGCTGTTCAAATGCTTTGCCCATTCCAGCCCATGATTGTGCCCATCGGGGCCTCATTTTGAAATCCCACCCTCAGCCAATTCCCAGCTGAAGCCCACATGACCAGGACAGTCTACATAGTCTCACTGTGATGTGTTGGCTGGGTGGGTCATCACAGCTGCTGAACAATCTGACTAACTCAGAGCAGTTAAAGGATTTCCACAGGACAAACCAAGAGAAATATCTCTAACCCTTAAAATTCATTTTTTCTTTGACTTAAATTAGACATGCAGCTGTGGTGTCACTAAGTAAGTAATTTCCAAAGATACGCATGTAAAGAAATTGCTGCTTTTCCTCCCCATCAAATAGAAATAACTTCATTAAATCAAACATAATTGACTCTTAAGACGGTTTATTATCCCAAACGATTGATTTCACAGAGTAGAGAAACCAGCAGACTTGATAAGATTCTACTAAACTCAGCGAAGGAAATGTAACTTGCAGCATTCCCATTCATTTGTCTGATGGTAACGGGTTATCACTTATAATCTTCGAGGATGTCGTAACATGTTCTGAACTGTTTATCTCTGCAGGTCAACTCAACATGGCGCTGGTGTCTGAATTTCTGGGTCAGCTGACGCTGTCATACGGAGGGGTGAGTCACCTGCTGACCAACAGTCCTGCAGTACTGAGATCCACCTTATCACCAGTTATAATTGTTACTTAAATACCATAATAAATTTGTCCACATCAATCAATAATTACTTGCTCCCACGGCAACAACCCATTTCTGTTATCTGTGTCTGTGATGGAACTTAGTTTATCTTGTTGGTTATATAACACTAACACTAATGATCAGACTCTGGTATCTTTATCACCTGAAGCTCTGCGAGGATCTATAGTGTTCAGACTCTATACTGTTTACTGCCTCTATAAAGCACATAGGTGTGGTTTGTTCTCCACCCAGAGTTCAGCTGATAAACTCAAGACGACAGACTTCAGGTCGATCAATCATTAATTCAGACTCAGAGTGAAAATCAACTTCACAGTACAAGCAAATAAAAGACACTTAAGATTTTAATCCGAACAAGGGTAAAATATTTCTTTATGTCCATGCAGGGGTTACGTTTTGAGGCCAATCTTTATATCTTTAATTTAACTTTACTCTTTATCTTTTTAGCTCTTTCCTGACAGAAAGTTTCAACCCACTTTCAACTTTTACTAACGTACAAAGCTGTCTCTAAGTGGGACCACTTCATACATGACTACATGAAAATGCCCATACTGTGAAAATTATTGTTTTATGTACTGAATAAAACAACTACTGCTGAGACCCATTCGCACAAAATGCACTTTATAATTCACTCACTTCTATTCTTAGTCACAAATGACAGAGAAACACTCGCACTGTCAAGCCATGATAAGAAATGGTTATAGGCCCATATTAGAGGATATCATATTTCTTACAGTGGAGTCACTGATATCAGAACATGATCCAAAGTCACCTTCAGCCTCTTATGCTGCTGACCCAAGCGCAGAATCAAAACACACCAAGACCAAACAATCTGCAGATAACAATCCTTCCTCACAGTTACATTTTCATTTTCATTTTGCTTGAAGTGTTGCACATTTTCACCTGAAGGCCACAGTACCTTCTCCGTAAACGACGCAGTAACCTCCTTTTCTCCGTCTACAGGAAGCCGAGCCCATATACCCCACTGTGGTGCCAGTGCGAGACTTTGACCCGGCCAAAGACGCTGCCAGGCTTGAGACAGCCATCAAAACTAAAGGTGAGAGAAAGTGAAGCCAAACTCCCCCTAACGTGATAAATGAAGAGTCAACTCCTTTAACTCTGATGTGGTCATGGGTTCGACTTCTTACAAAAAAATAACTGAGGGTTTCTCCTGCTTTTGCTCTCCATACTTACTCGTTTTCTTTCAAACACCAAAACCTGCAGATACAATAAATCAGACTACAAACGTACTCAAGAAGCTAAACAGATAAACACCTCTACAGTCTGGGTCCTCCTTTTCATGTGCTGGTAATCATCTGTCTTCTTCTCTGTAAATTCCAGTTTTTCTTTGAGTGCAGTGACTCAGACTTTTGATTCCTTCCACACACAGTCAGATATCAGATTACCGACTGGCTCCTGTCCACTGATGAGCTGTTCAAACTGCAGCAGCATGTTTCTGTGGTCAGAGTAGGTTTGTGTAATGCTACTGAAACCTCCCGCACGGCACAGAGACTATTAGACCTGTGGGCAGTTCATTCAGGTCTGACTGTGGATGTGTTTGTTTGTTTGGAGCTCTGAAGGATTTTCCAGCTGCTGCTGTCACTTCCTGTGTGTGAGCTGCGGTAAAAGCAGGACGTCCCTGAGCAAAGTTTTCCCTTGTTTTGAAAAGACTGGATAACACAGGCGAACGATGATAGGAGCAGAAGAATCACAGAGGACTGAAGTAAATAAAGTTCAAAGTCCCAGTGCCTCACAAACCACAGCTGAGAGTATTTAGCTGTTATGTAAGACAAAGAGTCTGGATTTAATAACACCGAGAGCTGGTTAGGTTTAGTATTTTGACTACAAATGTTGGATTTGTTGACATGGTTGCATTGAAAGTGACACAAAGAAAACATGTATATAAATAAAATAAATTAAATAATAGAAATTATAAAATACATTTAAAGCTATTCAACTCACTGAAATATCTTTATTCAATCCTGCAGGTGTGGATGAACAGACCATTATCGACATCCTGACCAGACGCAGCTACATGCAGCGGAGAGAGATTGCCTTTGAATATGAGCGAATTGCCAAGAAGGTTAAGATTGACTTTCTTTAAGTGTCACATAAGAGCCTCAAACAGAGGATGAAAAACTCATCTCTTGGTACGTTTTTAACAGTTTTTGTGCCTCTGTGTCGTTCCAGGATCTGATTGCAGCTCTGAAAGCGGCACTGTCGGGCTCTCTGGAGTCTCTGATGTTGGGTCTGATGAAGAGCACTGCTCAGTATGACGCCTCCGAACTCAAAGCCTCCATGAAGGTCAGAGTCTGCAGATTTAGGAATTATCTAAATATATTACACTCCTAAATATAAAGTAAAGCACCAGTTTGGCCTAGTGGTTACCTTACATGCCTCATGATGTGTAGTCCAGGGTTTGAGATAAGGAAAAGCATGTTCCTATTTTCAATCTGCTTATTGGTCAAACTCTGCACTGATTATCACAGTTTTTTTAACCTAATTACATTCACCCAGTCTTTTGAAAACACATTTTGTTTTACATTTTGCACTTGGTATATCATGGGATCAATGACTCAAATACTTTTTGCTGTTTAAGCTTCATATAAGTGTAAAATGAAACGTCTTACCTGTTGTTTGCATCTCAGGGGCTGGGAACAGATGAGGAGACCCTCATTGAGATAGTCTGCTCCAGGAGCAACGAAGAACTAGTGGACATCAAGAAAGTTTACAAAGAGAGTAAGATGGAAAATTCAATTATAATCAGTTAACCTGGTCAAAATGAAGACAATCAATATAATAATAATAATAATAATTATTATAATAACTTTAATTGTATAGCACTTTTAAAAAAACACATATGTTTACAGTGCTTTGACATGTAGTCGTAGAGCACATGGAAAAAGACGATTAAAAACAAAAAGCTCAGTAAAAACAGAATTGAAGGAAAATTTTCATGTCATAAGGAACTCAGACAATACAAGAATTCTGTAGGTTACAGAGATAGACAGATATACAGACAAATATACAGACAAAACAAAGAACTTAATCTCCTATAAACATAATTAACTCTTTACCACCATCTAGTGGCAGCCGGAGGAAACTACAATATAGTCACAAAATGTAATGTTAATGACTGGGCGTTTTTAACAGCCCAACACTCTCATATTTATAAAAGATAACACTTATTTAATACAAATTCAACAACAGTTTTGACCAAAGTCATTTCACTAATATCTAAAGTTCTGAACGTCGCCTTTCGGCGAGTGTTTGTAGCATGTTAGCTAGCTGATGTCTGCTAACAGCGGACAGATATAACCGTTAACATTATTTACCTTCATTTTCACACTGAGGTAATTTTCTCTCCGCAGTGTTCAAAAAGGAGCTGGAAAAAGACGTCGCTGGAGACACTTCAGGAGACTTCGCTAAACTGCTGCTGTCTCTGGTTCAGGTTAGCTTGGATACTAAGATAACCATGATAATACTGATGCTAACCGTTAACGTGCTAACTTTACGACATTATCCACCGTCACAGTGCTTTGTTACCGCCGTTTTTATCGATACAGTTTCTCAATGTGCTCAAACACTTTCACACACAAATGCATACACAAAAGACCAGTGGTGTGTCCCAAATCGCATACTTCCAGTACTCAATACTTAAAATTTTGAGTACACTCAACTCAAAATGGAAAAAAGTATGGACAGTATGCGAAAATTGAGTGGGCAAAAGTACCTGGATGACGTACTCAAATAGGTCAAGATTTTAAGTATCCGACTGTGGACACTCGCCCTCACTCATTTCATCAGTGATAGTGGCTTTATCCGACTGTATTCAGGTGTTTTTTCAGTAATTTGTTGATCATATTGATTTGATAGAAGTATATAAAAGAATGTATCAAATATGACACAAAAGGCAATAAGCAATTGAAGACCAGATCTATGGTGTGTCCCAAATCACATACTTCCAGTACTAAATACTTAAAATTTTGAGTATACTCAACTCAAAGTGGAAAGAAGTATGGATGGTATGCGAAATAGTATGAGTAATAGTATTTGGGATTAAAGCGAGGTTTTTCACTGATTAAGACTTTTTACTTCTTCTACAGACAAAGAGAGATGAGCCCTCAAATGTTGTGGACTATGAGAAAATCGATGAGGATGCCAGGGTGAGTTTTTCACAACTTAAAACTATTTAAATAGTAAATTATTATTTTTATCCCCTTGTCCTTTTTGATTTTGTTAAACACTTTGGCCTCAAAAAACTGTGTTTTAGAGAGAATTCACCTTTAAAATTAAAAATTGCGACTTGATCACTCTCTTTTCTCTCTATGTGGATCTCTCAGTCTCTGTACGAAGCCGGGGTGAAGAGAAAGGGAACCGATGTGGCGACCTGGATCACCATCATGTCCAAGAGGAGCGTTCCACACCTGCAGAAAGGTGAGTCGCACTAATAATCCTACAAATAGAAAATATTTCTTTATACTAATCATTCTTCTTAGCTGTTCAGGCTTTCCAATCTCTAAATGTTCCTTTTTTTCCACTCGTGTCTCTGTGGCATCAGTGTTTGAGAGGTATAAGAGCTACAGTCCGTATGACATGAAGGAGAGCATCAGGAAGGAGGTGAAGGGAGATCTGGAGAAGTCCTTCCTCACTCTGGGTAAGAAACACACTTTACAGAACAGAGGAACCGTCCTTCAAGAAAAGTCGAGTAAATGTCTATTTGTCGTCTCCTCACAGTCGAGTGCTTTGAAAACAGGCAGCTGTACTTCGCCAACAGACTCAGTGAAGCCATGAAGGTACGCCGTCACTGTCCTTTCTGGCAGCTCCATCCACCATATCAGCAAAAAGGGTAAAAGGAACTGTTGCATCTCACCCGTTCATGGTGTTTTTGTCTTCCTCTCTGCAGAGTAAAGGAGCGAAGGAAAAGGTGGTGACCAGGATCCTCGTTTCTCGCTGTGAAGTCGACCTGATGAAGATCAGATCAGAGTTTAAGAAGCAGCACAAAAGGTCACTTTACCAAACCATCGCTGTGAGTACCAGTCTGCTTCATCTCCACAGTTGGGGGGAACTTTAACATTAGTTTATTTTGCTCTATGATCTGATCTGCAGAGAAGTAGTCAGAAAAGTTCATAAAATCCCTAAAATTTGACATTTAAAGCATGTTAGTTATACTCAATCATTTGTGTAACCTCTGGAATAAAGTACGACACACTTACCTGTAAAAACAAACAGATTTTTTATGGATCTATGCACCTGTGTGCAGCACGCATCAAAACATTATCTGAAACATACTCAACATTAAGACACTATAACAGTAAAAAAAATCTATTTTAAAAATCTTAAAATTGTATTTTTTTGTCAAGAACTTTAACATTTTTCTGAAGTGTATTTACCCATAATTCATCTATTTCTCTGTATTTCTATACAAATTACTTAATTTTTTTCATAGTCGATCGAACTGCCTGAAAGTTGTCCATTGATGTATAAGTAGTTTTTTTTTGTTTTTACATGTAATAGTAAAGATGAAATGGTTTATCACAGCAAACTCACTGCAGTGAATGTATGCTCTGATACAGACCACAAGGTGGCAGTATGCTCATCCACTTCTGCTGACTCACAAACAGAAAGTGTTTTATCAAAGATGTAAAACAGATGATCTTTATTTTTGTGGTTTTTTTTCAGGAGCACACTAAAGGAGACTATCAGAACGCTCTGCTGAGTCTGTGCGGAGGAGACGACTGAGGCCTCTGCTCTGTCTGGACTCACTTTCCCATCAGCCCCTTTGGTTCCAAACATCTGCAGATCTTCTTTCAGTATTAGAGCCTTTCTCTTTGCAGTTATATGTGAAACAAACGATCTCCTCTCCATCTCTCCGAGCAGCTTCAAATAAAATATCAAACAGAAACGGTTTCACCTGTTTGTTCTTGTGACCACTAGAGGGCAGCAGAGACTCATCACAAGTCCTCTCTGTCATGTTGCTGACCTCACTGATGTTTTGGTTTTTGACTGACCCGTTTCCAACAACCTGCTGCAGACCCCTATTTTAGTCTTACCCACTCATGGATAAGTTCCCCGAGGATGGTTGGAGAAGGAAGAATCTGATAAAGAAAGAGAAGAACTTTATTTATTTATCCCTGAGGGGAAATTCAATTAATGAAAATTATTTAAGAGTACAGTCAAACTTAGTTAACAGAAAATATGCTTCTTTCACAAATAGTAACATTTTCAATCATTTTTTTAACTGTAAACTTTACTATTTATGTTTTGTATTTCTGATCATTCACCTGTTAAAGCTTGTCTAAGGTCTTTGAGCCGATCATGATCAGCTCAAGAATCGAAAACTTCCCCTAAAAACTCACAACATGTTTCCCTGTTTCCTCGACATTCCCTTCCTGCGTGTTTTATTTTACACGCCTCATACATTTTTATTGTCCTCCTTCTTTTATGTTTGAAATGAGGGGCATCCTCGGCTCTCACTGACCTGACTCCGGGTTTTAACACGTGTTCCTCCTGATGTTTATGTGGCTGAGCAGTCCTGCTCACGCTGAGCTCCTCGGCCACCCAAAGCCAGCAGAGAAAATCTGTAAACTGTGACCTAAAGTGTCTCCAGATTGGGTTTCTTCAGGTGGTAGTAATATTGATAAAAGAGGGGACAGAGATGTGTTTTGAAGGCTCGGTCCCGTTTTTAGTTAAGTCCTGGGCAGATTTCAAAAAGTGCTGGCATCGAATGAAAGCCAGGGAGCGGCCCACACGTTGGGATGGACAAAACACTCTTTCAGAGCGGAGTGAAAGACTCACAGTGGAGCTGCACGGCTCTTCACTAAAACACAAAACATACAGTGAGGTCATTTCACATTCTGGTCCTTCTCTAACACCAAAAACATGTCCATTAGTGTGTTTGTCAGAGAAGAGAGAAAGTACATGTGTAACTCCGTGCTAAATGCTTAAATGTTGCCAACGATGAACACATGGCACAAGCTTGGGCGAGAATCTCTCAAAAGTCGCCAAATAAATATTTAGACTCAGTGTAGACAGCAGTAGCCTAGCTTGTGCGCCGAGCTGACCGTCATCCATTGCATACATCAGTAAATAATGACAGTTACAGCCTTACTTTAAAAATATTACAATATCACTGCAAATGAAAATAAAACCATCTTAAAGCTCCTGTGAAGAACGCGTCAGTCATGTAGCTTATGGTCTTGTTTACTTTTTACGTTGAAAAAATTTCATACACATGAGAAAACCCTTGTAGGAGCTTTGGGTGAAATCAGAAATGTACAATTTCACATTTGCACATCAGAAATACTGTTTCCTGTAACTCTCTTCCCTGAGAGGACAAGTCGGTTACTGCAGGCTACTGAGGCTACATCAGTGGGTTTCCTCACAACTAAAGGTAGAGGATATGACACCTGTGGAATCACCAGTGGAAATAAGTGGAAAGAGATCTAGTCAATACAACCAGAGAAACAAAATATTTGTGCAAGGTCAGGTAGCTTTGATACAAGCACACGCCAAGAGTCTGTTCATCCGGCTTTTACTCCCTCTCTGCAGATGTTTGGTGTGACCTGACTCAGTGGCCAACAGCCTAACAACTAAATATGAACAACCTTTCAGCTTGCGTTGTTTCAGTGAAGGTTGATTCCATACACACACAGCAGCTTTTTGGTAAACAGTTCTGATCGGCCCAGAAAACGAGCCCAGATGGAAATGTGTCTGAACAGAAGGAGGTTCGTACTCAAGAGTCACAGCATGAGAAACACAAATATGAGGATAAAAACAAGAGTAAAAGGACTTTCAACATCCAGGCAGACAAAGCGAAGTCAAGTTTACAATGCCTTATTGTCCTTTTATTGCAACAACACCTGCTAAATGTTTGTGAATCTGATTCCAGGGCAAAAGTGGGCTGTGAAGGCCCCATGACAGAGATCACGGTTAAGATAGTTTATTTATGTTTTCATAATTATGTGTCAGGACAGTTTTGAGAGTTTTTTTTATAGAGAGAATTTATGTGACTGTTTAGATTTATGTTTCAGAGGTTTGTCCCTCCCACTAGAGAGTCACAGCAGGGCAGGTAGAGTGGGGGGTAGTGGGCAGAGGCATTAAAAAGGCTCAGGTGTGACAGGTGTGTCACTCTTTCTTACAGAGTGTTTGGTGGCATCACTGCAGGAGACCTTAAAGACGCCAGTGGTGAGAAAATCTTAATTTAAATCAAATTAACAGATAAAATAACTTTACTTTAGTGATTGAGAGGTTGAGATATTTGAGTTTATTGATAATCTAAGCCCTCTGCCCTTAAAATACAGTGTTAAAACTAATGTAGTTGTTTCCTTGTTGTTCCTAGTTGTTGTTAGAATTTATGCAAGCCGTCATAGAGTGATAGATTTGATTTAAATCGACCGTAAAATTAAATATTAAGTTTGAGTTAAAATGAATTCCATATTAAGTATTTAGCATATTTTAAAATAATTAAAACCTGTTGAAAAGCCAAATTGATTTTGAACTTAATTGGAATGATTTAAAACATTTTACATATTGATAGTTTACCCATGCATTTAATTTTTTTAATTCTTAAATTTAATAACCCTTTTTTGAAATTAGTACTTATGAGTTAATTTATTTGTATCTACTTAATGACAGCCTCATTTCATTCATTTTCTTTGAGCTTATCAACCTGCTTCTGCTACTGGTTACATCTACAATAAAAGGAAATCAAAGCAAGCCGAGTTGTCCACAGTGTCCTCTGTTGATCTTCAGGCAATGATGCTGGAAAAAGGGGAAATTTAACTTAACATTATGCAAATAATAGAATCAGAAGAACCTCTTATTAATGACTAAAAGCTGGAGTGATTTGAGAAGAATGTAGACCTGGAGAAGGAGCGAATGCGGCGCAAACTTCAACTGGAGACCAGAGAAGAGGGGATGCACCGCGGACTGAAATGTGCTGTTTTGAGTTGGTTGAGGACTTGACAGTCCGCTGTGTTCTCGAACATCTGCAGAGGTTTGAATGTGATGAGGGAGGCCTGCCGGTAAGGAGTTGGTGATATCTGAAGAGTCTACAGGAAGCTGCAGAGTGTCAAATCAGACCCAGAAAGTCAAACGTCATGATTCCAACAAGCAGCCAATCGCAACAAACCTGCAACAAATATGAAGAGGTGAGTTTTGTCGGACCGTTTCCAGACCATAACCAAACCCCTCAGTTCTCACACTCCTGGTTCAGATCTCTATTTTTAGCTCAGTGATGTACAGTCTCATCTCTGTTGTTGTTGTGTGAGTTTTTTTTTTTTTGCTTTTGTAGTGAATGAAAATGTTTAATCCTCCACAACAACAGCGGGATCATCTAAACTTCATTCCCAGAGTAGGAGGAGCAGGAGAAGCGTCTGATCTGTGTTCTGTCTTATGAATAGAGCCGATGGATGTGGTTTGTTCTGTTTTTGTTTATATGCTTATGTGTTTTACTTCGCCTCAAGTTTGAACCACATTTCTGCTCTGTGCGGTGGGAACATCTGTCAATAATAGAGCGGAGCAGGAATGACTCTGTTTACTGCCTTTCTCCGGGGGTTTTAATTTGGTAAATGTTGGGTCAAACGCTGACAAACGTGTAGAGGAACAGCTGTGTTTGGTGGCTTATATGTTTGTATTGAGATGTTGAAATGTGTTTCTCAAACTACCGTTCCACCAACTTGTCGGGTCCATCTGCAGAGCTGCAGCTCCACATGTTTATAAAGGTGGTTTATTGTACTTGCAGTAACATCGGTGTGCAGGACGGGAGGCCTCCTGAGCTTTACTGGACTTCACATGAGAAGAAGAGACACCGAGGTAACGTCAGCAGATGTTTCCTGTTCAGACACCTTGTTTAAAGTTATTCTGACAACTTACAGGTCTGCGTGAAGTCTGAGTGACAAAAAGATCTCTATTTTAGGGGCTGTTGATGAAGTTTAACGTTTTTCATCCCTGTAAACAAACCAGCAGGTCTTGTGTTTTAACTTAGAACTGGATCACTCTTGTAAACAGAAAACAGAAATACAAAAATCACCTGTGAGAATATTACTGCACTGCATATCAAACAGCACTCTGAAAACATGATCTCTGAATTGTTGGTGTCATCTCATAGGTTTACTCTTTAATCTATTTTGATTACGTTCATGATTTAGTGTTAAAGTTTGTTGCATGTCGGGTTATTAAAGGGACATTCTGGCGTAAATTTAAATTATGGTCAAACACACCGTAACACCAAGTTAGACACCCCCGACTTCTTGCTTCTCCAGTCATACCAACTTCAGTAACGACGACACGATAGCAATACACAGCGGTCTACGTTTCCACGCGCAAACCTCAACCAAAACACCACTCTATAGTCACAGATAATGCTCAGAACAGCACCTAACTTCATCAAGAGTACATATAGGGTCACAGACATAGTACTAGCCACCAAACATCTTTTTTAGCTTTGCTTAATTGTTCATGGGGGAGCCCTGATGAGTCGATCACAGAGTCGATCACCCGATTCTGATTCTGATTTATTTTTAGTTATTTTTGGACTTTTTTGTCTCTTTTTTTTAACAATGTCCGCATTACTCTTATCTTAGAGTATTTTGTAGACGAGAATTTTTTATTTTACAGCTGCAGAGTTTCCTGAGTTGTATAGTAGTGTCCCACTGAGCAACAGACGGCTATTAGACATCTAGTTTTTATTTAGACCTAATTTCAATCGTCTAGATTCTGTATATCTTTAGATGGAATTTAGACGTTGCACTTTAACCCATTTTTCAATGACTTTTTAATCCACTGTGAGTTGCATATCTGATATCCAAGTACTTAACCGAAAGAATTATGATAGCCATTGAGCAATATACAGTGTAGTATAGATATAGTCCAGATTTAGACTTGGTCTAGATTTAGACGTCTAAAAAAACTCATATTTTAAGACCTGTGGTAGCCTGATTTTAGACCAGTCGTCTAGCCTACATTTAGACGTCTATTAGACCTCTTTTAGACCAAAAAATGCTCAGCAGGGTGAAGTTTTATGTCATGTAGAGCTCCTCAATGACCAGCATCTCAGCACATGAAATCACTTCTAAGAAACACAAAGCAGACTTTAACAAATTTAAGTGTAAACAAAAACAGAGACGCCTTTTTCCTTGTGCATGTTTGTGAACTCCGTCTCCTTCGCTGTGTGTGCTGCTGAATGAATCCTCCTTGCTTCAGAGTTTGCTGATTTATTCATGCAGCCGTTCGGCTCCACATGTGCCTGTTTTCTTTCTGTGCATAAACAGATGTTGCAGATGTTCAGGCTGCTTTACAGTATTCAAACGGAGCAGTAAATGCAGAGGCCGGTATTTACTGGAGGGTTTAAAGTCGCCTTTTTTTACAGGCTTATTTTCTCTCATGGGAAAGCGGTTTGTAAAATCACCACAGTGGTTGCATATAATGAAAGCTTTTATTATTATGAGTTTGGACGACACATTTCAACATGACTGACTCACATTTTGAGGGACCCGCTCAGGGGTGCACGCTCGGGTCTTTGGAGGCAGCTTTGTTTTGAAGTATTTCTAACCTGAGTGTTACGGAGTGTGTAATTCTCCCTCTCATACCTTCCTGCCGGCAGTAAATCAGACCTGTTGTTGTCTTTGTTCCACCTCCTTTATTTTATGAACTTTTATGAACCCCATACGTCAAGCCCTCTCAGCGTGCCTGCTCACTTCATCAGCCATTAAAGCCGGAGCCACATCCAAAACATGCCACAACACCACAGTGAGGTTAATGTGTTTTCAGGTGACGGATGACAGCTTCAGAAACGAAGACTTCAAACTCCTCCAGCGGGCACATTTACAGTTCCTGCACTTTAAATACCACCCATGCTGCACGCTCGGATGATGCTATTTAGTTTCATATGCATCTGCTCTTACCTTTTACCTCTCTGTCTCTGCAGATGTCTGGAATAAAACAGAGAGAGACAGAAAGGGGATTCATTTGTACATTTGATCTGCGGCACAAGCATCCAAATAAACGTGTATTTGCTAAATTCACAAATGTGCAGCTGCAGACAAACAGCGTTTTTGCTCCTGATGCTTGATGATACGCTTCCAGGTTTTAATCTCCTGCTGGTGCTGCCCAGACCTGCATGTTGTCTTGTTACCGACACAGATTATTAGCCTGCTGGGCAAACATGCAAAGAGGAAAATACTACTTGCAGAGTGTAACCTCTGCCAAGGATGCACCAGCATTTTTTTTCTATTAATGTTAGCATCTGCTCGTGGATATGCATCAAAATAATACTGACAATGCTGAGCCACTGTTTCAAACTTTACTCAAAGTTCAAACAATCAAACTAGCTCCCTTTGAAAACACACTTTACAAACCCATACAAACTGCAAAATGCATTTGTCCTGGGCTGAGTCCTGCACACACCCTGCAATAGTCCCTCATAAAAAAAAACCCAACAAAAACAAACAAAAATCAGGATTTTTGCAGAGCGCACATATGGAAGAAAACCACAAACTCATGTAAGACAAGTTGTCTGAACTCGAATCCAACTGGAGCTCCACAAGATCGTAAAGCTGTGCAGGTGTTTTTATAAGTCCTGATCACACCGAAACAGTTCATGGTCCTCTACTCTGCTGCGTTGTTTGAAGGCGCCTCGTTGACACTTTTTTTCAGATACAGATGACAGAAAAACACGGAAATACTGCTGTGTGGTTAGAAGACAACCAACAGAGTTAAGAGTGCAGAACAAATATTTCATAAGGGTCTCGACTGAAAACTGAACTTTTGAGAAGATAGATAAGAATGTAGAAACAGAGACAATAAAGCCTGGTTTTGATCTGTGTTTGGTTTTAAGATGATCTAATCCATGTTGAGTCTAACGGTCATAAACTTCTTCTCTGTTCGACACCTGACAACCTCATGTCTTGAGTTTCTGCTAGATTCAGACTCAGTTGGACTTTCAGCTCTTGGCATCTCATCACATCTTCTTCTTTCTCTGCGTTGGGCGAAGTTCAGACATTCGTTCTGTCTCCACGGCAACAAAAGAAATACAGACATTATCCATATATGCAACAGAAGTTTCCATCTTTGTCTCTTTCATGCATGAAAACTGTAGATATTAACTGGGGGAATCAAAAGAGACCTTAAAAAGACAGTACAGGCAGTGTCCGAGCCCCTTACCCTGTCTCTAAGGCTGAGCCCGGACACCCTGCGAAGGAAACCCATTTCGACCGCTTGTATCCACGATCTTGTTCTTTCAGTCATTACCCAAAGTTCATGACCATAGGTGAGAATTGGCACGTAGAGCGACCGGTAAAATCGAGAGTCTCGCCTTACAGCTCAGCTCTTTCTTCACCACAACTGATCGGTTAAGCGTCCACATCACTGCTGACGCCGCTCTGATCCGCCTGTCGATCTCCCGTTCCATCTTACCCTCACTCGTGAACAAAGTCCTGAGATACTTAAACTCCTCCACTTGAGGCAGGACCGCCCCTCCGACCTGGAGAAGCAATCTACCTTTTTCCGACTGAGGACCATGGCCTTGTACTTGGAGCTGCTGACACAGATATAAATTTACCTAATGTTATTTATTAACAAACAAGAAATTGCACGATAGCACACAGCAAAAAGAAGTTTGACTCCCATGTAAACATTTAGTGCAAAAGGATAGACAGACATAGAATATAGAGTGAACAGAATCACTGTGTTGCTGTTTGATGTTAATTAAAAGAAAAAAAGAAAGACAGGATCGGAAAACTGGATCGGCTTCACTAATCAGATATCCGATCCAGCTAATTTGTCAATATCAGAGACGATATCTGATCCAAATATCAGATCAGTGCATCCCCATAAATAAGTGTGTTTTTCAGACTCTGCCTGGATCCTGCTCTGTTAAAGCTAATTTGTTCTGTGTTCTGTCCTGAGTAGCTATGGCTCCACCTGTTGGCTAGCAAAACTCTAACACAGGAAGTACAATCACCGAAGGAAAACCAGGAAGTGTGAACTCTATAAAAGGACCAGGAAGTTGGAGGTTCTCCTCTTTGTCTTTAGTAGAAAACACAGGTGTCAGTTCCTGAGGAGGCCCGACTGCAAACTGACTGGTGAGTTTTGTTTTGTGTGATTGACAGGTGGCTGGTCCTTGGTTGTTTAACAGAATATGCTGTTAGAACATGTATTTTTGTTGCTTGCCTTTTTAAGTACTTAGTTTAATTTAGCCTGGTGCTTAGCCTAGCATGTAGCACACAGCTTATCTGATTTGCATATTACATTACGAAGTTTGGTTTAGGCCAGTAACTTAGCTTAGCTTTTAGCATCAGTGCGGGATTTAGCATGTAGCTAGGGCTCACACACAGCTCAATTCAGCATGTAGCTCTGCGCTTGGCATTAGCAATTAGCATTAGCAGTTAGCACTTAGTGTGTGCGTGTTTTGTGTGTGTGTGTGTGTGTGTGTGTGTGTGTGTGTGTGTGTGTTACGTGTGTTTGTAATCACACACATAGGTAGGACAGTCACATGCTGATTTATGAATAATCTTTCAATGTCACAGGCTGTGTCCTATATAGGGGACTTTATGGGGGTTAGCACCATTTTGAGGGGTGTCCGAAACCTGAGTGATCAATTCCAGTGCCCCACATAGGCGACTCAAAATTTCCCATAAAGCATTGCAAAATGTATCATCAAGATTCAGACAAAAGTTTCTGAACATTTCAACGTTTGTGATGGATCTGAAATATCTATTTAAAAATGAACTTTTTCAGGACATTCAAAGTTGCTGAGCTGCACCTGTGCATGTGTGTGTGAGAGAGTCAGGTGTGTATGTGTGTACTTATATCTGTTTTTATGACTGTTTTGTGTACTTTAGCACCTTCAGAACCTCCCTCTCTACCTGCAGTGATAAATATTACCTTTACCTTCACTCTGTTGTTGCTGTTTCAGAGTTAATGCAGTAACCGCTCTGGGTGACTTCATGTTTATGTCTCTTCATGCCGGTCTGATCCGTGGAAACGCTTTAAATCCTACATACACACAAATATTTAAACTCAGATTTAAACGGGAGGTTTTCTCCAGACAGAAACAAAACAGACCTTACAGGCTGCAGCACATAAAAGCGGCGGGCTGCAGCTGCGTGAAGGCCACATGTAATATATATTGGACTTTTCACACCACCAGCACCGGCAGTCTTTCATCAGAGCTGCTGTGTGAAACTCTGTCCACCCGTCAGGTTTCTCCATTCGTGCTGGCAGGCCGCCAAACTCAGTAAAAACCTTAAAGGCGAGGAGGGAGGCGGAGACCCCTCTCACCCAGTCCCCCCTGATGTCTTTGAGGAGTGTTAAAGTGCCTCCTCAGCTCTGAAGCCTCTCATTACAGACTCTTGAATGCACAGAGAAAGAGAGAGCCGAGCGTACGTGCATGAATGTGATGATTACTGTAAACACTGAGGCGATCTGTCTCTCAGCAAACACACACACACACACACGGAGCGTTTAAAAGTGAAGTGTTCGGTAAAGATGGAGGAGCTATAGGGAGGGCCGAGGAAAATGTTTCTGCAAGCCGAGACAAGTGCAGAGACCTGAGAGCACTTAACTAATCATTATATACACACTCAGGTACAGAGGAGTCACTCACTGCTGACAGAAACATTTCTACACAATTTATGAACCCACAGCACTGTTGTTACAGACCTGACTGAGTAAATTTATAATCATTACAAACACCGTCTACCTGCGCGGACTCTGGTTCCAGCCAGAGAGGACGATCTGCACATTCCTCCTCCCCCTGATGATGATGAATGTTCGAGCAAAACAAGGTGAAACAGACAGAAAACAACCCAAACTGTAAACATTAAAGGGACATTTCACTCTTTAATCTCTGACATTACAACTTCATAATGAAAAGGGCTCAAAAACCTCTCGTTAATGCTTCCTAAATTCTCTGTTGTATACAAGAAGCTCTGCTAAAGTCAGCTCGTCTTAATCGATATCTCAGAGTTGAACTCAACTGTAGTTATTTAGATAAAATAACCCCAAACATCACCACCTCATCCCCTGAAACAGCTAAATTACTCGTGTCTGTCTCTGAGTCCTCGGAGTTGAGCATTTGGGGCTGCATTAAATGTCAACCCTGAGCAATAGTGTCCCATTTTCCATCATCCTAAAAACTAATAGGACCCCACTTCAAAAATAGTGAAATATCCCTTTAAAAGGATTTGTTTTTGTCTTTTGCACAAACCTCCATAAAGGTCCCCCAGCAGAGCATAAACATGAACTCCAGCAGAAGCGCAAAAACAGTTCAAGTGGAATTAAACGTCCTGCCTCCAAATGAAAGAAACCCTGCAGGTATGATCTAAGTGTTATGAGGTTGTATGAGGTTCTTGTCAGATGAGCAGATGCACATCATTCCCTCTCATGTGGTTGGAGATGGGATGGGAGTGGGTCTGATCTTACAGGATGAGGTTCAGTCTGATCCAGGTCTTTGTAAATAGAGTCCGGTCTTGACCAGTATTTGTTTGTTAAAAGTTAGTGTTTGTTGTGAATCAATACTATTCAGATAAAGATTGATTGATTGATAATATATGCTTGAAAAAATCTCATAAGGACAAGGACAACATAAACTCAGCGCTGTCGGTCAAGTTTGGTGTCTGAATCAGCTGACATGACTCAGCCAACAGCAGGCAGCTGCTACTCAAACCTGCCATCTTGCTCATTTAGGCAAGGCAAGTTTATTTGTGAAGCACCGTTCACACAGAAGGCAATTCAAAGTGTTTTACAGATGCAAGAAAATTCATTTAAAAAAATAAAAAAGAGAGATTAAAACAATTTAAATTAAAAAGACATAAATTAGTTTAAAATCAGTAAGAAAAATTAAGATACTTTTTTCTCTGTTCCGTGTTTGCTATGATTATTAATGAAAACCACCTTTTCCCAGTAAAATGAAATAAAATAAATAAATAAATAAAATAAAATAAAAAAATTAAAATTAAAATAAAATAAAATAAAATAAAATAAAATAAAATGCATGTTGTAATGTGTTGGCAATATTGTAATATTAGTCATACTAATAAAGCTTATTGAAATTGAAAAAAAAAATTTTGGAAATCAGTCACAAGCTTTCAGCCTTGGGGCTCCCCAGATGGTAACTAGTTTTCTCTTCATCTATCTTGAATTGTACTAGTTTCCTCTTCGTCTATTTTGTACGGTATAAGTTTTAGTTTTCTCTTTGTCTGTCTCGGACTGTGTTGATTTTTTTTTTGTCTATTTTGGACAGTGTTAGTTTTAGTTTTCTCTTCGTACTTCTTGGATGGTATTAGTTTTCTCTTTGGAAATTTAGACCTAAACTGATCTTGCTAACATGTTTATTTCTTATTCTTGGAGCTGGCCTCTAGAGGCCGTTCAAGGTACTGCATTTTACGGCTCACTGTTTCATTGTAGCTGGAGAAGTTTTTCCTTACTGTGAACAATTGGGCTCTAGTTTTAGATATGAAATGGACTTAAAAGATCTTAAAAGAAACTGTTTAAAACAAACCTGATTTATTCCTTTTGGTCTTAAACTGAGTGATTAAAGCAGGAACAGATAAGCTCAGCTGAAATCTGCCGTCTATAACCACCCTCAGCTGACTGTCTGTGGATTTATGGCGCTGCAGGCTCATGTTGTCTGCGAGTCAACAGTTGCAGGTTTGTAAATCACTCTCCTGGCATCTGTAATGGGCTTCAAATGACTGCAACATCACATCCTGTGTTAGCGGTCTCACTCAGCATAATATTTACACTAGAGACATGACCCTGTGTGGTCAAACACCAGCCAACAAGTAGCAACACAAACTGCGGAGACCACAGCTGAGGGTCTGACACAGATACTCTGACACCCTGCAGACTCTCATGTTGTGGTGTTTCCTCTGTTTGGTCTGCGGATGATAGTTCAAGGCCGCGTGTTGAAACTGAAACCCGGCTCAGATGGATCGTCTCCGTCTTGGCTGAGATTAAAGGGACTGTGACAGAGCGAGGTGGAGACGGTGCTCGGAGTTCACACAGAGGACATGTGGTCGCTTCAGCAGAGCTCAGTCATCCCAGTGTGTGAAACAGCAGCAGATGATCCGAGTGTTTCCGCCTCCAACGTCGAAAAAACGCTGAAACTGTAAATCAAAACCTGCTCAGAGGAGGCTGGGCTGTTTTCAGGGTGAAGCTCAGAGAGATCCACTTACACATAGTAAAACAAAACAAGGTCATGTGAGATGTGTTAAGGAAAAGCTGGCATAATGAGATAAGATAAAAAAAAAGGTGTCCTGACATGAACACAAAAATTTACTGACAGTGTAACCTCATCCCCACAAGAGTCAAGATGCTGATGATTTACTGCTTCTTAAATCATTTAAACCCAGAATTTGATCAGAAATGCTGCAAAGACAACAAACTAAATGTTTTCAGTGAAATATTTTGACATTTTCTAACAAATAAATGATCATTTTAAACTTAAACTTGCTTTGAAATAGTTCGGACAGGGACTGAAAAACACTAATAAATCTGTATGTAATGTCAAAAATCACACCTGGAAGAACATCCCTTAACTAATGAGGTTAATTTAACAGGTTAGTCAAATGACTGGGTATAAAAAGGTTTTTTTTTTTAAAGTGGCCGAGTCTCTCAGGAATAAAATCGAGGAGAGGTTTGTGAGAGGCTGGGTGAGCCAATATTTCAGCAGTTTATAGTTCCTTATCAGGGTCAAGGTTTTGGAAGCGACACACTTGAGATAAGATAAGATTGGTTTATTTGTCACATGCAGGTTAAACATAGTCAACAATGCAGTGAAATGCCCTGGATGAGAAGGACCGCAAATACAAAAGTACAAATACAAATAACACGCATAAGTATCACACATATTGCACATGATATTAAACAGCACAGTTAAGTAGGTTATCGCACAGGAAATAAGTTGTATTGTCAGTGAGCATTACTCAGTGAGTTGTTTTTTTACTCAGTGCATGGATAGGGTGTGTCCTGTCCAAAGGCCACCCCGAAATGTCAAATTTTGTCACAAGTCAGAATGCCTCAGATGTCATAAGTTATGCGGGAGCGTGTCATTGGCATGTTGGATGCAGAGATGTCCACCAGAGCAGTAGCTGCACGGCTAAATGTCCATTATCGGACCATAGGCCGTTTAAGAGTCTGTTTCCAACAGACTGGCACTACTGCAAATCAACCTCATCCTCGCCGACCACGTGTGAACACTCCAGCACAAGATCACCACATCCGGCTCGTCCATTTGCGGGATCGGCTAAGACCAGCGACACACACAGCTGATGAGACTATTGGTCTGTACAACAGACGCATCACACCTCAGACTGTCTGTAGCCGCCTACGAGAAGCCAACTTGCACGCTTGGCGCCCTCACCGTGGTCTGGATCTCACTGCTGTCTGGCGTAGGAACTGACTCGCATGGGTGAATGCACATGTCCGATGGCCTTTGGTGATGTGTGCGTGAACGGTTTGTGGATGCAAATGTTATGCCCAGGGTTGCCCATGGAGGTGGTGGCATTATGTTGTGGTCCGGCATCACGTACGGACATAGAACACCATTGCACTTCATTGAAGGGAAACTTAATGCACAAAGATATCGGGACGAGATTCTCACCCCAATTGTTGAGCCGTTTGTGCGGCAGCATGACATCACCTTTCAACATGACAATGCCCGACCTCATGTTGCCCGCATCTGCATGGAATTCCCTCAAACAGAGGACATTGAAGTTCTGGACTGGCCTGCATATTCCCCAGACATGTCCCCAATAGAGCATCTTTGGGATGTTCTGGATAGGCGTGTCCGGGACCGTGTTCCAGTTCCAGGCAATGTGGGTCAGCTCCGTGTGGCACTCCAGGAGGAATGGAATAACATTCCACAGGCCACCATAGACAATCTGATCGACTCCAAGATGTGTTGCTCTGAGAGAAGCAGCTGGCGGACACACAAGATACTCAAAAATCAAATTCCTCAACCTGACCCCGATCATGTTTTATCACGATGTTATCAATGCCGATATGAAGATCAGTGATTACTAAAAACATATTTTGAGTTTCTCTATATATTGCGTAACCCAAATGTTCATAAAACTGTTATATTTGACATGGGGCAAAAGCAGAAAAATGTAGCAGCAAAATCTCAACAAGCTCTGGAAATTTAACTGAATTAGTCTAAAGACACTCCTCCTCTTCATCAGTCCATGCTTTTCTTGTCCCTCTGCTGTATTTTTCTCAAACCTTCTTCAGTTGTTTCTCAGCACCTGCTCCCTTTATAGGCATGGAGGTCGAGTCTACAGTTTCTTTGATTTGGGTTCTTTCAAAGCTTTGTTTAAGGTTTCTGAGTTTAGCTGCAGGCCTGGTGAGTAGACTTTTTTTTCACCTTCATGATTTCTGCAGTGTGTCAGCTCTGACTTCAGAGGAGGTGCTGGGCTGTGATTGGAGGAGGGGGGCGTGTTCTTCACCGGAGGAATGCAGCGCTCAGGTGGAGAGGGAGAGAGAGAGAGAGAAAGAGAGAGAGAGAGAGAGAGAGAGAGAGAGAGAGAGAGAGCAAAACACGGACACAACAACCCGGCACATAGTGAACCCAGCACAGCTGACTGCCGGAGCTCTGCCGGCGGCTCTCTCCTGCGCTCTGCCCGCCTTCCTGACGCACTTTGCGCACACAGGACCTGTCCGGACTGAGAGGAAAGTTACGAAAACAGCGAGTGGAGCTACAGACTTGCTGCTACAGGAGAGAGTGAGGCGCGCAGGACCGGGTACAAGTGAAATCACCTGCCTGGAGGCGACAGTAAGACTTCACTTCCACTTGGATTAACCTGTGGAGCTCACGTGGATGACGGCAAGTGGTTAGAAACTGAGGGGCAGAGGAATTAAACTTCACTTTTTAGTATCCAAGTCCAGAGGATGCGTCTTTTTACGCATCATGGAAGTTTTTTGCAGGGGAGTTGAGAGGCACAGCTGAGCGTTTTTGGAGAACCCTTCATCTGAAAGTCTGAAAAAAGTTGGTTTACGTTTTATTTTTCTAAAAAAGGAGGAGAAGAAAAGAGAAACCCGCATGTAAGTGAAGGATATGGATGTTGTTCGGGTTGAAATCCGTGTATCGGAGCCTGCAGCTGGGATGCACTGCGCATCTGCGCTTCGACGTTTCTCACCATGATACTGGCACAAAGCTGCACCTGACAACCAAGACCTGAAGCCACCAGGATCCACTATGCCCTCTCTACTGACGAGGTAAGACTCTGAGATATCCGTGCAGACTGAGAGCTGGATGGAGCTGTGATTTACAGTGAGTGTCCTCTCTTGATGGGAGCTGATAGATTTCTGTGACAGCTCTAAGTTTTCCCTTTTTCTCCTGAGTGGAAACTGTCTGTACTCTTCAGGAGGGAAACCGTGGATGCTTTAAATATTTACCTTGAGTCATTTTGCTTACAAGGAGCTGCAAAGCCTTGAACATTTTTGCAGTACTGTGAAGGATGGGAGGTGATAAATTCCAGGGACAGTTGAGTTTTTTCTCTCCGGTTTGAAGTTGTTTGTTTTTTAAACTCTCTTTGTTTCAAGGACTGCAGGAAAACTTGGGTCTGAATCTTTTGTTGGTGTCTCTCTGTGTGATATTCTGCTGCAAAAACAGAAGAAAACCTCAATCTGAATCAGAAAAAGTGGTGACTAGAGTGTTTTTTTGGGTAGTAATTATCAAAAACTTTGACCTGAAGCAGTTTTTAATCTTGTTTGTGTTTTTTTCTGTCATATCCAGTCTGTTACTTCCTGCCAGCAGGTGAGGTAATCCTCCTCACAGTATCTGTGATATTGCAACTCCTGGCTTTACATTCTTCCCATCCTGCTGCTTCACCACCTTTATCTCCTAAATGTCACAGCTAAAAATACGCCGCTCATATTTGATCTAATCCCAACCCCGCCACAGAGGGCACAAACATGAGGCCTGGAGAGGCTCACGGTCTCTGCTTCAGCTCTGTCGACTTTAAAACACTTAAAACAGTTTCTTTAAACGACAAATATATATGTTTGTGAGCTCTGTCGTCCTAAGTTCTAATAACTGAGATCCACATTGGCCTTCTGTGTATTTATACGTGGTGTGAAGATGTGCTGTCATATCACACTTTTACCTCATGGCCTAAAAATATCTAAATAATATCACAATATTTATGGAAAACTTAGAAAAATACGACAATCAACTTAGGATAAACTTTTAGCATTCACAACAGATTTGTAAAGTCCGTTTTTAGAAGTGCTACAGCTAGCTTGCTGGATGTCTGCGACTTCTTCTTCGTCTACCCTCTGTCATTGCCCACTGTGTTGTTTGATTGTCAATAGTTATCAAAACATCAGTTTTTAAAGAGTGACCATCTCTTTTAGGACTACTACATCTAACTAGCTAGCTAACTAGCTGCTGCTTCTTCTTCATCTCCCCCTATTTTTGGGGTGGATGGCAACCAGTTTTTGGAACCACTACTGCCCCCTACCTACATTTCTCAATCCCGCCAGGTCTAAGGATTCAACAGCGGCGGGATCATTTGTTGTCCTGTACTGTCAGGTCTCTTTTAGTTTGTAGTTGGGTAGACGCGCACACACGGGTCGATCCCGCCCTCTTTCTCTACAGACTGTGTTTTTAATAGACAACTTAAAAGAAGATATCACGTTAATGCACACGCTAATGACCATTTGTTCGGCTCTTAATCTGATATATTTCACTTTAAGTAGTTTGCATTTACTCTTGTGACTTCTTGCAGAATTGTTTTGCATCCTTTCAAAATAAAAGCTCATTTGTTATCAGAGCAGGACAATAACCCGGGTGTGAGGTTGAGTGACGGTCTTATGAGGCAAACTTTTCTCCAGACTTAAGTGACATCCTTTAAAAATGTTAAAAAAACTTAAATATGAAACCAGCCCCATACATTTAAAAAAGCAAGGGTCCAGTTTACCCTCCGATTCTAACCCAGACAACTCAACAGTAAAAATATGAACAATATTTGGGGCTGGACTCCCAGGTTTTACCTCCGCCTTTGGCTGTTTTTTTTTCTTTCTCTCCCCTGTATTTCTCTCTCTCTCTCTCTGTGAAAAAAGCCAAAACATGACATGTTTTGTTTATGCAACTCAACAGATTTCAGTCAAAACACAGCTGTGATATCGTCAAGTTTTGCGAAAATTATGAGATTGATATCATTTTTCTCTTACGTGCTCCAAAGAGAGAAAATGCACCAGTCTGAGATTTCATGTGTTAGAGTTTGATGGTCTGCATTTGATGTACAGTGTCAGTAGAGACGTATCTACTGTCTTTAGGAAAAAGACAGATTTCGGGAGAAAGAGGTGGGGAGAGTTTTGGCTCAGGGCACATTTTCTGTCTCGGTGATAACTCTTTGGAGGAATGTTTGTTTGGGAAGGAGCCACCAGCCCCATGAACTGATTTAATCTACTTACCATGGAACACTGAGCATATAGCTTCAAAACGAGGACTCTAATTTGCTGTTACACGCGGTGATGTCACTCTCTCCTGCGGGGAGGAATTTCAATCCTTTTCTTCCCTGTGGATGTGAAGTCCGAACACCTCAGAGGGATACCAGTGTTGGAAAATGACTGCTGATGAAAAAGTACAAGCTGAAAACTGAGGGGCGCTGATATGTACAAGAAAGTCTTTTTATTTTTTAAAGATGTACATCACAGGCTGTTATAATAAGCCCCAGATTAGCTCCTCTATTCAAGTTATAGGAGTGAAGTCAACTTTAAAGCTCCTGTGAGTAACTTTCAGTTTGTGTCAACTTTGGTGCCCCTAGTGGACAAAACCTCCTTAAGTGTTTTCTTACAAAAAATCAATTCTCATTTTATTATCACGGCGGTCCTTCCCCCTCACAGTCAACAAGAATTTAGATCTATTTTGTAAGCCTTGATAAGACTCCTCATAGGAGCTTTCAGTGAAAAGAACAAACATAAATGTTTTTTCAATGTGTAGTTTTTTTTGTACATTATTCTGCATTAAGTGTCTCCAATTTTCTGCATGTTTAAAACTGACTCTGAAAGGACTAAAATGTTGCAGTGATAACAGAAATTGATGCGGCTGTGTTGAGCAGAGTTGAACATTTTGGCGTAAAAAAAGCAGTTTTGACCTATAAAGCGTATTGTATTCATTTAAAAAAAAAAATGCTCTGTTTTTCACAGCAATTTTTTTCTTTTCTGTTCTTTGGACTAAATTTTTCTGTTTTTGGAGTAAGTTTTTTTTTTTTGCTTTTCTGTTTTTTGGAATATTTTTTCCTGTTTTTCTTATTTCTCTGTCTTTCAGGCTCATTGATTCTTGCAGGATTTTGAACTGTCTCACTTAGTCAGGGGAAAAAAAAAGTCAGAAAAACAAAAAGACGGAAAAACAGAATAAAAATGTGTTTGAAAAACAGAAAGAGGGGAAAAATATTTGTAAAAAAACAAGAAAAAAAAGTAAAACAGCGAAGAAAAAACAACACTCAAAAAAACAGTTTCCTTTTTTTATTTTTATTTTTTGTAAATACAGCAATAGGCTTCTGTACTGTTCGAATATAAACTTAAGATTCTATCAAATTCACCTCCTGCTGAGATTAAAAGTGGACTAATGTATCATGGTGTCAGCAGCTGTACAACTATCAGGTATCTACAGGAGGAGAGAGGAGAGCAGGAGGAAGCAGGTTTGCGCATCTGTATGTGTGAGAGCCTGAAAAGCCAAAGGACAGAATAAACATGACGAGAGAGAGAGAGGCTGTAGTGATCACGAGTGTGAACTTTGAGTGAATTTGCAGAATTAGTAAACTGCAAATTGGCTGCAGATTTGGGGGCTTGTATAAACCTTTGTCTGGTATTACGTATCACATAATTTAGACGTTGATCAAAATACAGATTTAAGAAGAAAAGTACAGATGCTTGACCGGTGCATCCTGAGGATCCTGCTCTGATACATTCTGTGGTCTCCCAGGTTGATTTGAAGCAGGTCTTGACTGTAATATGATGGCAGACTCTGATAGCGGCTCTTTGGTAACAGATTTTGTGTTTTGGATAGAGCCAGGTGAGCCGTGTCTTTACGTGTTTCCAGTCTTTGTCCAGGAAACAAAGTCAGACAGCGACCCTCCTGATGGTCTCTCTGGTTTCAGGGTTCGGTCAGATAAGAGTCTCCTGTGTTTGTGTCTCTCTGTATGAACATGACATAAACTCTGTGATTTACTGTTTCCAAGCAGGATCAGGGTTGTGGTTTCATGCAGTAAGCGTGTTTCTGTGTCTGTCAGCAGGATGTTTGTGAAACCCGGTGAAAGAATTTTCCGAGAACTCTGATGGACACGTCGGCTTTGAGCCAGGGAACTATTGATTTGGTTTTGGTAGTGATCCAGATCCGGGATTTCTATCTTTGGACCACGAAACGTTTTTTTAGCTGTAATTAGGAAACTAATGGAAACAAAAACTTCAGAAACTCCCAATCCTGAGGGTACATTTGTGGCTTCATTACAACAGTTTTTAATTTAATTCAGGTGCTCCGGTTTGCTGTTTGGAGGTTTTTCTTATATTATTTCTTTCTTAAGGATCATAAATTATACGAACAAGACGCTAAAAAACAAACAAACTCAAGAACAAACATTTTTCAGTTCACTAGAACATCTCCGGGTTTTGAACATGTCTACCCCTGATCATAGGAAAAATACGAGAGTCTGCTGTGGGACCACCTTAACCCACTGACTCATCAAAACCTGTCTGTGAAAGATCCATGCAGGAAACACGTCAAAGGACCTCAGTGACGGACACCCAGACAAAACATAACGTTTAAATTCTCTGCATCAGCTGTACCTGCGCCGTCTTGAACTTAAATTATTAACCACCTTTTTATTAAATCTATATGCAGCTCATTACAAAGTAACCTTTCACAATTAAATGTCTGTTAAGCTCTCAGTATTAGACGCAATTCTTTAGATGGGATTCAAAGTTAGCACAATGTTCTCATTTTGGAGTGGGCTATCATCCTGTCTGTGGAGTTCCTCATGGCTCTGTCCTCAGGTCCAGTTTTCTTTATCGTGTTCCCGCGTCTTCGACTCTAAAGGTGTTTCAACTGTTAATGCACATAATGTCCAATCACAAGTTTCATTTACACCCGAAATTGTATAAAACATCTCTCACTCAGCCGCACTTAAAGTTGTTACACACCGGTGAATTAGCGAAGCCGATTTGCGAAGTAAATTGTTCGCGTTTTTTTAAACCTCATAAAGTCAATTCAAGCTTCCACACCGGCTACGAACTTCCACAGAGCGAAAAAGCGACTGTAATTTTTTTTGCCCCTGTAATGAATTTTGCGAACAGTCACAGATGAACTGCTAAATCTGTAGCCTAATATAAATCTCATCGCAGACATGTGGCGAGCCGCTGATCCGAATCAGTCGACTCTGTAATTTGTTCTCTCCTTCTGCGAACGTGGAGTCAGCTGATGGATCAGTTCTTGAAATTGTTCGAGGGACATTTTGAAGTATTTTCAGAATTTCTCTTGAAATAATTTGAGCTCCTGGATCGTTGTGTAGAGCTCTCCCATCTCCTGTCACAAGGTCAGTATTGGACGTACCTGGACACTTCGATTCTTCTTGTTATTTTTGTTATTTAATCGTCTAACGACCATGACCAGGTCATCATCACTTGAGGATATAGTCCCCCTCTGCTCCCCTAAGCCAAACATTTCACATTTTCGTGTCGCTTCTCTAATTTGCTGGACCTTTACAACACCTCTTCCCATAAGTTTTCCTGTTTAAGAAATATAAATGTCGTCACTTCAGATGGACTCCTCCATCTCAGATGTTTCTGACTGGTCTCCTGCTCACAGCTGGTGGAGATGTAATGGTTTCTATGACCAAACTGTGTATTTGTCAGGTGCAGTTTTTATTTTTATTCATAAATCCCGTTGTCTTCTTGGATTTTGTTCAAAGTCAGGAGAAAGATTCCTGTTCTCTGCAGAAGACTGAGCCCACTCTCCTCCCAATTTTTTTTTGCGTTCTCTTCATCTCTTGTGTTTTTTTTCTCCCCTTATCTCTTACGTGGTTTCTCATGTTCGAAGACGAGGACTGTAGATGACCTGAGAGGCTCTGCTTCAGTCAGAGTGGCTGTGAAAAGATAATCTCATAATCCCTGAGGTATGACGGTGTTTAGAGTTTATTCTCCCTGTCGTGGAAGAAGCGAGTAAAGTGCAATCGAGCGGAGGGAAGAGAAGGGACCGGGGTTGAGCAAGAAGCTGAGTCTAGACTTTTTGGCAACAGCAGAACCAACAACAGGATACCAACGCCTGTCTTTCATTTAGTCATCCACCGCAATCCTCCAGGGGTGTTTTGTCAGGAAATATAATAGTATTTCATTTCTCTTTCCAAAATGGTTTATTATGTCTTCAAGTGGAGCAGCTGCTGGAGCACAAAGACCCTCCACTCGTGTTCAAAGAGGCTGGTTTTTGTCTCAGCGTGCTGACCGAGGACGCTGAGTGTTCAATTGTTGTTTCCTCATTCATAGTCGGCGGAGACTCAGAGGTCAGAGCCCAAACACAGAGCCTTCACACCACACATCTGCTCAGGGTGGTGTCAGTTCATTCAGCAGCCAGCTCCATATAACCATCAGACCCTCCACAGGACTCGCCCAAACTCTGGGTGGGTCACAGCTAAATCTTAGGCAGGGTCAGAGGTCAAGACCGGCCCCTGGTTGGAAGACGTATTTCTTTTCCAAACTTGGTGGGTGTGCAGAGCATTGTTAAAAAACGACGCCTGCAGGTCGCTGTGCAGAAACACACACACACTCACACACACACTTCAGTCAGGTGTCTCTGCTGATGATTTGACTCGACCCTCCCCGAGGTCAAAGCACAAATTCTCACCTGCAGCGCTCTCCAATCAGGGCGCAATTACAGCTGAACAGAATAATTGAGAGATAACGGCGCGGAGGTGTTGTTTATTTGTGCAGGGAGGAAACCTGAGAGCTACCTGTCTGTCAGGGTGTGTTCAAGCAAAGTTCAGTCGTTACAGAGGAATTATAAATCAGGGCGGGGAGACGGGGAGGCGGGGAGCAGCTCTTTAACCTCTGCACAGGGAGGGGGTGATGGAGGTAATGCTGCTCATTAGATTCTCGTCTGAGACTCATTATGAGAAAACAGCGACTTTCATGTTATTTCTTTTTACAAACAGTCTCATGTCTCATTCTCAGAAAAGCAAAACAACACAAGCTTACAGAAAAAACGAAACAAGGATCTTGACTAGGAGACGGTTCTTTAAGTCTGAGTCCTCCACGGTTAGGAAGGGACGGACTGATTAGTCCAGATCTTTTCATCTCCTCTCTCTATGTCTGAGTTCCCCAGACAGAAGTTTAACTTTCTGGATCAAAACAATGCTGTCTATCATCTGTGTCTGTTTACATCCTGGTAGTGGTCATCATCATCATCATCATCATCATCCTGAGCTGCAGTTCTACCTGGTGACGTCTGTCCTTTTCTTATCATGATTACGAAACTGTACTCTTTTATTCAGATCATATTTGAACCATAAGATAGGAGAGTAAGTTAAATTGAAATTAGGGCTGCAGGATTAATTGATTTTACATCATAATTGGATTATTTGATTATGACGACGTTTAAAAAATTAAAATCCTCAAACTGATTTTCCTCTCTATCATGTCTCGTGCCTCCAGGCCACCGTAGGCTCCCCCTTCCTGTGGGAGCACACTCCAATTCCCACACACACCAGTATAAACAAACATGGCGTTTGCAAAAGAAGGCGATAATTTCGTGGTTAAATTGGACAAGAGCAAGTCAGTCGTGTGGAATTTGTACGACTTCACAGTTTCAGATGAAGAGTAAACCACTCCCCGCTGTAAAGTCTGTCTGAAGGCGGTATCAACCCGTCACCACGGAAACGAATTCAGGAATAAAAGCAAAAGTTTCTTAACAACAGTTTTTTCCCGCCGCACCGAATGTTCCCGGATTTCATTACAGAAATCTGGTCACCTTACTTTATGTTTTCAGTGGTTTGTTTTGAGAAATGATAAAAAAACTTCATATTTTAAGAGTTGTCACGGAATGAAAAATTGAAATCAAATATCGAGTTTTCAGAGAAAAAAAAAAAGGATTTTATTTTTGGCCCAAATCGTGCAGCCCTGATTGAAATATAAGACGGTGAAGCAGCTGTCAGGGTTTAGAAAAGTACCTCTGAAAAACTTACTAAAAAATTTAACTCCTCATGTTGTTTTTTTTTTATTATTGGTATCAAATCAAAAACAATTTCATAGTTGAAGGATAATTTGCGAATTTATCCTGTAAAGTAACATCTCCACATTTCGATCATACAAGTCTGAAAACTCTATAAATGACTTTTTAACCTGTTTAAAGTTTTATCATCACACTCAGAGGAGTCCATGTTGAAGCTCGCCGTCTTCTCTGGAACGTATTTGCTGATAATTAAAGTAGTTTGGCGTTGTTTAGGTCGGGCGGGGTCTCTGTTTTTCTTCTGCGTCAGTCATGAGTGCGACTAATGTCAGTCAAAATAAACATGGAGTCTCGTATTGATTAAAGCCGTTTCCCTCCCTGCCTCGCAGCTATGCACTAATGTGCTGCTATAGGCTTAATGAGAGCAGGAGGAGGCGGCCTGACCCCTGCTCACCTCTCGAAGGGCCCCTGCAGGGAGGGGGCCAATCAGTCAGCGACCGGAGCTGCTGTCTTTTCATGTGCAAGAAGTGAAGCCAAAGATCAAGTGAAATTGAGAGAAATGGCTTCATCCCTGTGAGAGACTCAGCACATTTCACCAGGATCATCCTGCTGAAATGGAAAGTTAATCCTGCTCATTAACGCTGGAATCAAACACACAGAAGGAACAGTGTGTGGAAAAATCCTCAAAATGCATCTTTTTGGTTTATGACAGAAGGAAAAGTTGTGAAGAAATAAAGGAAAGTTGTACAGAGGATCAACGTGGACATGACGTGTGTTTGGAAATAGTTTTGGCCAATATTTGAGTGAAAAGTTTCCATAGACTATCAGACGTTTGCTTCTTGTTTGAATATCTGTGGGCTTGAACGCTCTCTGCTTTAAATCGCAGTATCAGACTCATATCAGGGGGATCGTTCGTGTTAACGTGCGTTCCCCTGCTACAACCCTCATCTCTCCTTAAAACATGTGATACTCAGACTCGCCTTAAACCAAGAAATATGATTTTATGAGCAGGCTGTAAGAGCTGCTACTGTCCACGAACTGCCCATAAAATAAAGCAGGGCTGGGCTGTAAGGCTTCAAATCAATATCAGGTTACATTGATCAGTTCACCTCGATAACGATAAATGGACGATAACTACTCCACAAGCTGCTCACCCCCTCCCACATTAACTTCGTCTACTTCAGCCGCTACAACTTTTGAACCATCCTCCGTCTCCTCACCTGTCTTTCCCTCTTTGTTACGGACTGGATGGGGTGGAGTCACGTCTCTGATGTAGGACAGCGTCTTAAAGGGATATGAGACAAAACCCACAGAGCATTTTTTGTCTAATAGACGTCTAAATGTAGCCAAGACGAGTGGTCTAAAATCAGGCTACCACAGGTCTGAAAATGAAAGTTTTTTAGACGTCTAAATTCAGACCAAGTTTTAAATAGCCGGCTAACAGAATTCTAACAGCCCACTGAGCATTTTTTGCTCATCAGTTATCAAATAATTGGTTAAGGTGCAACTTCTAAATTTTATCTAAAGACATACAGAATCTAGACGGTTGAAATTAGGTTTACAAAAATATGTAGATGTCTAATCTACTGCTCAGTGGGTAGCCTACCTACACACATCCAAAACCAACTCTTATGTATTTATTTATTTATTTATTTGACACCGAATATACCAATATGGACAAAATGATGTCAGTTATTGTTGTGAATCTTGGTATCTTTTCTTTTTGGTAAAAAAAAATTCCGTTTTCTCACCCAGCCCTATGATAAGCAGAATCGTAAAAAGTCTCAGACTTTTAAACCTGAACAGGATTGAGGGATGTCATCAGCTGTTATTTATGGGGCTAAAATACACCTGTAATCACTCTTCATCCAACAGATAAAATAACATCCCCCCCCAAAGAGGGTCTTTTTCAGATATCAAAGTTAAAGTTCCAGAAAACAACCTCATTCACATTAGAAACTTCAATATATGTTGTGATAGTCGGGTTTTGTTTACAGAGAGAGGAGGGAGGGGATCCTACTGGGAAAAAACTCTCATGAAAGTTTGATTTGCCATCTTTCAATCTCCTGCAAAGTCACTTCTTTGACCCAGCAGACACGCCTTCAGAATAAAAGCATTGTGAGAAAACAAGAGGAGTATTTTGTTCGTAGTTGTACAAAAACAGGAGCAGATATCCGAGAAGTACGGCCTTTGAAGGTGTCATAAAAAAGCGGTTGATTTATAGAGGGGAGTTAACTCTCCAACCTGAAGTTTGCCCCTGAGATGTTTGAAGTGAAATAAGGTCTGAGAGAAAATGAGAAGCCCTCGTACCTTGGTCGTGATTTAATAGCCTGATGCTCGTTTCAGTCAGAGTGACCTTCCCTTTCCGCTGATATGAATTCCCCCATGTAAGGCCAGGACGGGAGCCGAGGTCTCTGAAGGGAAGAGCTGCTCAGCCGAGTGTGAGGCAGAGATATGGATCGTCTAATTGGACAGGGCAACTACTGGCCTGGGACCGAGCCAGGAACCGACTCCAAAAGCAGCGGAGCAGCTCTGTTTTTATGGCCGTGGGAGATAAAAAAGAGAGACGGGACAGACAGACAGGGGGAGATAAATGATAGACTGAAGGAGAGGAGGGAGAGAAGGTCAGGGGGACATGTTAGAGAGATGATAAAGGACCACGTCAGTGTTTTTTCCTGACACGTCCCATCACGAACAGATCCTAAAATGTATGACACAGAGCTGCTGTCAGCAGAGCAGAGCCGGGAAGAACCAAAGAGCGGGACTTTCCAGGAATCACTTCTGTGAAAGAGCAGCTTTCCTTTGATGAATCAGAGGTAGAGAGAAACCACGGCGAACAGTTTCCCTCGCCTCGAGGTAAAGATGGAGTCGAGGAAGCTCGTAAAACAAACAGCACAAGCTTTATCTGGAAGCACCTTAAAGAGCCTGACTGTTTCACTGAAACTGTGACTTTTGATTATTTTGACTTTATTATAGACGAACATCCTGCTGAAAGAGGACAGAAACATCACTGGGATAATCGAAAACAAACCCACAGCATCATGTTTGACAGGACAACTCTAGTTTTTTATGATCCCCGTTTTTAATTAGCAGAAAAAATCCAAATCTTATCTTGATGTCGGGTCCAAGAACAGGCTGGTTACGCGTTTTAAGTTCACAACAGTTTGAAAGTTTGTGCTTTTTGTAGATCTAGATTTCTACAGATTCTGTTTGTCATCATTTCAGAGGACGTTAGCGCCGCTCATCAGCACTGATCAATCCGTCTGCAGAAATTCCTGATCATTTTTTCATGAACCTTGTGAGTAAAGCTGCACAATAAATCGATTTTAGATCATAATCAGATTAATTATTATGAGGTTAAAAAATTAAAATCCCTGTCTGAAGGCGGTATCAACCCGTCACCACGGAAACAAATTCAGGAGTAAATGTAAAAGTTTTTTGGTCGTATTGGCGTTTCATCCACACGGAAACGGTGTTTCAGGTGACTGTAAATGGTATTTTCTTAAGCGGGTCAGAGAGTGAATAAATCTGTAAACGACGACCATTTCATCTCTGTGTGGATGTCTATCTGCATCTCTGGAAACGATCATGTGACACACAGTATAACGCTTTTATGGCGCCTGTGTGTGTCCACCTAAAACAACCTTTATACGCACGCTCTGTACTCTTCTTCTGTCTTTTTTTGTGCATTTCCTGTGCAGCATTACAGCGCCAATTACTGGCTCAGCATACGCACTACGTCGTTTTCAATGGTTTTGTTTAGAGAGATGATAGAAAAACTTTTTATTAAAGTTTGGTGAAGTTATCACTGAATAAAAAATCAAAATCGAGTTTTCAGAGAAAAAAATCTGTATTTCATTTTTGACCAAAATCGTGCAGCCTTAATTGTGAGTGCAGACATCGACCAACACTGATGATTACAAAATACATCGATCTGTATCATTAACCAATCAATCCGACATGTCAGTGTAAACAGTCTGCAGCACATGTGGAGAATTCAGTCTTATTGTACTGATGGAAATCTGCTGACGTCGTCTGGGTGGGGTTTCAGGTGTAATTGTACGAGGTTTCCTGCCGGCTCCTGAAGTATTTGCACACAGTTGAGGTGACAGGGTTCAGGTTGGGGTTATGCACGCTCCCTGCCAAACCGTATATGTCAGGTGGTCAGAGTATCAGAGTATGTGTGACATCGATGTTCCTATAAAAAGTCGGGCTCTGCATGTCCCTGAATTTTCCTGAAACTGTCTGGAGTTCAGTTGGTGACATAAAAACGATTCCTGAACTCGCAGCAGGTGAAGCTGTTTCTTTTTTTTCTCCTTTTATGTAACAACAGTCGACGGTGAGACGGGGGTAAGTGGCGGGAGAGTCGGGGTTTGGTGAGGCCTCTCCAGCTGTGTTAGAGTTAATAAGACACTCTTAAAGTAGGGGAGGGGCGGTGGGCGGTGGGAATTACTCATACTTACTGGATGGGGGGGCATTCTTGACCTTGTCCCCTCTCCAGGGGGGTTCACAGCAGCCTGGCAGCTTATTTGTGGATATTATCAATGACCTAAAGCCCTCAGCTGTTTCCTCTCTCGTCCTCGGTAACAAACACTCCTTCACTCTCGCTGCTGTGTGTATTTTATGTAAAACAGCAGGACAGATGAAACCCACACACTGACACTGTTTGTTTCCCTCTGTGTCTCCAGAAAGCTGAGTCTCTGTCAGACCCTGACCTTCGTCCTGCTGCTGCTCGCTCCTGTCTGCCTGTCGTCCCCGCAGACTGTAAGTCCCACCTGTTTTCTGCTACCAACACAAGCCACCGCAGGGTCCCGACAGCCCCTGCTCTGTGTCAACACAGCTCTGTATAATGACAGTGATGGATTTCATGTCAAACACATTTCTTCATAATGACGTACATGCACTGAGTCCAGGACCTGCAGAAGGATTTTGGTGTTTGAAGAGTTTCAGAGGACAGGGCTTGACACTTCCTTTTTTCAACTTAGGAGCAAAAGTAAGAAGCACACAAAGAAATTTATGTGCACGATGAAAATTAATAAAATAATGTTTGTCTTATTGGTCGACATACGGGCTGTTATTTGAAATAAATCTTAGGTCTTTTAGTCACATGACATCGAAGCTATTGAAGGAAAGGTTCAAAATTTGCCTTTAAATTTAACACAAAGATTTTTAGAGGACAAATTAGTGAAATAAAAAGAGTTTGTCTTATCGTCCGACCTTTATGCTATTATTGGAAATCAATTTTTGGTCAATTGGTCACATGACATGGAGGCTATTGAAGGAAAACAGCCTTTTCTGAGAATATTGACCAGTAATTTATTGACGGTCCCTTATTCAACACCCGACATTGACAGTGAGGATTCTGAGTCGATTTAACCGCGCTGCTGTTGTTATTCCCAGTTATGGAGAGTGAGAAGACACCGGTAGATCCTCAGTAAATGTCAGTCGAATATCAAACCTAAATGACTTCACCACAGGATTTACATTAAAAAAAAAAAAAAAAAACATATGTTGCCACAGCTAATTTTTTTTATGTGCACATGTGCCTCTAAATATGTTTTAACAATTCGCACACATTTATTTTTAGTCGCATATGCGAGTGATGTGGTCGCACTGTCGAGCCCTGAGAGGGGGATGAGAATATTCACTAAAACAGACAGTTCCTGTAACAAGAAATCAAGGATTCAAGGATTCAAGGATTCAAGGATTCAAGGAATCTTTATTGTCCCCGTGGGGCAAATCGCTTTACAGCCAGCAGTGCCACAAACAGACATAAGACAAGACAACTAGCACAACAATAATTGAATAAAAAACGATAAAACAGAGAGACTAAAAATAATCACTTGTTTAGAAGACCTATGGCGGCAGGGATAAGAGAGTTCAGACGTACCTGCGGCCTGACGGGAGCAGCGCAAACTCACCAGCCAACAGGTGGCTCTGATCAGTGAGGAGTGAGCGGGCCTAGCTTAGTGTTCGAAGCTTAAAAGTGTCAGTGAGATCCTTGAGCTGCACATTTTCACCATATCAGACAGTCTGTTCTTGTTTTTTAAGGAGAGTAGGCCGTACCAGCAAATAAAAGAGAAAGTTAAAACAGACTCAATAAAACAGGAATAAAACATTTTCATAAAAGTGCTGTCAACATTAAAACTCTGCAGTTTCTACAAACTTTAAGTCACAGTCGAAACAAGTTACTCAGTTTCACTCGATCCGTCAGCCTGCAGCCAGTTCCTGTGTTGTGCTGTGCAAATATACAAAGCTAATAGCAGCATGTCAGAAATTCACTAAGTGCACCCCTATGAATTCACACACAGGAGCCCGTCAGAGTCTGCGGCTCCTTTCCCACATTTCTCCTGTCTTTACCTCTTATTTTTCTTACATTTGACAGAGTTAAATACGGTCATTAGACTAATTGGTTCAGAGGAAAAAAACTGCACTCAGGTTCCAAAGAGGAAAATCCAGCTCATTTTGATAATAAACCAACGTCAGCCCTCTAGATTAGAGCAGATCTGCAGCTATCCGAGCTGATTGGCTTGTTTTTTCAGTCTTTTTGTCTTGGAAATCGTCCGTTTGGAGCATGCATCCTCCTGGTTTCTTCATGCTCCGACTGCTGCAGCAGCACAATCTTTCATCACAGTTTGTCTGGTTGTCAGGCAGACGTGTTTCTCAGGCTCAGGCTGGAATACGCAGACAGAGACAGAGATAAGACACCCGTCACTTCAAACACAGGAATGTAGAGGAGGGGTCGACACACTTCACATCAGCGAGTCGATTAAAACATGTCGCTGCTGTCAGCTGTTTGAGATGACTCAGATTGTTGAGACGTTTTCTGTGTTGGGTCATGAGCACAGCTGCACTGACGGTCTCTGATGTCCACATCTGGTCAGGAGAAGATGGAAACAAGACAAACAGACAACAAGCATCGATGAAATACAAGTATGAGAGATGTTTGATGAATGGTGCGTTTGGTTTGGTCTGGTACAGGACGGTGTGCACTTATTTGTGTCTCCACCATCAAATGTTGGGAAAGGTACCAAAATAATGGATCAGTATCATACTTTTTGGCACTTCTCTGCTCAGGCTACTGGAAAAAGTCATACAAGATGCATTACTCATGATCTGATATGTCGTTTGCACGTCAAAATAGTCCTTCTGCAGCCAACACGCCAGCGCAAGGTACAGCCTGCTGTGGAAATGCAAGCAAGATCAGGGTTTCCCAACAGAACCTGATAATGAAAATGGACCATAAGGCCTCTTTCATACGTGATTTGCATTCCTGGAAAAAACCCTACTGTTTTCTGACTGATAACCTCTCTAGGCTTGCAGTTTTGCCAGAGATCGTCCATTAAAGGTCTTTTCTGTGTGTTTCTAACGTTGACTCTCCCACCACTAGCTTGAGAAACCAAACGGAGTGTTCAAAACAGATAAATAGCAGCAATATGACAAAGTAAAAACAACACACACACAGCAGTAGAGGTCTGATTAAGATCTGCTTTGGCTTTATGGATTAAACTCGTCCTCGTGCTGCAGGGAGAAGAAGCTCTTATCTTTTTCCAGACTGAAGGAGCTCAAATAGATGTTGACATCGGTGAGTGGGGTCCTTAAGGTGCTGAGATAAAGTGCTGAGACTCCTCCAAGACTTTAAGCGCTCTGGTTTTCCTGAATGCAGCAGAGCCTGATGATTTCCCTTACAAACAAAGACAAAACGCTTACATCGCCAAAAGCTGGCACCTGCCTAGAGACGCCTTATTCTTAAACATAACTTTAAATATAGATGTAAAAAAATCAGCAGTAAAGAAAATAAGTACCTTCATATGATTCAAATTATTTGAATGATGGATAGAAGCTCTTTGTGACTTTGAGTTGGAAACTTTTGACGTCCCCAGACTGTTTCTGCAGACTGTGAGAGCTGGTCTGCCGACAGAAAGGAGGACACTTACACGCATACAGGTTTATGATGCAGTCTGGGCACCATGACTCTGAGATTCTGAGCAGGTCCCTCTTCTTTCATTATCATCATTTGTTTGAGGACGTTGCTTTCAGATTTATGAGCATTTTTCTTTTCTGATGATAACTGAGAGGACGACCTAAATCTGAAAGTGCCTGATGACACACAAACAGGTTTATGATACAATGTGGGGACTGTGTTTTATTTTGGGGTCCTTCTGTTGTCATACTAGCAGTACTGGTTTGGCAAAAATTAAGGGCATAGCATGCAGTTTGTAAGCAAACGGAAAAATCTGCAGTAAACCAGAAATACCTGGAAATTGTACAGCAAACCCTTCTCCCTCGACGAGCAGGACAAACTTTCCTTTTTGTTTTTCTATTTAATGGGGCGGCACTGAGAAAGAACTACAAATGTAAAAATGAAGGACTCGTTTTTTATCATTTACTCTTGTGCAAATATACAGTTTCATAGCTGTGACCATGCTTAAGTTACGTATCCTGAGCATGGATAAATAGATGCTCTTTTACGCTGTGTTATATGATCGACTGATTTCACATGACTGCCACCTACTGGCCTGGCATGCTGTGAGCATTTTAAACCCATACTGCGTTGTCATGTGAGCAGGATCCTTTATGAAAAACCTACAAGTGGACCAGACCAAAGACTCGTGGATAGTTTTTTTTTTCCCGCTCAGGGGCAGGTGGGGGGAAAGTGCATGGTAAAGGTCAAAGGTCACTTTCATTAATCTTGAATGTCGGCCCACCACATCTCCAACTGTTATCAACGCTAATTTGGACCAGCGGTAACACTAATGAGGGCAACCTCAGGTGACCCTGCCGTGGAAAATGATGGAGAGTCAAAACACAGGTCGCTCTCAGCTGAGTGTGTGTGTGTGTGTCTGTGTGTGTGTGACCAATCCTATGAGCTACACATTCAGAAATTCTTGCGATTCACTTGCAGAAATACGTCAAGAATGTCAGGACTCATTCAAAGTTATGAGTCAGCTGATATCCTGAGAATATTCAGAATGTTTTTGATTTTCACAAATTTTACTTTTTCAGAAAACTTTATCAAACATCACTTTAAGGTCGTGTTCACACCTCAAGGTCCATTTCCTGATTCGAATCCAGGGCAAGACGATACATTTGTTTTGATTGTTTAACTGGTCCGGTTTGCGTTCACAAAGGACAAACTCAATCGCTCCAGAAAACGGAACCGGAGGTCACGTGACCGCGAATATCGTTCGGTTATTGGTCATTAGTTCATGAGGGGATACAAACCCCGCTCTGCTGTCTTCGCCAGTCATGGAGCACATTACTTTTAACTATGCAAATTTATCTTTTAATATTTCTGAAATGTTATTTTTGATCATCCTTAAATTATATTACATATTTGAATGCTGATGTCATATTTTTTTAGTGTTTTTTATATTTTTATTGTGTTTTAAACTCTGTAAAGCCGTTAAAATGACTCCTTATAGTAAAAAATTCATAAATATTTAAAGAAGCCCCTGAAGTCATGTATGAAACATGTATAAATCAATGTACTCACGCCATACTCTTCCTGTTCAACAGTGTGTGTCTGATTCTGCAGATAATATTTTGCATATATTTGAATTTAAATGAGGAAAGGAAAGTGAAACATTCGTTCCAAGTGTCAGTTCGCGCTCGTGCAGCTCCTCCCGTCAGAAAGGTGGACTGATCGCTTCTTTAAGTGTGTGTGTAAAGAGTTAAAAGTGTGTGTGAGCCAGCTGCTGTGTGAGAAACTGTTTGGGAGCGCTGCCAGTTTCAGTCCTCCTCTGAGGGAAGAAAAAAAAATCCCTCAGGAATGTGTTTGAGGAGCGCCATTGAGATTTCTCTAATCACTTTTATTGTTGGTCTCTGATGATCCTGATCCAGCAGGCTCACAAGGTTGTTTTTTTTTTTTTATACCATCCAGCCCGGATAGATTTGTCAGCCTGTTGGATTCTTGGCTATAAATAATGTGGGTGTTGTTAGGCGTCACTCAGAACTCCCCCTGAACACATTTTTTTTCTTTCACAAATGATATCCCGTCATTCTGCCAACACCGCAGCGCACGCAGGGATTGTGAGCCGCTGACAGTAACCACTTGCTACCTGACAGCTTTGAACATGCAGGCCAGCGCTGCAGAGTGATGCTGCAGAGTGATGCAGCAGAGAGGAAAAATGTGCCTGTAGATTCAAGGTGCAGTTTTATCATGTTCAATCAAGTAAGAGAGCAACGCAGGACAGTGAAGAACCGGGGCTGCTGGCCTGGCGTGCATGATCCAGCTATTTTAGTCAGTTTTTTGTGCATCTATGTACGTCCATTTTCACAACACTGTCATATGAACACCTTTATATATATATGCAGGGTTAGGGTTAGGCAAAATGATGTTGGTTATTGTTGTAAATTTTGGTATTGGTAAATTTTCGGTTTATCACCCAGTTTCTATTGTTGCCTACTATCTGATGGAATTCTTATAAAGGCTAAATTTTGGGGGGCACAAGATAATTAAACAAGAAGTACACTTAGAAGTACACTTGTTAAAACGGTTAACTAACGATAAAAGAGGCTGCAGAAGTACCGTGGTTTTCACTATTGAGATTCTTCTTTGTGTCTTTTGTGTCGCAGTCCTGGATTTCTGCCTGGGGTCCCTCTGGCGAGTCCTCATCGGGTCGCGCTGCGCGAGTCCGGCGGCAGCTACACTTCAGGAACGAGTGGGGCTCATGGAGTGGCTGGTCTGTCTGCTCACGGAGCTGCGGGGGCGGAGCTTCTATGAGGGCACGCACCTGTATCACCAGGTAAATACACTAAGTCACGACTGATCATGAAACCTTAATATCATGTCTTTTAAAGTAAACACTCTCACCACCAATAAGTGTAATTCACACGATCCAACATTATGTTAATTCAATACTGGTGCACTAAGAAGCCCCGCCCCTTCTAGTTTGTGATTGGTGGGCTGGAACAGGAACTTGAGCACCTTGTAAAACTCTATGTTTGTATGTGTATGCAGCTTTTAAAGGACTGATGAAGCAGGAAAAACAGCTGTTAGGATGTCTTGCAGACCAGAAAATTTGCATCATTTGTTCTTTTAAAACCCTGATAAAAATACTTTTCCATTTTTGTGCTTCTATTGTGAGTTTTGGTTTAAAAATATAAAATATTTGGACTTTAAATTGTGAAACAGAAACCAGCGGATGATGCCACTGTGGATCTGACCACCTGGTTTTAAGTATGTCTCCATGCATTCTGAATATCTTAAGTCTCAGTTAAAGGAAACTTTAGGCTCAGATTTAAACTGGTTGATTTAACATGAAAATACACAGAGCGGAAAGCAGACGCTGATCCCATTCACTGTGAATCGAACCCATATGTGGAGCTTTCTTTTTATTTAGACTCTCTGTAACACAGAGTGGTTTCACTGCAAACTGTTTTTATGTTTTTCAAGTACTTCTGCAAACAGATACTCATCATTTTCCTCCATGAAACACACCGACACACCTTCAGCACCGAGTTTCCCGTCACTATTTAAACTCTGTCTGCTGACTCATCTCCATGAATCTCTTGTTTTCTGTGTCACAGGAACCCAGTGGGTGGACCGTGTGCAGGAGACCCCAGACAATACAAGATCTGCAACACCAAGGTCATTTCACACACAGTTTAAGAAAAACACCATTATAGAAACAGGTTTGGAAACACTCCGGGACAATGGCTCATGTTTGGTTGTAAAGGTGTGTTCAGGGCAGGTGAAGCAGCCGCAGCTTTCAGGGCGTGATCTGGAATTTCACTGACATATTAACTCATATCCTCAGTGCACTGCTTCACCCTGAACTGAAGGGTTTATCAGACAGGAGTCAGGCCTGCTTTTGTTTTAGGAACGTGAGTCAAAACTGTGAGTCGGGAAAACTGATGAGTGTGCTTGGACCGGCAGATGTGTGTCAGTGTGATTGATCGTGTGCATGCTCCAGTTTGTATGACGTGATTAGCCTCAAACTGTGAATGGATTTACTTGCTTCCTTCTTGAAAATAAATTTACTTCTGATGCTTTTACTGGCTGAATCTGGGTTGTTGGAGGCGCACACTTTAGCGGAGGTAACACATGAGTGTGTTTGTGTGTGCAGGAGTGTCCCCCCAACTCTGACGACTTCAGAGAGATGCAGTGTGCTGCCTTCAATGACCGACCCTTGATGGCCGGGACCTCCTTCAGATGGACGACCTTTCATGGAGGTCAGTCAGACGTTCAGAAGAAGCAGATAACTGGAACAAAAAGTCAGAATTTGGCACATTTTATGTGACGAGGTCCAACATATTTGAATTTCTAATGTCTAAGACCTAAAGTAGAGGGTAGGTGATATCTGTTTTCACAAAATATTCTGCATAAATGACACACCTGACCGTCCAAAGTCAGTGGGATGAGACCCTGCTTAGACTACATTGTCCACAGGGGGCGCCAAAGATGACACAAACCAAAGTTTTTTTTTTTTTTACAGGAGCTTTATAATGACAGTTTAGAAAGTTTTTGGTCCTTTTTCTGTCCTTCTGCCAAAACGATGCTGAACTTTTAATTTCAGTCTGTCTCAGAATCAGTTAAAACCCTGCACTGTAGTTTCTTGGGGTTTTTTTAGGTTGTCAGTCATGTGCTGCCTCTGCTCTGCTGGGTGTAAATCCACACTGGATTGTTGACATGTTAAGTTTACTCCTCTGTCCTCCTCTTCACCTGCAGCCTGTTTCTGTGTCCAGCCCTCCTCCTTCTTTAAAATTTTAATCCCCATAACAACGATAAATTAATGAGCCGCTCTTCCCCGCCAGGCTCAAACCCGTGTGAACTGAGCTGCCTGGCCCTGGGTCACAACTTCTACTACAACTTTGGCAAAGTGCTGGATGGCACAGCCTGCGACAAAGAGCCCGGAGCCGTGTGTGTCAACGGACGCTGCCTGGTGAGTGGAAAGCTGCATTATGGGATTTACCTCCTAAGATCGCTTTATTTGGGACGGCAGAGGTTTTTTTTTTCTTTGAGGCATTGTCTCATAGTTGTCAGGTGCTATAATAAAGACAGTCGTCATTAAAGGTGCATCAAATGTCCAGCTGGAGTTCCTCCCTGCTCTGGCTTTGCTCACTTCCTGAAGGTAGATTGGTTAAAGAGATGCTGCATGTTTATAGAAATAAGAACCTTAAGAGTCAACATCTGTTCTGTAGCAGTTTGGGTCGACCAGTCTTCCTCCTGCTGGATCATGTAGCTCCTCTCAGTCCCCCCGCTTTGGTGTAAATGATGTTGACCACTCGGACTGCAGCTCTCTGGAGAAGTGAACTCCTCGCTGCGCGTTAGGGCCAAGGTGCACTCATCGGTGTGGACTGCAGCCTTCAGTCAGCATTACAGCTTGGCTCGGCACACAGTCCGCACTCCTGACCTCACCCTCTTCACCCTCCTCACCCTCCTCACCCTCTCACAGATGGGGATGGTTGGAAATGAACTTGTGTCCCTTTGGTCCTGCAGATTAATGACATGCATGTGTAATAAGCTGCTATTTTTGCACCACTAACAAAAGGATTAATGAGTGTCTGTGTTTACATACTATGTCTATATATAACCGTGTGTGTGTGTGCGCACGCTGACTGGTGGCGTAAATAAGTGGATTTATTGACTCAGACTGAGGTCAGAGGAGCACTGGGCCTAAAACAGGAAGCAGATGCAGCGTGCAGCTGGTGTGGAGAGCTGCAGGTCACAAACTGAGATCAGACTGAATAACACAGGGCCAGTTTAAAGGAACGTGTGTGTTAATGTGGACGCTCGTTCACAGCTGAGTTTTGTTCTGTTCGACAGGGGAATTTGTTCAATGAAGACGTTCATTTAACTTTAAATTTAAATTTCACTTTTAAAATTCTTTTTATTGAGTTTTCCTTGGATGTATTTCAACAGTGAATGTCAGGGCATGAGGGATCCACTTTAACACCCCCAAAAAACAAATATATAAATAGAATATTTCAACACCTAACAATAAATAAATAAATACATAAATCATTAAATAAATAAATAAACAAATAATAATAATAATAATAATAATAATAATAATAATAATAATAAGATGAATAAATTTGCAAATATCAAAGTAAAAACAGTGCCAAAATCATACCAAAAAAAACCCAATAATAATAAAATGAAATAACCATACAAAGGAAATTGAGAGGAGAAAAAATAGTAAAGTAAAACAAACAAAAAAAGAGTAAAAATTAATAAAATAAAAAAAACAATTAAATCAAAATTTCAACCAAATGTCTTCAAAGAAATTGTCTGAAATAACCTCATAGAAAACATGCTTTCTTGAGATATCTTGAAGTCTGAAGATTGAAGATTGAACTCGGTAGTAAGACCTTCACAAAGGGATCTTATTGTATTTTGGGGTTTATAGTAAAGTGGTGCAAAAGTTTTTAATAAGTTTTTTGAAGTTTTAAGATAATGGTTCTTTAGCCCCAAAAATACCAGGGTGACCATACGTCCTCTTTTACCTGGACATGTCCTCTTTTTAGGGGCTGTCCAGGGAAGTTTATAAAACCCTTCAAATGTCCGCAGTTTTGTGCGTAAGTTTCGATTTTGTGTTAAGTGGACCTACTGAGTTAGAAGCGTGTAAAAGACACTCGAGCCGACCTGAAAAAGTCTTATAATTAACTTTGTGCGACTCTGTGACTCCGCCCCCGTGTAGTCGTGTCCTACTGTACTTATTAATGAGTATATTTTGTTTAAAAAGTGACAAAAGTCGGCACATGAATAGCCTCATTATCCTTCAGTTCAGCTGCAGGTTGTCTGAATTTTTACACACACAATTATATTTGATTCCACCTACATACGGCACGTTTAAAAAAGAATTAAAAACATTATTTTACCTAATAAAAGATGTTTAAAAACAAAAAACATATTACTCTCTGTTTTTTAGACCAATGCTGATTTCAACTGATATTTTCAGATTTAGTCTTTAAAAGTTATCTGTTCTTCCCCTAAAATCTCCTCTTTAAAAAGTGTTTCACTTCTGTTACTTGATGGATGACTGAAAAAGCGATTAGGTTATCATAATCACTCCATGACTGCGATCGAGAAGAATTATTTTGCTTACTAATCACCTGACTGCTTCACTGGATTAGTCCAACACAAACCTAAGGCAGCAGCAGGACAGCTGCTCAAATCCTGCAAAAACCCACAAATCTCTGTTGAACCAGTTTTATCCCTCCGCTCTCAGAGCTGCTCAGGCTCTGATGAATTTTCTTGCATGCTCGAGTGTTTATGGTATTTTTCAGGACCATGGTCACTCCCTCAGTGGGGCCCTCGCTCACTCGGCTCCTCTGTCACCGAGGATTCATTTCCTGTTGTGCACACACAGATGCTTGGAGTGTTTTTGTGTTTTTAAGGGGCTTAGGGAGGCTGATTACAGGGCCCGCGGATTGCTGCTCTCTTTCAGGGAACCTCCCATTTGATTGGTTTGAAGGAGAGATGAGAGCCGTAGAGGAGAAAGCAGCTACTGTCATCTATCACCGCGAGATTCTCCTCACACCGTAAACCAGTCGCTGTGCTCTTTGCTTTGGCGTTTGACCGTTTACAGAGTCAGCTTCTCCTCCTCTCTTTAGGGCCTAAGCTGGCTTTATGTCCCCAAAGTAAATGTTTGTGAGGAGGAGGAAATGAAACGGAGAAGCAAACAGTCGAGAAGAAGAGATGCAGTGGGCTGAGTTGAGTTATAGCAGACGGTTTAAGGAGGCTGTGAGACAGAGCAGACAAAACACAGAAAGGTCAGAGGTTTCCAAGACGCTGTCAGAAAATGTGCGAACGTAGGACTTAGAGGACTCAGAGACCTCTAATGACGGGGATGCAAATCCAAACCTGAGGCCGAAATATTACTTTAAATCCTCAATGTGTCAACAAGACAGACAAAAACATATCATTTAAAAATACACAAAGTAACTTGGGCTGGTAAAAATAATATAAAATGGTGGACTTCCTGTTGATTTTTGGTTAAGGATGGGTTTTTTTGGTCTTTGAATGAGACACGTCCAGTAAAATCAAATGTATGTCAGTTATGTTAATTAGCAGAGCAGATTTAAGACGGCACTCAGGAGCCAGTTTTATGATTTTTATGCAATAAATGATGAGTTGAGGGATGTTAAGAATCCAGTAATGGAATAATTTATGCAGAAAAAGATGGAGATGAAGAAATTATCAATCAAGCTTTATTTATAGAACATTTATCTCACAGGTCAGAGTGTTTCACAGCAACTAAAGAAAAAAGGAGCCAAAAAAATGACAGAAAATATAGAAACAAAACAGGTGGAGACTGAACCAACATAAAAAACAACCAATCCAACCAACCAGTGAACAAACCAAACAACCAATTTACCAATGAAATTTTTTTATTTTTAGTCCATCACTCCTCTTTCCAGTACAGCCCTCCGATGAGTCTGTTGTATTTAACATGTTTGTTTGTCTGTGTGTGTGTGTGTGTGTGTGTGTGTGTGTGTGTGTGTGTGTGTGTGTGTGTGTGTGTGTGTGTGTGTGTGTGTGTGTGTGCGGCGTGCAGAAGCCAGGCTGTGACTCCATCTTGGGTTCAAAGCAGCAGGAAGACGCCTGCATGGTGTGTGGAGGACAAAACACCACCTGTCTGCACCACAAGAGCGTGTACCAGAGCAACGGGCTGGAGGCAGGTAGGATCTCACACACACACACAAACACACACACACACGCACGCGCACACACACACACACACACACACACACACACACACACACACACACACACACGCACACACACACACACGCACACACACACACACACATTCATTATATTACCTCAGTGGCTGCAGATTCAGGTTTGAGTCCCTCTCTGTGGTTTATCAGTCAGTCCGGTTTACTGAAGATCTCTTCGTTCTCTGATTGTCAGCCATGTTTCCAAAACCTGCTGGCTGCCCTCCAGGAACAAATTCAGCTAACAACAGGTCCTCCAAAATTACAGTCGTTAAGATCTCAGGAAAGAGGAGGAGGAGGAGGAGGAGGAAGGACGGCGAGTTCTTCTCCAAATGAAACTCTGGCCCAACGCCACAAAAACATTTCCCTCCTCTATTAGTACCTGCAGTTCAGAGGCTAACGACGGTCCAACTGCTCACAGCAAACAAGTCAGGAGGAGGTCTTAATCTGCGGGTTTTCTCTGGTCTCTGCGGACTCGAGGAGGGAGACAATATTTCAGAGGATACGGAGATATATCCACAACTTACACATGAGCAACTGCAGTGATGGCATGATAAGATGAGGAGCTGAGGCCTTTTTTCCTGCTCATTTCTGTTAGGTCGTGATGACCTATGATGTAGGCGGCACAGTGATGAAGTGGTTTCTGTGTGGAGTTTGCATGTTCTCCCTGTGTCTGCGTGGGTTTACTCCGGGTACTCTGGTGTCCTCCCACATCGCAAAAACATGCAGAAGTGGGGTCAGGGGTCACTTTCAAATTGCCTGTAGGTGTGAATGTGAGCGTGGATGGGTGTTCGTCTCTATATGTCAGCCCTGCGATATGAACTGACTTGTCCAGTGTGTCCACTGCCTTTGCCCTAAGATGCTGGGATAGACTCCAGCGACCGGCAGGTGGATCAAATTTCAAGCATACAGCGCCCACAGGAACCGGTCCGCTGCCGTTGCGGAGGAGAAGCGCTCACGATATTTCTTGCGATTCTGGAGAAGATCTCACGAGATCTCACATGTTTCCCCGTGAGACACTGAATGAGATCGCTTATGCACATAAACACCCAAATCCCACAACCCTGGCCTCTCCTGTTATTAGGTGGAGAACAGTTCAACATATTGACTTGATTTTATTTTAAAAATTAACTGGATATTTTACTCTTTAGCCGCATACAACTTCCGCAACTTCGTGCCTTGTGTATCTGGTCCAACTGTCGGAGCTGTTCTGCAGACAGATTATGTGGAATCACACACAGTGATTGCCGTTCCGGATCGGAGCGAAGCTGTTTTGATCCTGTGGGTTTTCGCCGTAATGCAACAGATTGAAATTTTTGATCGTATAAACAAACTGAATGAGGGTTGAACACTTTTTACATTTAACTTCAATAATGTATCAAACTTCCTGATTAGTGAGAGTCATCACATCTCGGACACTCAGTGTGTGATTTGGCTCGGGTCGCTCTTCTCTGCGGCTCTGTGCTTTGGCAGAGCGAAGCGTCGCCCATCACGGCTCAGATGGAGCAGAAACAAACAGGTTGATAATGTCTGCTTTGTTTGGGCGACTCGGCGGCCTTGGGAGGTTTTCCCCTCCTCCTGCAGCTGTGTCTCCTAACGTGAGGAGAACTGACGGAGGCCTGTGTGAACTCCCTCCTCATGAGGTCAGATGCTGCTGGCCTTGTGCTCACGGCGGTGACTTTGACATTTCCTCAGCCGCGGCGCTGCGCCTCCATGAAGCTAATGAAGCAGATGAAGCTGGAACATAGTTTCTCTTTAAAGAGGGTAAACAGGGGCAACCGGAGCAGCACGCCATTTAGAGGGCGGTAATAAATGGAGGTTAGACTGCGGAGACTTTTCACGCCTGCTTCACAGAGCTGTCCGAGCCTGAAATACAACGCTGTAATGAACGCTTGTGGTTTGAGCTCATTCATAAATTATCTCTTTGCCTGCTCGTAAACACGTCCTGTTCACCGTAAATCAAAGTTAATCATTGCTGATATTATCGGAGCTGATTGTTTTATAATGACAGAAAATCAACGGTCTGTGATTCAGTCAAAGATCTCACATTAGATAATTTACAGGGCTGCTCAAAGATTAATCCTCCGTATGAAGGATTAAATTATCTGTTTGGCTTCAAGCTCCGATCAGGAATTCTCACTTCGTTGAAACTGGCGCCTCTGTCACAGTCCAGGGTAAAAAAAAAGAAAAGGACCCAAATGTACGACAAAAAGGATTTATTTAAAAAGAACTAAAACAACAAAAACATACGATGAACCAACAAAGACAGAGAGGAAGACAGGGACTATATACACACTGGGGAACGAGGAAAAAGTGAGTCAGATGAGACACAGGTGAGACTAATGAGTGATTAACGAAGGAGGGAAAATTAGGGAAGTAAAACCAGACTAGAAACACAAGGAATCAACTCCTACAAAATAAAACAGGAAATAAACACTGAAAACTGATCAAAAGAATAAAACACAGAGAACAGGAGGGAAACAGGGACAAAGACAAACTGAAATCTCACAAGACTGGACTACAGGGGAACAGAAATACTACAGGAAACACACTCAAATAACATCAACAGAACATATCATGACAGCCTTTTTTGAATCATCTGACTAAATTTCCATCATGCTGACGATCATTTATTGTAAATATTTAAGGTGTAAAATGTGAATAAAGGCAGTTTCAGCCGACACTTACACAGCAAAAAAAACAACAACATAAAAACCCCATCTGATCACTGATGGTGTTTTTTTTCTTTGCTTGTTTAAAAAAAACTTCTCACTGGCGCTTTAAAGTGAGCGACATAATGCAGTTTAATGCCATAGAGCTGCAGCTGTTATAAACGTCTTAAAGATCTGCCATTAAAGTACTTAAAGTTTAATTAAAGATATTTTTAGATAGATTTCATTCACAGTGTCGGTGTAAACAGGTGTGTTCATGTCTTGTCCCATTGACTGTAGCTGGAAACTTTTCCTCTATAGATCCAGTTTAATTGGAATTTCCCTCCGTGGGACCATTAAAGGAACATCTTATCTTTAAGTTATGAAGATATTAACTATTATTATCTATTAACTGTAAACATGACCTGACTGCAGCGTCATACACTGAGCTCTCCCCTCTGTTTCTGTCTGCTTCAGTGAATATTAATGAGTTTTTACTTTGTTTTTATCCTTTTACGATCCTCTACAGTACGTGTGCATGCTCCAGCTTTTGTTAATCATTGACTAAATTAATAGTTAAACTTATTACAAATGTGACGGACAGACAATGTGAATGCAAACACAGGACATTTGATCCCAGAGCCGGTTTTTGAGATAACCTAAAGTCTAAAGTCTCTGTTAAAAGAAGCAAACACGGACAAACACAATCTTATAGACATGAATCGCCTTTTTCTCTGCTCTCAACATGTGGCTTTGGTTTGGAGTTGTGTGTGATTTACATATGAAGTGCATCTGCAGCTACACACGGGTTATTTAAGCGTTCATTCATGCTGCGAGTTGAAGCGAACGTTGGCAGAAACAGAAGAAGCTCAAATTGCTGCAGAAGGCTGTACCATCTCTGTGTGTGTGTGTGTGTGTGTGTGTGTGTGTGTGTGTGTGTGTGTGTGTGTGTGTGTGTGTGTGTGTGTGTGTGTGTGTGTGTGTGTGTGTGTGTGTGTTTAGATTAGATCCTGATGAGCCGGTTGGCACCTTTCATGGCAGCTTCTGCCGTCAGTGTGTGAATGTTGGCACGTTGTGGAAAGTGGTTCTCGTGGTCCAAAGGTTTGATCGATGGATCCTGTTCCCCATTTTCTGACTCTCTTTACATCCTGATGTCATAATCAGGGATCAGGACTCGGCGTCAGATCTTTTAAAGGTGTATAAAGTGGACTTGGATGATGAAGTGTATTTTAGGAGATTCTGGTCCACTGGAGAACTGGAGTAGAAACTAGACTTTGATCTGCTGCGGTCAGAAAGCTGTTTTGTTTGGCTCTGTGTTGTTATTTGACATTTGTACACCAAGTATTGTGAATTTTGGTATTTTTGCACCAGAGTTTGACACGATTTTAAACCCTAAATGCCTGAGGTTACCCACAGACTCAGTGATGTGTGCAGAGTTTGTTATTTCAGCTCAGTCTTTCCCTTCAGCAGCTTACACAGAGTCATTATGCAATAAAATCTGAGAGCAAGAAGCTGCTTTGAAAGGAGGCAGATGACTGTCTAACATGAGTCCGGTCCTGCTCAAGGTTTCAGTTTTTCCTCTCCACTCTAACTTGTTAAATCTTTCACTCACAGAGGATTTAGGTGGGATCAGAGTGGATCTGATTTTACCTGTTGAGACTCGGTCTGATGTTGATTTTTGATAAAGCATCTTATGATATATTAACAAAGATTGATTGAGACTGAGCTTCTGAAAATTGAAGTAAGTGAGTAAAAGCAGCAGCAGTCAGTGAGTCAGGGATCTTTGGATGGTGAGCAATCCTGAAACACTGTTTTATAAAGCAGGTGGTTTTCTTGAAATTAAACCTTTAATTTGTTGGCTGAAAGTTTTGACTGTTACACCCAAATGCTGAAAGATGGATGAGAAAACAAGCGCGTTCATTTAAGGATGTTCACTCTTGAAGATAATTCCTGTAGTGATGCCTTAAACAGAGGTTAAAATCACGTCTTCGCTCTTTTAACAACTTTCAGTCTCTTTAAACGTCCTCCAGAGAAACCGAAGACAAGCTGCAGCTGTTAGAGGACGGGGAGCCTCTTTAACGACACGGATAAATGTGCAGACTTGTGTACAGGACCTTTAATTGTGTTCACGTCTTCAGGTCACGTCCAAGTCCCCCAGAGTAAACTAAACAGATAATTTTACCAGCAGATTTATTTCTTTCCTGATGTTTTGGGTCGTAAACTCTTAGTGTCATAAAAACCTCCTTTAATCAGATGAAACAGTTAAAAAAAGGAAACAAACACTCGAAACATCCTCTAACTGAGTGTTTTCATTTTGCCAGCTGGACCTTTTGGATACAACGAAGTGGCCATGATACCGGCTGGAGCCACTCACATCAGAGTCACAGACAACAGCAGGAGCTATCTGGGTAAGTTTCAGTCCATCAAAGTCAAAGTCGACATATTTCACCTAATTCCTCGATTAGCTATCACCTCGACTCCCCAGAGACAGGAGGGGGGAGGGGCTCAGCGCTCCCATCATAACAACACGACCAAGGGCGTCTATTCTCATCCTTGTTTCTGAGATGAAAATAAAACAGGACCCTGAAATGGGGCACGCCGCGCTCTTGACAGGGAAGCTCGTAAAGCCGCTGGGGTGAGGCAGGTGAAGGTACTCCCTGTTTCCATGTCATGTCATGGAAAATCCCTCTCCCTGCTCCGAGGAGAGACAGCTGCCTTATAAAGCCAGCTGGAATATTTCTGCTCTTAGAAAGCCGGCTTTTACCTCGACATGACCTGGCGAGAGGGAGAGGTAACAGAAGATTTACTCTGAGGCTGATACAAGCATCGAAAATCCTTTAATGCTGCAAAATACAGCAAAGATAAAAGGCTCAGGTCCAAACCCAGAACCATCATTTATCGGACCTCCAGAACATGAACATGCTCCTTTCTCTCCAAAGTAGTAGACATGAATTATTCTATCGGTTAATGATTTTTGATTGAAGTTGAAACAACGTCCTCTCTGAGGCTTTTTGGAGGCTGCCAGCTGAGCCGCTATTTACCTCAGAGCTTCTTCAGAACTGTTAGGAGATCCAAAGTGGGTCAAATCCACCCGAGATCAGCTGTTGTATTTTGAATAAAACCAATAAAAAAAAACACAGAATGGCCATGATACGATATTTTTGCGATACTTGGGCCACATTTCAATATTATCAGGATACTTGGGCTACGATATGATATTGCGATATATATGCCACAATATGATATTATCACCATACTTTGGCCACGATACGATATTGTCATGATACTTGGGCAACGATACGAAATTAGCGCAATACTTGGGCAACGTGCTATATTGTGATACTTGGGCCACGTTAAGATATTTCGATATTTGGGCCATGATATGAAATTATCATGATACTTGGGGCACGATACGATATTATTGCGATTTTTTACATCTTGCTGTATTGTGATACAATGTATGGCGATTTATATATATATTTTAAACTGTTTAGCTAATTTTGCATTTGCTTTCCTTTATATTTGTCATATTTACGCTATATTTTATTTTCATGTTGCACATCTTGCAAACCTTATACATATATTTGTTGCTCTAACTTTCTCCTGCTCTACGAAGTCACCTCTGCCAACCTCACTGGACAAACGGTTGATTTTATTTTTTCATTATCATAGATTTGACTTCATATGAGCAATTAATTTGAAAAAAAAATCGGTAAATGAGACAATACGATATATCACCAGATAAAATATCTCCTATGCCTAGAAGTCACTGGGAATGAATACTCAGGGTTACTGTCATGTACATTAGCTTTTTAAATTTTAAATATTCCTCTGACACTTTCAAAGCATGTATTGTATTTGTTCAATATAAATCTGTAATAAAAAAATTAACAAAAACTACAAAAAAAAAAACAGTTTCTCTGAAGCAAACAGGCGGTGAGTAGAGCTGCAAACATTAGTAAGGCTGCTGATGTTTACAACAGAGGCTGATTGTTCAGATGTTTTTGGATAATTTGGATAAGGTCATATTTTTGATGTAGAAGTATTACAGAAGCACAGGGTATTGAATCAGCACTGGACTGTTTTCAACATGTAAAGGTTTTGCCTCACCTCTCCGCTCCGTCTGTCCTTCAGCCCTCCAGAACGGTCGCTCTCAGTTCGTCATCAACGGTAACTGGAAGATCAGTATTCCAGGCGAGTACAACGTAGCGGGAACAAAGCTGCTGTACCGGCGCTCGGCGGACACCTGGGAGAGCTTCGAGGTACCTGGGCCGACTAAAGAGGACCTCCATCTCATGGTGAGACAAAAATATGAAATGTTTTCTTGTTTGTTCAGTCTGGTAGGTCCTTTTTATTCTCTGCTTCAACATGCAAAGTAAAAAAAGACCAGGTTTGGATGAGTAATTGATTGTTTCCAGGTACTTTTACAAACTGACCTGGCTCTGCTACCAAACAGCTGTTAACTATCACTCCCTCCTGAGACACCGATTCTGCCGAACTTCTGTGAGATGTTGTTGTTTGTTAGCGTTCCTGTGGATTACAGTGTCATGTGACCATGAGTATGAATGCAGCGCTTCATGATTTCCTCCCGGGAGTCTGCTGTTTGTTGTTTATCACCTGTAATTTGTGCCAGCACTCCTGCAGTTGCAGTTAGGACTCAAACTGCTCGACCAGGGGGGAATTCACTAAGAGCGGATTGAGAGTTATGAGTCATTTGTCCGTGTTACCTGCTCTGTGTCAAGGTCCAACTCATAAAGCACGCTACCCCGATGTGTTCACGCCAAAAATACCAACAAAGTTTTACAGCTCTGTGTAATAAGCTCCTGATTTTTGTCTCATCTCTGAACTGCTCCATAATCTCCACGAACAGATGCTGAATCAGACACTGATAACTCGTTTATCGCAGAGTTGATTCTTAATATATCATATCAGACTTAGTAATCTTGAGGTAATACTTTCTGTTCACACATTTTTGGGTCATTCAGCAGTGACCCTGAAGAGTCAGTCCTGAAGAAGTTCAGTTACAATGTGGAGAGTAGCTGTTATTCTTATAAGCGATAGTGATTGTTGTTGTGGTGAGATCAGAGTGGTGGACCTTTATGCTGGTTGCCACATGTAATTAAGTGAAAGAGAGAAAAAGAAGAAGCAGCTGCTATCAAACCAGCTTTAGCATCCTCGTAGTAAATGATGAGACACCCTTAAAACTGACACTCTGAGGATTTATTGTGAGTCCAAAAACAACATTAGAGATGTAAAGGGTAGATGTCAACTTTTTAACCATTCTTAGGCGGCTTCTCTCTTTCTCTTTCACACCTTTGCCGTTTCGTCCGGACTTGAGGTCCAGACCTCCCCAGGGCCTTGGTCCGGACCAAACTGAGCCACGGTCTGGTCCAGTGTGAAAGTATTATTTTGAAAGGTTTGGACCTTCGTACCAAAGACAGTTTGAGGAGTAGAAGTGTCTGTTATTATGTTGAGTGGAGATTGTCCAATAATGGGAAATTTTACAATATTGTAGCTGAAGTTATACCTCACTATTGACAGCTTAAGAGTTTTACGACACAGACTTTCCTCCTAAGCTGGTGTTGCAGTGACTCACAGGATTACATCCTTTCTTTTCCTTTCCCGTCGATGTCGATAAAGTTGTCGTCTAATGATCAAATTCATGAGATTTCCTCGGACCAGCCTCATGTTCAGCTCTTCAAGTCGTCACTGTTGGAGGTAGAAGATCAAAAGTAGTACGATGGTGGGAATGATGGTTTCATCCATTCAAGACCCGCTTTTCAACATGTTGACGTCAGACGCCCGCCGGTCTAATGACCAATCAATGTAAACTACAGAGACACGCAAAACACATAGTTAATGACGATATCGCGAAGGTTCGTCATGTGAAGTCTGTTAGTCCGTTTGCAATAATGACAGAGTGAGACCTAAACAAACCAAATTTTAACAATTTAACAAAAACACAGACCCTGGTTTGGACTTTCAGGTGTGAAAACACCCTTAGACTGTTTTCATTCAGGTCCATTACTCACTATCCTCCAAAAGTAGAGTTTTTCAAAATAAAAGCATAGTTTTAAAATGCAGGAAATAAGGCATATCCAGACAATCATTGATGAGTCTGTTTAAGTGTTTTAGGGTCAGTTTTTCCATAAATATTGGAGTTACATTGTTGTTGTGATATTTCATTCAAGTCTGAGTGAGGCTGTCATATTAGAAAATGTCCTCATATCTGTTGGATCTTATGTTTGTAATGTTGCAGCAGAAATAACTAATGGAGACACAGATAAATAAACTGTGGGAGCAGTGGTTTAGTGGGTGAAAAAGATGCTACAGCGATGAATTTGAATGTCTTTTCCTCTCAGCTCATCTCTATACGTCTGACTTTGGTACATAATGTGAAAACAGCCGACTGCAGTTGTTGCAGATGGTCTCCGTGTCTCTGGGGTGCAGCGCTCAGCACAGCTGCACAAACTGTTTCCTCCTCAGCACCAGCTCTATAGTTTGACATCATTGTTGGCCTGTTTAAGAAAAGACATTCAAGACTTTTCCAGGCTGGTTTGGAAGTTTCCACGCTCTCCTTGTGTGCAGGTGCTGGCCACGGACAAAAACACAGGGATCGAGTACGAGTACTGGCTGCCGCCGGATCAGTACGCCCTCTACCACGGGAGGAGGAGTCCGCTGAGGCAGGCTCACCACACGGCCAACTACCTCCCGTGGGATCAACCTCAAGCTTTAACCACGGCCGTCCCCGCGGCTACAACCAGCACCCGACCTCCACCTCTCACCAGCAGACCCCCGTGGTGTAAGTCCTTCCTCACACTGAAAAGTTCATGAATAATCTCAAACTGTTGTTGAAATATAATTAAATAAAAATCCTCCTCAGTCATGGGAAAGTTCAAACTCTCATCTCTCTCTGATGGATGAAGGATTTGGACCTGAGCTCGGCAGACTTTTGTCCTCACATCACAAACTGAACAAATCCTGACGCTCTGAGCCTCCAGCTTTCTTAAATCCCGTCTTAAGATTTGACTCTTGTTGAAAGCTTTTGACATTTTATAGGTTTCACCTCCTCTGGCCTTTCATTTCTAGATTTATTTATCTCTTTTTGTGCAGCACTTAAGTTTTTAGTTATTACAGATTTAATGAGATCCCTGTGGTTATTACTGGCTCAGTTTGTGATGACTGAACTCTTCTTTCAGAGAGAAAATATGAAGCCGACACTGACCCTTGGCCTCCAGCCGTGTTGATCACCTGATATTTAAATTGTAAAGAGAGAAAAACCTGAAAATGGGTCTGGAGTGTGTTTCAGATACTGTTTTAATGATACTGTCTGACACTGACAGGCTGTAGAAAATTATCAGGAATAAATGAATATGAATAAGTGTGTTTCTGCAGAGTCTAAAGAGAAGATGCTGTCAGACTCCGTTCCAGTATCCCGCTCAGGCATCCTCCAAATTCATTAATAAACTGCAGTTCTTAATGTGTCCTCTAGGGCTGGACGATTGTGGCTTCATGTGATCATAAAAATATGCAAATTAGGACAGAGAGGAGAGCGGGATGGGAGGCTGTAGTGATGGCCGACTGCAAGGCTCAACAGTCACATGGGTGTGCAGTATGATTATATATGACCCTATGAGTCTTAACATTATAAAAGTGACGGATGAAAATACTGTGTTGGATCTGCAGCCTGTGATAAAACATAACCAGCGTAATGGATGGTCCCTTTCAGGACTATTACATTTTAATCTTTGGTGTAATATTAACCAGTTAAACAGACAGACGTCTTGTAGATATAAATAAAAAACAGAACTTGAACAGGATCTTTTATAGACCCAACATGGTCAGGTTTAGGAGACTATAAGATCCACAAATGCATGTAATTATAATCGTGATCTCAGTTTCAGTCCGGATAATCCTGACGATGGTGTTTGCCATAATCTAGCGGCCTTACTACTTCAGATTAGCTCCAAACGTCCAAAAATGAGACCCATCAATTTTTAAAAGGCATGTGGTAAAGTCCCAGAAACCCCTTCAACACTCAAATGTGCGTCTTTTCAGTATAAACCGACACGTCTACAGAAACTGTTTTGTGATTGATCGTTTTCCTGCATGACTCATTCATTTTTATCACGTTAAGGTTAAAGTCGGTCCTGAGTATATCAATAATCTGGACCACAGTTTACCTGTGATTTAAAGGAGTTCATCTGCATGTCGACCTGAGACCTACAGCTCATGATACCCGGGTTATCTTACGTTATCTGAGGCCTCCAGGATCAGGATTCTGATTGATCACTCAGCGCTGTTTACTGGAAAAACTCTAAATCCTGCTCGGCCCTACAGAGTCTGAAGAATGTAACTGGTTTATCTCTCGTGATGAAAACCTGCGGCACACGTGTGCTCAATCTCCCCTGAACGCTCACATTCACATGTACGCAGCCTGCAGACCTGCGCCTTCTGTCTGACTCTGTCCAGCGCTGTAATAAATCTAAGTATCCTCTGTGGAAACACTTCCAGCTGATGGATCGGAGCCAAACGGAGTCGTGTTGTTTCCAGAAACAGTGATGATGATGATGATGATAATTGTTTGTAGGGTAAGAAGGTCGACTCTGCGGTCTCGGAGTCAGGACAGGAATTTTCATGTTTTTTAGACGGTAATGAAATCCTGACAGAGTTTTTGATTTCATCTGTTTATTCGTACTGAATGTTTGTTTCTCGTGATGCTGAACTGTTTGTACACCACAGGCATTTTTAGAGCTCTGCAATTTTTTTTATCACCATCAGAACAAAATATCCAGACAGTCTCTGATGTGCAGCGAGCTAAAATCTGTGTGTGCTTTTAAATGGGAGTGGGAGTCTTTGGGATCGTAACTTTGGGTCAAACTTTTGACTCTTCAGTAAATGTTTGGACTTTAACTGAATCCAAGACTCTTAAAATGTCCGCTCCTAAAGTTATTTATTATTCTCTTTCTGAGTTTGATAACAGACTCTCTCAGATCCTTAGATTTATTTGTATTCATCGACCTCGTTTCTCATCGAATCTGTCTCGTATTATTTGTTCATAGTTGATCTAACAAACCAACAGCCCCGAGTGGGATAATCAAAGTTGTTTGATTTAGTCTCTGAACCACCGAAAAGGATGATAGTGTGACTTTTAACTCAAAGAAATCTTTATCTTATCTTAAATTTGCCCGGGAGAGAGCTCAACATTATTTGTTCAATTAATTAAAAAAATAAAATAATTAATTAATATATTAATTTTATTTATATTAATATGTTATTAATATATTAAATGATATTAATTTTATTTATATAAATATTAATTTTAATTAATTTGAATTTTATTAATTTATATATTTTTAAATTAAAAATAAAAATAAAATAAATTTAAAACAAAAAATTAAATAAAAAAATTTATCATCTTGCACAAAATCCACATATGGAAGCTCCATGTGAGCTCCAGGAAGAGCTGGATGCTAGTTCAGGCAGGCAGTTTGAGCCACACATGCACCAGTCTCTCTCTCTCTCTTCTCTCTATTTGCTGCAGGATTTCCAGTTTGCTCGGCTCTGCCCTGAAAATGTGCAGGATTCAAACAAAATATGAACTCCTTACATTAAATCATGATTTTTCTGACTGGGTTACATAAATCTAAGACTCAGATTTGACTCGTTAAGCTGTTTGCATTACTGTTCGTTGTATTTGACAGATTACAGACCTGCAAAGCCTCCACGCAGATCTCCTCATCACGGCCGCCACCAGCACCCCCATCAGCCCATCCCCCGTTTGGAGAGAGAGGAGAACCACAGGAACCTCCTCCCTCAGCCCTCACCTGGAAGTATGTTCAACATTTATCCATCTTAACCCCTTAATCCCACTCTGAAGCTCAGCTCAGCTCAGGCCGAGCGAGGGACTGAAACGTCCTCAACAGGATTCTGGGATATTTGGTTGGATTGGATGACTGATCGGGGGGGGGGAAATGTTTTATGTTAGGTTGATGTAGAAAGGCTTTAGTGTCATTTGGAGATAGTCGTGAATTAAGCTGTAGAGAAAAAACTACGGAAACACAAAGCACCCTGTTTCTTCTCAATCTTTAGAATTTTTCCTGCAATACAGCAAGTGACCACTATGATCAAGTGTCAGTGTTGTCAAAGGGATATTCAGTATTTTAAAGTGAGCTTGTATGAGTTACATCTCCCTCTAAAGTCTGTGAAGTCTCTACTGAGAACATTTTTAGCTCTTCACTGAGACAGAAGACCTTAGATGACGGCTCTCCTTAAGAATTAAAGCTACAATTTCTAAGACAAATTGCTTGTCTAGAGCAGGATGTGATCTCAGTTTAGATCAATCATGAACATGTCTGTAAGTGTCTTTTCTGTTGATGGTGCAGAGCATTGTGGGAAATGTCTACGTGTGAAAGGTCGAAGGGAACGCCAGAAACAGTACTGCCAGAAGGACTTTGGTGAGTGAGACTTCGTGATGCTGATTTTGAACGACGTCAAACTGAGCTGAATCACATTTAAATTTACACTATTTTTTGCGTTTCCCATCAGTTTTCCGCGGCAGAGTCCTTGGGAAGTTGTACCGAGGGGAGGAGACGCGGTACGACGTGCAGATCATCCACACGTACAGAAACGGCTTCCGTCTGGAGCATCGGGAGTTCCTGTGGGTTCCTAATGTGTGTGACTGCCCCCATCTGGAGGTGGGGAGGCAGTACATCCTGATGGTGCGCCGTCACATTAACTACGAGCACACGCTGAACCGCATCCTGCTGGAGGAGGACAGCTACGTGGTGCCGTACAGACCCAGAGAGGACGAGCTGGTGCGACCGCTGGAGAGACTGTGTAACAACAGAGGACCGAGAAAACAGGGGGACCTGAGGGGCTGAGGGACTCACTGAGGGTGTGTGAGCGTGTGTGTGTGTGTGCGTGTGTGTGTGAGGGTGAAGCTTCATTCACTTCCAGTGTTTAATTTCCGATGAACTCCGCCTGGACCACGGAGAGACGGTTTCACACTCATTTGGACCGAACCAAAAGACTTGTTGTTTATTTAAAAGCCTGAGCAGCTGACTGTACCACAGAGAGCACTTTAGGTGGAGGCGTGTTCCCACCTGTAAACACAAACCAAAGAGAAGAACATTGACTGAAATGAGCTTTTTGATGTTTTTCACAGTCGTCATGTCATTTTTCTAACGGTGTATTTTTGTGTTTGTGTGTGAACTGAAAGGAAAAGTCCATCTCAAACTCCAACAAAACTTTTTCTCTGGAAACACTTGGACTAGTTGTTGAAGATAAAACAATAATGTCAACCTCACAGCATATTCTCTCCGTTTTCAGCACTAAGTTTTGAGTTTAGGAGCGAAAATATCTGCCTCAGAGTAGACTCATATCGTAGAAAAACCCTGTGGACTGATCTTATAGTCAGGGTTAAGTACTCAAACCCTCCAGGTCCACACTGTCGCATACGGCATAATATTGTTGCGTTTACATAACCAGCTCTAAAAATAGTTCTGTTGTAAAATCCACTCGTTTTGTGAGACCGGCAGCTTCTTACTCCAAATTTTCACCGTGGCGAAAAAGGCTGTTGGCGCTGATTGCCGCTGATCGTTTCCATTCAAGTTAATGTGTCAAATTCCACCGGCTTCAGCACAGATTAACTTGAGCTGGAAAGGAAGTCGGGCACAGACATAAAATAAAACATCCGGCTTCTTTTCGAAATAAAATACCACATGTTTCAGGCAGATCGTATTTCACGCCATGCAAACATGGTTTGTTTAACAGATAAAGATAAATATTGCACTTACCCATGGTAAATTCCCAATCTCCACAAAAGTGTCTGATCTCCTGGTCTGGACAGAGTGGATTTCCTCGTCTGGAAGGACATAATCTGCTGCTTCTATGGTCATATGGTTGTCTTTATAGAGACAACTCGTGATGGCATATGAATTCGCTGGTTCTTGCGAGTCCTTGCGATCCGAAATTTGCTTCACCAATGCACCTGATAGGAATTGGTGGATGGCGAAAAACGCTGTCGTTCTGTATGCGGTGGAAATTTGGGGTTAGTGTTTCAGGTGCTTCTCCATCCAACAGAGAAGATTTTCTGCGTCAGTGAATTTTAGTCGGTTTTATAAACCCCAAAAAACTCCTGACTGCAGCTTTAATGACTAACCTAACGAGCACTCATCAGCTGCCGATCTGGTCTACTAAGAGGGTTTTTGCCACAGTGTCAGCAGGCAGAGATGAAACATATCAGACTCCTTGTATCATCAGGTTGTTCCTAGTGTTTCTCTTACAGATGATGATGAATTATCGTTGTCGTGGGGTTTTAACCAATCAGAATCAAGATCTTAACTCAGCAGCTAAATAAACAGTTTAAAAAACAGGCTGAACAAAGCAGCTCAGGACTCTGGGGTGGATTTTTCTTTAGTTTTAACCTGATATAGTAAAAGTATATTTCCTCACTGTGTATTTATCGATCAGAAAAATTAAGCTTAAACCACAACTCACTTATTTAACGTCTGTGTTTTTGCTGTTTTTTTCCTACCATGTCTGTTTCGTGATACTTTATTTGAATGAACTCTACAGTATTTTCATGTGTGGCACTAATTAGCTGCAAATATACTACACTATAATTTGGCTTTATTATAAGAAAGCTTTGCCGTCTACTCCATAATAACAGTAAGTGACCTTTTGTGCCTTTTTGTGTAATTTCACGTTTTGTGTCCGAACCTCCTCTATGTGCCAAACTGTTTTTGTACATGTGCATAAATCGTATGAAAGGTTTTAATCCACTCATCTTCAGTGTAATGTCATGGTAGCTACATGCTCACTAAAATAAATATTCAGGTGTTATTTTGGATTAAAGTTGACCACATTTTTGTAAACGGTTTTAACAAAGCAGACCGGACAGCAGCAGCGTTTGTAGGAAAAAAACATGTATTTACAAAAAAAACAAAAACGGTTCACGTCTAAAACAAAGGAAACACTACATGAGACTGCAGGAAACAAAAGTACAGAGATTTAATTTGAAAGAGCTCGTTTACCGTTTACCGTCACAGACCCTCTGATTACAAACGTGAACATCCAATCCTCCTCAGCATCTGCAGACACGACCGCTTCATCTGAAGGCTGGAAACAGAAACCTTTTCCGCCCCTTTTTGGACGGAGAGTTTCTTTTTTTTCAGCACTCTTGGTTTCATTTTCAAAGTTTTTAAAATTGAGGAAAAAATACAAAAAAAAATGTAAACAAGAAAGAATCCTGTGTGGACAAAATGTGGACGATGTTCTGGAGAGCAACAAAACGAGACGTGCTAACCAACGTTATCAATAACCCATAGAGATATATCAGAATCAATTATTTCTGTCTGATTCATGCCACAGTACGAGCCATCAAACATCTTTTTAGCTTTGCCTGGTTTCTTTAGCAAAGAGACTAAACACAACTCACCCACTCTCCTCCAGCAGCTGCTTGTTAGTGGGGGAGCCCTGACCAGTCGATCACCGAGTGCAGCAGAAAATTTATGTTTGTTACCTCAATGTAGAAGAACATACAAGATACACAAGAACTCTGATTGCATTTCCATGGAGTAATAATCATAGATTTTCCGCTGAACTCGGTGATCGACTCGCCGAGGCTCCCCCACCAACAAGCGGTTGCTGGAAGAGAGTAGGTGAGTTGTGTTTAGACTCTTTGCTAAAGAAATTAGTCAAAGCTAAAAAGATGTTTGGTGTCTAGTACTATGCCTGGGACCCTTATTGTACTGTTGATGAAGTTAGATGGTGTGTTTGACCATAACTTAAATTTACTCTGGACTATCCCTTTAAGTGTCTAATATCAGTGGAGCTCTGGTTTATCGCCGATTCAAACGTCGGGTTATTCTTGTTGAACTTTACAGAACATCGTACATTTGTGTGTAGCTGCCCTTCAGTTGCTCCGTCTGACCGTCCGTCACTGAGCGTGACAGAAATTATTAAAGAGAATCGTTTCTTTCAGAGATCCTGAACTCAGAGACATGAACAAATCTTTCTTTGGCTCCGAAACAGGAAACAAAGATCAAACAGCGTCAAATCAGAAAGTACGGTGGCCCTGAAGGTCAACTGCACAAACAATTAAAAAAAGGTCAGAGAAACCCGCAAAAATATTCATCTCTCAAAATCAAAAAGTATTTAAATTTTTTTTCACAGTGATGACATGTTAGTGCAGTTGACCCACAGGGGCCACCGTACAAAAGAAACTGCGTTTACAGATCATTTAAAATCAGGTCCTGTGTGCACACTTCCTGGTTTGTTTATTCCAGTGTCAGTGTTTTTTCGTTTTTATGAGTTAGTGTCAAAAAGTAAAAGACCATCAGCACTTGGAATCAAGTCTAATACGTTAAATAATGAGCATCAACAGCAGCCTGAAGATCCACAATTAGGCTGAAAAAGAGATTTTTAATCTCTTCGACTTTCTCCTGATTAAATAATGTTTAAAAAAGGGGCACCAGTGGCCTACAAGTCACAACGTTTCCGAAAGGCGAGAGGTCTTGTTGCAGCGGCCAAACAAGAAACTTTGCTGCGTTACTTCACTCTCTTTTAGTTTGAATTTATTCACTCTGCATTTCATCCATGCTTTCAATCTTTTCTGTAAAGTGAGGAAAAAATGTTGCCACACAGAGGCAGCATCTGTTTTGGCGCAGGACTGAAAGTGAAACCTTCCCCTCTCTTTTTAAATTCACCCTCCAGTTACGAGACTCGAGACTCTAAAATGCTGACACTTTTTGGACACTCCTGATTCTCGCTTCAAGGATTTATTTAACCGTTTTGTTGCAGGAGACCAAAGATAGAAAGATTTGTTCATGGTGAAAATTTCTGCTTCCTGTCACAGATCAGAGGAATCACTGATTATTGATCGTAAAAACACCATAACTGCACGGTGTGTCTCTGAAACCGTATAAAAGCAAACATTAAGAATTCCTCCTCCTCCATTATAATAAAAAATCTAAACATTTATTTCAAATAGGACTAAATTTAAAGGTAAACATCCACAAAAGTTCCCGTTTTTACACCTACTTACTGTAATTCCCACATCAGACGGAGGACAGTCCCTCCTTCTGATCCCTTTGGCAATTCATACTGTAAGTGTTTCCAGAAACCTTCAAACCTTTTCCTGATTCGCTTTTAGAGTTTTTTTTCCAGCAGGTCATTGAGCTTTCAGCCGTCTGATTGGTCCGTTTCACAGCGCTGTGAGTCTTTGACCCTTGAAATCTCCTCTTGCATAGAGTGAAGCTCCCGCGTTTGTCTCTGAGCATCAGACGCTGACGGAGACGTGACGGGAGGACGCCGAGCGGCGTTTGATGCGCGACCGTCGCGGTCTGGATTCAGACTGACAGCTGCACAGAGGACCCAGCAGCAGCCAGAGGTAGAGGATCACGCAGGCCCAACACGACGACATCTTCACCCAGAAGGTCGACCAGCTTCCGTGAGTGAAGGTGGTCTCCAACACGGCGGACTCGTAACTGCAGAAAGAAGAGCACAGACTTCATGACTTCATCACACCTCAGGAGGTAAAACGATGAAAGAAGATCCAAGTCTGTCCTTCACTCACCTGAACCAGTTCGTGAGGGTCATCATGACGTACAGCGAGGCCAAGAAGAAGACGAAATGGAAGAAGAAGTAGCTGTACGCCACTCTCTGGGTCTCGTTGTGGATGACCTTCTGACAGCCTTTGTTCTCGTCGTCAATCACAAACTCCTCCTCAGCTGAAAGAGACGTTTTGATAAAGTCAGGATGTGTCTCATCACAGCGAAGGGAAGTCTTTACACGGATGGAGGAGGTTCGACTGTCATCAGAGTCGAGAACGATAAACCAGAGCAGAGGACAGATGTTTACCGACCCACAGATATCAGTGTGATGGAGAGCAGGCGTCTCCGCTTGCTTGTTGGTTTGTGTTTCTCTGTTTGCATGAGGTTCGAGTTTAAATACAGCTGATGAAGGTTAAGAAAGTCGTGTTTTAAATGTGTCGGTACTCACCTTCCTCCTCCTCAGGGCAGCAGAAGCAGCAGGTGGCTTTCTGGAACTCGTAGCGGTAAACTTTGATCATCCAAAAGGGACCGAACACCTCAGCCAGGTAGGAAGCTTCATTACTGGGGAGGATTAGAAACACATGTGATCCCGCTCAGGTCCTCCCTAAATCACCGCCGTGTCGGTAAAAAAACGAGGGCGTACTCACCAGGCGAAGAGGACGCAGCAGTACATGATGAAGGCTCCGATGATGGCCACGGCGTTGCCTTCGTTCTGGATGCCATCTTGTCCCACGCTGGGGTAACAGACGGTCATGTTTATGCCCTGATACACAACTGAGACAGAGAGGGAGACAGCGGGTTCAGAGTCAGATCGCAGTCGTGCAACCTCAACGAGACCAGAGGGACAGAGGAACGCTTTATGTTTATATGACACTCGAGAAAACCGAATTATTGCCTTACTCCGATTAAGACCAGACAAGACACCCAGATAATGCAATTGGAATTCGATTTTCTCTAATTCCAATCATGTAGTCGAAGAATGATTGAACATTGCATGTGGTGGTGCACCACGCCCCCATAACCCCAGAACAAAAACACCAGAGAAGAGGAGTAGCGTGCGTCTCATTTGCAGAAAAAGTAGCGCGTCCATCATATACGACAAAAACAACGTGCTACGATGCTCCATCTTCTTCTTCCAAAATGCCCAGCAGCAGTTGTAGACACTTCTGACATCTGGCACAGACCTGCTGTTGTTGTTGACGGTTGTACGGGGTCGGAAAAGAAAAGACCTATATCACCCCCTGGTTTTGGGGAGGAGGACATGTTCACGTCCATAATTCAATTTTCTCAGCTGCACATATATGCGGACATGAGAGACGTCCAATTCGGCAAGAAAACAGAATTATGATCTTAGTCCGATTAAGCTGTGCATGTAAACACACTGACTATCGTGGGTTCGACAGGGATTTGGACCGGACACCTCAGATCTTATTTCATCAGGTTAAAACTACATCTGCTCCGAGAGAAGGTGCCACATGGAGGTCAAGTGTTGAGTCACCTTCTTCATTCTTTCTACTTCGTTTCATTTCCTGGGAAATTCTTTCCTTTCCTGTCAAAGAGAGGGGCCGGAGGGGGTGAGGGTGGAGGGTGGGGGAGACCACTGTACTAACCCTCTCACCCATGAACTCACCCTCTGGACAACAAAGGACGATGCTCACACATGCATGTGCAGAACCTCTACATGGACCCTTCAGCCGTCAGTGAAAACACCAGCTAATTACAGGACTTAGATTATATCATCCTCACACACACACACATTAACACACACACACATAACACACAAATGAACACACACACACACTTGGGTCAAAGGTCGCTGGGGGAGATAGAGCATGTCTTACTCATGAGGTGGCTTTATGAGCTAATTCTTCCTTTTAGAGGCGTGTGTGTGTGTGTGTGTGTGTGTGTGTGTGTGTGTGTGTGTGTGTGTGTGTGTGTGATAGAGAGAGTGTGTGTGTTTGTCATGGTGAGGTCATCAAGCAATTTAAGCCTTCCGGGGACAGGCTCGGCAAACAAGACCTAAGAAGACAGGTAAGAGGATGGATCACACACACACACACACACACACACACACACACACACACATTCCCCCTGGTAATGTTACCATGACAGGTGAGGCACCCGTGAATTAAAGCAGCTGAGAGAGGAAACTCTGCAACAGTAGGTGGAAATTAAATATTTCAGAGCAGTAGAGTGTGTCAGTCTGTGTGTGTGTGTGTGTGTGTGTGTGTGTGTGTGTGTGTGTGTGTGTGTGTGTGTGTGTGTGTGTGTGTGTGTGTGTGTGGTTCACTGTCTGTCTGAAGTGAAAAGGTGTTTTTATAACAGACTCTGAGTGCATATTTTCTCAACATGTTGCTACAGTGTCCTGCGCTGCCCCAGGACTCTCACACACACACACTCACTCACACACACACACACACACACACACACACACACACACACCTCCTGTTACTGTACACACACACCTACTGTACAGACAGACCTATAGGAGAACAGTAGTCAAACTGAATAGACCTAAAATAACCTAGAGGAGGTTAAAAGACAAACAAAAACCTGCAGTTTGATGACTCATGTGGGTCTGAAAGGTACGTGGATTTATTACATAACAAGTCTACCAGGTCCAGACCAGACCCCGAGGCCACAGAGGTCACGAGGTGTTGTTTTTTTTTGCTAACGAGACTTTTCTTGGAAAACCATGAAGAGATCCAATAACATCACAACAGGCGAAATAAGACTCCAGCAGCAGTTTCCTTTCTGATCCAGGAGCCACTTCTCTGCCGCCATCACTTTTGGGGTACCTCAAGGCGCCACATTGGGTCCCCTATTGTTTGCTCACGATATTGCGTAGCATCACTCTAAAGATAATACTCAGTTATACCTTCTTTTAAAACCTCAGTTCAATCCTTCAGCGACATGACAGTGGGTTACAGCAAAACGACAAGAAAGTAGGGCTGGGTGATAAATCGAACATTTACTGATACCGAAATTTACGACAATAACTGACGTCATTTTGCCCATATTGGTATATTCCGTGTTAAATAAGTAAATAAATAAAAGTTGGTTTTGGATGTGTGTAGGTAGGCTATGGTCTTATGTCCCTTATGAAAGACAGGTGAGGAGATGGAGGACGGTTCAAGAGTTGGAATGGATGTAGTAGACAAAGTTAATGCTGGAGGGGGTGAGCAGCTTGAGGAGTAGTTATCGTCTATTTATCGTTATCGAGGTGAACTGATCAATATATCGTGATATTGCCCAGCCCTAAAAGAAAGAGACAAAAAGTGACTAAAACAGGTGAAAAAATGTGCACACACAAAATCAACAAGCCTCCACTTTGTAAAACAGCAGAAGACAAATAACTTCCTACAACTTGATGGCGGGGAAATCGTCTCACCATGCACCGAGCGTCTGACAGCAGAGCTTGTCAAATCATTTTCTGTTGTTGTTTCAATCTCCCCGTCTTTACAGATTATGTAAATATCTACCAGTGCCAACACAACCAACATTTGGCCAGCTCGAATATCGACGCGAACAATGAAAATACACCGACCAAGATTTCCTACAGCACCCTTCAAACAGATTATTTTTGCTCTGTGTTTTGTTTGTTTGTCCTTAAACTCCTCGTGTCATCTGAACCCTTCTTGGCTCCGATGAATACGTCTTTCCCGGCAGATCCGAACAACATGCTGCATTTTATCTGTTCATCCGCTGTGAGAACATATGTAACGACGCTGCCAGGTTTGTGTTCCTCTGTTATTATGTTGTCAATGGATTCATGAGGAATGTGAAACAAATATCCTTCAGTCTGCCCTCACCATAGGCCACCAGCCCAGCAGGCAGCATGTCAGAGCACATCTCATCCCAGATTATCACTAACTGAGTGTGTGTGTGTGCGTCTATGTTTGCATGCATGCCATTAAGATGTAAACCCTGGATAAGACAGGGGGCCTCTGACAAGCTGCTGCACTAATGTCTCAGTCATGTGGAGGCTCTTTGTCTTACCTGGAGCCAGCAGGTGAGTCATTATAAGGAAATTGACGGTAAATTGAGGAGGATTTTATTAGACGAGAGTGTGTATGTTAGTGTGTGTGTGGGCTCGTCGGTGCTAAGTCAAAGCAGGACAGGATGACGAGGTACTGCTGAGGAAATTTAGACGGAAAAAAATAAGAATAAATTCAGATTACAACACTGAATATAGTGGATATTAGGGCTGCACGATTTTGGCCAAAAATAAAATCCTCAGGCGCTATAAAAGTGTTACGCTGTGTGTCACATGATCGTTTCCAGAGATACAGATAGACATCCACATGGAGATGAAATGGTCGTCATTTACAGATTCATGCACTCTCTGACCTGTTTTCAAAAAGTACCATTTACAGTCACCTGAAACGCCGTTTCTGTGTGGATGATACAACAAAAAACTTTTGCGTTTCCTCCTGAATTTGTTCCCGTGTGGACGGGTTGATACCGCCTTCAGACAGACTTTTCAGCGGGGAGTGGTTTGCTCTTCGCCTGAAACTGTGAAGTCATACCAATTCAACACGACTGACCCGCTCTTGTCCTATTTAGTCACAAAATTATCGCCTTCTTTTGCAAACGCCATGATTGTTTACACGGGTGTGTGTGGGAACTGGCGAGCGCTCCTGCAGGAAGGGGGAGCCTATCATGGCCTGGAGGCGCGAGACATGATAGAGAGGAAAATCGATTTGAGGATTTAAATTTTTTCAACATCATCAATCCGATTACGATTTAAAATCAATCAATTGTGCAGCCCTAATAGATATACTAAAAAGTCCAGCAACAGGCGTCAAACACAACAAACTTTTGCACAAACATGTCAGATGCAGGCGTTGGATCACTCTAAATCTGATTAATTCAAGATGAAGTCAGACGGCAGCCTGATCCAGATGTCATAGGGCGGTTTAAATTTCTTTCTCTACCATCTACTAATCGTTTGACATGTAGTTGATATCTCCCTGAAGACGCTCGAACCCTCGCCACTCGTCCTAAACTCAGGGGTTGAGTAAATACCTCTTAAAATGAATGCTGCATTAAACATGCACCTCATCTATCCACCTCTACTGCACTTTAAAGCCCTGAAACCTGTATCCATGCTGGTGTGTCAGTGTTAACGCTCCACAGAGACCAGAGCTCACAGCAGTGAACTGTCTCTGTGTTTCTGCTTTGTGTTAAGGTCGTTAGCTTACTTTTCTCTGGCGGGCGGCTGGACAGTGCAGAAAACGTCAGGTACATGACGTAACAGCTGATGATGGAGGCTTGGAGAAGTCCTGACCGAGGCTGTTCTGCACAGACAGACAAAGAAAGAGAGAAAGAAAGAAAGAGAGAGAGTCAGGGGTCACTTTAGAGTTTACACTGATTAGATTAAATTAAATTAGGGATGAAAAACACTAATATCTGGATTCATCACATTTTTTATCTCATGTTGATGTTTCCAGTATTTTGCATTTCAGAAGGATTTTGTAGCAGCTGTTCGTGTCAGTAATAAAAGCCAAACATGTGTGGACATAGCAGACCTGTGGAATAGATAATATCAGCTTTGCTCTGATTATTATTATTATCTGCAGCAGCGGTGGTGTCAACAGGGGAAGTGTGCACGACTCGAGATGCACTCAGTGTTATTTCACAGCCGAGAGTCAATGACAGACGCGTAAATGTGTTTCATCGACTCACTCTGCTTCACGCACGGAGTGACGGCTATGAAGGACATGAGGCCGCAGAGTCCAAGGTTGATCCACAGCAGGGCCTTGTTGAACTGGCAGGCGATGGGGTGTGTGTAGTACTTGTACATGAAGGTGAAGGCCATGCAGGCGATTGTGTAGAAGAAGAGAGTGGCGCACGTCACCGCCAGATACCAACGTTTGTTCTCCGCTGCCCCGGTCAACCTGAGAGAGGACAAAACGGAGGACAGAAGGACAGGCTTTGACTCATCTGTTTATTATAAGTCAGTATTATAAAAATAAGATTTAGTTCGACTGATGAAAGGAATGAAAATCGTTAAATCAGAGTATACCCGAGGATTTAACCACAAACATGCAAATCAAACACTCAAAACTAAAATGTGAATCAGATGTTTGGACCGATGCTGCTCGAGTCAGTCTGTGTGACAGGACAGAAGATGAATCCATCATCACATTAGAGACCGTGTCTTATCCAGATGTGGACCTGGCAGCAGTCTGAATGTCTGTGGAGGATCTGAACCAGCCTTTTTCATGACAAACCGGGCTGTGTTCGTACTTTCTCTAACAGAAAAGCGTTTGATGCCCAACATCCCAAATCAAATATATTCCTACTTAGACGTGGGTCATTAGTGCAAAATAAACAGCTAAATCCAAAACCTCCTAACAACTGCAGTTCCTTCGGTGTCCACTAGAGGCTGGCTGCAAAGCACTGGAAACCACATACACACCCATTCATAAGAGCAAAAGTAAACATGTTTCCAGCCGGGTTCTGAAAAAAATGTTTTTGGTCTTTCTTTGTCATTTTATATTATTTCTTAGAAAGTCGGTAAAATAGAGTAACTCGATCTTTTCATAGGCTGATGAGACAGTTTCTACGTTGTGATGAGCACCGTTCCTGAGTGTCAACAGTTATGTGAACGCTGAGCTGAAAGGCAAAGCTCTCCATATACTGGTCAATCTACATCCCTACCCTCACTGATTGTCACAAGCTGTGGGTATTAACCAAAGAAGATCACAGATACAGATACGGTCATCAATCAATCAATCAAATTTTATTTCTATAGCGCCAATTCACACCGGTTGTCATCCCAAGATGACACCCATCCTCAACGAGGACCTTGTATTCATGTTTAACATCACTCAGGCTCCCAAAATATGTTGTGCTTTGTTAAAACCCTACACGGACTCTCCTTTAGGTCAACGAGATGCAAGCGGAGTGTTTGGAATTGTGAACAGCTAAATATACTTGAACCATCTCAGACCAATCTTTGTTTCACTTGGTTACTCTTCTGTCATGATGAAGCTGTAACCCAGATCTGCAACCAGTAAAGCTTGTCAAAATTATCATTCGTTAAAGTGTGAATATGGGCTAGGCATCCTTACACTTTCCATTGAAAAAGAGCAGGTCTAATCCACGCTCATTGTTTGATGAAAAAGGGTTCGGGTCAGGGTCAGGGTAAGGTCAACAGGGGCTCAGAGTGGAGCTGCTGCTCCTCCGCGTTGAGAGGAGTCAGAAGAGGCGGCTTAGGCATCTAACCAGGATGCCCTGCTGGTGAGGTGTTTAGGGCAACTCCCACTAGTAGGAGACCACAGGGAACACCAAGGACACGCCGGAGAGACTATGGCTGTGTCCAAAATGGATCCCTAACCCCTATATAGGTGACTACATGGGGGTTTGCGCCATTTTGAGGGGTGTCCGCAATCTCTGTTATCAATTCCAGTGCCCTATATAGGTGATTAAAAATTTCCCATAGAGCATTGCAAAATGTAGTGACCATCTGATGGTCACTCACCAGTGGTGGGAATCCCGTCACACACTGCATCTTGCCATGTAGTGTCCGAAACCTCCGGTAATTGAGTTCACTACATAGTCAACTAAATAGTAAAATCCCATATGGAGGTTAGGGGTCAGGGATTGAGTGATTCATTTTGGACACAGCATATGTCTCTCAACTGGCCTGGGAACACCTCATGGTCCCCTGGGAAGAGCTGGATGAAGTGTCCGGGAGAGGGAAGTCTGTGCTTGTTGGATGGACAGAAAACCTCTAAAAGTACCTGATTCTGTGTGGACTAGGACCACATGAATGAACACTTGAGAAGGTCTAACCTGCTTATTTCTGAACCTCCTCTGTCTCTACCACTCTTGAAGGTGATGAAACCTGACTCATCCCAAAGGTGCTCTGACTTTTCTGTGTCGATTATGAATTTCTGTTTTCCATGAAATTGGCAGATGACTATTAATGAAGATAGTGATGTGAGGATCTCCTTTAAAACTTCAGAGAGTAGACTTTAACCAGAGCAAACAGGCCTCAGGTAAGACTCTCTTCTTACCTTATCCCGTCATCATTCTTATTGTAAATCTCTATCGCAATATAAACTGACAGAATTATAACATTTTGTGTTTTGACTCTCTGACTCACCAGTTTTTGTTCCAGGTGTGTGCAAACGCTGTGATGAGGATGAGCTGGATGAGGATGAAGGCAAATCCTCCCACCACACCGACATAATGCCAAGCTGAGAGAGAAGAGAAAAAGAGAGAGAGGAGAAAAGGTGAGTTTGATTTATTTCAGGGAAATGAGAGAGGGAGATCAGATAAGATAGAGAGAGAGAGAGAGAGAGCAGACTGCAAATCAAAGCCGAGCTCTGATCTCAGACTTGTATCATCAACAGATTTATTGTTCCAAAACAAAACGAACCCTCGCCGCAGAGATTTACGAGCCAATAACTCAGAGAGGAGAGTCAAAGTGAAGAGGTCGACCAGGAGCAGATCTCTGCTGCCCTCTAGCAGGACACACAGAGAAGTGCACCACCATCCCAAATTCACAGTGAGGGTTTATTCTCAGATTACAAGAAAACACAACAATCGAGGACAGATTAGATCTTATTTACACACTTATAATAGGATCATAGATAATAAGAAACTTTGGTCATCTCTCAGTCCAGATCCAGAGATCATTCAGAAAAACCTTTGGAGAAAATAATAAGAGTATCACAATTAGAAAATTGAAAGACTGTAATATAATAATGAGAAACTTTTAGAAATAGTGACCATATATTTCAAAATAAATGTTTACTGATTAATGTCAGAGTTTCTTTAGTGTCTCAAATTTTTAAGAAGTTACAAAAAGCTGTTTTAATTTTTAGAAACTATGTCTGAGGATCTGGAAATCACACTCTGTCACAATGAGAAACAGAACACTGATCTGGACCTAAAACTAATTATGTAGTCTGTCCACCGGGGGGCGCCAAAATCAACACAGACAGGAAGTTCCTCACTGGCTTGATATGATCTTGAATTATCCCTAAAGAATCTCACAGAATCTCAAATATCACAGATCGGAAACGGCAATTTTAAAGGTTTTGAATGATCCCGGTTCTGGAGACTCGGCTGTTCTGGTTCCGTTGGACCTAACAGCTTCTTTTGATAAATTTAGAGAGTGTTTGTTGATGTGTAGGGAACACGTCTCTGATGGTTTAGGTACCACCTCACAGATAGAAACGGGAATCTCTTATGGCGTCCCTCAGGGGTTGGTATTGGGCCCACTCTTGTTTTATCCACTTGGCACCCTGAGTCTTATTGAGTATAAAACCGAGGTCAATTAGTTGGACTTCTCCTTGACCCAAGACCGTCACCTAACAGATACAGTAGTTCTGGGTCCGGCTCAAAGATATACTGGGTCTGTTTTGTTTCTTCACAAATGAGTCCTGCTCTCACCGTGCAGGAAGGACTCCGTAGGGATGAAGAAGGCAGCGGTACACGTCCCCAACAAGGTGATGAACTTCAGGAACCAGAAACTAAAGGAGGACATGAGGAGAGACAGCAGAAGGGTAAATGTGTTAATAAACAGTTTAATCTGATGTTCAAGGATCACAGACTGAGTCTTGATCAAAATTCCTGGATGCCTCTGTGACTGTCTGCTCCTAAAGAGGATGTCCAGGTTTTCAGTGGGGCACTGGGTCACTCTCTGACCCCCCCACAGAGCGGTCAGAGCTGTAACCTCTGCCAAAGACCCTGAGACCTTTCAGCCACGCTCCCATAAGAGTCTTGAGAGGAGAATTATAGCAGAGAAGACGAGTCGTCCAAATCCTAATCCGGGCTACGTCACCGCTCTAATCGACTGTGATGGAAAGTGTGACATTAAAGAGCTTTAAATAGAGCAGGAGGCCGGCTCAGGTGAGCGGGGAGCGCCATCACTTTCTCTCTTCAGGAAGTATTTAAAGACTTGTGATTATAAAGAGAGGTGAGGAAAAGTTTCTCGAAGGTTCAGGGATGTTACGTGAGAATCTTATCTCCTTTTTGGTGAGCAGAACAAGTCAATATTTGTCTACTTTATAGATTAATTCTTTAAAAACTTAGTGGGAATGTATTTTTGTACACAAACTGACCCGTTGTGTATGAGCGCCCTGAAGTCCTGACTGGACTTTACATCTATGAGGAAGATCGCCATCATCAGGTAGAAACAGGACGTGCCGAAACAGACCCTGTAGACGGCCGAGTATCCCACCAGCATCTCACAGTGGCCGCCGCCGTGCGCCTGGTCACACACCACGTTAAAGAAAGGCACCTGAAACACAAAAACACACACACACTCACACACCTTTTCTGTATCTGTGCGTCTCTTTGATGGTTTGTGTAGTTTGAGTTTTATGGAGCAGAAATTGAACAATAAAAGTGCAGGAACAGAGAAATGATCTTTTTAGACCAGATTCATTTTTTCTCATTTCTTATTGTAAACGTGTTTATTTCTGTTTGAAAGTTGGCCCGTGTTTGATGGGTGTGTATATGGCTTTTGGTGCCTTTGAAACCAGCCCCAAGTGGACGTTTGAGGAATTGCAGTTTCAGCACATCAGCTTAATCTAGGGTGACCGTATGTCCGCTTTTACTGAAACATGTCCTCTTTTTTGGGGGCTGTCCGGCCTGTCTGGGGGAGTTTTGAGTTTGTGTGGCGTGGACTAACTGAGTTAGAAGCACGTAAAAAACACTCGACCCGAAAAACCTTTAAAATCTACCACGTGTGACTCTGTGACTCAGTAGCGTCCTCTTTTGGGGGATTCGGAACATACTCACCCTAGTTTAATCTCTCCAGACAGGAAGTTTCTGTTTTTAGAACTTTTTAAATTGACAGCAGCTGAAGGTTTTACTTGGTTTGACAAAGACACTCTTGGGGATCTACGTTTTTATGACCTCTCCTCGATTGTGTTGGCGTGTTGTTGTTCATGAACGCCTCTGCTCAAAGTCTGTGGCTTTGATACTCACTGCAGTACTTCATATTTTAAAGTACATTCATCTCTGTATCTTCATCTTTAAAGCTGGACAAATCTGAGTGCCACCATTCCTCCCTTTAAATCTTGAAGGACTGAAATCACAACTTTTGTTTGTTGGACGTTGCGCAACTTTTAGCACCAAAAGTCCAAACAGAACCGGTAAGAAACTTTGTGGGTTTTCTGCTCCTTTTGCTTTAAACAATTTAAAACTGTGCAAATTAGTCAACTTGAATTTTGTTCAATTATAAAAGGATAAAAAGTCCATAATTCAGGCTTCCTGTGAATATTTTATCTGGCCTCTTTAATGACTCTATTTATCTCCACTGATTGTTTTGGCTAATTTTGATGGGGGAGCTTTGTGTTTTGAGCAGATCTTCTTCAGAAAAGAGATCTTTAATATCAATACCCTGTGGTGTCAGTGTGGAGCTAAGCCCCCTCGACTCTGACGCCCTAAATTAAAAAAAACTGGTAAAAAAAAGGTTAAATGAACAAACACAAAATATTTTGCATCATGAACCCTCATGTTTATTCATACACTTCTTTGCTCAGTTGCCTCTTCAACTTTCTAATTAAACCATAGTTCTGTTGATTCCTTCGCACAGAATAAGATCCCGTCACACTCACGTTTTCCCTGACGAGCTCAGAGACGGTTTGGGACAGCATGAGGCAGGAGACGGCGCAGCTCATGATGTGGAACAGCGTGTACATGACCCTCGTGCTGGTGGAGGATTTGACTGGAGGACAGAAGGCACAGCAGAGCGTGCAGGGAGCTGGTCCACAGCAGCAGCAGATCTGAAGAGGAGGAGAGGGAGGAAGATGAGGAGGAAGGTAAAGCAAATATGAAAGACATGAGGGTGGAAGAGTCATGGAAAAAGAGACATCTGAAAATACTTTGGGATAAAGTCAAGTAAGAAAACTGACGATAAAACTTCAATCTTGAGATAAAATCATAACCAGACACCTGAAATTTAGACCTGACTGAGACCAGATTATGTCTTTAGTTTCAGTCTGAAAGTCTGCGAGCCGAGACCCCAAACCGCAGCTGTCTGAAGACGTTTGGAGGTCAGCACGCCAGACGACTTGACACAGATAAAGTTTGGCAGAGCAGCAGATTAATCCAGTGAGCCCACCCACATCTGGCTGGTTCTGATTCTGCAAAATCAAGCCCATCACCGCTCATCCTGAACTCAGCTGAAGGACACACATCAGTGCACATAAATCTGGAAACTCTGCAGATTACAGCCTTACAAACAGGAGTTCTCAGCTTTGCTCACTGATTCACAATACGAGGAATCCTGTCTCCATTTTTGTGAATGCGTTTTGCAGAGAAATATTAATAATCCTCACGTGCATGCAATAATCTGACGGATAACCCTGAGGACATAATCCCACAACTTCCCGCTGAACGGAGGCCTGAATGAAAATCGAGCTTCAATCACGTACAGTCGAGCTAAAAATGGTTTGACCCTGTAAGAGATAAAGGATGATCAAATGGACGGATGATCGTTCATCAGATGAGAGATGCTCGCTAAAGTCTAAAAATCGACCTCATCTCTATCTATAGACTAAATCAGGTCAAAAATCACTTATATGAGCTTTATTCCTCTTTAAATGTGCGTTCCTCTGAGCTTTTGGTCCTTTTTTGGATGCTTTTATGGCCGGTCTGTCATCTCGAATCTTGTTTTTGACCTGATTCCTGGGGTTCTGACATAAACATGTCGTCCCATTCATTCCTGATTTTGGATTTCAGCTGCAAGCGGTTCGGAGTCTTCTTTGATACTCAAAATGTGTTCAAAGGGGTACAAGTCAGGAGCGTATCAGTCCAGTTTCAGTCCATCAGTGATGTATACACTACGCCGCCTGTCTACCAAAATACCACTAGACCAGCTGCGCTCCACCTGCGCTGAAAGCTGACCAGGTTTGAATCTGCGAGCTTTCAGCGCACTTTACAAGCCAGTGGTGAGCACGAAAATATCACAATGCCAGCTGATTCTGCACCACCACGCCCAGCTTGGCGGACCTCAGTGCACCTCAGTCCATGAAAATACCAAACTGGCTGTACGCTGGGCTCTGCCAGACGAAAATACCACTGCGCAGGGTCCGCCACCCTCCGCCATGTCGCCGGCGGACACGAAAATAGAGCCCATTGTCTTGATGGCAGCAGATGTTGCTCCTAAACCTGTAGATATTGTTTAGAACTGAGGACGCAGCATCTATGATTTCCAGTTCTCTGTTGAAAGGACAACTGGACTTACTTGAGACGTTTCGCCTTAGGCCAAAAGAGTGTCAGATTTTGATTCATCAGACCTCAGGACAGTTTACAGACAAGTGACATTAAGCCCATGCAGTGACTCCAACTACAGAGTCCTGTTGCTCCTTAACCTGTAGATATAATTCTGCATTATTTCATTATTTCATTAATTGTCCGTTCATAAACTCTGTGGCTCAGTCTGAAAGAAATGAGGTCAAAATTGTCGGATTTTTGTTTTGAATCATATCAGTTCATGTTTGAAGAAGACAGCGAATCAGCTGTTTTATTTCACCAGGTGTTTTAAAAGAATTCTCACTAATGCCGGGTCTGTCCTCCAACCTACTTTGAGGTTGATATCACAAGATTAATAGTATCAAATTTAATACAGTGGGTTATATAGTATGTTGAGTATAGAGGCAAAACAGTTTGATGGATCAGAGACTGTTGGCCAGGTTTAGACGCGTGTAAATGACTCTGTATCTTTGAGATGTAATGTGAGATCCTGCACGTGAAAAACAATCAGAGCATTTTATTCTAATGCAGAGTGATAATGTCCTCGTGCACATTTAACAACTGTCTGTAAAATCAGGATTTATCTCAGGTCACATTGTGCATCATTGTCCAGAATAAAATCCCCTCAGGTTGTTTGTTTGTGCATGATTAAAGGATCTGCATCTTTCCAGGTATACAGCAAGATAATCTGAGAGTTAATCCTGACTGGATAGCAAACTTGATGCAGCAGTGGTCTAAATGTATCTCTGTTCGTATGCAGCAGACACAAAAGTGAAAGTCAAGTTCCTTTTTTTTCGTACAGTTTTACACGTTTTTAAGGATTGGTTTTAACTCTGATTTGGCTTGAAACAGGCTGCCACAGATGTTGAAATAAACTGAATGAATGTTGCCTCACTTCGCTGTCATGACTCCAGTTCCAGAGGTCGTAAATATTAGGTTTAAAGAAAAGAATTATAATGTTAGAACGTTCTGGGGAATTACAGAACAACGCTGCTGTTTTGTTGTTTTTTTGAGGAAATATTGAAGCAGAAAAAATGTTTTAAAAATTTTTTTAATCTAAATTTTATCTAAATGTAGTTTGTTTTCACTGCACAAGCATGGGTCTCAAAGTCACATTAGCTGAGGTGCGAACACAGGGGATCAGGGTTCGGAAATAGAGGTTTAAATACTTCTCCCTCTGAGCCATAACAGTTAACTGCAGGGGCGCAAATGACCTAGTAGTGTATAATTTCCAGCCTTGACCCTTTGCTGCAAATCCTCGCTCACTTTCTAAACCCCAAACCTCCAATCTGATAAAAGCAAAACATCCTGAAATATGACTAAAAAAGCATGCGTGAGTTAAAGAGGCATCAGTAAAATTGAAGAAAACAGACAGACACAGAAACGTTAGAGGGAGGAGGACCTTGTTCGGGTGCTGCTGTTACACCAACAGGAAATACAAACGCTAAGACTTTACTGAAAATGGAAAAGTCAAATTTCATGTGATTTAAACTCGGCTAATGTAAAAACTCAGATGTGAATAATATTGATTATTAGCTGTAAGTAGATCAGAAAGTCTTTCAGCTGTTTAAACTGTATTGAAGAGCAGCAGATCGACTCTCAAGTACCAATTGGAGAGTCTGGATACTGGAGACAAAACATCCCCAACAGAGGTGACATTATTCCAGACCCCCCCAAAAAAACTACCATACTGTTCACTAACACTTAAAGATAAACTGTGAGACTAATGGTTCCCCAAAATAAGAAAAGAGATGTTTGCAGAACCCGTTCCCTTTGTTAGACCGGTATCATGACCAGGATCTTCTCCTGTCCCTCGGCACCTCGTCTTCGATTAACCCCCACCACAGAGCCTCCTGTGACACTGTCTGAACTGTTACTTAATTACCTCCAACACCTTCACAGAGTTTATTTTGACTCACCGTACTGTTGCCCCAAATACTCACTAGAGCACCAAATGTGGATTAATCCACCGCTGAAAATAGTCCCCTGATAGCAGCCTTCCTCTGGTTGAGTAACGTTGTCTAAAAACTACAGATCTGATCTTTTCTCTGAATGATTCAAAATACTCTGAACTCCAGTGGAAAGTTTGGGTCTTCAGAGTTTTTCCTGTCTGAGCCACAGACGGAGCCGAAAAGTCTGAAAGCTCAGAGATTAAGTTGTTTTCTCACTTTCCCAACACGGAGCGTTACTTAAACTCTGCTGGCGTGCATCTCTGAACAATGTAAAGTCTGACAAGAATGAAACACGCTCGTGAAGTTCAGACCTTGTTTTTTCCCCCCCTTTTAAACTCGGCCTTGGTTTGTAACCATGGCTGAGCGTCCTTTGAGTCGTTATCCCGGCTGTATACCATTTCCTACAAGTTTGTAAAACTGCTGTATTCTCTCTCAGGGCCGAGATAAAGACTTTACAGAGTAACTGGAAGGACAAAGACGTGCAAACTGGTGGACAACATGACAAAACTGATACAACCTGATGTAATTTGACATGACTCTGCACAATGTTCTGTATAAAGAGACTTGCCTTACTGCCATAATGCTTTAATGCACTATATCTATCCTAAAGTAACCACGCAAAGGTGTTTGACAGCATGGAGGGTTTTGATCTAGAATTAAATGTCTACGCTGTGTTTGGAAATATGCCTTAATTTGCATCTGGTTGTTTAAAGCTCCTGTGAGGAACGTTCTGTGTTGACTTTGGCGCCCCCTCTGGACAAAGAGCGAACTCACATCGTTGCTTATTTTGTCTCATCCTTGTGAAATTAGTGTTAAAAGACAAAATAAGTCTTCACATTGTAATTTTTCTAAGCATGAATACCTGCTGTTGGAGGCGATAGCAAGTCAGTCGTGTTGAATTGGTACGACTTCACAGTTTCAGATGAAGAGTAAACCACTCCCCGCTGTAAAGTCTGTCTGAAGGCGGTATCAACCCGTCACCACGGAAACGAATTCAAGAGTAAACGTCGTGTTGGGGTGACTGTAAACGCTACTTTTTGAAAACGGGTCAGAAGGTGTATAAATCCATAAACGACGACCATTTCATCTCCGTGTGGATGTCTATCTGAATCTCTGGAAACGATCATGTGACACACAGCGAAACTCTTTTATGGCGCCTGCATGTGTTCGGCCAAAACAACCTTTTTACGCATGCTCTGTACTCTTACAGCGCCACTTACTATCTTGGCAAATACATCGATTTCAGTGGTTTCGTTTTAAGAGACAATAGAAAAACTTTTTATTATCGAAGCGAAGATTGGTGAAGTTGTCACTAGATAAAAAATTGAAAATCGAGTTTTCAGAGAAAAAAATCAGGATTTTGTTCTTGGCCAAAATCCTGCAGCCCTGTGCTGTGTTGTGTTTTTTAAGGGAAGTGTTTTACATTTATGTGACAGTTCAGGTTTACAACCTCAATCTGTGTATGGGAAATAATACATTTATTTAACAATATGTCCTATTATAACTAAAGTTGAGATTTTGACTGACCTACTGATTAAAGTGTCCGTACTTCACATTATTATTATATGATTTAACAGACTATTTTGTCCAGAGTGATTTACAACTGAGAGACAGAGCAACACAAGGAAGAACAAAACTAACTAACACACACACAGGACACGTGCAATGCTAGAGGCAATGGACAGGGTGCACCGATGCAGTCTTTTAAAATAATTATCATAAATTAAGACTTTATTTAACTCTGCGTAAGTGTAAACAACCTCAGTTATCATCCAGATTGAAAATAATCTCCATTTGTAGCAAAGTTTTTAGTTTTGTACAGCTGCAGTTTTTCATTTCCAGGACTGTCACTTTGGAAACTTTAAAACACAAATTCAACTAGTTAGGGGAAAATATTAAGTTGGTGCAATGTCTAGATACTATAAAGGAAAATTAGTCAGTTGTTTTTGTGTCTGAGCTGAAAATAGAGGACAGTCAGCAATCTGAATTTGTGCAGAAAACACCATCTTCTCTTCAGAAAATGTGTTGATTTGTTTCTTTAAATATTTAAGTTGTAAATTTTAAAGGATTTTTACTTCGGTTTTTGTTTTATCAAAACTTTTCCTGTAATCAAACATCTAAAGTGGAAAACTGCCTTCACACTTCAGCTGCATCTTAAATCATCTTCCCCCCCTTCAGGACTGCGTGTCCCATAGAGGTTAATAGACAGAATCCACCTTTATCTGACTGTCAGTCAGCAGCTGCAGCATCTGCCTCCTGCCGCTCCTCAGCTCTCACCTGATAGGCCACCATGTTGAGGAAGTAGTTGTAGACGCCGTTGCGGTTCATCCCCTGCGTGGCCGACATGGTGCCGTTGCGCTGCTTCTCCTCGGCCACCCTCACTCTACATTTGGCCATGAACGTCCAGCTGGAGCAGGTTCTCTCAGCGGGCCCTCAAAGATGGCATCCTCACATCCTCAGTCAGAGAGGCCAGAACTCAAACTTCTCATCAACAGCTCTGTCAGAAAATGAAAACAGAAAGTAAAGCTCCACAGTCCGGCAGCTTGTCCCCGCACACTCCTTATGCTGGATTAGCAGTAAATCTAGTCCTGCTGGGATCCCCGTTGCAGCCCAGAGCCTGAGCATGAGCACCGCTTCTGCTGCTGCTGCCCGTCCAGCCTCACAGGGGGAGAAGTTGTTTTTCTGCCCACATCCTGCGTGCTTTGGCTCTGAGGCCGAGGTGGGTGCTGCCAGAAAAGAGGGAGAGGTGGTGGCCAATGCCCAGTGCCCTCCCCCATACTCTCCCCCCACTGGTGCTACCCGCTCAGATTAGACAGAGAGTCTGTGAGAGGAGGAGGGGGTGAGGAGGAGGAGGAGGATGACAGGGACCATGTGTCAGTCCCATCTGTCCCTCCCTTCCCCTCCCCCATCACCACCACACAAATGCAACAGTTGAATGGGATTGGGCAACACTGGTGTTTAATCCAGATTTACAAAATCAAACAATTAACTCATCTGACTTTAAGATTCCTGATATCTCACGGCCCCCCTCCCGCCTATACTGACCCCCTTCAAGACTTTCGTCCAAGTCTGAGAGAGTGTGGGTCACAGAAAGAGGCCACGTCCATAATCCTGACAAGTTATCAGGCCTGCATCACGACCCAGAAACTCCAAAGTGGGACGGACTGTGAGGATGCATTAGTAAAAGTGCTCACAGATTAACAATAACACAGGCTGCTGGGTTTTTGTGGCTTTAATGGAAAAACAAAAACTAATATCAAAGCTCAGAATAATCACACTCGGCCCTCTGATGGTATTCATTGTTTCTGTGTTTGGGAGTAGAAGTACTCCAACTGAAGTGAAACAGCAACAAGAGCGTCTACAGGACGGCTGATTATTTCTATAGAATTAAAGCTCCTATAGGGAACTTTCAGTCTGTGTTGATGATGATAATTGATGGTAGCTCATGGCCACCCTCATGGGAGCTTAAAAGTGCTGGCGGGGATAGCTGATTAACTGCATGATGCCCAAAGAGTCAAACCAGTGCAGGGTTAATTGTTTTGTCTATAAATGTGACTTAGGTCAGGTGATACAGGTCAGGTGATACCGTGGGAAAGGAGGCCCATTTGGATGCAGCTCACCCATCACTATCCAATCAGCTGGTCCTGACCTGCCGAATGAATTCCTAAAACTCTGGTTTGCGTAAGCCTTAAAACTGCAGTTCCTTAAGTGACCACTAGAGGCTGGCTGCAAAAGCCTCAGAGGCCACATACACACCCATTCAATGAAGGACAGTCAGGGGGATGAAGTCAGTTAGATTCTTTTTTTAACCATGTCAGTTTAGAGGAAACTAAGGTGATGAACTTTGCAATTATAGCACATAAACAAGTAAATAAACAGATCACAAAGTGGACTTTTAAGGACCTTTAGTTGTTTTTCCCACATCTTTTTAATCACTTTAAATTAATTATTTGTTGTGCTGGTGAAGATTTCTTGAATTCATACACATAGATATCTATATATCAGTGGCTAATATAACCACAGCACTTTATATGCTGCTTATTTGTAATAATAATAATAAATTTTATTTATAGTGAACTTTATATTGGGCAAACAATCTCAAAGCGCTACAGACATAAAACACAACAAACAAAACTAAAAAAAACAGATGTAGCAGCAATAATGTGTAGGTTAGCTGCGTTTTGATTGGTCCGTACAATTAAGAATTTGTTTTGATTAATGTGTTTTTTGTGTGTGTGTGTTTTGTCTTTATTTGTGACGTATGTAGGCTATATTCTACTTTATGATCAAATAATTGAAAGAAAAATCTGGTTTGTCCTTTCGTGTGTGGACCTCTTGTTTTTTATCACTTGTTGCTTAAAGCTGAACTCCCTGCAGACAGTGCCATTTTAAAAGCACATAAAGCTTTAAGTCGACTTCCTTTTTTTTTACCCTAAAGTGGGTCAGAGTCTTTATATTAAAAGCTTTTAATTGCTGGTGAAACTCTCGGGTTATTTCCAGTATTATCCCAGCATCAGTGAGATGAAATGTTGCGTCTGCAGGTCGTTCAGAGAGCTGAACGCCGAGGAGAGAGTCAGAGCAGATTTGGGTTAGTGTGCAGGGTGGAGCGGTGGGATAATCCCGCCGCCGCTCAGCCGTCCTCTCATTCAGAGTGACCTTCATCGGCCCAGGCGACACTTCACCCTCTCTGGGTCGGCACAGACTTTCCTCACTGAGGAACAAACGGACCAATCAGAACGCAGCTCACCTCTGTGTCAGGCCTGTTGAATATATGAAGCTTTCACAGAACAGGAGGTGCAGAAAAGTCACATTTCAGGCTCCTGTAACTGTCTCACAAACACACTTTATTCTACTTAAGCTTCTTTAACAACAAACAAGCGTTTACAGCCTCCTCACATGTGCCTGTTTTATATTTATCTGCTCTGAAATAGAAACTAGAATAAATTTCTCCAGATCATGAATGAGCTCAGAGCTGCCGAGTAAAACCAAGAATTACACCAACAGTTAGAGATTAGCAGAGTTATTCTTAGAGACCGTCTGTATCTGCAGACCTGAAGGGGAAAAAAAAAAAGAAAAACAGGCGCCAAAACAGACTCTCGGACTGTCTCGGTTTACCTTCAAGGAACTCAGAGACAAACAGGAGGTCAAACAGGTGGAAAAGTCAGCCTGGTGAACTCTCCGCTAAGAGGCTTGGGTTTACAAACGCAGTGAATGAAGTTTCACTGAAGCAAACAATGGAGGATTACAACAGAGACGAGCTGATGGAGCAACAAGGACCTGCAAGACACCTGAGTCAACCACACCTGAACAAAACACACATGTGATCTTAGGTTCATTATATCAGCAATACTTTATCTGTGCAAAATCATCTTATTGCAGGTCAAAATTAGAATATTTGTGAACTTTAAAACAGTTTCTTAAGTCAGGATAATTGTCTTTAAAAAGTCCCCTGAAGCACTTTTTAGTCATTACAAGCTCTTAGATGGATAAATGTTAAGATAAGGTGTATTTATGGACTTTTCAGCGTAGGGCTCATGTCAAAACTGACCAGTGTTGCTGTAGAAACACATTTGTCCATTGTCTCATGTATTGGCTGCTTTAATATCAAAATAAAAAAGTTCAATAATTGAAAATGAGGTGGGACCTATTGATAAAATGCAACTGGAGTGGACAGATCGAAATAATCCTGACTCCTTATTCAGATGCGGGAACTATCCGTCTACCTGTCTGGATCTCTAATCACTTATTCCTGCTTCGACATTAAGGCATTAACTGTAGCTACTGGATGTGACAAATTTAGGCTCAATAGTCCCTAAAACAGTTTAAAAACAGCCTTTGTCCCAGATCTCATCCCCAGTCCAACCGTTGTTTACCCCGTCCAACATGAGCGGGTGTAAACCAGTAAGTCCCGCTGATAAACACGTGTTGCTGTGAGCGGTCCAGGCAGGGCATTCCTGGGGGCCCTTTTCTCTCCGGGATAATTACCGCTGCCTTGTGGGAGAGGAGGAAGTGCCAAAGAGGACAAACAAAGGCAAATAAGCGGATGCAAATCGCCGCTTGAGCGAAAGCGTTCAATCTATGGGGTTCAGCGAGCTTGCGCAATAATAGTTGGCTGAAGTCCAGGTTTGTGCACAAAAAAGGACAAAAAAAAAGACCCCATTCATGACTCTTTTAGGACTCTACCTCAGAAAACAGCAGGATGACTGTTATAATGTGCGTTCTCTTTAAATGTTTAGATGTAGGTAAATAAATAAAGAAGCTGCAGTAACATATCCGCAGAGCCGCTAACAATAAGAGTCCTCCCTCTTTTATTAACACAAAGCATCTATTCATAACTGAGGCATGACTGAGCGCACAACCTGCTGACAAATTACTCAGAGAAGATTCCACAGATTTCTCCTGTAACACACTAAAACGGCCTGTACTCGGGGATTTGTTTTCCTCTGGTGTGATAAAAAAAAAGAAATCATCAAGAATATTATTTTTCATATTATTTTAAACCAGCACCATTCCTGGTCTACTTTAAAAGATACTTAAGTCCAAAATACAATATATGTTTCAAGAATCTTGTTTGATTGGTCGGTTTTCTACTCTGATTTCAGATAAGCTTTAGTTTACTGCCTTCTAAAGAAACCCCCTCTCTAGAAATGTCTCTTGTTGTGTTCCCCAGGGGTCTATCTTGGTCCCCACTTATTACAATATATAAGTAACACAACAGAAACACAACAACAAAGTGGTTTTCAAGGAAGGACACAAGCCTTCAGTCACAGTTTAGCGTAAAAGTGAATGATCGACTGAAAAATGCCACAATCAAGTCATAGAAAGCTGTACGGCTGAACCACAAACCCCTCCTCTAGCACGGCAAACAGCCTATAGTATGTTAGTATTTTAGGATGGTGGCTGTGGTGCCCCTTCAGCTATAAAGGCCCCCTATCCCCCCCTGGATCCACCCCTGCTGGTTCACCCTGCAGCGTCTCACCTGTGCCTAAAACAGGCGTCCTGACATCAAGTCTGTGAGGCGCTGGCAGCTCTACACACTCTGACGGCCGTCAGTCATACAGCAGGATGAAAGGGTTGGCATGACGACAGCGATGTCCCTCCTGCCCAGGAGCCATTCCCCCGGCCGTCCACCAGCACACACATCTCCCTGTGATGAGACAAAGATCACTGAAGTGGTTTTCTGCTCCGCTCAGGGCTGCAGGCACGAGCAGGGTTTCTGTCCCTGTAATCTGATTATTGGTGGGTGGATTGGAGAAGCTGAAGGGCACGAAAGGGATGGAAAAGTCTGGGGACACACGGAGAATCTGCAGCAGTGGTTTCAGAGCTCCTTGTGTTTAAGAATAAACCTCTTAAAACAAACAAGAATAGATCGAGGAGGACCTGAGGTCCACATAATCCAGTTATTGTCCATTTCTTCTCCTCTTCTCTCTGATAATAACAGCACGCTCATCAAATCAGATCAATCAGAAATATACTGATCTTTGTAAACAAGATTATCAGTCGATGATCCAATAAGATTAAGAATTGAGAAAATACACCTTCAGAGGATTTTCCTGCTGAGAGGCTGAGCATGAGACAAGTGAATACAAACGTCAGAAATATTCATAGACTTTCCAGAATCCACTGATTCACTACGAATCACCCAGCAGCCCTGTGTTATGTTGTTTTTAAGGCAAGTGATGGTTTTTCTTGATTGCTTTAAAGTTTCTGTCCAGAGTTTTTTTTACTGCTTAAAAAGAGACTGATATTAACATTGATGCATCTTTATCAGACCATCACTGACGAGACTGGTAACCACCACACGGTCATTTCTGTTGTCTAAATCTGGTGGCTTGGGGTTGGGAACAGAACAAACAAACTCACTCAGAGCTGCAGAGATAGACTTTTGAGTGTTTAAATAAAACAGGTTGAGATTCTTTGTAATAAAACATGACTTCCACACATACAGGGTGAAATCAGTGTGAAATCAGGGGAGAAAAGGGACCTCAGTGATTTACAAGAGGCTTCAGACCAGCAGGTCCTCACAGGGGCTTTAGGTCTGAAATCAAAAGTCAACTTTCAGATGACTAACTTTACTTATACTGTAGCCAGAGAAACACTAAGTTAGTCTGACAGTCCGATTAAGCGCACAACTGTGTGGATGCCCTGAGTTTACTGTGTGGTAATTGGTTTGTGGTAATTCAATTATTGTGTAGTTTGTTCAAGAGTTCTGCAGCGCATAGTGCAGCTAAGTAAGGACGTGCATTATAGTCCCAACCCTCATCAGTGTAAGACACTGAAAAAAACAATAATAAGTCAGTAATTCATTGCAGTTCTATTTCTTTTATCGGACAGATTTAACTTCATTTGTTTTTTCTTTCAGGCTCTGTGGGTAAAATCAATGAGGATATATTAGGAAAGTACATTTCTTCAATCATAATAGATGGGACAGTAATTCAGAAAATGAACCTTGTTCCCAGTTTCAAATCACCCCCACACCAAGCCGACTGTGTCCTCCTCTGAAGCTGTCACTAGAGCTTCTTGAGCGCTTCTGCACAAAGAGATCTTTGTCTTTCAGATAATTATTCTTAAAGCTCCAGTCAGGAACTTTTGTTTTGTGTCAGTGTTGGCGCCCCTGTAGACGCAGTAGCTTTTATTATTCTCCGCAGAATTAAGTCATTTGAAGGCTTCTGTCCCATATCTCTAATTGCAGCCAAAGCTAATGTAAATTAATTAACCCCCCAAAAGACCTGATCACTTTGTGGTGTGAGTAAATGCAGCTTAAATGGAACTTTTTGCATTTTAATGTTTTGTCATAAGAGCATAACAATGGTGCATTATTGTCATTAAAAGAGTTTTATCCTATTTCAATTATCTATTACTCTGCACTGTCCCCCATCTGGGCCAGTTGCTACATCAGAAATTATTAAGATGAATAATAATACAGTAAAATATATTAAAATTAGCAATCCTGCCTAATGGGTATTAATCATAGACTGTATATACTACGGACAACTTAGTTCCTCCTAACTTTCAAAAACGTAGCTTCACAGAAAAAAGAGGACTTGAGCACAAACCAGTCTTACAGTAACTACATGTCAACATCACAACCAGGGGGGAGAAAAATATATATTCTGTGTAATTAATTTCTAAAGTTTGTCCACAGCTCCATAAGGATTGCTGGAGGAGGCGTGATTTATGAGCTATACTGCAGCCCGTCACCAGAGGGTGCTGTTCTCATGGTGGCTTCACTCAGCAAGGAGGCAGACAGCGTCCATTCTATATACAGTCTATGGTTTTAACACTTTGATTTTGTTTTGATTGTAAAAGATTGCTGTGACTCAGCAGCGTTTCTGAAATAAATGTTTATTAAAATCTACTGTTTTTTTTTGTTTGTTTTTTTTTTTGCTGATGTAAAGTTACTCCTTTTATGACGGAAAATGTTTTTGAAAATCGTAATAAATCCATCGACTTTTATTTCGAAATCTCCAGATTCAACATTTTGGGTCCTACCCTGTTTCTCCTCCGACGTTCAGCGGAACCTTCCTTTTCGTTCCGGCCTCACTGGAGCAAACATGGCGGCCGAGGGAGATGTCGACTTGGACCTGGAAGCCGAGGAGAACTGCACTGGAAAACCGGCAGAAAAGCCTCGGAAACATGACAGCGGGGCCGCGGATCTGGAGAGGGTCACGGACTACGCGGAGGAGAAGGAGATCTCCAGCTCGGATCTAGAAACGGTGAGAGATCCGGGCTAAGGTTCATGTGTGCCGGGAAACATGCGGCCTGTGGGTGCTGTGGGCTCGGACCATCAGCCCCGCAGACCTTAAAATAAAGCATTAAACTGTGAAAAGAGTTTCTTAAGTCTGTTATCTGCGCCAGGAGTCATGAAGCATCTCTCTTATAATGAGTAACTGTGATCTGACTGGTGCTTTACGACTCTTTGCCGTAAATTTAACGGAATATTTACGACATTACTGTCAATGTTTTTTCTTCACTCATTAATAGTCAAATTGAATTGCTCTCAGCTTTGCTTGCTCAGCATTTTCATTTTCTAAAAGTGTCGTTTTCATTGATTGGCTGGAAAAATGTTTTAATTACAGAGAAAACATTCCTGTTTTGACATTATTGGCTCTAATGTGTTTGTGTCCAGTTGTTCTTCTCTGGTTATTGAGATAGATGCTCAGAGTGATAAAATATCTACGTAGATTTAATTAGACAAAATGATGTTTTGAGGGTTTTTTTCTCTTTCTTTGGGTCACTCCCATTCACTGGAATAAAAACTTCAAGATTACAGTTGTTAATTTACGAGAATAAAGTCGTAATAAAATGATTATGATACTTATGATAATGTGGTGCTGATGTGTTAAAAGGTCAAGTATCTCCTTGTTTGAGAAACATACTGATGGACATTTTCAGGAAAGCTCCACGGCTCTTATTTCAACAACATTCATCTTAAACAACGGGCTGGAATGTAAGGAATTGTATTACGACTTTATTTACGCAAGAAATGATTTTATTACGATTTTATGCTCGTTATTAATGACTTTATTCTCGTGAATTAACGACTTTAATCTTGAAGTCTTCATTTTTTACTTAACTGTGGAAGAAAATAACTTTGAGTTAGTTTCATACTTTAGATGTTTGGAGATGTTTATCAGTCAAATCCACCTGAAAGACTCCCTCTGTGTCTGGTGTTGCAGTTGTATTTGGTGTCATGTTTTCTGTAGATCTGAGTTAAAATGTTGATTTTGTCCTCCTCAGGCTATGTCAGTGATCGGAGACAGAAGATCACGAGAACAGAAAGCCAAACAAGAGAGGTAAAGTCAGTCAACCTTAAACTTTTGTTTTTGTCTGCATATAAATCGGACAGTAATCACAGATAACTGATGATAGAGGCAACAGTTCAAATTCAGTCTTTGCAGTTGTTCTCTAACAGGCTGTACTGTGATGTTTGTAAGCAGAGAGGCTGTTCTGGTGCTCACTGTTTTTTTGTTTTCAGAGAAAAAGAGTTGGCCAAAGTCACCATCAAGAAAGAAGACGTAGAACTTATAGTAAGTTATGCTTCTTTAAATATGGATTTATTTCGGTGCTGACACATTAACTTGTATTTTTTTGGGACTTCTGACTCAGGATTTGACTTTTGAAACTAGCGTCTTAAATGATAATTTTGTTCGTGTGTGCAGATGTCAGAGATGGAGATTTCACGGGCGGTGGCGGAGCGCAGTCTGAGGGAACACATGGGGAACGTGGTGGAGGCTCTGGTCGCTCTGACCAACTGAACAAAAAGCATCTTCTCACTGGACTGCTTCACTTTGTTGTTTCTGATCAGGGCCCATCAAGACTGAGCTAAACTCAGAGGTTAAACTCACATGATCTGAACTTTATGCTTTCTTTTTTCTCTTTTATAAAATAAAGGTTTAACTGACTCCTTTTCTGCTCTCAAAGACATTAATTTCTCTCTCTGCAAAGAATAAACAAAGAAATGAAAATACAAATTTAATTCACAAAAGACAAAATTACAACACATCATTGTGGTTTGACAAAAATGAGAAAATAAGTCAAGGAATCTGCATCCTAAATGCAATCTGAGTACAACTCTCTGCTGTAGTTTTCTGGTCCTGATGTGCGTCATGTTTTCAGATGAACGTGATTTCTGTTATCTGCCTCCTCAAAATGCAGCAGTCCTCCAGCACATCAGGGACACTTAATCGATAACGTTTACAGCCAGGGTCCCACATAAAAGTAAAAACCTGTACATTCAAGACAAAAAACAGCTGCTTCTTGATGTCATGGAGGAAACTTAAGTTATTTATCAAGTCCACCAAAGCAGTGAAGTCTGTCTTTTCTTCCTCATCATGAAGTCTGGATGCTGCTCAGTCTCTGTACAGTCTCCGAAGCTGCTCTCTGGTTGGTTCAGCCGGAGCCACTTCCACATTTAGGTCTTCCTTTTCTTCACTGTGGGCCTGTCAAACACGTCCCTCACGCCTGCTGCCTTCTGTTTGAAGAATTTGCTGTTCTGGGCGCTCTCCTGAGCCCAGGCCGAGTCGAACGACGTGGTGTCCTGATCCACCAGGTGGGTGTACTTGGTGCGACCAGACCGACCAAAGTTTTTGACCTTAAGAAGAAAAACAGGACACAAAGGGTTAAAAGAGAGGCTATGAGTTCATTTTAAAGAGGGTGCAAGTGTACTGAGAAATTTTAAACATCATGTGGAAGATCTGAAAGAAACAAGCGGGTATAATCTAGATGACACGATCGCATTAGATGTCTCTTATCACTAAGTTTAGTGTCTTGTGTGAGATATGGTGAAAATTTATACTCTTAAACTTTCAAATTCACGATTAAAACCTGTCTTTAGGGTTGACAAAGTTTTGAAAAACTGATAAATGTGAAAATGAAAAGTTACAGATGAGTAGACGGACCTGGCTTTCGAGATTAAGACTGAGATTTAACGTTAAAATTAAAAAGGTCACACCTCAACCATTTTTAATAAACCTATCCTGCATATTTTATATTAAAGCTCTTGGTTTTTGTCAATTTTTCCCTCTACATGTTTGAGTTAGTTTTTTTTTTGCTGATTTTTTAAAGTTAAATTAATAATTTATTGGAAAGAGTTTCTAAATTATGAGAAATAAAACAGGTAAGAACAAACGGTAAATGGGATTATACTCGTTTTGTGCACTTCTAGTCTTTTTGACTACGTGACTCTGCTACCATCATTATGAACTAGTCTCATTCATGCACATTAATGCAACACCTTTTGAAGTACTAAGTGGTCAGATAAACCAAAATTTCACACGTTTTGGGTTTCTGTTTTAAGTCCATGAGGTCGGTTCAAGAGGTGAACACCGACCAATCTGTGACTTTCTTTGACGCTCGAACACGTTTCTCTATATTGTTCGGTTCCCCACTTGCCACCTGTCCCCTCACAGTCATTACAAACACACGGGTGAAGGCGGCTGACCTGCATGACTTTGGGTAAGATGGTTTTGTTGAAGTGGTCCTCCAGGGTCGGTGCACTGAAGTCTCTCTTGTACACGTCGTCCTCCTCATCCTGAAACAGAAGAGCACATTTACAGTCAGTGATAACCTTTAGCTCAGTCCCTGTAACTGCTGCTTCAATTCACAATAAGATACAGAAACTAAGACGTGGCGAGTTAACCCCCCGTGAATGTACCATGCTATTGTGTCCACCCCCTAAAAGTCGACTGTCAAATTCAGGAAAACTGATTATGTCTGTGCTCACCATGAAGAAAGCTCCTCTGTGGTAGTACTTCTGCAGGAACTTGTATTTTCCTTTGGTGGCTTTGTTGGTGACCTGTTTGCCGTTGTTTCGGAGCTCTACTCTACGCTCCTCCTCTGTCAGGCTGTGGAATCGCTCGATCTCGGCCTTCTCCTTCTCCATCCTGAGGAAGAAAACACTCATTCATCACACATATCCACGGCACTAAAGATGAGAGTTTTTAACGGCTGGTCCGTCTGTTTACTCACACTTCTCGGGCCTCTCTGTCCCTCTTGATGCGTTTCAGCTCTCTGACTTTCCAGGCTTCGTACTCCTCCTCCTCATTCTCGCCATCAGTGTCCAAACCGTCCAGAGCGGCCAGCGTGCGTCGGTTCTCCTCAAACTCCTTCTTCGCTTCCTCCTCCACAATCTTGAGGGTGTAGCGCCGTCGCTCCTCCACCTGCCTCTTGGCCTCGGCCTCCAGCTCTCTCTGCCTCTGCTCCTCTGCCTCGCGCTCTGCCACCGTGACTCTGTCCTTCCTGTGGTGAAAACGCAGTTATTCATAATTCTGATAATTTGGTTTGTCATTAAACTCCAGAATCTGACTTCTTGCAGCAGTTTTAGTTCGTACTTGCGAATGAAGACAGGTTTGAGTCGAGGCTCCGCTTCGTCTTCACTGTCTGTGTATTCTTCATATTCAGACTCCAACTCAGACTCCTCCCCTGACTTCCCTTCCTCCTCCACCTCCATCACCTCCATCTCCTCATTCTTCCGCTCGACGGCTCGCTGACGCATCATTGCTCGTCTGCGCTCAATTTCCTGCACAGAAGCAAACGAGAAAGTTCACATCAAAAAAAAAGGTCCTCACACACCGCAAACTTTAAAGAAAAAAACCTATAACCCTAAAGATCAGACCGAACAGGGACAAACACAGTCAGAACATCCAGCACAGGTACCAACCTCATCATCCACTTCTTCCTCCTCCTCTTCTTCCTCCTCACTGCTCTCCTCATGTTCTGGATGCCATGTGCCTTCATCAGAGTCTTCGCTGCTCTCAGCTACAACTTCAGGCTCAGCGATCTGTCTGTGTCTTGCAAGCCTGTGGAAAACAATCCATTTCTGTTTTTAAAGCACTGTGTCAGAGAAGAGATTATCTGAAATTAAGGTCAGACTTTTAGAACTGTTTCTAACCTTTCCTCCACGTCCTCTGAGACACGGTTGAGCAGACGTTTCAGACGTGGATCAGAGACCTCCTCTTCCTCCAGCTCCACCTCAGGCTCCATCTCCTTTCCCTTCTTCACAAACTGGAAATCCTCCTCCTCTTCATCTGAAGACTCCATCGGCGCATAGTCAGGACGTTTACCCGACACATACCTCTTTACCTTCACCTTCTCCATGGAGAGTTCACCTGAAATGTGCAAAAAAAAAAACTGATCAGCTTTGGGCTACACGGTTTTAACAGTTTAAAGTTCCTGTGAAGAGGGGTTGAAATAAACAGTGATGTGTCTCTACGGTGTAAATAAGACCACTGATGACATGACTGAGAAGTCTTTATTTTCATCATTTTCAAGAGGAAGGATATGCCAACTTGAAGGTGGAGTAGGCAAGATTCTGTTGAAGAAGCATCTTTTTTTTGTGGTGTATACACAAAAAAGCTTTTAATATCAGTCAATAGTTATTAGTTATTGATGAAATTTGGTAATATGTTGATATTGCTCTCTTATGTCTGTGTAGTCAACATTTCAAATTTTTTGAGCAGCCCGCCCTTTCTATATGTAAACAAAGCCATTCTCTGCCACACTGCTCCTTAGTGCTGATTGGTTGTGAGGCGGACGCCGCTCCCCCCCGTGTCGTTCACGAGCCCAAACAAAGTTAGCGTGCTACAATATCGGACAGTAGAAACCAACCAGAAAGTTTGGAAAATTGTCTAAACCTCCTTTGGCCAGGACTGCCGACACAAGCAAGAAAACAAAGTAAATACCGGAGACTCTGGAGGAATAACGGGCGCTTAAAACGGAGGTAGACCGGACAAGAGCTAAAAAGCCGGGTCAACATAAACGATGGGGGACGCTTGAGGATCTTGGTGACCCTGTAACCTTTCTGCTGGACAGGTAAACCGCTTTAACAAAGTAAGACAAGTGTCTGTAACAGAAGTGTTTCTTGTCAAACGGACCTGCTGTAGCGTGTTGTAGCGCCATCGCTAAACTGTCCTCCCTCGGGTCCTGGACTATGTCACTTTATCCTAGTTGTAGAAGTCCTGCAAACATTGTGTTTGCTGGTTGTCTGTTGGCATCTACAGCAGCACCAATGCTTTTGACTTTCACCTTGACTGCAGCCACCAGACCAAAGCAGCAATCGTGTCATCTACTTTTAAATCATCTACTGTTTAGATTTTACGGCATCTTCATTTTCTCTGAGGCAGCGTTTTGTTTATTTTGGGTCTTTTAACCCGCAGAAACACTCAGAACTGTAAACTAGTTCACTGTATTATTAAGTATTTAACTACATTTGTTGTACTGTTGAGTTTAAGGTTTTTTTTTTGTTTGTTTTTTTTTACATTTTTCTAAGTGTATCTTATTCAGTTTGCTTTGTTATTTACTTTGTATGTTAATAAAATGTTGAACTAATGTCTAGTTTCTTTAGTTTATAGTACAGATGCTTTAAAACTGGCAGTTTAAAAAGAAAATCGTGATAATAATCGAGATCGGACGATATGACATAATATATCGTGATCATTTTGTTTTGCCAAATAGCCCAGTGCTATACTATGATATGGGATAAATCTGTATAAATACAATCAAATCATAATTTTTGCACTTTCACAAGTTTCACACATTTCCTACTGTGTGCCACAGAAACTAGAGCTCCTCCAGGGTCACTTAGACCAGATCTAAAAGGTCCAGGTACTGAGTGTTCTGAGTAAGAACCTGGTTTTTCACCGGATCAGAAAACAGAACCAGCTCTGCAATTCCGAAAAGAACTGAGTGAGAACATAAACTGTTTTCTTTTAAATGTGATATGTATTTTTTATTATAGTGAGTGTATAAGGGTACATTTTCTCCTTTACGTCTGTATTTTTTTATCACTTTGAGGATCGAAGTGGAGACCCGGACCAGCTAACAAACATTCACCCACCGCGAGCCTGGGGTCTCACCTTTATCATTCCGGACCGGTACGGCTCCGGCCGTGGACTGGATCGGAGGGAGCTTCATGTTGAGGGCTTCGCGACTCGACATGTTTGCCCGGTCGACGGTTTCACGCGGAGAAAGATGAATTTCGTTTCACCAGGACGAATTCAGGCCGTCGTTGCTACAAGCTAGCGGAAGTTGCACACATTGGTGAATGAACGGACCAGACGTTTTTTTTTCCGTTCCGACCAGCCTAAGGTTCCGGTTATCAAATATTTTCCCTCAGCTGAACAAATCTAACTCGCATAAAATTATTTTTCAGACTTTTTAGACCAATGAGGAAACTACTGTCCGTTTTCTGTTGAACAAGTATAAAAAAGTGAATTTATCTAAGAGAATAACCAAGATTTCAGTAGGCTACATACGGGAACTTTAGGTTCCCAATACCGCCCTTTGGTGGCTAAATATTACCACTACAACTAACCAGCCTGACCATTTTAGTCTATAATACTTTTATACATTTACGGAATATAATAACTGATTTAACAGTAAATAAAACAACCCCAGTTGTGTCACACTACGGTTCATGCATCCATACACGTTATTCCCTCCATCTCCCCATAAAAAGGAGTTAATTTTGATTGTTTTCTTGAGATCTGGGGTTCATGTCAGATGCTCACAGCTAGTAAAGCCTGATATGAAAAAGCACAAAACAAACTTACAAAACTAGAAAGTGGTTTGACCTATCAGTGACCAGCCTATTGATTTGTTTTCCAGAGCAGATCATAAATTATCCAAATGAGAAAAATTCCCCTCCAGTTTCTTGTTGGCACTGATCTTTGTCTCGTTTCATATTTTTCTTATATTTGTCTTTAATACTGTTGCACTGCTCTTTCTAGTTTACTCTAGTTATTTATAGACATTAAATCATAGATTCGGGTATTCTTTGTTTCTTTTATTCCTTTTTCTGTGTAAAGTACTTTGTGCTACATGTTGTGTATGAAAAGTGCAGTATAAATAAAAACTGATTGATTGATTGATTGATTGATTATTTTATCTTATTATCTGTTATTTGTACCCGGTGTGAATGTGTATGTTGTGTGTACTGCTGCTGTTAACAATTTTTATTTCCCCACTTAGAGATGAATAAAGGAAAAATCTAATCTAACCATTATGAAAGATCAGTTTTGTAATCCCCAACAAGCAAAAGTCATAATATTGAGATAAAATGCAAAAAAAAAAGAGATATGTGGATGCGTGCTAATTCACAGCTTCTGTAATCTACAACCATAATAAAACATGACCAAAGTTTTCCTCCGTTTTCTACCAAACAGGATTTATTTCAGTCCTCTTGAGTACAAATGAAGTGCTTTCAGAGCTGGACCTCTCTCTGTTTGAACAGCTCATCCAGCTTCTTCTCCAGGACAGAGTTAGTTCCTCTGAGTCCTCTCACCACCTCTGAGGCCCACACAAAATACTCCTGAACCCGCTCAGGTGTCCAACCTGCCAAACACACAAACATGAGAGTGTTTCAGTCAGGTGACAGATGCATCTTAAGTTCTGGTTAGTTGCATATTTGGATGATCTCAAAGAGCTTGGTTAGAGTTACCTCAAAATAAAGTATGAAAGTAAATGATTCACTCTGAATTATGAACTCAAAGACAGGCCGCCTGAAAGACCAAGCTACAGTAAAAGTTCAGAGGTCCTGACCGGTAGGTGTGCAGCGGTTTAGGTCCCTCAGATTGTACAGTTTATCAGCCAGTTTGACCAGTTTGGCCTGGTGGCTGCAGTGAGGGGCGTGTTCCACCTGCTGACGTTTCCGTTCCTGTTTGGGGAGACTTTTATCATCTGTCACCTCCTGAACGATTCCAGCCACAACCGACCCAAACTTTTCTTCCAGCTCAGCAGGAGAGGTGTCCGTGTCCTCCACCGTGTCGTGAAGCAGAGCAGCCTGAAAGACAAATATCAGGTTAATTAAATATGAATCTTAATCATGTGGCCCTTAAAAAGAAAAAAAAGGTGACTGAGTGCTCAAAGAACCACAAAAAGAAGACAAAAAAACAACAACAGAGGAAAATTATGACATGCCCCATTGATATCTGCTCTACTGACAACATACCTGCAAAACCTGGATGTCTGTCACGCCACCTTCATGGCTAAGAATTCTTGCTACTCCTAAAAAAAACAAAAACACACAACGAGGAAATTAAACAAGAACAACAAGGTTATAGATAATGAAGGGCAGATAAAAGCTTCAGTCACAGTCAGAGAAGGGTTTCATAAGTCAGTATACTGCCAGTATACTATCAGTCCTTTGTGATACTTCCTGAAAACAACACATTTCAAAATGCATGGTTATATTTAAAATACTGTCATGAATCTGGTGCAATAAAAATATTTTATCTCCATTTTCTGATTTTTATTTATTTATTTATCTATTTTTGTAATTCCATGTTATTATCTTTGTTTTGATACAACTTCACTTATCCTTTTGAGAAGTTTCCCTCAAGGAAATCGAAATGGTATTTCATGGTCTTTTATGTTTGTCTGTGAAAATCAACATGAGGCTTCTGTTAAACTTCCGTGTGCCCTGAATGCAACAATGAGAGCCTCAGTCACATGACTCAAGTGTTATTTTTAGTTTGTATTTTATGCTTTATTCAGAGTTAACAAAATTACAATTCAAGAATCAGTTCAATACAGTAATTTCAATATTGAAATAACCTATCTGAGAAATACTTAACAATATGGGAAAGCGACATGTTTAGACAGGGAAGAAAAAAAAACAGTAGGGCAATAAATAAAGTAGAAAGTGAAGAACAACAAGCAAACAGAAACATAAAAGTAACTTAAAATAAATAAAATAATTTATGCAAACATTTTTAGCTGTTCAAATTCTTTAAGTTATCATATAAGTTTTTTTCCGTCAAACCAGTTAACGTTTTAAGACATTTCAAATACATTTTAAATTCGTTTATGAAGACAATAAAAATGGGGGATGATCTCATGACTTTATTCTTATCGATGAAATATTTGGATGGACATAAGATAACATTGCAAAAGAGCTCATCATTTTTATTTGATAGTATTATTCCAAAAGTAACATTATCTAGAGAAATACATTGAGGGAATACTGTAATTTTGTTTAATCCATTTGTGAATGTTAACCCAGAAAGTTTGTGTTATGTTACATGAGAAAAATATATGGTCTATTGTTTCAGTTTAATTTTCACAAAAAGTGCACATGTTGTCTTTTATATTAAATCGCTGTCTGAGTAGTTTCTTTGAGGGAAGGATGTTGTTCATCATTTTATAGTGGGTTTCTTTTGTTTTGGGGGGTATCTGGAATTTCAGAAACACTGATCGTAGTTTGTTGGTTGATTCTTGATCAAATTTATGTAACTTATCATTTTTGTTTTGTCTACCAGGGAATAACTTTACTGTGGGGCAGCTTCGACTTTAGTGTTAATAATGGGAACAGATGAAAATAACCTAAAAAAACATTGACATACTCGCAGATAAACTTTGGTTTCAAACTACTAGGTTATATTACAAGGTTGTATAAAAATATTAATATTTCACAACACGATAAGAGTGAAGGACGATTTTAAATCAGTGCTGTAGACTTATTTTGGTTTATTAATACTTTTGACCTGTTTATTCAGAATGAATCTGATTTTCTGGTTAAATAATAAACACCTGCCAACACAAACACTTCAGAAATCAGCTGTTGACACTATGATAGGACAAAAACTATTGTGAAATTTGTTAAACATCGAAATTTTATGATTTTTCTTTCATTATTAAACCCCAGAAAGCTTGATCTATTCACCCCCGAAAACAAATAAGAACCAAACACTTGTTCAGTGCGAGTTTTCCTTTCACTTCTGCAGTCCGGCAGTTTTACGAGCCGCACCTGAAAGCATCAAATCAGAGTAAAAAGACTCGAACGTACCGATGGGATGGTTAATATACGGCGTTTTATCGGGGTCTTTGCGTCTTTGGTTACGATGTTTCTCTGCAGCAAAATTAACCGTCTCCAACAACAGAACTGCGTCCGAACTCATGATGCCAAACTTCACCGACACCCGCGTCTGTTTACACCATTCACTACCTGGAGTGGTGCGCTACTTTTAGTGTCCGGGGGGGAACATCTGTCAGTGAGATATATTCCGCCCACTTAGCTACGGAAGCAGGCAGTTCCTAAAGCAAATTGAACCCGTGTTTCCTAATGATTTTGTAGAAACTCATAGTTATATCACCGTCTGATATTGGAGACTCTTTTAAAATGAGGTTTTAACCAATGTCATCTTCCTGAAGCGTCTGTAAGCCTTAAAGATTGGCTCTATATTGAGGGTGTGTTTTTAGCCTGAAAGCTAACCCAGCTGCTGGATTAACTGTAAAACAGATTTGTCCTCTTCTCTGCTTCTTTGGGATGTTTTTGCTCCTCTGGCAGTAAAAAAAGTTATATATTTCTACAGTTGTTATTGCAGAAGTATCTTAAATTCGGTGCAGGGAGTTGTCTCGGTCGTGTTTGTCTCGGTCGTGTTTGTCCAGGATGGCTCACAGTATCAGGAGAGACTCCCCGGAGCTCCCGGACTTCTCTCTGCTGAAGAGGCTGGCCAGAGACCAGCTCATCTACCTGCTGGAACAGGTGAGAACGTTTTTACCTGCCTGAATTTGGCTCGGTCTACTGCCATTTAGTTTCATCTGTGGACGTGTGTCTGCCGTATAAAAGCTTAAAACCTGTATTTTTGGACCATAAACTGAACAGTCTGCTGTGGAGAACCTAAACTTCAGACTTTATCATGTTTTTAATAATCAAATTAATGAAAAGACTGAAGCAGCTGTTATCACACAGGTGTTCCGCCTCTGACCACACCCCTAACATGACGTGACAGCAGGTAAAATATGATTAATTCAAGGACAGGAGTCTGATTTCTCAGTTTTATAAAGCCACAAGTTTCATCTTCTGAGTTTGAGCCCATAGGGCTGGACGATATGGGAAAAAGTTTGTCACAATATACTTTTTATTCAGTCAATCATTCAGTCTTTATTTATGTCGCAATTTTCATACACAGCATGTAGCACAAAGTGCTTCACACAGAAAAAGGAATCAAAGAAAAAAGAATACATAAATCTACCCTAGGCCAACCCCTCATTCCCACCCCACAATCTAATTACAACAGAAACAGAATTAAAACGCATAAACTTAAAAAGGGCTTGATTTCATGGAAACAGGAGTGTGTGCACTGAGGAAACGTCATTTTAAAACTCAAGATAAGGAAACACTGTAGGTTTATGTTAAAATCTAAAAAGAAGATCATATGGATAAGAAGGGCCAAAGCCATTAAGAGCTTTAAAAACCAATAAAACAACCTTAAAATCGATTCTAAAAGAGACGGGTCGCCAATGCAGAGACCTTAAAATCGGTGTAATGTGATCTCTGTTTCTGGTCCTTGTTAACATCCGTGCAGCTGAATAATTATTTTTCATATCAGTCGATATGGATATATATCCCACTATAAAAAAATCACTCGTCAATCTTAAATGTTCCCTGTTTCTCTTAAATGAAATTTAACAGTGTTTATTGGTGGCATTTCTTTTGCAATACATTAAATTACTGCATCTGTGAGGTCTCTGTGTCATTCATTCATTCATTCATTTATTCATTCATTCATTCATTCATTCATTCATTCATTTATGTTCATTGGCTGTTCATATTGTCTATCAAAACATGGCAGAATGCCGACTATCAAAAAGCATATTGATCATGTTTTATACTGATATTGAGGGAAATTAATTTTTGATATATATGTCGTTATCGTTTTATCGCCCAGCTCTAATTGGAAGGTTATAAAATGGTAATAAATGAAAAGTAGTAGCGTGTCACCAGTTTGAAGTATTTCCATTCATTTGTATTATTTGATTATTTTGCTGTGGGTTGTTGTTTTGTTTTATGTTACTGCAGAGTAATGTTTGATATCATAGGCGTAGTTATCAATAAACTGACCGTTTATTTTGATAGCTTGTCAGTTTTACTCTGGGTGTGTGTAAATAGATGGGAAGGTGGATTGAAGAGCACTCAGGTTGTTTGTAGAGACCTGTTTTTCTTGACTAATTACTGATTTAACTCCTCCTTCTCTGTTGTGGCCGCTTGATTTTATGTAACTTCTGCCAATTCACTTAAACCTGCCAATGACTGTTTTCCACCTGCTGAAGTGTCTTTGGCAGGATACCTGACCCCCACCTGCTCCTTAAGAGGATTAGTCAAAGACTGATTGGCTCTTTACAAAGCAGCCTCTGCCATCGGTGTGTGAATGAGTGAATGTGACCTGTGAGTAGTCAGAAGAGTGGAGGATGAGCTGTTTAAACACCATCAGCCCTTTTACTGTAATCAGAGGAGACTGAAGAAATGTTTTCTTTAAGTGGAGAAATGTGTAACTCTCATAGACACAAAGTAAAGACAGTTTTTACTCTGCAGGGCTCACGCAGGTCAGAGATGTTTCAAGCAGATTTGATCTTCATCAGACTGTAGTAACATATTTATTATACAGATATTAATTATTATTGCTGAACGTGTCATTTAAGTGTTACAACAGAGAGACGATTTCACTCGCATGATTTCATTTGTTACCTTTTGTTTTATGTGCAGATACAAACGTTTGCTGTGACTTCTATGAGACCGATGTAGTAATCATAATCTGTAATTCTCTGGTCTGAATAAAAGATATTTGAGTGTTAACATAGGAGTGCATCTCAGTCAGACGGCTGTTTGAAGTCCCTGGATATTCACAGTTGTTTGGATAAAGGAAATTTAATGACTCAGAGTGTCTTTGCTACAAACGGCTGAAAAAAAATCCTGAATGATCACAATCCTGTTTCAGCAAAACCACAATTATCTTTTTAATTTTAACGTGCTCCCATCTTGTTTTCTGTCGTCACACAGCTGCCAGGGAAGAAGGATCTCTTCATTGAGGCGGACTTGATGAGTCCGCTGGACCGTATCGCCAATGTTTCAACGTTAAAGGTAAAGTTCCTCAGGTCCCGCTCTCCGGACTCCTGAGTTTGACAAAAATGTGTTTTTAAAAATCTTCTTTATTTTTTAACAGCAACACGAAGTCGATAAACTCTACAAAGTGGAATACAAACCTATAATCAGCACAGCAGACCAGTGAGCGCTGCGCCCTTCAGAACATTAACACACATTCACACTTATATATTTATATATATGATCATGTGCTTTTACTCTCCTGCAGGCTCTGTTTCCTGATCCGGCCCAGAATAAAAACAGTGAAGTGGATTTGTGGTGAGTTGAGCTTCATGTTTTCAGTTTCAGTTCAGTTTGTTTTGCAGCAGTTGATAAACTGTCTCTCTTTTGTTCCAGATGTGGCCAACGCCGACAAAGCTGCAGGAAAACTCCGAAGATACAAGATCATCTTTACGCCTCAGAAGGTGAGACTCGCTCTGCTGCTGTTTCTGCTTTAATTCGATCGTTTCTTCATATCCACCTGCTCTCCTCTCTGTGTGGTTCAGTTCTACGCCTGTGAGGCGGTGCTGGAGGAGCAGGGCATTATTGGCGGTGAGTATCTTTTCTTTCCTCCTTTTATGTTGGTGACAGAGATCACAGTTTTTTTTAAAGGACCTGTTTTTATCTCTCCACAGACGTGACCACCGATGAATGGTCTTTCTACCTTCTTCCTCTGGACGACGATATCATCAGTCTGGAGCTGCCCGAGTTCTTCAGAGACAATTTCCTGGTAAAGAATCAACCCAGAGTCTTTCACATGTTTTTAGAAAGTTGGTGAACAGAGAGCAGAGTACCAAGACGGGAAAAAGGGACACAGTTTCCTTCTGCAATCGTGAATGTTTTTGGGTTGTTAGAGCTTCATATGATGACGTGTTTACAGAAGAGTAACCAGAGAGAAATGAAATGAGAAAGTGGATGAGATTATCAGTGAGCCCCGGAACAGAAACTTCCAAACAATAATAAACACGAAGGGTTTCACATCTAACTTATGTAGTCCTGAAGATCTTCCTGTAACATAAATATCGATGACCACAAGCAGGAATCAAAACACCAAAAACATATTTATCTGCAGACCTGACCTGACAGTCTTCCCCTCATAGAAACAATGTTGTGAACTGCTGAGTTTGAACCCTTCTTCTTTTCTCCATCACCTCTCAGGCCGGGGATCAGCGGTGGGTGAGGACGGCCGGCAGCGCTCTTCACCTCCTCCACTCTCTCTACGGCCCGTTCTCAAAGATCTACGGGATCGGACGATGTTCAAAGGTGGCGCTCTCAGACCCGCCGCCTCAGCTGTCCTCGGTTTGTAACTGAGCACATGTTGAAGTATTGAGCTGTGTCCGTGTCTTTGGTTTCAGATGGCGTACGAGTCGTGGAGGGAGCAGGTGGAGGAGGGCGAGCAGAGAGCTCGTCAGGCTGAAATAGGAAAAGTTTTTCTAATCGACAGAGGTGGGCAGCAGACGGGGAATCTTCAGTGATACTGAGCCGTGGTTTCTCTTCCCTCCTGACGTTGTCTCTGTCTCTGCAGATGTGGACTTTGTCACCCCTCTGTGCTCACAGGTCGTCTACGAAGGACTCGTGGACGATATATTTAGAATAAAATGTGGTGAGTACGGGAGAATCAGCAGAGAGTTTACCGTCCAATAAAAAGTGCTGGAGGATGAAGCTTCAGTTTGTTTTCACGTGTTTCTATAATGAAGAAAATGTGTTGATCTCAGACTTTTATAATGACAGTGTAGTTGCAGACTTTTGCATGTTAACGCCTGGTCGTCTCCTCTCTTCTGCAGGATGTGTGGAGTTTGGACCTGATGTTACCTCCTCAGACAAAAGTATCAAAGTCATGCTGAACTCTCAGGACAGGGTGGGTTGTTTCTCCTCTGATGCTGCTCTCTCCTCACGATCATCATTTTAAACTCTCTCTCTCTCTTTCAGGTCTTTAATGAAATCAGAAATGAGCATTTCTCCAACGTCTTCGGCTTCCTCAGTCAGAAGGCGAGGAATCTCCAGACAGCGTACGATGTGAGTGAGTGTTTGATACTCCGTGTTCGCGGTTTCGGAGGTTACAGATGTCGTTAACACGTTTCTCTTTTTATGAATCCCACAGAAACGGCGAGGGATGGACATAAAGCAGATGAAGACGTTTGTGTCCGAGGAACTGAAAGGGTTAAAACAGGAACATCGACTGCTCAGTTTACGTGAGTTTGGTGACATAAATCAGACTCACTGTTCAGGATTTAGGGTTTTATTCCAAGGTTTCTAAGGAGCTCTCTCTCTCTCTCTCTCTGTCTCTGTCTCTCTCTCTGTCAGACATCGGTGCCAGTGAATCGATAATGAAGAAGAAAACAAAGCAGGACTTCCAGGAGCTTCTGAAGACTGAACACTGTAATAATTCTTGATTTCTGCTTCGATAAATCTGTGTTATTTTTGTTTCATGCTAGTTTGGTGATTTTTTTTTTGCTGATCCGTTGTTTTTCTTTTGTTTCTTTTCCAGCTTTACTCGAAGGATTCGAGATCCGTGAATGCATTTCTTTCATAGAGGAGCACATCAACAGACAGGCGAGTTCAGGTTAACACTCTTATAATGAGCAGCTCTGAAAAAAGCAACAACATCGTGAACGTGTTTCTGCTCTCTTTAGGTGTCCATGATCGAGAGTCTGAGGCTACTTTGTCTTTTGTCCATCACAGAAAATGGTAAGAAGTCACTTTAATAGACACGGTTGTATAATTCTCTCTGTTTAACTGTAATGTTGTTGTTTTTTTTCCTCACAGGCCTCCTGCCAAAAGATTATCGGTCATTCAAAGCTCAATATCTACAGGTGAGAGTTCATATTTAACTTTTTTGTACACACTTGTTTCCATAAATAAACATTTAGACTAAGATTACGGCCGACTGAGTCTTTAAAACTATATTTTAAAACAGTTTTCGGATCAAGTATTAAAATTAAGACATTGAAAAAATACAGAAACTTCACTTTCCCTTTCATGACTCTTTGCTTGTTTCCATTAAAATTGTTTCCCAGGTGTAAATCTGTTGATGAAATGACATTTATATCTCAGTATATTAGCTACAAATCCTATTATTCAGTGAAGATCTCTCTGTCTCCTCAGAGTTATGGAGTGGATCACCTGCTCACATTTGCCAACCTGAGGCAGCTGGGTCTGCTGGTGGAGCAGCAGCCGGGAGAGACGCTGACAGTTATGGAGAGCAAAGTGGGCAAACTGGTCAACGACAAGACTGCAGGTGAAATCTCGTATCCTGAGATTTGATTTTGTGATTTCCAAAGACGTCAGATTTTTAACTGTCTTTTTTTTTCTTCCAGGGAAGCTGACTGATGCGTTTTCTTCTCTGGCAAAGAAGAGCAATTTCAGAGCTCTGAGCAGAAGGCTTAACCTGGTAATTTATACTTTTCACTTCGATCCAAGAGGCTTTTTCAGCATCTCGCTGAGGCTGTTATTGATTTATGTGCAGGTGCCAAAGTCAGACGAAGAATACGACCTGCGTGTCCCTCGAGACATGGCTTATATTTTCAGCGGTGCCTACGTCCCTCTGAGCTGCAAACTCATCGAGCAGGTGAGGAAACTGCTCATGGTCAGATGATCCACATGGATCAGAAACTGTATGACAAACTACCAATCTGAAATCATCACTCCGGCTCTGATCCTCTGTAGGTGCTGGAGCGAGACGGATGGACGGGACTCGAGGAAGTCACCAGGCTGCTAAATGGGCATGAATTCGCTGTTACAGGTTCGATAAAACAAAACAAATGAATGATTTTAAGATGTTAAGTCCATGAAGTATTCACACGTACTTCATTCTCAGGGTTTCTCTGTAGGACTTTCTAAAGCTTTTATTGTCCTGGAGGAGAACCGTCTCTCTGCTGTGTGTGATAATGTGTTTCTTATTGACCTTTTACTATTTAAGTATCATGAAAAAAGCCTCAGGCAGAAGTACTGCGATCGCAGAGTGATAGGATGAAACTAAAGTGATTTATGATGACTTTCACTTGGGTTGATGACACCAAATTGCATGCAGTACTGAGCATGGTCTGCAGTTTACCTGCATTTAAACACACAAACTGTTCAAACCTCAAACATAAAAACACATCCTTGCGTTTGGATTTTGTTGAATGCTTAAGTTGTCGTCCCTCTTCAGGAAGCAACGGAGTTGATTTAAGAGGCAAAGGCGATGCTCAGCGCATCATCCTCGTCATGTTCCTGGGCGGCTGCACCTTCTCTGAGATTTCAGCTTTACGGTTCCTCGGCAGAGAGAAAGGTAAACACGGTCTGACCTCTGATCAGAGGTTTGAAGAAGCAGTTTCATGAAATCTTTCCACAAAAATCATTTGGAAAAACTTTTACATGTGTAAGAAAATTTATGAAAAATCTGCCCAATGTACCGTGCAAAAAGGACCTGAAAGTAGGTTAAAGTTTACGTTTGTTCTCTTTGTTTTAGGGTATAAATTCATCGTGGTAACAACCGCCATTACAAGTAGTTCAAGGCTCATCGAGGCTCTGCTGGACAACCAAGTATGAAGCCTGTCAGCCCCTCATGTTGGACAAGAACAGAGACATTCCTGCAGACACATGTCATGCATTCCCTACAGCGCTGACATTACTACAGATGAAATGTTCCCGAACGGTCTGTGGCTGACACTAAATGAAATGTAAAGATGTATAAAGTGAATAAATGTTTTTATCACAATCTTGTTGTTTCCTTCAGTTTATCCTAAAGTAAGTGCTCAGTTTCTTCAGAAATGTCCTTTATATGAACTTTGCTATAAAGACAGATAACATGGTGGTGAAATCATGGAATATTTTACAGTACATGTCAGGGGCTGAGAGACACAAAATTAAAGAGAAATTAAGTTAAACACTAGTTTGACACTGAGAAGGGCAATAAAAGGATCAACATTACAATGATGTGAGTTCAGAGTTTGAGAGGGGGCTTAGTAATATTGATTGATTAAAGTTTATTTTAAACATATAGAAAAATAAAGTAAAGAATACCACAACAAATGACAAAAAGTTATACATAATGTATAACTGCATTTTTATGTGTAAATGGTAGTGTTTGTTTGTTATGGGCTGCAGCCTGTAACTGTCATACAAACCAAATTTGCAGATTTATTTATTAAAAGGTGGAATTTCCAGGAGTGTATTTTATCTTTCTCCCCCCAAATATTGCAGTTAAAAGACAGCTAAACGCGGTTTGAATTCTGAGTAATGTCCTAGTTTTTAATAATTACTGACACAAAAGTCTCGTTGTTGGGCTAAGTGTCTCCGAGGTTTCACCACACCCTTCATGAAACTGTGGGGTTCGTTTCATTCACGACTTGCTTTTTCGATGGGCGGTCCCCTGATTTGGTTTTAGAGCTACCGATAGGCGGCGGCGGTTTGACACAACAAGCGCACTCGCAGTAGCAGCCAATCAGAGAGCAGAACGCAGCTGTCGCGTATTTTGAACTGCGAGGAAGAAGCAACGGACTGTTTGGAGAGCAGACAGACGGGGACACTCCACTCGTGTTTTTTCCAAGTTTCTGTTGTTTTTGGTCTGTTTACTAAGTCTGAGGCTCAGTGTGGAATTAAAACATGAGGAGGAGGTAAGATTAAATCGTTCTTTTCCGGACATGGAGACATATTTTGTGAAACTACATTGAATATTAGCTGAATGGGGTCGTCGAGGATCGTTAACCTTTCATTCACTTTGACAGCAGCGGGTAGTTAACTCTTAAAGTTGTAGTTATCTCAGTCTAATGAGTGAATTTAATGTATTTAATGAATTTTAAAACTTTTTAGTTAACTTAGAAGCCTGATAAAGTGTTTGATGGTGTCTGCTGTTCGGCTGTATGTTTCCACAGTGAGGTGCTGGCAGCAGAGGCGGTGTCCTGCCTGAATAAAGCTCTGATCCACCTGAAGGACATCTGGGAGGAGATCGGGATCCCGGAGGACCAGAGACTACAGAGGACTAATGTTGTCAAGAACCACATCAAGGTGAGACCATCAGGAGGACATTTGACTTTTGGGCAGATTAGTGCAAACGTGTGGGTGCATGCTGGTTTTATAATAATAATAAAAATAATAATAATAATAACAAACGTGATTTATGTTGAACCTTTCAAGAATTAACCCTGTAATTTACGAGTGACCATCTTCAGTTACCTTCTAGTCATCAGTCTCACATCACTTTTAGAGGTCTGAAACTATGGAAAGATCTGGATGTATCTCTAAAATCAATATCATCCCTCAAGTCCTTTAAAATATCATTAAAATCTCATCTGATCGTGTCTTTAACACATCATTATTTGTTATGATCATGTTTCTTTCCTTTTTATGAATGTTTGATAATGGCAATTTGTATCTGTTTGACCTTTCCCTAATCATGGTATATTTGTAACCTGTCTATGTCCGAGTTACTTTGTCGTCTGCACCTTATGCTTCCTCTGCCCTGACGGGAATGGAACTTTGTATAAACGTATTGGCTTCAATACAAATACATTAGATAGAATAGTTGACAGTGTCTGCACATGTATAATACTTATGTGTTTCCCTGTTTGTTTACCAGAACTTGCTAGAAATGATGATCAAAGAGGAGGAGGCTCTAAGGAAGAGGCTGATAAGCAGCATTGAAACCTGCCGAGCAGAGATGGAGAAGCTTTGCCTGGATCTCCAGCTGCCTCTGTTTGAGGTAAAACAGGTTTTCAGGAGAATCTTTCTGTTACTGTTGTTCTGAATTTACCCGCTCATGTCTGTTTCTTTAAAAGTTCTTTTCCACTCTTGGAGCAGTAGTCCAAAGAAAAAACCTGAGACAGTGGTTTTGTTGTCTCCTGTCTATGTTCAGGAGGAGAGCGGTATCAGCATGCTCCAGCGGGAGAAGAACATCCGCACACAGGTGGAGGCTCTGATGAAGGAGAAGAACCAGCGGATGCAGCAGCTAAAGGCTCTTCTAGACCAGGACCAGGACCTGTGTGACATCCTCTGCTCCATGTCTTATGGTATCGCACCGGACTCCGTCCCCTCAGTGGAACAGCTGGAGAACTTCCGGCAGCACATCGCCAACCAGAACGAAGAGAAGGTGGGCTGGATTATCTGCTCTTCTGGTTTGATAAAGTTCATATTTTCAGCTCACGTTTAAAGGATTTTTACATCAATATGATTGAAATGAATCTGCTGTATTTGAGTTTGAAGTCCATCAGATGGCTCTAAGGTCTTAGTAGCTCTTGTTGACTAACATTTTTGTATTTGAGGCAAGTAGGAACTTTTGGGAGTGAAAATATGAATTGAAAAAGGTTAGTCATACATCTCAGGGCTGTTATACGGATCGCCCTCTTTCCATATGATCATATTTGAGCTATATTAGAGTCTTGGTGTCATTTTTAGAAAGTTAAACAGATGATGGAATGACCAGCCTTAGTGTTGTTCTGCAGCGAAACACTGAAAAATGTGGATTATTAATAAAACAAACTTTCTTACCTGGCTTATATGAGAACAAAAAAAAAGTCATTCAAAGGTCGACAAAGTGACTGCACGGATTTGAAGATGTTTTGCTTCTCATGTTTCAGGCGAGGCGTTACGCTGAGTTCACAGAAATTAAAAAGCAGATCATCTTACACATGGAGGAGCTGGACCACATCCCTGAGACCAGCTTTGAGAAGGACGTGGTCTGTGAGGACGAGGACTCTTTCTGTCTCTCCAGAGACAACATCACTTCACTCAAACTGCTCCTCTGTCAGGTGAGGGTTTTGGATTTAGTGAGATTATAAATCCTTGTGATAAACTTCTTGGTCCGAGAGCTGACCAGCTGATTTTTTTATGCTATATTCAGTCCGATCCAACGTGTGAAATAAACAGTTTTAAGTTTGACTGAGATGGTTCACAGTCACAGCTCAGGCAGCAGAGATTGAGCAGAGATAATCAGTGACGGCGTTTTCATTCCACAGCTGGAAGAGCGAAAAGCCGAGAACGAGGCGAGGTGTGAAAGTCACAGGGAGAAGATTCAGCAGCTGTGGGACAGACTGCAGGTCCCTCAGGAGGAAAGGGCAGCCTTCAACGAACACATGGTCACATCCAGGAGGAGGAACCTAGAAGCGGTGAGAGCAAACTCGCCACCTGTGCTCCTGATTTCACCCACAGTTATTCTCCCAGTTTCACACTTTTCTGGTCTTTTCTCAGTTACGAGCAGAAGTTCAGCGTCTGGAGGAGCTCAAACTGCTCAACATCCGAAATGTTACAGACGCCATCCGCTCTGAGATCGCTGTATTCTGGGAAAAGTGTTTCTTCAGTATCGACCAGAGGCAGGATTTTTCACCGTACTTTAGCGGTAGGTTCATTTGTTCGTCATCTCAGCTGTTTAAATCTCTAAGAACACGTCGCGTGTCAGGTGTACTGAGACATCTATCATCTGATTTTAGAGGATTTTACTGAAGAGCTGCTGAGTCTGCACGATGCTGAGATCCAGCGCTTGAAGCAGCACTACGAAGATCACAAGGAGCTTTTCGACGGAGTTCATCAGTGGGAGGAGAGCTGGAGACTCTTCCTGGAGTTGGAGGTGTGTACGCTCTGAGACGAAAAGAAATGAGTAAACATCTGAAGCTTTATTGTGGCACAAACTAAGAGCTATAACAGCATGGATTCACTTTTTTTTAACATTTTTTTAACCTTCTTATCCCAAGAAAAAAGCTACTGATCCGACTCGGTTCACTAACAGAGGAGGAAACCTTCTCAAAGAGGAGAAGCAGAGGTCCGAGCTCCTGAAGAGCCTGCCCAAGGTCAGATATCAACATAGATCATGAAGTCCTAGCACTAAACTTATTTTTCTTTACAGTAACTAACTGATATGTGTGTATGTGTCGTTTCTCCTCAGTTGGAGAAGAAGCTGAAATCTCAGATCGACACGTGGGAAAGTGAACAGGGTCGCGAGTTTCTGGTGAATGGACAGAAGTTCCTGCAGTACGTGGAGGAACAGTGGGAGCTGCACAGAGTAGAGAAGGAGAGGGAGAAGCAGGAGCGGGTAAAGCAGAGAGCTTGTTGAATTATCAGCTGATCCTGTTTGTTGTCTGAGGAACACGCTGACACATCTCTGTGCAAACTCCAAACAGCATCTGAAGAAGAGCAAACAGACAGAGGTGGACATGCTGTACGGAACCACGGTGCAGACTCCCACCAAACGCAGGTTCCTCGGCACCACCACCCCGAGCAAAACACGCAAGGTACAAACCCGCTCTGTTTCTTACATGTATCGGGTTTGATACTAAATCATTCGTAGGTCGTCTGGCTCTTTGGGCTCTAACCATCTTTACTCTTCTGTCAGTTTAACGCCACTTCCAGCATCTCTAGCGCCACCTCTAACAGCACCATGCGCTCTGCCTTTGGTGGAACCGTCTGCCGCTCGCCTGTGCCCCGTCCACCGCTTTCAGTGAACAAGGTTGGTAACGCCTTCAACGTGTTAATTCGACAACCATCCGTGTCGATGAATCAAAAGCTCAGATTATCCCAGTCGCTCTTTCTTGGGAGAGTTCTTTTTGCAGTTAGTTTTTTTCTTCTCTAACCGGTACTCAAACATCTGAACACTATCCTTCTCTTGTCTTGAACTCACTGGGATTGGTCAGGAAAGTGAGGCGTACTGCTGCTGAACTCAGCCGTCTACTCTCCAGCTCTGATTGTGTTGGATAGAGATCTCTGGACAAAGTTGTTTCCTTGAGAAAACTTAACAGAAACTCGTCATACTCACGTTTCAAACACCTATAGAGGAGTTCTATATGATTTGCAGCTCTAAAAACTCCTCATCTATCTTAGACTGAAATCTGTGAAGCTCCCCATTATGTGTTTTATAACCTCTTGTTAGCTAAGGCTCTCCTTCACAACCAAATGATAGTAAAAATTATGATTATTATTATTATGAGCCACTTTTTGGCACACAAATCACAGATCAATGTTTCTCCTGAATTAATTTGTGATCCATTAAACAAAGGGGAAGGTAAGACGCCCAGTTCAGTCTTCAGCTCTGAAACTCTGATGCGAGTCCCATGTTTGTCCCTCAGGCTCCAGCACCACGAACGCCGGGCAGTAAGCCCCCCCACCCACGACTGCAAGGCTGCAACAAGGAGAACGAGCTCCGGCTGAAGGGGTCCCCTCTGAGCGGTGGGTTGCTGAGCGCCGCTAGTCCACAGCGTAACTTCAGCATGACCTCTGTTGCCAGCACATATTCCGAGTTTGTGGTAATTGAAAGTTTTGTGTTTCCTCTCTCCTCTCCGCACGATTGTCTCGTTTCTGTGCAGTTACTGATTGACGTTGACTGTAGACGTCTCAGATGATGATCTAATGACCTAAATTTATATTTTAGAGGGACTTGGTCAACACTGAATCGGTTCAGTCAAGGTGTGGGGGTTTGGAATCCGTACAGCTAAGTGTTAATGTGACTAATCCCTCTATTACCCCTTTACCGCAGTAACTGCACGGCTTCAATCAAGAGTAATTTTAACCTGAATTACCTGAAGGATGTTTTTAGTCTGAAGAAAATCAGTCCTACACTGGCATCAAGATTAATTTAGGAGCCAGCAAAGCCATGTGAACACGTCCAGTCCAGTTCAGTTCAGATCAGAAGTTGTGGGTTGTACAACAGCAGCACTAAAATTAATGTTGCTTTAATTTGCATGAAAGTACAGAACTTTTTGTTCTTACTGTAATTATTACTGAAACATTTACTGCAAGTTTAGTTTAAATTAAATAATCAGATCTTACAAAAGATGATGAGGGCCACAAGAAGAGAAAAAGATAATTACAGGAGGGAGATTTTTTTAATCTCAAAATTTTGACATTATTCACCACATTTCATAATCTCGAAATTTCAAGTTTGTTGACATCATTTCTTTTTTTCTTTTTTTTTTAATCTCGAAATTTCGACTTTAATCTCCCTCCTGTAATTATTGATTATATGTGGCCCTAATCCTCTTCTGTAGATCTGAACCGTCTCTCTGTTTGTCGTGAGTTTTACTGTTTAGTAACAGGTCCTCCAGTTGAGTGCAGGTTCTGTTTTGTTTTTGGTGGTTGCTGTAGGAGGAGACAGTATAAGTTTGATTTGATAACGCTTCACCAAAATGAAAAAAATGTCACCCTTTCACCGTAAAAATCTTTTCACTCTCACTAACAGCCTTCCTGGTTCGTCATTTCTTAGTGCTCTTTTTCTACTTTACTTTTTTTGTCACGTTAAACTCTAGTTTTCAATCTTAACGTCTTCCTCTTTGTTTCCACAGCGAGACCTGTCCAAAGCCTCCAACGCCAAAATCCAGCACGACATCCTGAACTCCACCAGCACCAACCTTTGACCTCTCCACTCTTAGGGTCACTGCGGCAGACACCATCATAACTCAGTCCATTTATAATCAAGTCCTGACCCCCTTTAATGCGGTCCTCTACTTCCCACTGCTCCCTGCTTTTAAGTGTAAATGAAGGTAATAATATATAAAGTGTTGAGTTGGTCGTCACTCTGTCTATGAGGGTAAAAGAGGTTCGTATCATAAATAAAACTAACACTACTTCGGCTCTCTAAATGTACTGAGGCGCATGTAAATGAAAAAAAGTGACAAAATAACTTATATTGTTTTCTGAAGTTATGCAATCCGGAGTTACAGGCCAAATGTATTATGGAAACTTTGCACTTTTTTAGGTAGAAACTATATCACGGTGCACACTCACTGCTTCATCCAAACCAGTTTTTTTATATTTGTATGTATTGTGTATATATTTCTGTATCCACCTTTTCTCTCTTTATAAAACTGTTTGACTATAACAGGCAGTAAGTGTGTCAGACATAGTTATATTTTGGTGAAATGACTTGTTTCGGTTGATTATTGTAGCTGATTTGCAAAAGCTTGTCAAAATAGAATAAATGACTTCTCACTTAAAAAACTAAACAGGCTGATGTGTTTTTTTCATGTGATCAGCTGAAATCAAATCAACGTTTCAAATTGTTTCATAAAAAAAATAACTATTTTTTAACCACACATCGTACTCTTGAGCTAAAACAGAAATTTTGTCAATAAGATGTCCGATAGACTAGATTAGAAATTCTACTTTGGATGGTCCGGAGCCCGTGAGCTGTCGTTTCAGTATTCTCTAACCGAAGAAAGCAGCTGTGTTTCTTTAGTTAGAGAATACTGTCCTCTCAAGAACAGGCTTTGAGTAGCAACATGAGAAAGTGACTCAACCTGTAGAGGGCGCCAAAATCCATAAAACATCGAAGGTCCTCTGCTGCAGTTTTAACCTCGGTACCTACAGTTGTGGGAAGGTTTTGTGTTTTATTGTGTACTGAGGGTGAATATCAACAGGACTCCAGTTTTTAATAAATCTGTTGGAAGCAACAACAAACAAATTGGTACAATTTCTATGACAGAATTATAATAAAAAATAATAGTACTGAGAATTTAAAGATGATTTTATGCTGTAAACCAAGAAAAATAAGGCCACACCGGTGGAACAACATAAAAAAGGCATTGAGCTTGACTGTACATATGATTCACATGTAACTCCTACTCTCTCTCTCTCTCTCTCTCTCTCTCTCTCTCTCTCTCTCTCTCTCTCTCTCTCTCTCTCTCTCTCTCTGTTTCTCTCTCTCTCTCTCTCTCTGTTTCTCTCTCTCTCTCTCTCTCTGTTTCTCTCTGCTCTGTTTGCTGAACTATAATCTCTGACTAAAGACAGAGAGACCAAAAATAAAACTCCAGCTCTGTGGTATTTGGAGAACTGAATTCTATACCGTCCTATATAATAAGGTGCTCGACCTTTCCTGTCAGACCTTTCTAATCTGAGCGTGTTTCACAGGCTTTCTATGATCTTTTGATCATATTTACATGTTATCTTTTGTTGTTCTTTTCATCTAATATTGATAGTTCTAACATTTACTTTAATTCCCCGCTCATTTCTATCATTTTTTGGTTGCGATGTTAACTCCCAGCTGTTTAGTTTTAAATAGTTTAAACTTTGGTCATCGCCTTCCTCACATTTCTCTTTATTTTTTTTCCTCATATTCTTTCTCATTTTTAACCCTGTTTTAAAAAGTTTATCATTTGGTGGCATGTGATGAGAAAACCCTGTTTAGATTTCTCACAAACTCTATACTCCCAGATTTATGTTTTTGGACTTGTGGTCTGTAGACTGAAGCTGACTCATGGAGAATACTTGAGGCTAACTATCTTTATTTATTGTTTAAACTTGTAAAAAAAGACTTTAAAATAGTTGAAAATGCAAATAATTTTGTAATATTGGTGTTCATATATGATCAGTAACTTGTCATTATGTTATGGTATGATATGGTGGTATAAGGTAGGTCTACGGTGGCCCTGAGGTGCAAAACACAACAGCAAATCAGAAAACACAACAACATTAACATTTAAGGTCCTTACACACCGGGGCTGACGCGAATATAGAACGCAAAATTACGAAATATTCAGTGGCGAATTTTGACCTGACCATAAACATGAAGCCTGATGCGATTTTGCGACTTTCCAGGAAAAAGACGCATCCCGGGGAAGACTTTTCCTGGGGTAAGTCCCGCCTCCTTCGCCTCTGATTGGCTAGAAAAGAAGGAAACGTCATCACACGCTGAAGCCAAACGGTCAGCACTTATAGCCAATCAGAGGCTATAAGTTTAGTATATAAGTATAATTAGAGGCTCAACTATTCGATGTTTTTATTTTTGTACTCATAGGGCTCTATTTTGGTGCTTCGCCGAAGACGTGCCGCAAGCGCAGCGTCAATCAGATCCGCTGCGCTGACAAGGCGTTCCCAAGCACATTTTGGTATTTTGGTGAGCCGCGCAGCCCGGCGTAAGTATCCCCCCTCCCTAACTCAGCTCCTCCCGGCAGCATAAGTCATAGAGAGGGCGTGGAGTCGGTTTAACACAGCCGAGACCTGTTTTCACCAATCACATAAGCTCCTCTCCTTGCCTTTAAATCCAAAAGAGATCAAGAGATGTCTGAAGACAGTTATGCCACACGATGGCGACAGAGGGCAGCTGCTCAACAAGTGTCCTCCACACTCTCTCATCTGAGCACAGATGGATTTGGTGTGCGTAATGTTGGACCCAGTGGTAAGACAAACACCCTTTTCCACAAAAAAGACACTCACATAAAGTTGCATATATTCAAACCTCACGTGACAAAGGTGGGTTTAGCGCACAGATCACAACATAAACTCCAAAAATGGCATTAAAATCGGAACCATCTGTGCGTAAATGACGCATCGCGCTCCGTGGCCTGGCTCTTTCTTTCATAGATGTTGGCATATAAAATAAATTTGGCCCACAAAACTGAATATTATAATATCCGTATGTCGGCTTAAAGTAGATAACGCATCTGAGCACTGAAACAAATCATCTGTTCAGCCGCAGCAGCTGCAGCAAGACGGACAGAGGACACGGAGACGTGTCCAGGTCGAGCTCTGCGAGAAATAAGAGGAAGAAAGAAAAGGAGGGAGACACATTACATATCTTGTTTACTTCATCATGTGTGTTTATTTACTAGATATTTAATTTAATTTGATGCAGTTTCAGCTGTATTGATTCGGTCAGGTTGTGTGCCCAAACGCGTGCCAAACGCGTGCCAAACGCGCTCATCAGATCAGATATAGATCAGAATATATCGATATAGATCTAAATGTATGTGCTGACTCAGATTAATAGTTGTTGATGATTATTTATTGCACTGAAATCTGCCTGACACTGTGGAAACCTGCCGGTGAGGCATCGGTGACGTATGTCGATACGCCGCCGGTCTACCAAAATACTACTAGACCAGCTGCGTTCCGCCTTGCGCTGAAAGCTGACCAGGTTTGAATCGGCGAGCTTTCAGCGCACGTTACACGCCGGTGGCGAGCACGAAAATGTCACTGCGCCAGCTGATTCTGTCAACACCTCCCCCTGCCACGCCACCACGCCCAGCTTGGCGGATCTCGGCTCGCCTCCGTGCGACTCAGTCCACGAAAATACCAAACTCGCCTTACACCGGGCTCCGCCAGACGAAAATACAACTGCGCGGGGCTCGCCGCCCTCCGCCGCCTCACCGGCGCGAACGAAAATAGAGCCCATGGTCTCATTTTATGTTGCCTGGGTTCCTTATGACATAAAAATGACCTTTAATTCCATTTTAACTGAGCTTTGTCTTTTTTCATACATGTCAAAGCACTTTCAAAGTAAACTTCTCTTTTAAAGTTATTATTATTCATTGTGTTTTCTCTTTTTGTTGTTGTGTTTTGCACCTCAGGGCCGCCGTAGTATCCAATAACTTATCAATAGAGATGAACATTGTTGTATTACTTTTATTATGAACTTACTTAAACCTGTAGTAACTGCATATAAAGCGTGAGTCTCCTCCTGCCCTGGAGCAGAGTCTGTCATGTCATGTTGGAGGTCCTTCCCCTTTAAATAATTTCAGAAAGCGTCGATGTTGCTGTCCAGATCTGTGAGGAGGGGGGAGGAGAGAGGAGAGGAGAGGAGAGGAGAGGAGAGAGGTGAGGAAGGGGAGGAGGAGGAGGAGATAACTCTGTCAGGATGACACACATTTTCACAGACAGGAGAAACCCCACAGAGGACACGCGTGTTTCCATCATGTAGAGGCAGACGGACTCAGCTTCACCCTCAAACTTTGGACCGGTTCTGTTTTGACTGATCCGGATTTCTGCACAGACCTAAAGATAAACCTGCAGGTAAGCTCGACACGCAGTTTGGGGCTCTTGGAGAGGTGAGAGATCCTCTTTCTTTCCGCATCAATGATTCATGTGTGACCCGGCGTCAGGGTGTCTTTCCAGGGATGAACTTTGATCCTGTCGAGTCAGATTTCACAGACAGCAGCGGGGATGGTCTCAAACACTGGATCTGAACAGCGGTCTGCCTCCGAGCAGCTGATCTGAGATCTGTAAACAAACAGCAGACATGCGGCTGCTCTCAGCTCCAAGGACAGATGCTGAGTCCTCCTGAGGCGGCTGCTGCTGCTGCGTAATTCCAGACAGACCAGGAGAACCTTTCGATGACACATCATTCAGCTTTAGTGGGTCAGATCGCTGCTAAACTTGGACTAAATTCTCTTATCAGCTGGAGTTCAGCCGCAGCGCTTCAAGGCAGAAAACCAAACGGTGTCAGGATGAGCTTTGAGGCTGTTTTTGCACCAGTTTAGATCTTTTTTTTTTCAGGGTCTGTTCTCCCAGACACAACAGGGCCTTTCTGCCTCCCAGAGCTTCCCTATCACTGCTGTCTGACAGAGATTATTAGACTAATTCAGTCAGAGGAGAGCTCCTGCAAAAGAAAATGAAGATTATATCAATAAGAATGAACCGAAAAAACACACTGCAGGTTAGAAGAGTAAAATTAAGGTAATTAGTTCATGTTTCAAGTTCAGTTACTTTGCGTTTCCAATTATATGTTTGTGTTAATGATGTTTTTTTTTACTATATCACTGTAACACATGGAGAAATATGCAGAGGTGCAGGTACAACAACTCAGTTTCATTTCCATGTACCTTTCCAAGTAAGTGCTCTCCCTGCCAACATCAGTCTGTTTTGTCACATTTGTCTGCTTAGTATCTCAGACTGAAACTATATTGTTGATATTTTAATTCTTTTTGACAAAAAGTCCATACTCCGTCTGCTCTGGGTCAAATTTCCCCATTCTTTAGCGTGGTGGCAGCGTTATTCCCCAAGCAGGAGGAGCTGCAACTGCTTTACATGTTTTTAACTTTAAATCTGCCCAAATAAATACTGTAACAGCATCCTTTATGGCTCATCTTCCAAACTCATCAACAAACTCCAGACCATCCAAAACTCTGCTGCCCGCCTGCTCACCCACACCCGCTCCAGAGACCACATCACCCCTGTCCTCCAGAATCTCCACTGGCTCCCTGTTAAACACCGTATCACCTTCAAAATCCTTCTCCTCACCCATAAAGCTCTTCACAATCAGGCCCCCTCCTACATCAGCACCCTGCTCCACCGCCACAATCCCCCTCACAACCTCCGCTCCTCCGACGCCAACCTCCTGTCCCCACCCCTCTGAACCCTCTCTCCCCGTCCAGATCAGATCCTGCGCTGATTTGACTTCCTTCAAATCCCTTATGAAAACCCACCTTTTTAAAGTTGCTTTTAACATGTGACTATTTTACTTATTTATTTATTTTTATTGCTATATATATATATTTTTATATTATTATTAAATGATGTTGAATTCTCTTGCTATGTTTTACAGGAACAGAAAATGGCGGTCTCAGGAGTCCTCCTCCTTTTGTGGATCACCACAGTCTTCACCACTGGACTCGGATGCCCAGACATCTGCACCTGTGTTGATAAATACAACCGCCATTTTGCCGATTGCTCTTCCAAGGATTTGACTGAATTGCCAGATGGTTTGCCTCCAAATGTCTCAACCGTGAGCCTCTCCGCCAACAAGATCAGCTTGATCCCTCTGGGGAGCTTCGACAATGCCACCAGAGTGACGTCGCTGTGGATGGCCAACAATGAGATCGTCACCATCGAACAAGGAGCGCTAACACCCCTGGTTCATCTGCGTAACTTTGATGTCAGCCACAACAAGATCGTAGACTTTCCTTGGGAGGATCTGCAGAATCTCACAAACCTTGAGCTGCTGAAGATGAACCACAACGAGATGTCCCACCTGCCGAGGGACGTCTTCACCAACCTCAAAGATCTGAGGTCCCTCCGACTCAACAATAACAGATTCACAACCATAGCTGAAGGGACATTTGACGGTTTGGTGTCTTTGACGCATTTGCAGATTTACAAAAACCCCTTTTCTTGCACCTGCTCCCTTAACTGGCTCAAAGACTGGATTACCACGGCTGCCATCTCAGTCCCAGAGCAGAATTTGATCATGTGTGAATCTCCAGAGAAACTCAGAGGGGTAGTCATCGGGAAACTGCCGGAGTCAAAGTGCACCAGCCCAAAAGTCATGATACGAAGCAAGCCTGACATCCAAAACACACCTCTCCAGGAGGGGGATTTGTTGGTCTTGACTTGTGAATTCGCTGGAAACCCAAAGCCCCTGGTCATGTGGAGCATTCACAGCAGGAGCCAAAAGCAGCAGGTGGCGTTGTCGTTCACAGAGGATGACGCGGCAGAAACAAACGAGGAGTCCTTACTGTCCAATAATCCCGTCAAAGTCTTCAACAACGGGTCTCTGATCATTTCACGGCTGAGAAGAAAAGACAGCGGCAACTACAGCTGCTCCGGCACCAACGAATTTGGAAGAGCTGAGCGTTGGGTGTCAGTGGAGGTGTTGGCTTTACCAAAACCAACACCCATGAAAAAACTGACCGCAACAACTACGGTCATGAAAACGTACGCGTCTGTTCAGACAACAGGCAGAATATCTGTCCTTGACTCAGTGCGTCTTCCTGATTTTAAGAGAAAAGAGCCTGGAAACGTTGCGCCTACTTTGGCGCCAACAGCAGAGATGAAGTCCTCTGAGGAGGAACCGAGACATCCGACACATTTGAGCAAATGTGGCCTGACAGCAAATACAAGATACGTTTCAAGCCATGTCTTTAACGGGAGCTTCGAGGACATCAAGCACTACACATTTGACTTTGGTGTCATCGCGTTGGGGGTGTCAGAGACAGAGGCGACCGTGAGACTCAATCCTCTGCTCATTCCCAGAGAAAAGAGCGCCAATCGAGAAGACGCGGACGCCACATCTGAGGGATTTGATGATGACAGTGAAGAGCGTCAGAGCCTGTCAGACTTTTCAGAGAAGGTCCAATCGAATGGTCTCTATCTGTGTGTGACCTCTGACCGCAAACACTCGGCCGTGCAGTGGTCCAGGATCAGAGAAGGAGTCAATACGTATCTATTCAGTGATCTGCGACCCGGTACCAACTACTCCCTGTGTTTGACCTACCGAGGTGAAGACTGTGAGGTCCAGGTCCTCTTCACCACCAGGAGGAGGATCCCCAACCTGCTCATCATCATCTCTGTCAGCATCTGCCTCCTCACTGTGTCCACCGTGCCGCTCCTCGGCGCCACCTGCTTCCACCTGGTGTACAAATACCGCAGCAAGACCTACAAGCTGATCCTAAAGGCCAAAGACCAGTACCACGTGGAGAGGAACCTCACCGTCAACTTTAACATCCATGCACCTCACACCGACTCCCAGAGGAAGATTAACATCAGCCAGCTGGACGAGGAGGAGGGGGAGACGGAGACAGACAGCGGCGACGGCGAGAAAGAGGCTGATACAGAAGAAAGCATCATAACCGAGTCCTTGACTCTGTCTCAGTGTCGGGGGAATTTAGACAACTGTGAGGTAGGATCAGAGTACAGCGATAGGCTGCCTTTGGGAGCTGAGGCAGTGAATATTATAAGCGCCTAAATATATCCACATCCTAACTGTTATTTTTGCATTTATTAAAGGAGTAATGCGGGTTTTTTCTGTTCGTGCCAATCATTTAAGTTCCCATAAGCTTTAAAGGGAAGCCTGGAAATGCTGCTCTGTTCCTCAGTCATTTGTCACGACTGAAATACTGTCACTTTCACCAAAGTCTTCAAGGAAGTCGTTTTTATGTCGAATATTTGATCTTCTCTCCAAATCTGGTGGTTGAACATAGTCCTTTGAGGGGAAAAATCCACACAGAGGAAGAAACAAGTTACTCAACTTCAAATTAAATATCTGTCCAAGCATTCCGCGCAGCTACTCATCTATCATTCAAATGTTCCCGGATATGTGCCCTTCCTCAGAGTTTAAAAAGTGCTAAAAAATAAAGTTTGAATATTTGAGCAGCCAAAGTTAACAAGTAACATGAGACAAGTCATGCAGCAGCAGTAGCCTGCAGCTTCACTTGGTGTTGCACTATTTCCAATGATCGCTCATTTGAAAGCACTGAAATAAAGCAGAAACAGATCTGAATGTGGGTCCCCGTTTGCACCAAAATATATTTAATGATTGACAATCACATGACACATAACGTATGTATTTAATGATATATACAATTATTTATTTATTTATAGTTCATACGAGTAAGAAATGTAGTTCATAAATACCAAAAAGCTTTTTCACATCTTAAAAATCCATTAAACCAGACCTGAATTGACTTCCGCTGTATTTACACCGTGGACACCTCAAGTTTGTAGTAAAACTGCAGCGTTACAGAGAGTATCATTACATGAAATCTGAGTTACTGTTATCATTTTGTAGCTTCCTCCTGGACTAAATAAGGGAAAGACAATAAAAGTAAAAAACGCCATATTTTAAGAACTTGTTAGCTGCTGTTAGCTCGCTGTTTGCCATAATTTAGCTACCATTAGCTTAATATTATTACCATCGTTGATCTAACATTACCTTGAGCCAACTGGCGTGGTATAATTATTTTAGTCATAAGCGAAGTGGCTGTACTGATAAAGGTAGCTAACATAATAATTGGTCAACTGACATAGCTGTTAGCTAGCTAACATCATCAAATTGTCAGTTAGCTGGAATATGTTAGCATAAACTAAGAGTGCTGCTCATAAGAAGCTTGTGTCAGCGAGAAAACTGGGTAAAAGTCATTGTTAGGGTTTACAAACTGCAGTTAAAAAGTGTTTACGCCCGATATTAACAGCTGATTTAAGTCTAATTTTTTGAGAAACTTCATTTTTTTTTCTAGGAAATGACCTACAGCAGCTTCAGACCCCACATTTGGTCTTTTCTGAATTGCTCTCATTATAGTGACTGCAGTTTGTAGTTTGTTGCTTTGTTAACAGATAATTGGCGACAAAAACTGAGTGTTTACTAATAAATTAATATGAAATCACTCATTATGGGATTTTATTTATTCAGCTGCTGAGTGAAAACTGAGTAAAAACTCTGATCAGTGTAGCTGCTGTCTGATGTGAGGATGCAAACAGTGAACTGAATCAAAGCTTGTGTCGTGTGTTTCGTGTACCGCAAAATGATAAGGAACATGTCTGCAGCTTTAGATGTAGGCGACACTGAATGGGCTCACTGTAACTAAAAGAAACACATATTCAAACAGATGATTTGTGCTGTTGTATTAGGAGTGACGTAGCTTTAAAAATAAACTCTAAGGAAACCGCCGTGCTCTGCAGCTATAAGCTCTTTGTCCAGTCATACTGTGAACACTGTTATAGTGTCCTGTTGAATAAAACTGGGTGTCTTAAATAAGCTCTGTCTCACTGCTAAATATATGGATAAGCTAGTTTAATATTATTCAGGTCTACTGCAGAGTCTGACAGTCAAAGCTCTGAGTGTGTATGTGGAGTTCTCCTGTATCTGGGTCATGTGTTTCATTATGTTGTGTTTCCCAGAGTGCTGTGATAGAAGACCTGCATGCTGCCTGTCGTTGTGAGCCGTGAGGAGTGTGTTGTGTAAATATTCCCCGACTTAAAGTGTAACTTATGTTCTGTGTTTTTCTGTTTTATACCCGTGTAGCAAAGAAAATAATGTTTCTACCAAAGTGTTGGAGTACGTGCACTAACTCTCCCTTTACTCTGTGCCTCAATAAAAAGTTTAGTAAAGGAAGGACTCAGGCTCAGCTGTCACGTTTGTTCTCTCAACCTTCAGTGTCAGTTAAAATGATTCATATAAAAATGGCATTTCCATTCTGTGTGTAACATAGACTTTATTTGAAGCCGAATTGCTCTCAGTATTTCTGGGATTTTCTCCACTTCCTAGAACTACCACTGGCGCAGTAGCATTGTACGCATTTGGCGGGAGAGTCGCTGTGATGATGCTCAAACAGCGTATCCCCGGGTGAGCTACACAATCTTCGTACACCCATAGGCTGTACCAGGTGTCAATCATAATAAACATGAACCCCCTAATAACTTTTAAAAACGGAGCTGTACAGAAAAAAGAGGACTTGAGTACAAACCAGTCTTACAGTAACAACATGTCAACATCGCAACCAGGAGGGAGACTTTTGACCTATACTGCAGCCCGTCACCAGAGGGTGCTGTTCTCGCGGATGCTTCACCCAGTGAGGAGGCAGACGGCGTCCATTCTATATACAGTCTATGGTGTGTAGGGAAGAATAACGGCACATGGACTGGATATTAAAGCTTCTGTTGGGAACTTTTAGTTTGTGGTAATTGTGGCGCCACCCTGTGGACAAGGCAGCCTTTACATATCTTGTATATCTTTGACAAAAAAACACATCTGGCTGACTTCATGAACAGGGATGTTTCTTCAGGCTGACACCTACCCCCTCTCATCAGTTTCAGGCATTAAAAATTATGGTTGAAAAAAATCATCAACCTTGTTACTGATGGTCATGTTTGCTTTAAGATATCATGAAAAGGCATCAATATGAATTTCAGGCAGTTTTTTTTATATATGTCAAAAACTCCCCACAGGCGCCTTAATGTCAAAGAAAAAAAGACTAGTCGATTTAAAACTTTGAGAAGATGCTTAAAACTTAAAATTGATTTCCATTGTTAGGCCATCTCAACTTTTAACCTTTCAAACAGAGAATTCATAAATGTTACAGAAAGTCACACTTACTACATCCACTTGTTTGAATTTTATTATAATTTCAAAAAGAGATATACGCAAAGTTATAAATTTAAAAGCAACCCTGTTATTCTTATTTTATTACAGTCAAAGTTAGGACAACAGGTTCTCTGTATAAACACAGAAGTAGCTCTTCAGTAAGGTTTAAATTATACAACTTAATGTTTTTTTTCAAATGATCCAGTTATTGAAAGTTATAGACCTGGAACAGCAGTAGAAATTGATGCAAACACAAACCTGTTTTTATTAACATAAAGATAAACAACTTAAAACGGTGGATCTCTGATCAAACTCGTCCAACTCCAGGTTTGCAGATTTTTATTAGACTTTTCTTTTGTAACTGCATGATGAAGTGGGAACACAGTGAAACCGGTCAGTCTGGATTCACCTCAGGCTAACGGACTGTAACCTCCTATTGACTCTGTCCTGGTCCTGATGCTGCCATTGATCTGCAGCGGACAGATTATGTGAGCCAATATGTGACAGTACAGCTGTGCACAGGCAGAACATGTTCTATAACTGTACAAACTCTAAAAGGCTGCAGTTTTTTTGGTATGTGTGATATTTTTTTTCCTGCAAAATCATGAACATGAGGGTCCTTCAGAGACGGGGGTCAAGCAGCCTTACTTGTGGGCAATCTTTACAGGATAATACCAAAACAATCCATGGAGATACGCTCTTTTGAAGGCTAAAAGTGAAGAGGATTTCTCATTGTTGATCTACTCAAACAGAAGCTGGGATGGTCCAACTTTTTCAGGAGAATTAAAACAGAAAAAAAAAAAAGTATTTAGCACAAATGACCTACAGGGAAATATTTACTCCTCGTCATATATGGACACTTCTTTTAACCTGTTTGAGGACCAGTATTCTGTTTTTCCAGCATCATAACAAGGACTTTATAAAAACCTAGCTCTATATGAATAAGGCTGACAGTATACGCCAAACAAGATCATAGCTGATGTGTTCAAATGCTCAAAATCTCATCAAACCTTTTGCATTAATCTCCTCAACTAGAGCTTAAAATAATTTAACCGAGTTGTATTTTCAGTTTTAATGATACTATAGGGTTAAATCAGTAATCATTAATGGACACAAGAGGGAAAAAAAAGCTTTGAAAATAGGATTTTGTTTGGAGTATACTGCCAACCACACTTTGTGAATCATGGATCTCATTCATTTTTCTCCTGGTGCGTCGGGGTCTCAGCCAGCTGGTCCGGCTCTGGGGCTGGTTTCTCCGCCTCCCTCCTGCTGCCTGACTTGGCGGTGTGGTTCGGAGTCCCGTTCAGGATGCTCTCGGCGGTCTGAGTCGTCTGGAAGTGCTTCCTGAAGCCCAGCAAGGACGGGTTGTGGACCAGCGTGTACATCAGCTGCCAGCGAGAGCGAATCCTGCGGGTGTTGTTCGCCTTGTTCGGTCCGTTCTCCTGGATCCCTGAAACCACAGGAGAGCGTTTGAGACATCAGACTGAGGTGAGTAGGGTCTGTAATTAAAGGATAATGTATGCAGCAGAGTGGGCGGTTATGCAAATCAGAATCACAAGAGGGTGAGTGGTGCGTGGAGGCGTCTTTGCTCGCCCTTGCAGAAGAAAAAAACAAGTTGGCTAAGAAGAAGAAGAGTAGATATACAGATCAAACTTGACTTTATGTTGTTTTTGTGTCCCATGATCTCCTCCAGGTGTGTCTCTACCTTCCTCTGGGTCTTTGTTTCTCTGTCCGATCCGTCCGCCCTCCACCATCAGGTCCAGCAGCAGCCCGCAGAAAGCTTTCATCACCGGATGGGACTGGCTGATCTCCACCCTCAGGGCGTTGGTGTAATAACTGTAGGCTGGATGGGGTTAAACAATATGGTAAACAAGTCTTTTAATTATGTCCAATTGGGAAAGATTGTGTCCAGATTAAAGTTTGAGTTGGCAGAAATGTAAATGGACGTGTACCTGGGTCATAGGCCTCTGCGGTGCGGTGCAGCAGACTGATGTCCACACGGCCAAGGTGGATGATGTTGTACAGAGAGGTGATCACCACCCTCCATATGGCAGCGATCAGACCCATCACAGTGTTGATGAGGAAGAGCAGGTACGTCAGGAGGTAGAGGCTCTCTCTGGAAACAGGAAGAGTGTCAGACTCAGGTGAGCTCAGGTTTTAATTCAAGGTCATCGTCTCTTCGCCTTTTCGATTCGATCACCTGTTTTCAAATCACTCTGGATTGGCTCTCTGCTATTCATCACTTTAGCCTTGAGGGCGACTAGATTAGGTAACTGTGTCCCATTTTCACAGATTTCCTGATCCGGCCCCGTCTGCCCGCCGCCGCCTCCATGTTTAATGACGTGCTAAAAAAAGCTTTTAGTTTTTAGGCTGTGTGAAGTCTGCAGCGTTGGGACAGGAGAGGGAAAGAGACTAAAACAGAGATCTTTTTATCTGAGTGAGTTAGTTTGTGTTTGGGGTAGAGAGCAACCTAACCTCTGTAGATCGTTAGGTTCCCTCACTAACCTCTGCTATAACTGAGGTGAGAGAAGCGTCACACACCTGTTATTCAAGTCTCTCGTTCCAGCTTCCTTCTTGATGAACGCGAACTTAGCGGTCACGTGTTGGAGCGCAGAGACCAGCAGCAGAGTGACCCAGGCCGGCCTGAGACAAAAAAGGATCTTTAATGACACGAATCATTAACGAAGTATAAAGGACTTCCTCCTGACTCACCATGCTCTTCCTACGATTTCAAAGGCCATCATGTTACGTCCGTAAAAAACAGGAATAATGACCATAAACACCAGGAACAAGAAGCAGATGAAAAACACAACGGTCTGGATGGCCATTCCTGCAGATAGAGCAGAGAAACAGACCAGTTTAAACCAGTTTAGTCCCAGTTTTATTATATCTATGGAATGATTTTTTGTCTTTTTAGAGATCAGATAGAAATGAATTATATTTATCCTTATTGTTGTTTCCTTTACCTGTATCCCTTCTCTGTGGCTCACTAATAGTAGAAAAAATGATCTTTAAATAATATAGAGGTGTATTTAAGAATTAAAGTTGTGATTTTTCTTCCTCATTTATTCACATTATCATTTTATTTCATCATGCTTTACCAACACAGACGATTGCAGCCTGGTATCCTGTCAAACCCATCCAACAGACGATCCCAGGTCTGGATGGTCGGATGGTCTTCTTGCTGTTATAGATGCTGTAAATCTCCCCCTTATACAGTCCTTTCAGGTTAGTCCTGAAACAGTTAAAATCAGGCGTCAGAAAACAAAAGGTGGGTCATTTTAATGCAGTTATTGAAAACAAATTTTTGCTCCCACCTGTGACATATCATGGACTTCATGAGCATGACGAGGCTGATCAAGAGAGACAGCGTCACCGCACACAGGTAGCAAACTAAAACACAGACGAAAAAGAGATGAACGATGATTTTAAAATGAAGAAAACGTTTCCATATTTCAGCCACAAGACTTCCTCCGCATACCCTCCAGCAGCCAGGTGTAGAAGGTGACGATTCGGACCACCTCCATCCTGTCATCTGACAGGATGATACCGAAGCCGAGCAGCAGGAAGGCGATGTTTTCATCGATACCCGCACGGACGATGTGGAGGACGGGGACCACCAGGACCACGAGCAACAACGCCGTCTGAAAGGAGAACAGATCAGGTAATTTAGAGAAAGAGTCAGAGCAATATTTCAGGTCAAAGGTCATGATGACTGTTGTAGTAGAATCTTCTCATACATTTAGGTTAAGAAATATAGAGTGATTATCTTTTATTAGGGGTTACAAATCATCTGGGTTGGCCTACTTATGCAGCCTTATGACTCAGAGGTTGTAAGCGAGGGACCAAAACTATCTGTCTGCCAGAACATTCCACAACATAATTGGCGAGCCAGCCAGGAGGAAGATCCAACATAAACTCAGGAAAACAACGCACAGGAGACAGGATGAGATCTGAAGAGCAGCCTGGGCGTCTTTTATTATACAGATGTAGAAATCAGAATAGTATCAGTAATTTATACTGTCCAGTGTGTATCTGAATACAGCCATTGTGTACTGCTTGTACCTCAGATATGTGCGTGGGTGTGGGTGTGTGTGTGGGTGCATGAGTCTCGCGTCATCATGGGTACAACATATCAATTCTCCAGGAGGCTACCCATGATGACGTGTGGTACTGTTCTGAAACTCAACACTTTGTTTAGATTAGTCTTAACTCTCCCTGCAAAACAGCCTTGCTTACAACCTCAGGGTCATAAGGCTACATAAGTAGGCCAACCCAGATTATTTGTAACCCCTTAATAAAAGATAATCACTCTATATTTCTTAGCCTAAATGTATGAAAAGATTCTGCGATACTGTTCATGAAAGACTTACTTGATAAATGGCCACAAAGGACACAAACGCAGAAATGGCAAGTTTGAGCGGGAAACAAAACACTGAAAGACAAATAATAATAAGACATTATTGAAGTGTTAGCTGATGAGAGTTTTCCTTTTAATCAGACACAAAGGTTACTGTAGAGATAAAGTCATTGTTAACAGTGAATATAAAGATAAATCTTTCCATGTGTGAGGAGAGCACAAACCTTTGTCTGGTACATAGATGTAACTCTTGGGCACTTCCAGGATTCTCTGCAAGAGGGTTTGTTTGTCTGCAGCCGAGGAGCTAAAATCAATAAATAAACAGAGAAAAATGAGGAATAATATAATAAGCGAACTATGCGCCTGCTTAGGACCCCGTGGCCAATAGGGGGCCCCCAAGAGCAATCAAAAAAATATATATATCTTTTTTTATTTTTTGCATGTATGTAGGTGCTCCAGAAAGTGATCTTATTCTCCATCTTTTCTACCCTCACCTGTTAGCTGAGCTCTTTTTCCTGAGGATTAACTTCACATACATGGTGTAGTAGCTGCTGTCAAGGTCCTGTGAACAGAAATCAAACTAAAATGAATCCTTGTTCTGCCCTATGAAAACAAACACTGAGTGTAAATTACGAGGAAAATCTGACCAAAGAGTGAAGTTAAAAGTTGTGTGTCTGGAGGCAGTTTTCCTCACCATCCTTTGCAAACAGATTAAAGCTGCGTTTAAAACAAAAACTCTGTTGTTCGAATGTTTTGAAAAGGAAAAACAATATCACCTCCATCGTCATAATCGGCTCAACGACACTGAGTTAAACCCACTTCATTCTGCTCAAGCTGCTTACAGTAATCATGGTGAAACTCGGCATTGTTGAAATTCATGTTTCTTTCTCCGTTCACACCAGAGACAGCCTGAGATTAGTTTACACCTTTCAATGTACGCGTTTATCCTGAAGCAGAGATACTGTTGGGTTAGATTTGAGTGTTTTTGGACTCGTCTCACCTCGTCGGTTTTTGGTCCTTTGACAAACAGAATCAGAAACTGGACACAGAGGTATAAGAGGCAACCCAGCTGAGGCATACTGGCCAGCAGGGCGTAGAACTTATAGATCTGTGTGGAGGGAAATAAGAGAAATATCAAGTTTAAATGGATCTAAAACAATTTATTTGTATTTATGTTGCTTTACTTCATCCATCCATCCATCCATCCATTATCTTGACCAGGTATTCGAACCAGGAACCTTCTCATTGTGACGCACCAACACTTACCACTGCACTGCCCAAACTTTTATAAAACTGTGCTTTTATTTTGAAGTATAAACTACATCAATGTTTAATACATTAATAAGGATTGTTAGTGTCAATACTGGTACACTGTGACAGCTCTAATCCCAGTTTGTGTAGAGACTCGACCATGCTTTTATTCATATTGCTCATGTCTTGATTAGTTTCTCCTGGATTAAATTTTAAAAAATAAAGATGTCAAAAATCTTTAATTTCTAAGATTACTGAATCAGCAGAAAATTGGTAATTTGACAGATTATACACAAGAGAAATGTCAGTGTAGTTTGGAGCATTGACAGATCTTTCTCTAACCTCTGGAGTCTTGGGACAGTCGAACTTCTGCCACACCAGCCCCCCGAAGTGACCGAAGGAGAGCAGCATCCCGATGACGTAACCCACTTTGTGCTGCAGAGTGCCACACACCATCAGAGGAAAATACAGCAGAGGGTAGTAGAAAATGGCCATGATCTTCATATACTCTGGGAAAGAAGAAGATAAATAAACATAAACTGAAAATCTAATTTCATTTGACCTTTTTCTCTGTTATTTTTCTATGTGAATATTTTATACCTTTACTCTCAGTTGTAGTGTCTTTGACAAAAGGTAGAGGGTCGGGGGCGATCACCAGCATGGACAGCTTGCTGAAGATGAGTCCAAAAACAGCCATGGCCACGCCTTTCTGCTGCGTCTGATCCAGGAAGTTAGCTGGACTGAGAGATTATACAGAAACTCTTAGATGATATAAGACAGTTTAAGACAGTAGTGTATTTAACAAGTTTGGTAGCAGAATAATCCCTTCCTTGTTAGATGCAATGTGATAGGGTCTGTTTTCATAGACAAGGGGGGCTAGTTAAACTCTAAAAGACTGGAAGGTTTTCATTTCGGCAGAATAATCCCGGTGATTGGACATACAGCACAAGTTGTAGATGAACAGGCTGGACATGAGGATCAGTTATCAAATAAAGCCCAACACCAGGATGGAACAATCTGCCAGACTGAAGAGTTTGGGAAGTTTTAAGCAGTCATCTCTGCAGACTTTAAGACTCATCACTGAGTTAAAATTTGCTCTGGCAACAGGCAGACCGACCTCCTCAACAAGTTCTCAAAATTTCACCTGAGGATACCAGACGATCCTCTTGCGAATCCTTGAATCAGTTTATGTTTCCTTGCGAGAACCGCCAGGACCAACACGGCCACCAGCTGCAGGGAAGAGATGAAAACATTAAAACCTCTGTAATCCAGATTATAAATGAAACACACTGAAATCAAAAGGACATGAACTCAATCTTGCCTCTGTTTTCTTTTTTTTTCTTTTTTTTTTTTTTAAAAAGACAATCCTCTTCAGCCTCAGCTGTCTGCAGGAAAAATAACTATCATGACCTACAGTTGTGGCAAGTCTTTCAGAAGCTCTGTTACTAATTTACAACAAATTTGGTCCCAGTTCGTTTTGCTAAGGGCCTTTGTCCATTTACAGTGTTTTTGGCTGTAGCAGCACACCACTATAGGAAGCAAAAATGGTGCTGGATAACTTCTGTAATCTCACGACATTAAGTGTATTTTGAAGTTTTCTGTACATACAGGTCATGCATGCAAGTTCAAGAAAACGCTGTCAGTGGACACAGGCCCTACTTCATTAATCCAAAAGACAGCCTGTGGTGTTATTAGTACCTGATATTACTGTGCAATATAATATCTTCTTCACTCATATCATGTGTCAAAATTACCATCAGCAAAGCTCAATGTGGTCTAGTTTCCCCCTACATATGCATGACACAGAGATGGCAACTTTTCAGAATTGACATGCTAATTGATTTTTTTGCATAATTTCAATTAGCGCTGTCTATTTCTGTGAACAACCCAACTTTGTGAAATGACGAGACTGCCCGCATTAAAATGGGTTGTCTGTGAAAAAGCTCAAGTTAAAGGCATGGAAAAATATGACCGCTGTATGATGACGTAGTCTCAAACAGGTTCACATTTTTATTTGTGTAGTAATAAAGCTAAACCCTTACAAAGCTGTGACAATTTTGCCACTGGACGGGTTAATATTCACAAACAAATATGTAATCTAACATTAAGAATATGCAGAAGCAGAGTTTTAAAAGTGCTTTAGGCAAAATCAGCTCATCCAGGAGGCAACAGAATCCAAAAATAGGGTCATTAGAGGCGACTTTGAGGTTCATTGAGGAAGAAATTGAAGTAAAAAGGCTAAAGATTTTTTTAAATAGCAGAAAAGCAAAGAGAGGAGAGTCTGTTTGGGTCAAAGGACTTGGAGGAAATATTGAAGCACCAAAACTTTGTATAAGAGACATAATCAGAAGACATAATTGGAACAACATATGAGAGACAGAGAAAGAAGAGAACATTCTTCAGACTCCAGAGTCTTGTTATTTTTAATCAGCTGCAGTGACCCTGCTGTCGTAGTCCATTACTCATTATAAAATGGTATTTATGAAGAATTGGGTGAGGGCAAAGCGATGTCAAACCTCATTAAACTCAAAGTCTCCCTGAAGCAGAGTTTATCCTCAGACCCTTAGTTAAGACGAGGATAAACTTTACATTCAACTTCACTTTTGAACAACTTTTATAAAGTTTTCTTGTTCGTTCACTTTTAAAAAACACCTTCAAACCTCTTTCTGAATAAGGGCCTGTGTCCACTGACAATGTTTCGTTGTGCTGGCAGCAACAACAACCTCAATTTTTGAGCACTTACTAGCACTTATAATTTTCAGGTTACGAAATTTGTCATGTTGCACTTCCCTTGTTGTCATTGGAGGTCGCACCCCTTCTTAATTTTGATTGGTTGGTGATATTAAGCTGTGAGTTTTGGGGCTGAGGACGCCGAGTGGTGAAAACATTAAATTGCATTGGTTTTGCCTGGGAAATACACGCTGCAATCACATAGAAAAACACTGTTGGTGCACACAGGCCCTAACTCGGTGTGACTTTTTAAACTACCAATCAACTTCACATGCCCTTACTTTTAAACCATAGAGGTTTGCTTTTTACTCAAATATACTTACAGATGCTGATGCCATGCATATGTTGAAGAGCTTTTCGTCCACTGTGGGGTCACATGGTAAGATAATTCTGTGATAAAAAGGTGACAAAAATGAAGTTTAATGAGATGTATTCTTAGTGCAATACATTAATTAGACTGTCTACTTATACTCATATACTTATATCAAGCTTAAATGGCTACTCAAACCTTAACTCATATGTGTGTGAGTTGAGTGGGTTGGTGCAATTGTATTAAAAGCACATTGGGTATGCGAAATTTGCTTTATAAATGAAATTGAAAAGATATTGTAACTATTTGTGGGGATGTTTTGAGTTGTATAACTTCATAAAATTATGCTATTTAGAGCAGAATTTGGGTTTTAAGTTGTTGAGAAGAAGATACTTCGGATACCTGAACTGCAGGTTCAAATAAAAAAAAGGATAACTGTGCAACTCCACCTGTCCATCACTTTTTAAACTGAGACAGCAGTACAAAGTATGAAAAAGTGAAGATACATGGGTGAAGACTTAATCAGATAAGCAGCCAACAAGACAAGCATGAACACCAAGAGGAGGAACAGAGGACTATTTGTTTGAAAGGTTTAAAAAATAAAGAAATGCATAAGAAAAGTAGGTTTGAGCACAACATGACAAAAACAAAAACAGGTCAAATTAAACAGGTAATTAAACTCAAGTCAAATCAGGACCTAATGGAACAAATGCAGACAGGTGATAACAGGTAACGCTGCAAACGTGTTTTTATTTTAAAGAAATTTTGCAATGATCATATTCTCCAGCAGGGAGGTCCTTCACGGTTGAATAATGCAGAAAAAAAACAATATTCTTGCAAACTTGCAATAGAGGATCCAGACACCTATCAAAGATTTAAGTTCAACTGTCTCAAAGCCTTGAGCGAACCAAAAAAAAGATCTTTAAATTATAACCTCTTCTAAAACCAGCTTGTAACTCTTCACAGGAGCTTTAATGACATGAAAAGATTTTTTTTTCCCTGACATGAACTGAATCTTTGAAGAATTCCTTAAAGCTCCTTAAAAAAACTTTTATTTTTGATGATTTTGGCCCCCTGTGTGCACAAAGTGGTCCCTCAGCTCCTTTCTTATCTTGCTCACAGATTTGTAAGTCATGTTGTTTAGGTCAAAAGTTTGTTTTCTTTAACAGGGAAATTAACTAATTACTGAGAATGATGGTCTCCTTTGGTTTCGACCTCATGAAAACACTGATATTTTATATCAGCCAGTTTCACAACAAGCCAAAAAATCCCCCATAAGAGCCTCACTCTGAAGAAAACTCCTTTGGCCACCTCTTTAAGTCTGTGTCCAGGACTTCTGGTTTCATCTTTAGGATTAAACTACCCAAACCAGGAGGGTGTAGTTGTTGTTTTTTTTTCTTCTGAGCATCGACTTAAAAGAAAAACAGCTTTTTTTAACAGTTAAGTTCATGAAGATTTGTCTGCATTGCCTGGCTAAATGAGAAATGACAAATAATTTAGTCAACAGCTGGGTCAAAGGTAACAAACAGCTGTGTGTCATCAACATATGAGCTGATTTCAGGTATCATCGCCCAGAGAGAGCATGTTTTATATAAAAAGCAGAGGACCTAGACAGGCTCCCTGTGCAACACCTATAAGAAATCTGTATTTAATACAATCCCTGTACACGGGATCAACTGGTAGCAGAGATGGATGGTTGATTTATCGACAGTAAATAAGATATTAATAATATACCTTCACAGTCTCTGATACTTACTCTTTGGGTGGTTTGGTTGGCTCTGCATTGTTGGAGTACCAGTCCGAATAGTCATAGTAGGAATATTCAAATGGCTGAAAATCCACCTTGCTTTGATTCATCCCAGCTGTCCAGTCGAATCAAACAGGTGAAAGCGAAAAGATTAAAGATCCACCAGACTCCCGTTTGTCCTACAGCTGGGTAACTTAGCTTGGTGATCTGCTGGTTTTACTTGTAAGGTGTTGGGACAGTTTGGCCCGAGCACTTGGGCACATTCCAGTGAAACTAAGAGCTCAAACGCTGCAGATTAACAACCACACAAAGGGGAGTTAGAGGAGGGAGAGGTCTAGTTGTTACAGTCAAGAAAAGACAAGTAATGGGAGAAACAGACCCAAAGTGACCTCTGCTGCTTCTTGGTGGTACAATTTTCCTTCTTGGAACAATATTCAATCTGTTTAGGAAGAGTTATATACCAGTTATTCAGTACCTGGAAGTACCTTGATCAACGCCCCAATCAGTTACCATATTTTAAACTCGTAAAACAAAAGATAAATCAGTTTCATGTAAGAGCTCTGGGTTTTTCCGATGCGTACACATGATGCCAGGAGGCTGCAAGCTCGGCTGACTACTTTAGGGCCTGTGTCCACTAACAACATTATTATACTTGCATCGCCCCTGACTTATGCTGTCTCCAGTTGTACCCGGAAGTTGAAATTTCCGAGCACCGAGTCAGAAATTCATCTGGAACACCCCCTGAAGTCGGATTTCCGACTCAGAAAGTCGGACAATCCTCACGAACCCGCAGTGCAAAAACAGTAAAGAGTAACAGTGAAAGCTCTCGTAATGTTTTATTTATTAGCACTTCTGTTTTGTTTTTGTGAAATTAAATAAGTGGTTTATGTTGTACTGCCCAACGTCTAACACGTGAACACGGTGCTATGGTGTTTGTAAGAGTAAAATACTGTGTTATGCGTTGTTTACAACTGGTATAGCTAACAAAAACTAACAACAGCTAACAACAGCTAACAGTTGGTGTCCATCTTGGTTTTCTGACTTGTTTACTGGAACGCCGTCAACTTGGGTGTCGCGACATTCCCAGCTCCGACTTCCAAGGTAACTGGAACGCAGCATCAAATTTCAGAGGGCTTCTCATCAGAGCTTACTGTTGCTAGGTTACAGCATTTTTTTTGATGCATTTCCGTTTTCCTTTGTATTGTCAGATCTGTTTTTATAAAGCTTTAGATTTGATTTTGTTTTAGTACATGAAGTCAAACAAGCAGCTCTGGACCTGAAAACAGTCCATCTGAAAAGCCAAGTGTGATTAAGGCTAATGGGGAACAGACCGTGTCTCTAGCCCTCATTTTCACCTGTTCCCACCACATTTAGACACAGGTAGCAGAGGTAGCCCAAGCACCCTTCGGTTTTTAAATCATCCTTTTTACTCAGTTGTGGGTGAAACCGGCAGGGCCTGTTGGGGTTAAGTGTGCTGCCCAAGGACACAAGATGATTAGACCGTTTTTGGTCTTGGGACACAGAAAGATGAAATATGCCATAAATGGAGACAGGCCCTTGGCACACTGAGCCTGGCTTTCAAGAAATGCAAGCACCATTTTCATGCATTTATGTCTCTGTTCAATACCAGACACCGTCATCGTAACAGTCAGTAAAAATGAGTTACCATTTATAGGGTTTGGGTAATTTTGGCAGTATATGTTTATACTATCTCACTTCTGGTGTTTTTATGTTGAAATAAAAATCCTCTGTGTCAGATTAGTGAATGTCATTTTTGCTCTGCAACGTGCCGTTAACCTGTGTCCCTCCCCCCGCCCGTTACTTAAGAGACTAATCCCATAATAAGATAAAAACCTCTGATTTGAACAGGAGAAACCTTTGTGTGAAAAGAGATTGGGAAAGGCCAAAGTGAGAATGTTGATCGTTTTACACGTGAGGTAAAGCTTTACCAAACTTCTGATTTATTTTCATCAAAATTAAAGATGACAGGGAGGAAGAGAAGTCGGAGGGGTCAGTGCTGGAGCAGATTTACTGAGTGATGGACAAAACAAAACAGACCTTCAATTTCAGCACAGAGCCGGACTCTGACATCTTTCTCTCCTCATTTAGAGCATTCAACAAATACTCGAGGGTTTCTCTGTAAACATCAGAGATATTTTCTGCAGCTGACTTTGCAGCGAGAGTTTAACGTATCTTAATCTGGATGTGTGATCTCACTCATATGACAGAGGCCGCAGAGGGCCAGCTGATCTGATCCCTGGATTTTCTGACGTCCAAAGGGGGCTTGAACAGAAACCACAACTGCAGCTATTTCATCATGCGGTGGATGCTATTCTTACCTCATGAAACAGCTGAATTCAAGCTGAATATTTGATGCCCGCTCTAAAAGCAGAGCTACTTTACATTCCGGGAGTCTGAAAGTAGAAGAAGTATTTGATGTCTTCAGTTCAACCCTTTTAAAAGTTTCGTCATGCATATGAAAGTAAAGTAAAACTGAGTGACGTCTCTTATCAAACTGACATTTAGTGGAGGTAAACCCCCGCCTGTTTCAAACGCCGGCTCTCACGTTTGATTTCAAAGAGCAGAGCACTTTAATTGGATGAATAATGTCACACTCAAGCAATAAAGATAAGCATTAAAGAGCTTGGGTGTCTTGATACTTTAGATATGTAGTAAGTCTTAAATTTTAAAAATATCTGTTCCCTATAAACTATTAATCAATACCATGAGCCATCAATAGGATGTGGGTTTATTGCTCTGTTGGATCCACAAAATCAGTTTGACCCAGATACAGTTTTATAAAAAAAGAGATAAAGACAGTCCTCCTGTTCGTGATGCTCACATATGGACTGTCTGACTGAGGTATTCTAGCCTTTCCAGCTCGTGTCGATCAGAACCTTCACCTTTTTGTACCAATCTACCTACAAAAATTTTAACAACTATTTGATGTTGTGCAGCAACATTTTGAACATAAATTTGTGTTTTGTTTTTTTTTTTAACATGGATGTTGCTGAAATGTTCTTGGCTTTTGGAACCAGCCTCTAGTGGACACTTGAGGTACTGCAGATTTGTGCACATCTGCGATAGCTTGATTTTTCAACATAAAGGCGTAGGAGTCCTCAACAGGAAGTCAGTTTTTAGGCAGTGTTTAAAACTTTCTTTCATGGACTAACTGAATGTAAGGGGTATTTTATAAACACGTTTTGTTGTGTTATACTCCTGAGTTCCTCTTTTTTGCTTCATCCTGCAGAGCATTTAAAAAACTGATTTGTAAAGCTGCTTTAAATTTATGAAGTAAGAATTAGAGGTAGTTTATTGTGAATTAAATTTTATTGTCTGTTCGTCCATCATATCTAAGATAGCTCCTCACAATCCATCTCTTTGATTTATTAACTCGGCAGGTTGTTTTGTAGAGTTTATTTTAATGACTTAGATGAACTTGACTCAAATAAAGACTCTCAGATCCTGTTTATATTTTACATTTCAGTTTAAAATAATTATCTAGATTGATTGGTGCCCATTTGTGTCTGCCTGTGTTTGTGCTGCAGGTTTTGTTTCAGACAGAAGAGGGCGCTGTTTAATTTAATTGGTGCTACAAGCTCTTGAGGTCTGCCTGACATCATGCTTTGGAGCTGAAACCAAATACATCTCAATAATATCTGATTAATTTGTCTTTTTTAAAACATTATTTTAATTCTGAGATTAATTCTGTCAATAAAAGAAACTCTAAAAGCCACAAAAGTCTTTCTGAAGTGTGAAAAATTTTGACTCAACAACTTTTTTCAGTATATTTTTTTCTTTATCGAGGCATAAAAACATGAAAATAAGAGACACATCAGGTATTTACAGCCCATCTATCAGGATCTGCACTGAAATTGACACAGAAAAAAACACAGAAATACTGACTTTACGCCTAAATATGTTTCTGACAGCAAGCTTATGATGATGAGAACTGAGATGCATTTCATTCACAAACATTAAAGTGGCTTAAAAAAATATCAGCTCGTAAAATCTCTGAAATGTAAACAGAAATTAAAAGCAAAGATCCTTCAAACATCCTCTGAACCTGAGGATAACTGCATGGGTTTCTATGAGGAGGGTTTTCAGTTCTTAAACATGTCACACAGCAGCTTCTCCATGGGGGTGTTTCCGATGGTCCTGTGGAAAAACAGCAGCTCTATCCGCTCTGAATTCACGAATCGCAGGGAGGGGAGAAGAAGGAGCAGCTTTCCAAACCTGCAACCGCAAAACAGAGAACAGAGACTTTGAGTTTTATCTGATTTAGACTGATTACAGAACCCAGCAGCACTGAGGGGTGGATCTTACCTGGCTGGTTGACTCGGGTAGTGTGAGCGGATGTGTTGTCCCAGCATCATTTGAGACTGATCCTGCAGGTTCTCCACCTGCTCTGGATCCTTCAACCCTCGGGTCTCTGTGAGTGAAAATGAACATTACATGAGGTTAAACTGTGTCTGAAATGATCATAAATTTTAAAACCACCAGTTGGCATAAAAAACAATCATTAACCTGGTTTGAAGAGCACAATCGCCTTGAGGCAGGCGAACTCTGTGGGGTCCACAGCGAGGGCCTTGAAGCGGCTGAAGACCTCCTGCAGGAGGCGCAGGTCCAGGCTGGTGTAGCTGGTTTTTCCCTGCATGCTGGGACAGAGGTCTGGCAGAGAGAGCAGCGGGCAGCTGTCCAGAGGAAGAGACCACTGAACAGCACAGAGCAGGAAGAGCTCGCTCCACGCCTCTTCCAGCAGAATCACCTGAACAGACACAAAGAGAAGAGGGAAACCTTTGAGAAAAACGCTGTTTACTTTTGGGGCATTTTTTTAAACTTTACTGTAATACCACAGCTGAAAGGAGACGGGGAATGAAGGGGCGCTAACCATAGATTTTAATTTACGAATTTGAGACTCAATTTCTTTTGTTCTTTTTTAAATTTTATTTGGTATTTGTCATATAAAATTATATTTTCTTTTTTAAATATTTTTTAATTGTCAATTTCTGCCAGATCTGAGTTTATACACAGAAATGAAAAGGATGCTTCTCTCCGAACCATCCATGCATTTTATACCACTTAATCCCATTAGGGGTCGTGGGGGGGCTGGAGCCTATCGCAGCATCTTTGGGCGAAGGCAGGGGACACCCTGGACACCCAGTCTGGGATTATTAAACATTATTTAGAGTACAGAAAATGTAATTTTATAGCACTTTTAAAAACAGAAGTTTACAAAGTGCCCTGACAAACAGTCATAAATAACAGTCGTAATAAAAACAGATAAAAAACAAAAGCTCAGTTAAAAATAAGGCCTCTGAATTGAAGGCCAATTTCATTTGTCATAAGAAACCCGGACAATACAATGAGAACATGAGGACCAAAATAAAAACATAAAATAGGTAAGAAAAAGAAATGTAAAAAAAAAGTGTGTAGAAGGCAGGAAACAGGATAGTAAATAGAAAAAAAGGCGATATTAATAATGATAATAAAATCATAATAAAATAATAATGATGGCTATAGTAATGATCAAACGGAATAACAAAAATGAGCAGAAAAAAACCCCAATAAAACCAATAAAAGGTGAAATAAGAAAGGATTCTAAGTAAACTCTAAGTTTCACAGAGGTCTCCTGTTACCTGGTCTCTGAAGGGCAGGTGTGAAAACACAGGCAGGTTTTTGGCCCACTTCACCGACATGAAGAGCAGCCTGGCGGAAGTCTCGTACACGTTCTCGGAGCTGGACGGGTACAGAGCCATGTGGTACTCTGAGGAGGCGCGTTCAGGCTCGTTGCTCGTCACGTCGATGTTCTCGTCAACTGAAACGGAAACGAGACGCGAGGATGAGCATGCTGGTGAGTCGACAAAAGAGTTTGGTCAGATGATTTTATCTGGAAGTTGTTCGGTAGATGTTATCAGTTTGATTTAGACTAGATACGCCAGCGCGCGGGAGCAGCCCGCTGAGTGACGTGCCAACGTGGCGGCCATCTTGGTGGAGGCATCGTTCCGATTGAAGGCAAAATAAATCATAACTCGCTCATTTCTCAGCCAGTTTTTCGTGCGTTTTACTTAATTGTTATCGCCAAAACACGTACTATTAATACAGAACAATTGATTAAATATCTTTTAAATCAAATATTCTGTATCAATAATTAGGGATGCACTGATCCGATATCTGCTCCGATATTGACAAATTAACTGGATCGGATATGGGATGAATGACGCCGATCCAGCATCCGGTCCAGGCTTTTCTTTTAATCAATTTTTCTTTAAATACATGAAAATTTTACTTCTTTTTGCTGTGTGCTAATGTGCAATTTGTTATTTGTTAATGAATAACATTATGTAAATTCATATCTGTGTTAACTTGTTTACCTTTTTTTTTTTTAAACAAGGCTAATGTCAAGCCTGATGCCTTCACTCAAGGTGCAAAGTATACAGTTAATTAATTCAACAGTAGTATTGATAGATACGCTCAGCCTAGGTTTTGTATCGGATTGCATCGGAAAAAAATGGATCAGTGCATCTCTATAATAACACGTTTTGATGTTGACAAATGCATAAAACCGGTCATAAATTGCTTAAATCAGACATTCAAAACAACCAAGGATGGGTTTAAGAGGTTGTTTTTGTAGGTTTTGGCCTCATTGCAAACTTTAGCAAACATATGATGAATGGCTCTCATGAGTTTTGGGGCATGTAAGAAAAAGACATAACCTCTGAGGTGTCACTGGGGCTCTTGCACAATTTAAGATGAAAAACTCCAAGATTGTACGGTTCAAACTTTGTTTTCTGCACTAAAATCTTCATTATATTTGGCCTATTGAAAATCTACTCAATACAATCTTTTTTTGTGACTTTGATTTTTAGGTAATAAAATAAAACTTCATGTATCACAGAATTTTTTGCCAAAACTGACCTCTCTACCTCCAGCAATCTCAACTCCAAGTATTATAAATATAGATTTTTGGAGGAAGCATGCCCAGCAGCTACAATAAAATCAGAGCATCCAAGTGTTACTATGACCCAATCATTAATCAAAGCCTCCTCACCGTCTTCAGGCTCCAGCTTGGCGCAGGTCTCAGCTGTCATGAGGCTGGCCATGAAGCGGTGGTTGTTCTGGGGGCTGATGCAGCGCTGGGGGGCCACAGAGGAGGTGATGGCCACGGAGGAGCTGATGTGGGGCCACGTGATGACAGAGCTGCTGGAGGAGGAAGAGGAGGAGGACGAGGAAGAGGAGGATGACGAGGTGGGCTCCCGTGTGGTGGCGAGGTGCTCCTTCTCAGGGTCCACATCTATGGAGTCCAGGCGCACCTGAGCTGTGCTGCGGGGCTGACGCTCATTCTGCACCGCTGCAGGGAGGAAGAAGTACTGAGGTCAGACATCATCAGTATTACTAATGTATCTATAATTTTTAAAACACGATATTCTTTAATGGTCTTTGTTATAAAACAGTGAAATCTTTGGTTACTGTGAGATCTGGCATTTAGGAAACTCTTATTATTTTCAAACACTCACCGTCTTTATTCATGCCGGCCTGCAGACACTTCTTCAGCCGACACGCCTGACACTGGTTGCGATGAGCTTTGTCCACTGGACACATTCCTGTACCGGCCTGACACCTGTTTACACAGAAAAAACAAGACTTTAAAGGAAGAGTCCACACAAAACTAGGGGAAAAAACTGCATTTACTGTAAAGAAAGACTACAGGAAACACTAATTTACTGTAAATGTTTACAAGACTTTAAAGTCCAACTTGGTCTGCTATTAAAACCTTAAGCAAACTAATAATGTTAATACAATAGAAATAAGTGGTGCGAAAAACTGTTTTATGCGACTAACTTAAAACCTGGTGGTTTTGCAGCGTCCTGTTACCTGTAGATGAGCCTCCTCCTCACGCTGCGTTTGAAGAAACCGCTGCAGCCGTTGCAGGCGTAGATGCCGTAGTGTTTCCCGCTGCTGGTGTCTCCACACACTTTGCAGACCAGAGCCGGACTCAGAGCTTTCCCTGGAGCTGGACTCTTGGCTGTGAGTCAAACAGAGGAACACGGGGCAGGTCGGTTAGTGCCGTTCATGTTCGTCTCATTGTTTCATACGTGCGCCTGCCAGCTGTCAGCCCGGCCTGAACAGAGCTCCACTCTTCGGCAGCGTTATGACAGCATTTAAGAAATAATTATTGGGTATTTATGAGGCTTTAAAATATAGACTAACCATCAAACGATGCAGGAGTGCTGATATTAATCTTAATAAACCTGCTGATTAAGATACACTAAGGCAGCAGAACTCATAGTTACAACGTTTATATCTTAATTCTGTTTTATGGACTTTTTTCTTGTTTTTTTAAATGCACCTGAGTGTCAAATAAAACAGATGTATAAGAGGTACTGCCACTATAGTTATTGTTATTCATGCAATAAGAAAGTTTAACATCTATCATTCAACAGAGTGATAAAAGATGGATTCAAAAGTCGTTAAATAATAAATTTTTTTTGGGTAAAAATCAAGAAAAATGGTCTAAGTAAAACCGGAAATTAGAATAAAAACAAGGAAAAGAATTTTATTTGAAAAAAAGCGGTAAAATCGGGAAAAAATGCCTCAAAATTTTTGAGTAGAAGAATTAAAAAGAGAAAAGGTGGTAAAATAAGACGATTTTTAGAAGTGAGTTTGGTTCTGTGATTGTGTGTTAACAAAGAAACTTGTTTTGATATTAGATATATAATTTTAAATTCGAGTGTTCAAACATAAACATAAAAACATGAGCATCCAAAAAAAAAAAAAGCCTTTAAATCTGAAGTTTTTTGTCGTATACTTTCACTCCTGGTACCCCTGTGTGAAACTCTTACCTCCTCTGCTGTCGTCCGTGCCGCCGCTCCCCGAGGACTCGGCGGGAGACGAGGTCGGCATCATGGGGATTTTGGGCAGGTGGTCCTCCATCATCATCTTTTTTAAAAAAGACTTCCACAGATGATGAATCGATACAACACACTTAGAGTCCACTTTTCTTGAGTTTGTGGCCAAAATGTCCTGAAAATCGCAAAAACAAACAACAAAAAAAAGTTCCTCTTCGGGATAAAAAGTGTCAGAAAGGCCTCCGGTCGAACAGACAGGTGGTACTTTGAGTCCCCCTTTTCTGGGCCTCTACTGTGTGGTGCTTCAGACGGGTCGGGGTCCTGCCATCAGCTCAGGCTCACACTTGTTGCTTGCTCCCTGCCTCCGGCTCTCGGGGTCAGTCAGTGTCTGCGGGTGCTGGTCCTCAGTGGCAGCTCCTCAAAAGGGAGCCCAGGGGGGGAGACAAGGGGGGGTGAGGGTGGGGGATTAGCCCCACGCGCTGTGTAAGCAGCATGCTTATTTGTCATCCTCTTAATCTTTACTGTTCATCTACTGGATCAATCAGTCACATTGCTGAAACATCGGTGCTGCTCAGACTCGGATCTCGACCGTGTCTGCAAACAAAAACAGAAAACAAACAGAAACGGTGACGGGGACTCCTGAAAGTCCTGCTCCTGGTGTAACTTTAGACCTGTTCTCCTCCGGATCCTCTCCTCCGGTCTCCTCTGTCAGCCATCATTCAACGCTCCTCTTCTCTATCTGCATTTAAACAGATGATTACATGAGGCACACACCGGCCTCTTCAATTTGTATTTCCCCTGCAAATTCCCCCCCCGCTGTATATTTGATCTGTGTGATTGCCTCCCATCCATAATGACCCCCTGTGTTTGCAGAGGAGCTGCACATTAACTCCCATTTAGCTTGTTTTTTTTTTTGACAAACTACAGATCATCTGCTTCCTCTGGCTGTCAGGAGGAAAAAAGGTCACAGAGGAATAATAGAGTTCTGGACGAATGATGTTTTAGTGGGCTGTAATTTGGCTCTCTCATTTATTTTTTAAGAGCTAGAAATCATCCTCATATTTGGCGTTTACATAGGCAGGAGTCTGTAGACCTGAGGACCAAAAAACCCAGGAGCAGAATTAAAAAGCGTCCAAAACGAGTGGCATAAACTCGCTGTTAAGTTGCATTAAAGTTGTTGAGCTGAAACCACAACATCTGTATGGCTTTGTCAGATTAAAGCTGCAACCAGCAGGTGGTAATCAATAAATGAACCGGGTTGATTTGAAAAGAATATTCTGAGCAAATCAAACCAAATTTTCCTGCCATTGACAAACATGAAACACATCAGAAAAAGGATAAATGTGGATTTAAACAGAAAACATCACTGTATGATTTTGTACGCTGTCTGCATGAGGGTAAAAACTTCATTATTGTGTAAAAAAACTTGCTATTTACAATTTACAGAAGTGAGCAGGATAAGCTCGACTCTGATTGGCTGTTGTGACGCACATTTCGTTTATGTTTGATCGAGTAAATATGCTCAAAGCTGATCACAATCATCGATCAGGATCATATAATTGTCCAGTCCTAGTTGAACCATAGACTGTATGTAGAATGGATGCCGTCTGCCTCCTTGCTGGGTGAAGCCACTCTGAGAACAGCACCCTCTGGTGACGGGCTGCAGTATAGGTCATAATTCCTGCCTCCTCCAGCAATCCCTATGGAGCTGTGGACAAACTTTAGAAATTAATGACACAGAATATAAATTTTTCTCCCCCCTGGTTGTGATGTTGACATGTAGTTACTGTCAGACTGGTTTGTGATCAAGTCCTCTTTTTTCTGTGAAGCTACGTTTTTAAAAGTTATTAGGGAGTTAATGTTTTCTATGATTGACACCTGATACAGCCAATGGGCGTATGAAGATTACGAGCTCACCTGAGGGATATGCTGTTTGAGCCGAGCGTCATCACAGCGACTCTCCCATCGAATGTATACAACACTACTCCGCAAGTGGTGATTCCAGGAAGTGGAGAAAATCCTGGAATTACCGAGAACAATTCTGCTTCAAATATGTATAATGACAGAGGGCGGAGCCAAGTTCTCCATAGTTTATACAGTCCATGAGTCGAACATTTACGCTACAAAAGAACAGAAAACTTGTAAGTCCTCGAACAGACTTGTCAGAGTTTGGAGTAAACTTACAAACGGGGAATTGAATCTCATGACCTCAGTTTTTCTTAAACCCAGACTAAATCCTGACTATCAGCAACATCTTGACCGAACCATATGTCAAATAATCTGAACTTTACAGAGTTCAGCTGAATAACCATGTTCAACGCCCAAACCGTCTCTCTGCTGCTGAGCTCTAAGTCAGTATTTTGCACTGAGAGCAACTTTAATGTGGATGTCAGCCAGTCTGGGCCCCGAGATAACAAGGCCCCCTTCATGATTGAAAAACAAAGAGGAGAGCGGATAAGTAGATTAGAGTTTGACCACATTTTGTCTGCCGGAGCACCCGAAGACGAGGGGGGAGAAGACACACAATTAGCTCAAAAGATTAAAAGAGCAGAGAAGACACACTCCTTGTGGGCATCTTTAGCCATATGGTGGCTGCTGTCTTCACCCCCGAACAACACAAACTGTTGACCTTTCTGAGATTTAACACTTAATTAGTCCTCTGAGATCAGTGCTCTGCAGGATTTCTGTGTCTTTCCAGCCAATTAAGCTCTGATCCTGATACACAGAGTCAATGATGTTTATGAAAATAATGGAAAGAGTCAAGGAGCTCATGGTCATTCCCTTCAATTCCAAAATTCCCTCCAAAGATGAACCTCAACATGTCGAGATGATTGTCGTCGGTGGAAATTTGCAGCTGTAATCTTAACGTCTTCTGTCGTTATTATGTGAGAAACAAATCTATCACTCTCATGCCTCTTTCAGGTAAAAACATAAATAAATCCAGAAGTTAAAATCAGAATTCAAACTTACAGTTCGTCAATGAAACCTGAAGATTTTTCCTCCTTTCCTCCAGACTGTGATTTAGGTTCATCTCCTCTTCATGTATTATGCATTATAATTTACTCATAATGTGCCGCCGGTGCCTTTTAATATCTTATGAGCAAAAGGACTTTATAAGTGGAGGTATTATTGCTCTATAATATATTAAAATAATGTGTAAAAACTGCTCAAATAAGAGGAATTGGTAGAAAGGTTGAAGGACCTTAGTTTGACTGTCATTAAAAAATAATACGATCATTACGTTGAGGTGGGAGAGGGGTCTGATCATTGAGATATTTTTCCACACATCTCCAAAGTCACTTTTCTGTCTTAAAACTACATGACGGCCAAATTCTGTTTCCAAGGTAACCAGCAGTTAGGAACCGTAGACTTTTTTCCTGTTCACTTGTTGCTTATTTGTGTTTAGATCAAAAGTCTATTACATCCCTGACTGTCTAAGTCTCAGCTTCACTGTAAATATCAAGTTACTCACAAACGGATTATCTTTTCACTTATTTAAAATGAACAGGTTTTAAGTTTGACAAAATAAAAACATGATGCAGATTAGTAAAAGGAAAAAAGTTTTTTTTTTTTAATTTTTTTTTTTAATGATTGTGAGGCGGCTAATCCAACTGTTTTAGCTTTTCTGCAGCACATTTATTCACTGTTTCATTGTGCATCCTTTCTGCACTTACAGCCGGTTTCTTATGATGAGGATCAGATACTCTGACTTTGTCAAAAATAACCCTCCTACTGTCCTTGAATAAGTCGGCTCTCATGTCTGTGCAGTAAAAAATTGGTTTTGGTATTAGGGCTGCACGATGATTTGATTCTGACGATGTTAAAAAAATTTAAATCAAATTTTCCTCTCTATCATGTCTCGCGCCTCCAGGCCCCCTTCCTGCGAGAGCGCTCTCCAGTTCCCACACACACCAGTGTAAACAAACATGGCGTTTGCTAAAGAAGGCGATAATTTCGTGGTTAAATAGGACAAGAGCGAGTCAGTCGTGTTGAATTGGTACGACTTCACAGTTTCAGATGAAGAGTAAACCACTCCCCGCTGCAAAGTCTGTCTGAAGGCGGTATCAACCCGTCACCACGGAAACTAATTCAGGAGTAAACGCTTAAGTTTTTTGTTGTATCGGCGTTTCACCCACACAGAACTGTACTGTCTGAAAACGGTTCAGAGAGTGCATGAATCTGTAAACATCCGTGGATGTCTATCCCCAGTGTAATTTATTTCTTGAATAGCAGTTGACCCTCAGGCTGCTCATGTTGTCTTGCACTATTATTGCTCATTTGAACACATTGCACTTTTAATTACTTGGTAGTGGTTTTTCTCCATTTTTGGTTTGAGCTCTGGACTGAATTTTAGGTGGTTTTGTGTTTCTGATATTGTGTTATGTTTTTAATTGTTCTATGTTTTTTAAATTTCAATGTTTTTTTTTTTATTTATGTTGTCATTGCGTACTTGTCTTTTGTGAGCCCTGCTGCAAAACTAATTTCCCTTATGGGACAATAAAGAGATTCTGATTCTGATGCTCCGTACTCTTCAGTGGTTTCGTTTTGAGAGATGATAGAAAAACTTTTTATTCTTAAAGTGAAGTTTGGTGAAGACACTGAATAAAACATAGAAATCGAAAACCTTTTTCTATTTGAAAAAGCGAAAAACCTTTTGATTTGATCTTTTGAAGAGGGACAGGAAATGTTGGGAGTAGAGTAGAGAGCGGTTGTGGCTGGGAATCGAACCAAAGACCTTCGTAACAAGGACGACAACCTCTACACGTGAGGTGTTGGCGTTGCTCGGCCATCTGCACCCTGTCTGATAATGTGTGTGGATGCAGAAATGAACTAGTTTTACACTATATTTCATTTTCAGCTAGGAGACAGAAGCTGATTCGGACCCTGATGACGCTGTAAACCCTCAAAGAAACAAACAAGCTTCATCATTTCCTTCATTAACAAGGTCAGAGGTGTATTAAAGTGTCACCTGCTGCAGGAGTGTGACCGTGTGCGGCTGATCTCCTCTCCATGTTTGGGAGATGAGTGTGTTGTTGTTCAAAGGAGCGGCTGCAGCACTATACCAGTTTACATAATGATGATAAGCTGCAGGACTCAGTGACACCATCAAGTTTTAGGAGAAGACTTGCTTACTCCAGCAGACCATAGATTATGCTCAGACTAATAGATTAGCACGGGAGCAGCCTCATATTAGGATTCAAAGAATGATTAGAGGAGGCGCGAGTGTTATGTAACCACACTCATCAACCTTTGCCGTGTTTGATTAGTTTTTTGGTCCATTTTTTGAGGAGAAACTCTGTGAAATAAGCAGGTGAATGAAAACTGAGCTGGTGGACAGTGGAGGAACTTTTTCATTCTGCTCTTCTCGCTAAGCTCCACCGTGTTTTTCTGGACGTCGATTATCTCGTGTTGGTGGTAAACACGCCTGTACATCAGAGTCCTTACACTCGGTAACCTCCCCGCCATATGAAAGAGGATGAAATACACACACATGCGCACACACCTGCAGAGGGCGAGTTTAGTGAGTGTTACCATGGATCATGAAGGAAGCTCAAGCAGGAGGGGGTTAAATCTGATCTGTCCAGTGCTGACGACAGCAGGGCGGCTGCATCCTCACATCAGCCCTGTATCAGTGTGTGTGTGTGTGTGTGTGTGTGTTTATAGGTGTATGTGTGTGTGTGTGTGTGTGCGTGTTATATAACAGTGTGATAAAGCAGCATGTGGCTGCTGAGCCTCTTACCTGTGTCAGGAAAGCTCTTGCAGGAGGTCTTCATCCTTCACGTCATCATCTCTTTGATTGTCAACAGTTTTTTTTTTTTACATTTATCAAAAGTTTCAAGTCCTACAAAAACAGATTTCCTTATTTTAACGTGCAAAAATATTTCCCAAAAAAATTGGAAAACCATCAATAAAAACAGAAATTGATGGTTTGCAGATGATCTAAACTCTGCTAAGAAAACTGTGTATTAGGGCTGTGCGATAAAACGATAACGATTTAGATCGAAAATTAATTTCCCTCAATATCAATATAAAACATGGTCAATACGCTTTCCGATAGTCGGCATTCTGCTATGTTTTGGTAGACTGTACGAATAGTAGGCCGGGACGATAAGCTTTTTTCCCCGATTCGTTTCCTCTATGATTTTTTGGATACCGATTTGATTAAAATTGTGATTCTACCATATTGTTAATTTTCTCGATTTTTAGTCTGCATTTTTAACACCAGTGAAACAGTTGAATGATTCCGATTGTCTACTGACTATTCCAGGAACCATATTTCCTCAAATTAAACACATCACATGTAAGTCAGTTTTTAAGATTTATTCTTAAATTCGGGAGAAAAAAACGCCTTCTGAAGATAAAAATCAATTTAAAAATTGTAAAACAAAAAATCACACTTATGGGGATCAATTTTTTTTCTCCCACTCCTAACTAATAGCCAATGAGAAGGGGAGTTTCTCCAGCGCCACTTCACGCTGAACCAATCATATGCACCAAGTCGCAAACAACTGTGTAGTGGCAGGCTGCAGCTACGCTCAACCATAGCATTTGAATAGCAAAATGCCTCATGACAAAACGTCGAAGAGACACAAAGACCTCAGATGCAGAAGCTTATTGTATTTCAAAAGACATGCTACCAATACGCACTATTAAATTTCTTTTTTTATATTGTGATATATATCGATATTGGCTGATATGAAAAATATATATCTTGATAAACTTTTTCCCATATCGCCCAGCCCTTCTGTGTATGTGCTTATTTTAGATTTGTTCTCAGGTGACTCTGCGGTGGGAATCACCACATGAACTCAAAATGACCTCAGAAAGATTTCCTGCATGTTTATTGATCCATGACCAGGAGAGGCTGGGGACTTCTTATGGGCTAACTTTAGGTTTAATGAAGTGGAAAACCGAGCTTTGGACAGAACTCTATTCGTAGGTTTCGAAACAACATATACTGTCCAACAAGAGCTGCTGAAATCCTATATCGAACAAGAAGTCTAACTATTCATAATCCTACACGTGGTCCGTGGTCTAGCTGTCCTTTAGGGGCCCTTACAGATGTACTTGTGCCTGCAGGAGTCTGACCGGTCCTGTGTGTCCAGCTCTCTCTGTCCTGACCTAGATCTCTGACAGTAAACAGCTGCTTCCTAAAGCGACGTCGCGCTGCCATCAGCAGAACAGCCCCGAGAGATAAATGTCAGATTGGAGCTCCGCTGAGCCTCTTGATGCAGCTCAGGGCCCCGCGGTTCGTTTAGGAGATCCGCACAAACACTTAGCAGCCAACTGCTGCTGCTGGCATTGTTTTACGCTGTCTTTTGTTTGTTTAAATTAACACTGTTTGCTCTGAATAATAAGCCGCCATAGAGGAGGCTTTATGTCTGATTTAACAGGCGTCATATGAATCTGACAGATAAACAACAAAGCATTAGGCTGTGAAATCAGAATCTCTTGACTCCGATTTACAAGAAACAAATCTGTAAATATGTGACTCCAGCGGCAGAAACTGGAGGAACAAAAACTCATGATGGTGTCTTCGACCACGTGGACTTAAGTAACCTGGTCGACAGTTCAATGATGAATCAACATAAGCAGATTGAAATAATCCTTTTGAATGTCAACTGTTGACAAAAGACTGGGATTATAAATTCCAGGTATTCGTTTATTCAACAGGTGTTTCTGCAACCAGAGAATTCAGCAGAGTATAAAATCAGATTTACTCTGACGGTTTTAAAAATATGAATCATCCCAGTTTGTGTCAGTTTTTCTCCACTTTGCCGTAACTCAAAAAAGTCTCTTTATTATTTGCAAATACGAGTCAAAGCATGCTTCTGTTTGTGTCTGAGTAACGACTCAGTTTCAGTTTCCTTTTTAAGTCTACGTCTACTCCTTTAATTAGAATTTTTGCATCATATATAAATTATGACCGGCAGATGAATATCAATCTCTCAACCACTGCTGCCGCTGCAGTCTGGGATTAGCTCAGATGACTTTAGTTGAGATTACAGCCCCCTTTGGAAACTCTGAGGAAGCAAGAAGATTACAGCCAGTGAGCTAACTGAGACCCCCGTTGTTACATATACATGTAATTTTTTAAAATTCTTTTTCATCATAATTTGGTTTAACGTGGGATATACTTGAGGGGATCTCAAACTTTAGATCAGGTTTAGTTTTACAAATAGTTATCAACATATTTAAAAAAAAAAGCAGGTTTTATTTGTTTGAAGGTGGCATTAAGAATATCGACTCAGTATAAAATTTTAGGCATTAATTCTCCTTTACTGTCCAATGAGGGGTACATTTGTGCAGTGCAGTCAGTGGTAAAAGTGGTAAAATTAGATTTTTTGATTCTGTCTGTGAAGTTACTGAAAAATGACATTTTTTAGATTTCCCTCAGTTGAAATAATGTGTTTTGGAAATTTTATGGAGATTCTTGTAAAATGTGTTTTACAAATGTCCTTATTCATGATGATTAAGACTCAGAAAATGCTGTTTTATTAACTGGCGATGATAATTTTCTCAATTGTTTTTCTCACAGTTTTAATTTATTGTAATTTGAAGTTCATTAAGTTTACCTCAAAGCTTTAAAATCTTCCATCTGCATAACAATTTTGTGGCACTTTGGCCTTTATTTACATATTCATTTAAATATTAGCATAAAAACAGATGTATTAATATTAATTTGTTTTAACTCAGTGCACCTGTATGTTTTTTTTTTGTCCTTGCACATGAAAAAAGTGACTTTGAATCATGAAGTCGTATCCTAACTGGGAAAAAAACAAACCGATCAATCGAATACTTTTGTGATCCGTTATTCTTACATTAGTTTGATTGCTCATGATAGAATCTTTCTTCAACAATGGTTTGCTCTTAACAGAGCTGTAATTCCCCTCTCATCTCCTTACCCTCTCACCCGTCTGCCCCCCTGCTCACCCTCTGGCTCATCTTCTGACTGCTGACACAGCCATTACTCACCCTGTAAAGCAGCTCTTTGGCCGTGCGGCTCAGCGAGTTCATTAAGATTTCGGGGGGAGGGCGGGGAGGGTGTTGCGTGTTGGTTTGGGAGGAGGCGGGTGGAGTGCAAAGGGTCAGTCCAGTGGGCAGCTGGGATTACCACCAACTCGCCATCTGCCATCCCAATAATAATCAGAGCGAGGAAATCAAGTGGCTGAGTAAATATCAGGTATGTAAGCACATTTGACACAGTAAATAGGATGGATTTTAAGTCAGACGAGCCTCATGCTGAACTCCAGGACACTCTCTGTACATGTACAACCCCTTTCACACACGTTTGGATAATTTCCTAAAATTTTCAGGACTTTCAGGCCCTGTTTTTTCATGAACTTGCACTTCACAGTGTGAGCTTTCCTGTGTCGCACACACTCTCACAACTCGGTAGAGGAGGTAGAGTCTGAAGTGATGACTGTTTACACATTCGCTGAATTTTCCTGCAGTAGAAAACACAAAACGGAGAACTGAGACAAGCAGGGAAGTATAATCTCCCTCTTTTTACCAGTACTAACCTGAGATCTTCTGACCTAAATCGTCTCATTTCAAACTTTACCAACTTAGAAAAACTGCAGTAAAATTCAGGAAAGTTTTGACTTATCTAAGAATTAAGAAACTTATTTACAGATTTAATCAGTTAGATATGTATTATAATGAGTGCATAAGTGTACACTGGCATTTCTGCTCCTCTTATTGGTGACTTTTGAGTCTTTCTTCATTTGCCTAAAATTTGCAAAAAAATATAAATATAAAATGCAGGACCTGGAAATCGTAGTTCAAGAAGCTGAATCATTTGAGCTGTGAGGGAAGCAAAAAGACACTAACTGTACAGGTTTTAGAGTTTTATTCATTCACATTCACTATAAAATATGAGGCCTAAAGGAAAACCTGAAAACATTTGAATAGTTTTCTGTTAGGATGAGGTTTATTCCTATGAAAGCTGAGTTTTATTTTTGATTGTTTGTTTTTTTTAATTTCATGATATGACGCCTCAATATTTTACCAAAAATTGGAGGAGAGTTTTGTTGAGAAAAGTCATTTAAGTCCCAAAAAATGCTGTTAGTGGACACAGGCCCTGAACCTAGCAACAGCATAAGATTGGCAACAAGTAGAGTGTTTTATATGCTGACAGACAGACAGGATATTAGGGGTTAAAAGTTCAACAGAGTTGGAGTCCCGGTTTGGCTCAGCAGGTGATATGGCACCCCGTATGCAAAGGCTTAGGTCCTTAAAGTGGGCAGCTTGGGTTCAGTTTCACCCCCAGGGCCCTTTGCCACATGTCACCCCCACTCTCTCTGCCCGGTTACCAACATTAACCACCATTCATTCCTCTAAATATGAGCATTAACAGCCCAGAAATGATCCAGACCCCAAACCGATGGTCCAGATTCATCGAAACTTGTATTTAGTGTTCTTAGACCATCTCATTTAAAGCCGATAATCGGACCAAAATGGCCGATAATAGTCAGATTTGTCTTTGAGAACACAGATGCTGCTTTAAATGAGTCACGCAAACAACACGCAGAGCTTAGAGACGCTAATTTAGACAGATGCCGCGCCGGGTTCACTCTTTCCCGCCTTTTATTTATTGTTATCAAATCGGCTCAGCGGTAATTAAAATGGTATTCACATCCTCGTTTTTACACCCTATTATCTCCCGTCTGTAAAAATCTATTTAATCCCGAATAAAACAATTAATTTGCATATAGTGGTATTTATATAATAGAGAAGGTCCCCTATATACTCTGACATGCTAATGAGATTATCGGCTAACATTCAGCAGCTCTAATTGACTTAATTGTATAGAAAACCAGTACGGCCTTTCACAAACAGGAGATCCAGTCTGATGCAGCGAGCACCGGTTGCCCTCTGAGGTCAGCACGGTGGTCATTTATTGTTCCTTTGTCGAGTGCGATGCTGCAGAGACGCGTCAGTGGAGGATTAGCGAGCAGCGGCACATGTCAGGGAGTGAGAGTGTGGACCAGAGCGTGCCGCTCGGACGGAGCGTCATGGGGCTCAGGGCTGCCGGCACACGCCCGACCACGCTTCGTCCCCCAGCATAGACACAGAGGAAGGGTGGGCTTGAAATGATGTCACCGCGAACACAGCTGGAAGTTTTTAAGAGTTAGAGAAGGGAATATTTTAAATACTGACACTCAAATACTGATCTTTGCAGCACCAAAACCCCATACACAGAATTGCAGATTCACCTGGTCGCCTTCCTCAGCTGCCTTCTTCATGGGGTATCTGGGGGGAAAAGCGTTTTCCGTTCTTGGACTCGTGCAGCCTGCAGACCACTGCCGAGTAATCAGGACGGGAACTCGAGCTGTCCCTCACCAGGTCGCTGTGGCCCCACTCATTATCTTATCTCCCATTGTAACCCGCTGTAATTCACCCTCTCATGATTGATGATGTCGCTGTCTGATTACACCAAGACAAAACCCCCCCGAGATCACCTTTCGCTCCTGTGGCCAACTCCACAAGCTCAGCGAGGTCCGCCTGCTGGAGGGGACGACGGGGGGGAATGTTGAGCTGCTGTCAAGAGCGCGTCGGGTTTGTGTTTTTTCTGAGCAGGAATCAGAACGATGTCAGAAACTAGACCACTGTGTAGATAACGGATGTAGCCAAGAGTAGGGATGGGCGATATGGGCTAAAATTTCACCATGATGAGATTTACCATTCTGGCGATAATGATAAAAGTCTTGATAAAAAATGGTATAATTCCAATTTGTCTTAAGAACACCAGTCGGAGTTGTCAAATAAGATACTCAACCACAATTTTGATTGGTAGGTTATGGAGAAATTACATCAAACATCAGCAGATCCACTGTCCGAGGTCAGGCAGACCTGATTGCGCTCGTCTAACCCCCAATTTCCACCGCATTCGGAACAGCTACGAAAAGGCCATACCCGCCGATCGTAGCTGATCGTAACCATTCAAGTTAACGTGTCAATTTCCACCGACTTCTTTCCGTTCCGCTGCGGATCGCCGGACTCCACAGCTGATCGCAAGAGTTCTATTTCTTCTGAACGCCAGATCAGGCCGGATAAATTCAGCACAGATTAACCCGTGCTGGAAAGGAAGTCGGGTACAGACACAAAATAAAACATCCGGCTTCTTTTCAAAATAAAGCAGTCCGTGTTTCAGGTGGAAGCTAAGCTCTGAATCGGAAATTAATCCGGAACGCCCCCCTGAAGTCATATTTCTGACTCGGAAAGTCAGACGGTCTTCACCAACCCCAACTTAACGACAACGTCATAATCCAAGATGGGTGTAACGTCATTTGCAGCTCCGACATCCGACTTCCAGGGTTACTGGAACGCAGCAAAAGCCAAATGCGGATCGCTTCACCTTTGGAGGCAGCCCCTAGTGGCCACTCAAGTAACTGCAGATTTTGGCTCATTTTTCAGCCCTCTTTGCAACCTTTAGAAACGTTGTTTTCCCCTGAATGTTTCCAAAAAGATAATTCTGTCAATATCTGTTCTACCTAATTTCAAGATGAATCCTGCACGACTCGGAGCAGCATGTTTGCTAAGCCTAGCGTCGTGTGGTGCAGCAGCTCAAAAACAAAGGAGAGCCGTGGTATAAACTATTTAGGCGGAGGACTCTGCTCCAGATCATGTCCTCGGCTTGCCTCGGACAAATCAGATAGGTAACCTGTGCTCTTTTAAAGTGAGACAGTGAGCCTCATCTCTCCATGCGGCAGGTGGAGACAGATGCCTCATTATCCATGCCACAGGGGACAAAACAAGCTCCGGACCCGATCGCCCCCCCGCGCTGGCATTTGGTTTCCAGAGCACTGACACAGGGCAACCTTGGAGCGCCGCCGGGACGTGCTCATCTCTGACCTCAGTGAGCGCAGGTCGCATGCAGAGTCACATTAAACTTTCAGAGAACCCAAAGGTCCCCGTCAGGAGTGTTAACAGCGGCATTGTCCCCGGTCCCCCTGACTCAAAGGGCCAAGTGTAACAAGGCACCCCCTCCAGTGGTCAGGGCCGCCCCCCCTGGGTTTACAGATACAGTGACAGCCTTCAAATCAGTCTGCAGCTTCTTTTGAGTCTCTGTGTGTCGAATAGAGACGGAAGATTCAAGTGTAAGAGGTTTGCTGCTTTATTCCCATTACATGAATATTATTAAAAGTGAAGTATTTCTACATTTATTCCGGGAACTACTCCAACAAATCTCTGTGAACTGTTGTCCTGCTGCTGTCTGCGGTCCTGTTTGTGGATTAGTCTGTCTCCCTTTAAATCCCATTTACATGCCATTCATGCCTGCAGATGGTTTTTCCAAGAGTGAATCTAGTTTTGTTTGAATTTTCTGCCTCTAAATGAAAAAGAACCTGCAGACCATGCAACTTTGGTTTTATCTAAAATTAATAATAAAGAAAAGGCACAGCCGGAAGAGACTACAGATGGACGTTTGGCTCGGTTAGCTGTAAAAGAAACTCATGGGTGGACATCTGTGAAGGCTGCAGCCTGGCCAGTAATGACTCTGGAACATTACGAACCCCCCTGCTGTTATAATAAGATCATGTTCATGCAGGATTGCTGAGTTTGATGTCCTAAAATCAGAGTATTTGGTGGAAACAATGAAAACACCTGCTGCAGATTTGATGACATCAGCTGCAAAAGCTTAAACAAACATGAAAACGTGGTGATAAACAGTTAAGGATTTACTCTCCACACAATACACAATCTGTTTGTGTCCATTTTTTAAAAAGCTGCTGTTGCATGTAAAGTTTGTTGTCTGTGTGCGTAACCATGATGGAGGAAATCTGATCTTTTTTGGGACATGGAAAGTCCTTTGTTGTGAAAAATGTTTGTGGAACCGCTAGAGCTGAAACAAATTTGTGTGCATTAGATTACTGTCGAGTAGGCCCCGAGCGACCAACTTATATAGATTTTTTGGGGCCAGTGCCGATATTTTATTTTATTGTGGGGGGGTCCGATTACTGATTAATTGGACGATTTTTTAATTTTTTATTAATTTATAAAAAATATATATATATACTGTAGATATCTGCAGTTTACTATATACCATAGATATACTGTAGGCTACTGCTCTTTATGCGGACAGGAAGACCGACTGATCAAACTCGGACCAGAAAAGCGTTTTCAGCATTTTCGGCTTGCTGATAAATCGGTCGGGCCCGACTGTCAATCATAAATTTTCAAATAATAGTTTACTGTCACAAGATCATGAATAAATTACTGTTAAAATTCAGAAGCACGAACATAATATCCATCAAATAGTAGAATCGCCGTCTCATAATCCAAAGTTTGGAGGTTTGATCCTGCAGGCCCTGTTGTCCACAGATAAGACATTTGACCCCCAAACCGCCCCCAGCAGTGTGTGAATGGGATCAATTGATACTGATGGGTAGTTAACAAAGCAGCCTCAGCCATCAGTATGTGAACGCTAGAGACATTTAGCATTTCTATCTTCATTTTATATCAAACTCTTTGAAAATATTGTGAAGAAAGCTTTCCAGATTGGTGAAGTTGAAACCACAAAACTGGATTTACTGCACAGTTGGTTCTGAAAGATTCTGAGACATCCTTAAATATTTTTCTCTAGGACTGATGCAGGAACTTAATCCAGGACAGCCTTTTTGGTTTGGGGAAAAAAATGCAAAATCTGACCTTCCTCTTCATTTTAATACACAGAGACTATTCAACATGCCTGAAAGTGCCTGGATTATTACAACAGCTGTAGAAGAAGTTTGGAGAGCTTTTTCCTGAGTTCACAGGATTGGAATAGTTGCTTCGATTGCTTTTGTGTTTTAAGGACTCTGTTCTGTTCTGTGACATGAGTTTTAAAAAGTGCTCCAGGAATCAAGATTTCTGATTTACCCGGAGGAAAATCTGAAACAAATAAATCTGCTTGAACAAACATGATAAAAGTCTCTTCTCAGCTGCAGAACTGTGTATCAGTAACAAAGATATAGGCGCTAAACCAAGCTGGAAATATGCAATATATTTATTCTGTAATCATGTATGATGCGCTCCTCTTTTTCATCAAAATAAATCACTGCACACTTCGACCTTTTCCATTACAGCAGTAGCTCTCGCCTTTAATCGATATAATGTACAAAAGACACCTTTTTAAAAAGTCTAATGACAAAAATGATGAATACAAAAAATAAACTTTCATGACAAATTAACAAAATATTCCTGCTCTGGATTAAAAGTGATATTCATTGGTCCACTTTGGATCAGTTAGGATATAGTTTTAAAACTCTGAGCATCAGCGAAACAACCTTAAAGTGCCAGTCTTCAAGAGAGGTATGTGTAAAACTAGAGGGTTTGCTGCCACCTAGTGGTGTAAATGTGAACCAGAGTAAAAAGCTGACAAAATGGAGAACTGAAAAGACTCACTTTGGGTCATAACTGACTGAGACAGAGTGCTTTAATATAAATATCTGTGGAAATGATTGGTCCTGAAATCAAACAGGGTTTTGTTTCTATGATGAGAGGCTTCAGGTGAGTGTTTTCAGTCCCTGTGCTCTGTCGTGCTCTTGAGGTAACGCTGCAGCATGAATACAAACACACAAACGTTCACAAAAAACTCGATTAAACCTATAGATGAGATGCCGTAGTTCACGTACAGGAAGCCGCCGACAGTCGGTCCCACTGTGCGGAGAAGAGATTGTACGGATGCACAGAGTCCCATCATAGTGCCTGTGTGAACAAAGCATGTAAGGTTTATTAAACGACTAAAGTAAGAGGAGTTATTTTTGTTTGATTTCAGGTGAATCTGCAGACTGAGGCTTAGTTTGTCTCTGTTACCTGTTTCAGAGGACGGTACGCTCTTGGTGAGCATGCTGTCGGTGATGACATTGAACACACTGAGAGCAAACATCATGGGGGGGACGATGATGCAGAAGTGGACCACGTTCTGCATGTACGCCTGCAGGAAGAAACAAACAGAGAGATTTTTAGTCTCCTGTTTCAACGAGCTTCTTTTTCCCTCCTGGGACATGTGTTTGGACGTACCTGAGCCAGTCCAACCAAAGAGGAAACTCCGATGGACATGAGCAGCAGCGATTTGTCAGAGTACCTCGCCGTGAGCCGGCCGATCACCAGACCCTGCATGACCTGAAACAGCATCCAGATTGATATAATCCTTTGAGCACTACAGCCACTCAGCTTTTCCAGGAATCTGAGCGGCACCTACCATTTGGACGATGCCAAAATAAGCCATCAGGTAACCGTTCTGCTGAGGTTCCAGCTTGAAGAACTCCAGAGCGATAATGGAGAACATGACCTGGAAAATACCTTTGGAAGAAAGTCCAGAGTTTAGAGATTGAGAGCTAACTCTGCAGAACCGAAACAGTCCCAGCCTCCATAAGGTTTCAGCTCAAAATCAAGTTTTTATTTCTCACCTGAAGGCAAACCTGAGATGATCTTCACCAGAAAGGTGGGCGTCACACCGGGATACTTCATCAGTCTGGTGATTTCTCCAACATTAAAGACGGATTTCTTTCTGCTGTCGTCTGCAGCAAATTTGGATTCGAATCATAAACAGAAGGAAAAATAACATTCAACCATGAAAAAACATCAGTACGTGATTTATTTCATAAACGTCAAAAAACTCCTGAAGTCGTGACGTTATGAGAACTACGCTGTGGTAAAGTCATAGCTTTGGTGACCAGATTGAGGATGAATATGGATCTCACCGTGTCAGACACCTGAAATGAACTTGATTCTAAAGCTGAGGATTCTGTTCTCTCTCTGACCCGCACCCTGTCGTCGATTACTTTTAAATTTCATAAAAAAGCATCAATATGAATTTAAAAAACACCGGAAAACTCTCTGCTGCTTTAAAATGGTCATAAACCTGACAATAATTTAGATTCACTGGCAGCTGAGCAGAGTGAAGCATGTCTTACCTCTCGTGTCGGTACTTGAAGCTTGAGTTTTGGTGGTTTTGGGGATGAACTTTAAAACCAGCAGTAAAGAGACGGCACTCCCTGCAGCGCCAAAACATGCTGTGAATGTCTCCCTGGGAAAAAAAACAACAATAACAATAAAAGCAGTGTTGGGGAGGTCGAAAGTCTTGAACATTTTGGTTTTATTACAGATGATGTTGGAAATATTCACACTTGGAGGCCTCCCTTTAAAAAAACATCACATTTGTGGCGGACACTTTTGTCTTTGAATCTATTCACATATAAAGGCAAAGAAGAGAACGAGCTTTGGATGAAACACTGACTTACTTTCACCTTCCTTACATTGAGGCAAATGACTGAGTAGAAAGTGTCTGTTTTATAGACTTATACTGAACAACAAAAGCATAAACAACATAAGCATTACTACGTTCTCCAGGGACTCTAATACAGTCAATCACAAAAGCTGATACCAGAAAGACATATACTCCTGAAGATTCAATATTTCCAGATTAAGATGACTATAAGGACTGAAACTTACCCATAGCGTGTGTTCAGATGGCCGCCCAGCGTGGAGCCGGCTATCATACCAATCCCAAAACACAGAGCTAGTTTGGATAAAGCATCGGCCCGTTTCTCCGGCTCTGAAAGGTCTGCGACGACCATCTGAGAGGCTGCGGGAGACCAGAGAGGAATAAAATAATGAGAAAGGACAATAAAATTAATGGAAAACAAAAAGGTTTCTGATGTTTTTAAACCATCGCATAAAGAAATAGTCATTTTAATTTAAGAAAAAGTTGTAATATTAACTGATTCTGGGCCTTCTTTACAGCCTTAGTTCAGAGGGAAAAGCATCAGGACTTTAGAGTAACTGGTGCTAACCTGGTAGGACGTGCATGAAGACTGTGGGGAGTTTGTGGACAAAGAGCATGGCAGGATGGTCTGCTATGGCCAGCAGCAGAAAGAAAACTATCGTTGAACTACAAGCAAGAGACAAAGCGATTCGTGCTCCGAAGAGATCTGCAAACCTGCAGAGAAAACAAAGCCAAACTCAGGAGCCACGAGTGAGAATAGAGGTCACTTAATCTGTGACACATTAAAAATAACATACATAGTAATCTGCTGTCCGGTCTTCAGTGTTTGGCACTTACCTTCCAAACATGGGACCCCCAAACAGCTGGATCACACCCACTGTGGTTTGTAAATAACCGAACCACAAAGTGTCGAAGCCAAGTTTCTTCGCCAAATACTACAGACAGGGGACAAAATAAGAACTCACATTAAAATCATCCTCTAGATAATAGTTTTCAGGAGTTCATGTAGTAACAAATTAACCAAATTAGTAAAATCCCAGCCTTCCTGTTCGGATTTTTTAAAAACATATTTCATATACAGAGTCCTCTCTACTTAAAGAGACAGAAAACAATCTTGTTAAAAAGTATTTGTAATAATTTAGAGGTTTAAACTCTTGTTTTGTCAGAAGAAGCACTTTTTGTAAATGTGAAGGATGATCCTCAAAAGGACATTAAGATACCGCTCCACTCATGAGAATTTATTGATGCTAATTTAAAGTTCAGATAATCATGTGCTAATGTGCGTCTTACTCATGCTCTAATGATCACCACATCATAGAGTAATTAAGATTATGATTAGCACACTGAGTAATTAATGTCCTACTGCTGATTCATTTATTCATTCACCAGCTGTGTCATTTAATGCAGTCAGTTCATTAGCACACTGCTGTTGAATAATGTGAAATATGTTTGTGTATTCTGTTTGCATGGTGTTTCGTGTTGGTTTTTAATACTGTTATTGTATTCATTTGTATCACTGTGAATGCAGACAAAAATCCCCTGGGGGACAACGTAGTTTGTAGTGTATTGTGTCGTATTGTATATTTATTATTAACAGTAATTTACCGTATATGCTGCTGGTCTCAAGCTAACAAACTTAGCACTACGTTTTTCTGGATGCAGCAATCATGCCAGTTGTAGGTGTAATAGTCTGAGCAATATCCACACTGTTTAGCTAATCATACACTATATGCCTTTATAACTTTGTTGAGGTGAAAAGTTGTTTTTCATGTATTTTTGTTTTACGTCATTTCAAGTTGTGTGAAAACAAACAGTCTGAACCTGAAGACCCAGTCTCTCATTGGAAGAACTATTTACACATGTTTAGATTTGATCAGTTCTGTACATTTTTTACTGCTCTTTACTTTAAATCTTAAGCGGTCAGATCTTATTTCTCAGACACACGGTTAAAGAGTTATTCCGCTTTTTTCGCCCCCTTTTAGCCATTTGCACATGTCACGCCAAATGCTTCTTGTTTTCTAACTGTTTTTTGTTGTAAAGTGCTGACAGTATGTACTGTAGTTTTACTGTTATTGCTCCTGGCTGTTGTCTGTAAGTAAAACTCAGAAGTTTAAGAACACTGGAGAGCTGACCCTGTGTTGTATTTGACACATGAATGAACAGTAGGCCTATTAGTTAATGCTAGACATTAAAAGTGAACTAATTCATGGATTAACAGAAAGTCTTACATCACTCAGACTGTTTAACATACAAACTCTTCATTACTGAGTAATATGGTGATCATAAATATGTCAAACAATAACTCACCTCAACCAACATTTATCTTTGTTTAAATTAGTGTCTGACATTTTTTCAAAGTAATGTGCCTAAACTTTCACCACCATCTAAAATTATTACATAACAATGACATAAGACAATCATACAACAGTTATAGTCAGTTCAAAGCAATCCAGCTGCATTTCTACCTGATACTGCATCTGTAGGTTTATGTTTTACCTGTTACACTGGGCTTTTTAGTTTTTATGTCATTTAATACTTCACATTGTGGTTTGGAGGGTCTTTAAAACTTAGAGGAAAGGCAGGAGAAGTTTCGCTGTAAATACGCCTTTTATAAAAGACAGCAACCCTGGGGTAGTCCATAAATGCATATGATCTGTCAAAAAATACGACAAGAAGTTTATCAACATTCAAAATAACGATATCAGACAGTGATTTACGTAAACTCGCGCATAAAGCACGTTTCCGTGACTGCTTGTACGTTCACTGTGCGCACGGAAATCTTAGCTTTCTGCTCTGACATAACAAAAATACTTACAGGTGTGACAGTAAACTGCAGAAACATCCATGTGATGTCCAAAGCGGCGATGACATAAACCACAAAAATAACTTTCGCCTTTTTCCGCTTGTCTTCGGCGTCAATCTCAGCAGGAACGGACGGTTTGGAGGTTTCATCGGTTGTTTCTCCCGTTGGACTCATTTTGCTTCGTGTGAAAAAATACACTAAACAGTTCAGTGTCACGGGGGAAACGATCCCACCGACCTATGCAGCGTTAATGGTCACAAAACGACACAAGTTGTTCGGTAGGTGACCTCTGACCCAGCGGACTCTCACACAAGTCGCTAACCTGAACTTTGATTCAGATCACAGACACAATGCAGAGAAGGAGGCGTTACCAGGGAGGAACATGTCAAAGTTAGTCCGCTTTAACAGCGAAAAACTAAAACCAAGAAGCCGAAAAAGAAAAGTTTGACAAGACATTATTTATTGTCATCGATTTATATGATTTCATCCCATTTATAGTCTTCTCCGGAGAGAAACTAAGCCGCTACTACGAGCTGAGTGACCGTGAACGCCTCACGGGTGGGACGTTGTGTACGTTGATGCATTCATAGACTCTTTCTAACGTCGTACTCTCGAGTTTTCATGCGCCTAAGCGGTTAAGTTTATTTTAAATTGAATTCTGTAGAAAATGTGAATGAAAATAATTTAAGTCCTCACTTTGGTAACAGTTAAGACACCACAAAAAAAAAAAAAAATTTTTTTTTTGACGAGGACGAGTCTTGGTAGCACAGTGGTTGAGCACTGAACTTTGGCAGAATTACCTCAAGCTATGGGTTTCACCTTTTGTTTATCTTCTTTCAGCCAAGAACTGTAGTGCCATTCTGATATGTAACATCTACACTGGCCTTAAGTAACTGTTCAATGTCTAAATACAGTTAAAACAGCAGTTTTCACATGGAGCTGCCATAACACTTGCCAAACTGCTGTTTAAGAAAATTGTCAGAGCTTTGTTTAGTCTCAATATTCAAAGTTGGCTGACTATACTAGTTGTAAACCAAAGTGTGTTGCTTCTCACTGATGCCCAGATCCTGAATGAAAAGCACAAAGACAGCAACCAACACATACAAAACACCTACAGAAATAGGTCTTCAAGGCAAAGTAGCATCAATTATACAAGTAAGTATTTGGAAAGAAATGTTCTCAAACATAAATTCAGTCCAGGAGTCAGTCACACAGAATCATTTGACCTTGTACAAAATATTCCCCACTCTTTTATGTCATTGAGATCTGCTCTGTGACTGTTTTGATTATTGATTGGTCTCTGTGCCTGTTTCTCAGGGTGGTTTAAGTGACAACCTCTAATATAACACTAACTCTCTGGTTGCAGTTCAGTTTTAAAAACAGTCTCTTAGGCCCCCTTGTGGCAGAATGTTAGAACTACAGATATCCTACTTCTAACAGTTTCATATTATCATCCTTGAGTGTATGGCTTTATGGACTTCATGATTCACAGTTCTTCTTTCTAAAGGCCCATATAAGTAGAATCACCACATCTCCAGGGAAGTCTATTTAAAAATATTAATCTATTTAATTCCTTTTGGATGTTTCAGTTTGTTTATTTGTTTAAAACAATTATTCGACCAGCATGATAGTTTAATAATAATAATAATAATAATAATAATAATAATAATAATAATAATAATAATAATTTATTATTATTATTGTTATTATTATGGTGATAACAACAACAACAACAACGACAACAACAACAACAATAATAATAATAATAATAATAATAATAATAATAATAATAATAAATATTTTTATAATAATAAAAAAAAAGATAATAATAACAATAATAATGATTATGATAATAATAAAAAAATAATTTTAAACAATCTCACATTTGGATGTATGTTTTTTTTAAAGACATAAAGACTGATTTATTGTTTTGTTGGTAGTAAATACGGTGAAACGAAGGACTTTTATTTTGAAAGTCCTAACGGCGCCTCGAGGTTCTTATTTCGAAGTCCGCATGCGACCTCCCCCCGGAAGTACGCGGCATCATCTGGTTCGTTATCCCCTGTGTTGTTGTGTGGGGGGTTGTCAGGCTGTCAGAGGAGGACTTCTTCTCATCGGATGTTGTAGATTTCTGTATTTTTATGGACTGTAGATTTCAGAGATCTCATGGTGGCGATGCAGACCCTCACCCCTCATGTCTACTGGGCTCAGCGGCACGCGGAGCTCTATCTGCGGGTGGAGCTGAGCGACACGAAGGTAGGACGGAGTCCAGCATCCAACCGGCTTCTGTCAGTTTATACTCAAACACGGCGGCCGTTTCACCCTCACTACTGTGTGTAAATACCTCTTATCTTTATTTTGTCGCTGCTTTAGACAGAATGTCAGCTTCTTTGCTCGTATTTACTGTAAAACAAACAATTAGTATCACTATTAGCTATTAAACAGGGGCGCATTAGAGGGGTGTGATGGGGTGGCCTCTTTAAAAACTAAATGGCCACCCTATGATCCCTGAACAAGATGGAACTGTTTTTCCTTTTTAATTAAAAAAAAAAAAAAAAAAAGTCATAGTCTGGAACATCTTTATAGTAGCTTTGCATCGTATAATAATAATAATAACAATAAAAATGTTATTAATATTGCACTTTTATAGGTGCTCAAAGATGCCTTGCAAAGAAAAAAAAAATTCAAAATTTTTTGAGAAATAAAAGCAACAATGATTATAGGAGTCACATCTGTAAGTTTATCCATCATGGGTTACGTCAGGTTTCCACTGGTGGCAGTGCAGCGTTTTCTATACAGGCACAGGGGTCAGGTAACCAGGTGACGCATGGGGTGGAAGGTCATGCGGTTTTTACCACTCGCCAGGATCACTCACCTCACCTTTTTTATTTTCCAGCAGCATCACCTCCTCACATTATCTGTTCTTTTGCATCAGTTTAATCCTGATGCAATCATTAAATGGGAACATCACCCGAACACGGATCATCGTGTGGACAATTTTGTGTAAGAGCGTGTCAAAAACAGTCTCCCACTCCCAGGGCAGGATAGTCGCTATAATGTAAAAGGTTTAAAAAGACACAATAGGGGAAGACAATAAAAGAACAGTTCACAGGTTAAAAGGTGTGTTTTTAGTAGTAATTTGAAAGTATGGGGGTCTGTACAGTTTTCAGTGGGTTTGGGGAGTGAATTTCAGAGGGTGGGGGCGGCAGCGGAGAAGGCTCTGTCCCCCAAGTTGATGCTTAGTTCGAGGGGGTAGGGCAAGAAGATTTACCTCTGAGGATCGGAGGGCACGGGATCCTCAGGATAAAAAAACAACAACAACGTATTTCTGTTATTTTAGTTTTTTAGCATCAGTGGAAACCCCTGAAATGATAAGAAGTGAACGCTTTTCCAGTGATGTAAAGTTAAACTCAGCATGTTACTTTTTGACGGTCCCAGAAGAATCTGAAAGTTGTGCCTCATCATTATTATAAAACATTCGAAGCAACATCTCTCCATCTCAGCCTAGTATTTAAAAAACATATGCCAAAAATGAAGCTGTGGTTGGTTGTGACACTATATGATTCATTTTGATGCCAAATCATTCACAGAATTCAAATCCGACCTGCGTCCTTTACTCGCTCTTTTTAGCCTTCTCCCTTACTGTCATGGCGTCCACTAAATACTAAACCGTCCATATGACCATGAACAATACTAGCCATATGGATGACTCCTGATCATGCAGAGAAGCAGCTGTGAGTGACGGTCCCAGTGTGTGTGTGTGTGTGTGTGTGTGTGTGTGTGTGTGTGTGTGTGTGTGTGTGAGTGTGTGTGAGTTGTTAGCTGAGATCAACCTGATTTTAACTGGAGATTTTCTTCTTTTACTTAAACACTATAGCAGGTGGAACAAGAGCATCTTAATAATGACACAGCTGATTCTCCAGACTGTGTGTGTGTGTGTGGCGCACTGACTCTCTTTACTCTCTTTACTCTGTTTCTGCCGTCTGGTTGTTTACTAAAGTAACATGTCAAACCGGCTCTTCCTTCCCTGGACATTTCCTGGTTAATCCACCCTCCCTCTGCATCTGTCGGACAAAGGTCTTATAAAAGATGCATGGCTGTTAATGGTCGTCCTGGATCTTGTTTAGGCTCTTAGGAGAATAGCTTAATGATTACTGAAGAGGCTGAAAGAAGAACACCTGTCATGCCGCACACTGAATATGAAAAACTCCTCTCGGGAGATTTTTGAAGCCTCCTTTTGTGTTTTCTCAGAATCTTGACATCAGCCTGCAGGAGAACAACACCCTCCAGTTCAGAGGTTGGTATCCATTAAAAAATTGCTGACATAAGCGATCTGTTATTTGAGGGCAGTTTTACTCTACAGACTTGAACATTGACGGGTCTGGTTTCATATCTTAATGGATTCATTTTTAGGAGTTTCCAGAACCCAACAGTCCAAAACCCAAAGAAATTACAAAATAAACACAGAATTAGACGTTTAAAAAGCCGTAACCTTGACATGTTCAATGAGTTTTTAAAACAGCTGATGGTTGTATCCTTACAGTGGACTTATTTCTTAATTTAAATGCTCAATTATGCAAAAAAGCAGGTCATAAATCCTGATGATGTCCTCATATTAAGCCGTTATCTTGTTTTTGTCCCACAGCACAGGGTCACGGAGCTAAAGGAGATAATGAATATGAGTTCAGTTTGGAGTTCTTGGAGCCTGTTCGTCCGGAGGTACTGATCCATCAATTTTCTCTGAAAGTTTAAAGCAGCTTTTGCTCAGGGGTGGGGGATGACTACATGACTCAATACTTGATAAATGTCCCTGCAGGTTATAAGGTAATAAGTTTAGGAGCAGGATTAGTGTCAGCAGAGGTGCTGTGAGTCTAAAAGTTTGGATGCATTCATCAAATCAAGTCTTTAATTACATTTTTTAGTCCTGTTATAAACACTTGCAGGCAGCAGTGAAAAAAATTCTTTGACGCTGTGTTTTCAGATCAGCCATAAATCCACTCAGCGTCAGGTGGACATAAAGATCAGGAAGCAGGAGGAGCGCTGGTGGGACCGGCTCACGCTGCAGGAGAAGAAGCCGCTGTTTTTGGCTCCAGACTTCGACCGCTGGCTGGACGAGTCTGATGCCGAGATGGAGCTTCAAGCAAAGGTAGGAAATGTTCAAAATAATAACAGTGGAGTGGGCTGTTCGACTGCAGATTAAAGACGGCAGAGGTCTGTCAGTGAGCCCTCTGAGATACACTGTAGACAGGTTTATGAGTTTATTATAGTCTGAAAATAAAAAGAGGCCTCAGTGAAGCTGTTTTTAGCTCCAGATCCTCCTCATACTTTGTGTTGCAAAGCCAGACCACAAAACTTTGCATTTCCCCTCACAGTCCGGTTGTGTACAACAAAGAGACACCTCTGTTATTAGCTTCCACTACATGTGAGACAACAAAGTCACAGTCTCTACACTGTTACTGTACCGTTTGATGGTCACGTGTTGAGGTGGACATGATTATTTATTTTCGACAACGTGTTTTCTCACAGGAGGAGGAGAAGATAAACAGGATCAGCGTGGAGTCGAGAGTTCGAAAAGACCGTGAGTTACACTTCCCTTCAACCTGAAACATCCAAAACTTACAGAGATGTTCCCGCTAGAAATCTGAAATAAAAAGTCTGATGGTCATCTGTTTGTTTCCTGTCCCCTCAGCGTACATCGGGCTGAAGAGAGGCTACTTGTTCATGTACAACCTGGTGCAGTTTTTGGGATTCTCCTGGATCTTCGTCAACATGACGGTTCGACTCTTCATTCTTGGTCAAGGTCTGTAAGAAAAAAACAAAAAACCCCAAAAAGAAATGACGACATAAGACTTCCAGAGTCATGTTTGAGAAGATAACCTTTAAGACTCATATCTGCAAGAAAGACAGAGGACTTGAGCACAAACCAGTCTGACAGTAACTACATGTCAACATCACAACCAGGGGGGAGAAACATTTATGTTCTGTGTAATAAATTCCTAAAGTTTGTCCACAGCTCCGTAAGCTTTGCTGGCGGAGGCGGAATTTATGATGTATACTGCAGCCCGTCAACAGAGGGTGCTGTTCTTAGAGTGGCTTCACCCAGCGAGGAGGCAGACTCTGTCCATTATAACAGTCTATGATTGAAATCAATAGATAAATGTATATTATGAGTGCTCTCTTCAGACAGTTCGGTAATATTTAATCAGACAAACTTGTTCACTCTGAAGTGTCTGAAATGCACACGCAGTATCTCCTGAACTGTACTATTTGTTTTTAATGATGTCTCCAAATCTTCTGCAGGAGAACAGATCATCAAAAACCATCAAGAGTAGGGCTGGACGATTTACCAAAAATTTACCAATACTGAAATTTACGACAATAACCGATGTCATTTTGCCCATATCGGTATATTCGGTGTCAAAATAGATAAATCAAAGTTGGTTTTGGATGTGTGTAGGTAGGCTGTGGTCTCATGTCCCTTTAAGACGCTGTCCTAGGTCAGAGACGTGACTCCACCCCATCCAGTCTGTAACAAAGAGGGAAAGACAGGTGAGGAGACGGAGGACGGTTCAAAAGTTGTAGCTGCTGAAGTAGACGAAGTTAATGTGGGAGGGGCTGAGAAGCTTGTGGAGTAGTTATCGTCCATATATCCTGATATTGATTTGAGGCTATATCGTCCAGCCCAAACACACAGTATCGCCTGAACTGTTTGATTTTATTCATGATGTCTCCAAATCTTGTCTTGTTTGTTCACTGCTGACATTTCTAAAAACAAACCAATCCATGACCTGATGAACCTTCAGGCAGCTACTATTTACAGGTTATTCAAAATCCTCCTCAGTTCATATTTCTCATTTTCTCGTCGCTGAAGTGTCTCCAGGGTTTTCAAAGCACAAAACAAAAGTAAAAGCGACGCTGGCGCGCCGCAGAGGGACTAAATGAAGCTTTTTATTTTATGGACTGGATAATTAATCACTGCGCGACCTTTTTAAAGTGATTGATAATGAAACACAATAACAGAAAGAGACAAACACAATTAGTGCCTCTGTGCAGGATAAAAAACAACAACCAGGAGGTGAGCGAGCTCAGTGTTTCTGTTTGAGGGGATCTATTCACGGATGAGCTCATTTGAATAGAAACGGGAACACGACCACACAGCGGGGATTTGTTTTGCAAATGATGATGATTAGAGATGAAGATGGTTCATGTGTCGTGCTGCTGACTAATTATGTCTGTTTGTTTCTGTCCACAGACTCTTTCTACGACACCTTCCACACCACGGCTGATATGATGTATTTCTGTCAGATGATGGCCGTACTGGAGGTCGTGAATCCGCTGCTGGGTCTGGTTAAGACTGGATTCTTTCCTGCTATGATTCAGGTAACATGGGGACAGGGACTTTAAAAATAAACTTAAAACATGTACTTATTAAAAAACAACCATGCACTGTACAGGTAATTAGGAGTGATTCACAGTTCATGCAGTAAGGACACTGCCGCTGTAACCTCCATCCTGCTCCAGGTTTCAAGGTCTAAGTGCAGAGACATTAATCCTATTTCCACCAGGACATTAGGGAGGTTCAACGCTGATGTAGGCAATTTCATAACTAGCCTTTTGTTATGGTCAGCAGGAGCCTGCGGAGGCGCCCACTGGTTTCTGAAGACAAAGATTTAAAGCCTTATTATGACAGGTGTCCAACTTTTTGTCCACCTAGACAAAAGCAGAGAGGTGGAGCTGAGGCGAGCATTTGACGACCCAGCAGACGGAGACAATAATGGGCCTTTAAAAAAAATCAAAAATAAACCAGCTTCACTCCTGAACCAGGCTGTAAGCACGCCCAGTGTCGTTGTAAAAATGCACTTTTTATAATGGGACCTAATGAGGATTCCTGAGCTTTTGCAGTCAGGCCCAAGTGGACACTTAAGGAACTGCAGTTTTCTGTATTAAACACCTGAGTTTGAACATTTATGTAGCAACTTGCAGGTTATATTAACCATAAAACCCGGCCAGTAAAATGATTAGTAAAAACATGTTTCATATTTTCTGAGCTGAGTTTGACTTTGAGCAAACACGCTGCTTTCAGGTCGCAGGGAGGAACGTCATTCTGTTCGTAATCTTCGGCTGTCTGGAGGACATGCAGAACAAACCCGTTGTCTTCTTCGTTTTTTACCTGTGGAGCACCATCGAGATCTTCAGGTCAGCTCGCACCTCCATCCTTCCCGCTCTGATGTGACCTGCTGTGACTGTAACATCATCCCCCTCTCTCCTCTCTTCATCAGATATCCTTTCTACATGCTGGCTTGCATCGGCACAGACTGGAAGCTGTTGACGTGGCTCAGATACAGCCTCTGGATCCCGCTGTACCCTCTGGGGGTTTTGGCTGAAGGTGAGTTTGTTGGAGACGGTCGGTCGCAGCCTTTTTTGTTACTTGTTCCTGTTAACGGTGTTTCTCTGTGTGTGTTTCCAGCGGTGGCAGTGATCCAGTCTTTGCCGATCTTTGATGAGACTCGTCTGTTCAGCATCCCTCTCCCTGCCGTGTTGGGAAACTCCATAAGCTTCTCCTACACTCTGCAGCTCTACCTGATCCTCATGTTTCTGGGTGAGACATCCACAAACACACAGCTGAAAGGAAATTGACTGTAAATCTAAATAAATCATAAATAAATAAATCGTTTCTCCTCTGTAGGACTCTTCATAAATTTCCGACATCTGTACAAGCAGCGGAAGAGACGATACCGCTCCAGGAAAAGGAAAGTCCAGTAACTGATCGAGGAGTTTCTCTGAACTGCCGTCCACTTCCAGACGAAACAGCAGCTTTCTCTTCCTCTTACTGCCTTCTCTCATCTTCCTGAACACAAATACACAAACTGACATGATGCTGGAGTACAGCTCACCTCTTACTCTTCTTGGTGAACCGGTAACCTTAAATTCCTACGTTATCTATGACTTTAAACACCACACACGCTGATCCAGAGCGTCATTACTCTTAAATTTACAGTTAATTCTCTTAAAAACAGCCATATTTACCAATACCTCTCTCTGTTTTATTGGGAATAAGTGGTTTCTTTATGGACATGTGGGAGTGAGTCGTTTAAGAGTCGGAGGAGAAAGTTAAAAGCGGTTTATAAAACTTTCTGCAGACTCACTTGAAGCAAAGCATCCGCCTTTTTGGATCTCCGCCTTTTTCTTTAACGATCATCAATATTGTTTCCCTTTAAACAAGTTTTAAAGGTGCTTCCTGCTCTTTTGATCCGTTAACTGCAAGTCTCAGCTCATGCTATCTCATTGGACTAACAGACAAAGCTGGACCTGTAGATCCTCAGATAACCCTTTATAAGTTATAACATAAACTTTGGCTGCTCTTGAGCCAAAAGAGAAATTAGTTTGGACGCCTTTTTACGTTTGCCATCTACTGTTTATTCAGTTACCAGTCCTTTTTAAAATAAGCTAACTCTTAAAGGTTCATTAACGTTTACATCAACATGACGATTACCTTTGACAAATCCTGCTGTCATAACTCCAGACAGCCTCTAGGGGGCGTGTAACCCCGTTTGTAAATCACTGCTTTGTTGATATCATAAAAAAAAGACTCTAAGTTGTACAGAAGTTAACAGATGAACTCGAACCTTTAACTCTCAAATGAGTCAGTTTGTTGAAAGGGAAACTTTTTTTGAGTCTTGCTAAAACTTTTGTCGATTTAGAAGAAAAACTTTTGATTTAATGGGGATACTTTTTTACTGAGCAGTCATGTCACATTTAGGGGAGACCGGGGCTTGTTGTCACATGGGTAAGTTGTCACATTGCAATTATCTTTGCCCCAGGAGGGCACAGCTAAAAAGCGGAAAGCTAGTTTTATTCTTTTATGTGGTCAGAGGTCGTGTCCTGTCTGAGAAGAGAAGAGAAGAGAACATTGTGAACCGAGATGAGCGCCAGTTAACCATTTTGCACAACCGGAAGTAAAAATTTTTTAACTTTATATATTTTAAAATAAGCTTCTTCCAGATAAAAATCCTCGCAGTGAAACATGTGGACTTTTGAGAGGAGAGATTAATGCATCCTGTCATACCGCAGTCATTGTTCTGTTTTAAGATAACGTTAAACTAGAGCTAGAATTAGCAAACATGTTAGTTTGGGGCAGTATGTCTCAGTCACTTTGGGGTTAGTTGTCACATGTTTAAAAGGGGTTAAAATTAACATAGAGAGTCTGTTTATCAGCAGTTGTCATATTGAAACTTTGAGTTAATTTTTACAGAGAACAGAGTGGTTTAAAGGAGAGGAGAAAGTGAGAAGACATGGAATTACAAAAGAAAAACAGTCGTGTGATAGTTTATGTTAGTGTTTGTTTAATAACTTAATGATAAATGATTAACTTTTTCTGTGCCTGAATTTGATCAATAATTATGTCCTTGTTTTATTAGCTAAAAAACCCCACTGTGACATCTTACCCCAATATAGTGAGACAACTTACCCGATGGTGGGGCACATGTTCACACTCTCTATTTGATCGCTTATAACGCTGCACTGACACAAGATATAAAAATGACATGAATACAAAATATATACCTGAGACTTTGGTCTGTTATCTGGTACATATTTTGTTTATATATGATATGTTAATCCCGAGAAATATATGAGTGTAAAAAGTGTGACAACAAGCCCCGGTCTCCCCTACTCTGGAGGAAATCCAAGTTCTTTATCTGCTTATCTGCCCTTTTCGATGGTAAACATGAAGTTCACTACTTATATATATATCACACCAAACATGTTTTATAATGAACCAATTTTAGCAATACTCCTCAAAAATACTCCTTTTTCATTTTAATGTCACCTAGTCCAGCTGAAGCAGTTGAGCAGATGTTACAGATACTGTGTGATTGACTTGAACTGTGAGTTTTATTGAACAGCTTTGATAAAAGGATGAAGATCTCTGTTTATTTTTTAACTCTGTTATCAAAGTTTCCCTGCAGTGAGGAGGATTATTAACTCCTCGAACCTTCACCTCTGAGCCTTTTTCTGTTTTATGGGATTATTTATTTCTGCTTTAATTGAACTTGTTGCTTTAACAGTTTGTGATTTAATGTTTGACTGACTAAATAAACAGAGTTCATAATTTGGAGGTCTGCTGTTGTTGTTGTTTTCTTTATATTTCACATCTCAATGAGGAGCTAAATCACTCCTCAAACCCTGGACCACTCTCCTCCTCCTCTCATTATTCAGCACGCGCTCAGAGGTCTCACCTCAAACGCGCAGCTGCAGCAGCCCGCCCGCGCGCGCATACACACACCTGTGTGAATGCTCGTGTGGTGATACAGCAGCAGCAGCAGCAGCGTTATGTGTGAAAGGGAAGGTGAGAGGTGCTCGGGTCCTAATCCTCTTAGCTGCATTATGCTGAGCTTTGTTCAAGCCCTGACATGCGGTGCGCTCCTGTAGCCCCCCCAAACCCCGGAGTCAGCATCTCTGCGTCCGTTACGCACAGCTGGAGGTACGGTCCGCGAGGACGAGGGCGCGAGGAGCCGACGGTACAGGTAAGACCTCTTTAATATGTATACATATGAATATCGATCATGTGTGGTTTCTTTTTTTTAATGTAAACGAATAAAGTCGAAGCTGAATGTTTTCTTCGTTGTTCGTTTTTCACTAAATTGGCGCCAATTGCCGCAGATTCCCGCCTTAACACCCTCTATAATTAACCTTTATTGTTTTAATCATCGTGGAGATATTCATCCGCTGCTAACTGTGTTCATTAATGACCATTAATGGCTGTTTAACGCGCACGCGCCTGTCATTACATCGTCAATGTGCGCGTGTTTATCTAAAAACGCATCTTTACGTAAATCATCCGGATTTATTTTTATCAAATCTGCGTTTTTCTCTCCTTTCCATCATGTTTGACGTGTTTTCAGTGCACTCCAGGTTTGTAAGAAGCCAAAGCCGGGGTGATTATGTAGCCATAGTAACAGGTGGCTGTCTGCATCCCTATCACACACACACACACACACACTCACACACATATGCACACACACACACACCTCTCCTCAGTAGGTCTGCCTCTGCAACTATGCCAGCAGAACCCACGTATTCAGTGTTTTTTTCTGTCTCCAGTCCTTCCACAGGTTGAAGCCCCACGCTGAACCCGACCACACCATGCATGCGTGTGTGTGTGTGTGTCTCCCCGTCTCTGGCGTCCCCCTGCAACACCAAACTGCTGGAACCGTCACAGAATAGCGATGCATCTGACATAACCCTCTACCGGGAGTCAAGACCACGATGACCGCGCACGCGCCTCTGAGGAGGAGACTCAGGCGTGGTCGCCTCCTCTTCTTCGTCTCAGGTGTGCTGCTGTGTCTCATCTACACTCTGACCCTGAAGGCCAGGCTGCAGGAGCCGCCGGCCTCCCTGCATACAGGAAATGATGTCATGGAGGTCAACATCAGGAAGGCGAGGGCGTCCAATGAGACGGAGGAGCCGGAGAGCTCCAAACCTCCTGTGGTGTTCGTGGTGAACAGGACAGATATCGAACAGTGTATCTACGTAGATCCTCAACCTCCACCTCCTCCAACCACTCCTCCCCCTCCCCCTCCGCCATTCAAGCGCCCCCGCAGGAAGGGAGACTATCCTGAGGACCTCTTCACAGTGGAGCAGCGTCAGCAAGGCTGGGTGGCTCTTCATATTGTAGGTATGGTCTACATGTTTGCAGCTCTCGCCATCGTCTGTGATGAGTTCTTCGTCCCCGCCCTGGAGGTCATCACCAACAGGCTCGAGATCTCTGATGATGTCGCCGGGGCCACCTTCATGGCGGCCGGAGGATCCGCCCCTGAGCTCTTCACCTCCCTGATCGGAGTCTTCATCTCCCGCAGCAACGTGGGCATCGGCACCATCGTGGGCTCGGCGGTCTTCAACATCCTCTTCGTGATCGGGATGTGCGCCATCTTCTCCAGGGAGATGCTGCACCTGACGTGGTGGCCGCTCTTCAGAGACGTCACCTTCTACATCCTGGACCTGATCATGCTCATCGTCTTCTTCCTGGACAACAAGATCCTGTGGTGGGAGAGCATCCTGCTGCTGTGCGGCTACATCAGCTACGTCAGCTTCATGAAGTTCAACAGTCAGATCGAGAGGGCGGTCAAGACGCAGATCAACAAACACGTGAGCATCGTCAAAGTGTGGACCGCCGAGGAGCCCGAGAAGGTCAGTCAGACACAATGTCAGCAGCTACAGAAGAGATCACACAGTTTTCATCAGTCTGTGTCCGTTAAAAACCAAAAACAGATCAGAACTTCTGCATCAGGGTTTCATCAGCTTCATCAGAAAGTCTGTTGACATGTTTCAGATCAGAGTTATCTGCCTGAAATTCCTCTAAACTGCCCATATTTGACAAAAACTTTAAAGTCAGTTCGTAAAATTAATCTGTAAAAACGTAACCTTACAGTTCATCAAAACAGTCAAAGTCCAGAGTGTCTGATTTCTGTTTTTTCTCAGTTACCTCTGACGGTGTACTGCACCTTTAAAATTGTGGATTATTGTTAAATCAAAAAAAGTCATTTTAATTGACCAATAATTCAAATAAATCCTCAAAATTTGTCATGATTAGAAGTATTTTGTTTGCATAAATATCTCAAAATTAGATTTATAGACAGTTAACAGCATGATGTAAAGTTTCTACTCTTCTATGTTGTGCTGTGTATAAGATCATCCCGATTATATTTAAAACACGGCTAAAGCTCTCGACTCTGACCCACATGTTAGGGGGATTTTTGTAAAAATCCTGTCAACTTTTTCCAGCTTGTTTTATCTCCTCTTTTATTCGTGCTCCTGCTGGTGTTGTTCTCCTCTTTTGTGCGGTAAAGGTAGTTTGGAAAACTCACAAAAATTATCCTCCTCAAAAATAATAAGATCTGAAAAAAATAATTCAAGTTTGAGTTACTGAGCAGCCGCTGCAGAAATGTTGTGTACAGTGGCCTGGAAGTGTCATATTCAAAATACTTTGCAAAGGAAAAAAAAACACAAATGCAGTCAGCCACAACATGAGCACAAATAACAACAACGTAAGTTAGTAATCTTCCAGCTGAATCAGAAATCAGAAATTCCTCTCCGATACCGATACTGATTATTAGGGGGGAAAAAATCCGATTACAGATTAATCGGACGATTTTTTTTAATTTTTTTTATGAAGTTACAAAAAATATGTATACTTCAGTATACTATATACTGTAGATATACTGTAGACTACTGCTTTTCACACCAACAAGAAGAACGACTGATCAAACTCGGACCAGAAAAGCGTTTTCAACAAGCCCTTCTGGTGTCATTTTTTGTGTTGTAGCCGTTTGTATTTGTGTTTTTTTCTTTTGCAAACGTTTTGAATGTGTGAATTTCCTGACATTTCCCGATCACTGTAGTCGTGTCCACAGAGTCGACATAAACCAAAAAAATCCTCACTGGAGCTTTAAGTTGATGCAACACTACAGACGTACATGAGCTGCTGCAATCAGTTAAAGCTGCTGCAAGTGACTTTTGGTTTGCACTGACTTTGGCGCCCCCCAGTGGACAGAGGGAAACTTCCTTTACCCTTATCCTGTATGTGTCTCACAGCGTCTTTAATGCCAATATGTTTGCAGACAGTCATACTAATGTGTTTCCTTTCTTGAGAGAATAGAAGATTAATTCATGGACACGTGTGTCTCTGCAGCAGGTGATACCTGACAGACTTCATCTCTGCACACAGGACGCTTTTGTTTCCTTTCATGTGCTCACAGTTGGGACGGCTGCTGCCTGCTCACTCGCTCGCTTACAGAGAGACAGGGAGAGAGAGAGAGGGACAGTGATTTGTGGGTCTGAACAGGTGACAGTCTGTTTGTGTGAGAGCCTTTGATGATGCTGAACAGAGAGGACTCCAGGTGTCAGTGTGGTGAGGCTGAAACGTCACAGCTCGGAAACAACAACGTGAGGACAAAAACAAAAAAGACTGATAATAACTGAAGCTTGATTTTCTGCAGACTGAACATCCTGCTGCACAGAGAGCAGGAAATGTGCGGGTCTGTGATTAACATTCAGCTCTGAGTGTTTCAGAGACGTTCTTCAATTATATGTGTGCAAAGCGTGAGTGCGGACGGTTTCTCCTTGAGTTCGACGAGGCGTGCCGACACATTTATAACGAGTCAGAATCAGTGTGATCAAAATATCCTCTTCCAAGAATCCACCCTGCTTTTTTTCATTCATTAATACAACATGTGTTTCAGTTTTGCACATATTTGGAGTGTATCTCTGAGGAAGACTACCTGTCGAACAAAACAAAAACACAGTGATGGAAAAAAGAGCACCACCTTTTTATTTCTGCTGCTCTCTTGGTGAAAATTGCTCGACTTTTTGCGACTTTGCTGAGCTCATCATTCGCCACGTTTACATGTGCAAAAATTTGAGGGATCTGAAAATCTGAATCCAATGTTTTTATGGGCGCAAAATCAAATGATCTGATCATGACGTGCGTATTCATACACCAAGTTTTATTCAGATTAGAAGCATTTGGACATGCGCAGATTTGTCTGATTTTACTTAAACAACCGCAGAAGAAGAAGAGTTGTATCTACGCCTGTGCTTTCAACAAACCAACAAACGTGGTAGTGGCTCACTCCATCATATTCAGGTTGTCACTAGATGGCGCCCTTGCTTACTTATTTTACTGTTCTGTCAAAAGTTGCTCTGTGCGTGCAGATGTGATATCATTACGCTGTTTGTACGCCTTGTTATGTTATCGAAGGAGCAGACACGACACCTGTGGTTGTGTTAATAATGAAACGTCCTGTTCTGACGTCAATAAATAAGCCAAAGGCTAAAGAGTGAAGACCAAGTCAGGTTAGAGAGTCACGATCAGAATAAGTGTTTACATGGACGCGTTTCGGAATAACAATCGGCATAAACCAGCCCTCTCGATCAGAATACAATTTCTTTCCGATTAAGCCGAATCGGATCAGAATCTTCCGATCAACATGTTAACATGACGCATTATTATTCCGATCAGGCCTTTATTCCGATTATTTGTGCCTATGTAAACACAATCATGATTTGACACATCTTAAAACCTAGAAAAACTCTGAATTCTAAGCGGAAAAACTCGTGTTTTAGCCACCAGATAGAATAACAGATTTAACTCTGAGTATTTTTTCAGTGTTTTTGCATTGAAGCTCTTTCACTTTAAATATAATTTGCAGTATGTAAAGTCAGGATGCAGTAGTAATGAAAACATCGACTCTAAGGCTGAAGCTGCTGCCTGATGGGCTTGTTTGCTGATCATGACAAATGCACTCTGTACATACTGTCCTGCTGGAGCGATCAGATTACTGCTCAGTCCTTTGTCAGGTCCACACAAGCTGAGCTCTTCACTTTACTGTAATCTGCTCATCTGAGACCCACCAGTGTTTTAAGAGCAGGGTGCATGTATGTCAGTTTTCACTCCAACTCCAAGTAAGAGTGATCAGATACAGAAGACTGCAGGGAAAAGTCAGGAAAACTCACAGCCAACGTGGGGGAGATGAAATTTAAATCATGTGATGTAAATGTTTACAGTTTTCTGATCATCTGTCTTTCACTTGGTGCACGATACAGTGATGTCCAGTACATCCAACTGTTTGTATTTACTGACTTTACAGGAGAGTGAAGCTCCATCAGCACCTCCTCCTCCTCCTCCTCCTCCTGCTCCTCCTGCTGCTCCAGCAGAGGATCAACCCAAACAAGAGTCTGAACCTCCTCCGATCACCCCGCAGTTCAACAGACATCCACAGGAGGACAGAGCAAAACTCAGGGTACTGAGAGTGGAAGTTTTTATCAGAACAAGAGTTTGACTTTATTTTACTCTGATCATTTCTCATGTGAGATGGTTTTATTGTTTAGTTTACATATTGGTTATTAGTTAGATAACTTCGGGTTTTGTTTCTTGCCTTAAAATTTTTTAAACTTTAAAGTTATTGCTGTCGACTGATCTCAGAGTCTGTGTCCACTCTCCCGTAGGTTCGTCCCGTCCTGCAGCGAGGCGGCAGCACAGCCTCTCTCCATAACACCTCGCTGAGGAGCACCATCTTCCAGCTGATGATCCACACGCTGGACCCTCTGGGAGAAGGTAAAAACCACAGACAGCATCACTGAACCAAATCGAGTTAAACGTATTGAAAAAGCACAAAACAGGCACGAGGAAGAAAAATGTCGACTATTCCAGGCTGTTGGAGCAAAAATGTCCCTCTTGGCCCACCGTAACAGCTTGGGAGATACATTTTTATTTTAGAAGCTCCAATGGGATGCTTCTCCTAATTTTTATCGAACATGCGTGTGCAACACAAAAAAATAAACTGAAAACAAACAAAACCAATGAGAAAATTTGAAACAACAATAACAATAATCAAAGCAAAAAAACTAATAAAAATAAAGATCCGCTTTGTGCAGATGATGTGGTACTTCTAGCTTCGTCGAGCAGTGACCTTCAGCTCTTGCTCGGGCGGTTAGCGGCCGAGTGTGAAGCGGCAAAAGGTCGGAAAAAGGAAGATTGTTTTCTCCAGGTCGGAGGGGCGGTCCTGCCTCAAGTGGAGGAGTTCAGGTATCTCGGGATCTTGATGACTAATCTTTCTCTGAATGGACGTCTCGAGGAGTCGTAGTGAAGCTGCTGTGACTCATTTCCAGAGTAACACGATGACCTTCAGCCTCCTTCGTTCAGACCGTCCACGATCGTCCCTCGCCCTCGCAGCACTCGGCCACCGCTGAGCCTTAATCAGCTTTTAAATACACGCTAATAAAAGCTGGATCAGAGCCAGCATGCTAACAGAACAAGATTACAGGGAGGGGGTCAGCGGGACGGACCCGGGCCTGAGGAGAGCGGGCGATCATTAGTCTTCGGTTTTAATCTGACATGACATATCTGACATGCAATGTAAGGCACACTGGGGTAATTATATAAAAAAGGTATTAATGCGACTCAGGAGTTGAAATTTCTGCTGTGGGTTTCCATCCTAGAGTCAGCGCTAAGAGGGGCGCAGAAAACCCCAGGTCCGAGGAAAACCAGGAGAGGTAAGAGCAGGAAGAAGGTTCGGCTTGATGGTTTTAGGAGTTTTTGTATTTAGTTGCATGAAACTAAAGTTGTCATGGAGGCCGATGAGACAGATGTTGTCGTGTTTGAATCTCTACCAATCAGAGACGTCTTTTAATGGTGATGTCAGAGGGGAGGGGTCAGGACAGAGGAAAGGTAAGCTGCTGCTTTTGTGTTGTTGTTGTTGTCGTTGTTGTTGTTGTGCGTAAACTCGTTGCAGATGGTCGTGGTGTTTCATATTTGATGGCTGTTTTCCGTTGTCGGACGTTGCTGCCAGTTTTTGTGTGTTCGCCTCCAGTTTGTTTGTGTCTTGTTGTCGAAGTTTTTCACACACTGGCTATTTAAGTTTGACTGCTTATATTTCATTTGACACAGAAATTAAAGAATGGCAGTGATACAGTAATACAAGGAGTAGGGCTGCACGATATGACCAAAAATAAAATCCAGATTTTTTTTTCTCTGAAACTCGATTTTTGATTTTTTTATTCAGTGACAACTTCACCAAACTTCACTTTAAAAATGAAGTTTTTCTATCATCTCTCAAAATGAATCGAAAACGATGTAGTGCATATGCCAAGCCAGTAAGTGGCGCTGTAACGCTGCACAGGAAATGCACAAAAGACAGAAGAAGAGTACAGAACATGTGTATAAAGGTTGTTTTGGTCGGACACATTCAGGCGCCATAAAAGAGTTACGCTGTGTGTCACATGATCGTTTCTAGATATGCAGATAGACATCCACACGGAGATGAAATGGTCGTCGTTTACAGATTTATTCACTCTCTGACCTGTTTTCAAAAAGTACCGTTTACAGTCACCTGAAACGCCGTTTCCGTGTGGATGAAACGCTGATACGACAAAAAACTTTTGCGTTTACTCCTGAATTCGTTTCCATGGTGACGGGTTGATACCGCCTTCAGACAGACTTTGCAGTGGGGAGTGGTTTACTCTTCATCTGAAACTGTGAAGTCGGACCAATTCAACACGACTGACTCGCTCTTGTCCTATTTAACCACGAAATTATCGCCTTCTTTTGCAAACGCCATGTTTGTTTACACTGGTGTGTGTGGGAACTGGGGGAGCCTGCGGTGGCCTGGAGGCACGATCAGAAAAAACAATTTGACGATTTAAATTTTTTTAATATCTTCATAACTAAATGATTGAATTACGATTTAAAATCGATTTATCGTGCAGCCCTAACAACGAGATCCCAGCCTGTTTAGCAGCAATGTGGCCGCTCTTTAGCAGAGCTCTGGATAAAGACCTTTTATGGTTTCAGTCTTAATAAAGCAGCTCTACTAAACGGCCAGTGTGTGTTTGAGTGTGAGGTCTGCTCACAGACGAGGTGTTTTTGGATGATTATAAAAAGGTTCATGTTTACTGGGCGATGATTCTCTTAATTGCAGCAAAGAACAAAGTCAAACCTCTGAACGCCCCTGTCTCTGGGAAAACACAGAGCAAGTCTCATCACTACCACCCTGAAGGTGAGTCAAGATTACTTCAAGATACAAGATGACTCATTAGGATCAGTTTAGGATCGGTTTTTGTGAACCAAGAAACAAAATGTACGTTACAGTCAAATCCAGAGGAGCTGCAGACCCTAAAAGACTGTTGGTGTTTTGATCATCAGAGTCGGTTTTAAGGGTCAAAGAGTTTTTTTCTGCAATCAGCGCAGACTTTCTGTCGGCGTGGTTGTGCGTCACAGCGTGTAGTGATTAGGTCCTTCAGACCCCGAGGTTTGCAGTAAAGTGGGACTGCAGGCTGTCTGGAGAGGCCTGAAGGATCCTGAACCAATCAGAGGGAGGATTAACATGCAGATGGGTCTGTGTTTGTGAGTGGGTGTGTTTCCCCTCTTTGTTGAAGCATGTTTATCTGCAAACACTCCAATCATTCGCATCATCAGCTCTTCAAGAATCATTTCATCAGATCAAAAGTAAAAATATATTTTTACCTAAAATATGAGAAAAAAAGACTTTTAGTCAGTAAAACTAAAAACATGATGGATTTAAAGAAACATCTTCAGGTGGTTTTCAGTCTTTGGTTTGTTGGTTCATTATTTAGTATGTGTTGAGGTCCTCTGGTGGGCTGTGACGGTACTGCAGGTCATCCTAGAGTTCAATAATCCATGTTGCTGATTTGCAGTCTGTGCAGTTTTTGAAACTCTTAGCAGGGATTTACAAACGGTTTCTTTCAGAGGAGTGGACCATTCTTACGGGACCCAAATCTACAAAGTTCAATAATTGGATTTAAAGGAAGATTTAACGCTGCACTGTGTTTCGAATGGAACTTTTAGCAGGTTTCTCTGTGTGAGGATGTTTTTTTTGGGTGATTTTTACATCTTACAGTTTCCCTTTTTGCTCATTTTTTGGTGCTATGAAAGGACCAATTTCATCCCTTTTTTTTTGGTCAATGAAATGAAGTTGTTTTTTTAGGTGCTCCATTTTAGTTACACATAAGAAGAGGAAGAATCGACTGTGATGTGCCCTAGTTTTTCCTGCTGCTGTTTATTCTTGTCTAGAGTGAGAAGTGACTGAATTCAGACCATAAGGTGGCGCTAGAGAGGCGCCTGTTCTGCAAGCATCGATGGAAAGACACATCTGTATTAGCTTAAAGTCACTCCATTAATCGGGATGATGATGGTGAACACAGAAACTCTTATTTCAGGTGTCTGTCAGAGACTTATGAGTCAAAAATTGTCCACTACCTCCTCTGATTTAATCTTTATTCTCTCTTTTTTTTTCTCAGATGATGATCCAAAGACAAACACTGAGCTGTCCGGTGCAGCAGGGGGCGCTGCAGCCGAGCCGTCCACCTCTCAGCCTCAGAGGACTGAAGAGATGAGGGAGAGGACGGCCGGAGAGACGAGCATGTCGAAGGTTCTCAGAGAGGATGTCAGACTGAAAAAGAAATAATCCAGAAAGATCTTCATGATTAGATTTTTTATATAAGTATCTGCTTGTAATTTGTTGTCTTCATGGTTACTCAATGGGAATTTTACTCAAAAACTTTGTTAAAGTACCAAATTGAGGAACTTTAGACTTTTCATGCAACGTTCAGTTTTTACATAACTGCATAAGAATCTGCGAAATCAAAACAGTGATAATGAAACTTCTTTAGTGTTTCTGATGTGATGAAGAGTTCAGACCTCTCGTAAATCTGTATTTATTCTCCTGTATTCTTGTTTGACTCTAACCCTGCAGACAGCAGCAGGCGGGTCGGAGGGCTCAGAGGGGAGGCCTGAGGACGAGAGCGGTGATGAGGAGAGCAGTGACTCCAGCGACAGTGAGGACGAGGATGGAGACAAAGAGGAAGAAGAGGAGGAGGAGAACGAGCCGTTGTCTTTAGCGTGGCCTGAAACCAGAAAGAAACAGGCGACGTATCTGTTCCTGCTGCCCATCGTGTTCCCTCTGTGGCTCACGCTGCCCGACGTCAGAAACCCGGTGAGTGTGAAGAAATTCCAGAGTTCAGTCGAGTCAAATGTTTGTCACATCTCAGAGTTAATTTTTGTAAAACCAAAAGACCAAATATCTGCAGCATTGTAGACATTTTTAATATTTCCAGGCGTCAAAGAGATTTTTCATCATGACGTTTGTCGGCTCCATCCTGTGGATTGGAGTTTTCTCCTACCTGATGGTTTGGTGGGCTCATCAGGTGGGTTTTTATTTCATACATATTTACATGAACTCTGACTCTGATTAAGTTTTGGACCAACTCCTCCTCAGACAGCTCTTACTCTAATTTGTCTTATTCTTGTTTTGTTGTACAGGTGGGCGAGACTGTGGGCATCTCAGAGGAAATCATGGGTCTGACCATCCTGGCAGCCGGGACGTCGATCCCTGACCTGATCACCAGCGTGATCGTGGCCCGGAAAGGTTTAGGAGACATGGCCGTGTCCAGCTCAGTGGGCAGCAACATCTTTGACATCACTGTAGGGTAAATCTGAACCAGCTCTAAGCTTAAAATGAGGTTTAATTAAAGAAATTAAATATATGAAATGATTTTAAAGGACAGATAAGACTGGGTAAGAAAAGTCAGAGGACCTAACATTAAACCCTGAGGAATACCAAAAGTGATATTTCTTTATCTTTATATTAAAACTTAAAAAAAAATCCTGAAAAAAATGTCTTTCTGGCAATAAATCAGACGTAAACCCAAGAACTTCTTACTGTGAGGCAACAGTGCTAAACTACTACACTACAGGAATGTTCCTGTTGTGGTGATTCCAAGATAAATATGTCACAGGATAGTATGATCAAAAATGTCATGGTTTTGTAAGGTAAAAATATAATAGATAAGTTTAATAAAAAGGTCATATTAAAAATATGGTAAAAAAATGTCATAGTATAGTGAGATAAAAATTTCACACTTTGGTATATAAAAAATGTCAGTATAGTATAACAAAAAAAATTACAGTAAAGTATAATAAAAAACATATGATAGGATGATAAAAATTTCATAGTATAGTATGTTTCAAAATCATAGGAAAGTATGATAAAATATCATTGTATAGTACAAAAAAATATAGAATAGTATGATTAAGATTTCATAGTTTAGTATGACAAAAAAATTATAGTTTAGTTTAATGAAAAAAAAAACATAGTATGATAAAAAGTCATAGCGAGATTGAAATATCATAGTATAGTATAAAAAGAAATCACACCTTAGTAGGTTAAAAAGATCATGTTGATAAAAATACCGTAGTATAACAAGATAAAAACATCATAGTATAGTATGATTTAAAAAAAAAACACATGACATTACATTAAAAAGTGACACATTATTCTAGTATAGTACATTAAGAATGTTATAAAATAGTACGATCGAAATGTCAGTATATAGTATAGCAAAAATATTAAGGTATAGTGGGATAAAAAAAGTCATAGAATATTATGATTTAAAATCATAGTATAGTATGAGAAAAAACATTGTATAGAATGATAAAAATGTCATAGTATGGTAAAAAAAAAAATCACGGTAAATTATGATTAAAATGTCATAGTAGAGTATTATTAAAATGTCATAGTATGACAAAAAATCATAGTAAGTTATAAATAAAATGTTATAGTGGAGTATAAAAAAATAAGTAATTCCTGATATTTCAGTAGGGCTCTCACCTGCTGCTAACAGTTTCGCCTCGGGCCCTGATAAAATGTATGTGCGATGTGAACCTAACCAGACCTTGTCTTCTCTCTGGTTCCAGTCTGCCCGTCCCCTGGCTCTTGTACACTCTGTTACACAAAGGCGACCCTGTTACCGTCAGCTCCAACGGCCTGTTCTGCGCCATCGTGCTGCTCTTCCTCATGCTGCTCTTCGTCATCATTTCCATCGCCGCTTGTCGCTGGAAAATGAGCCGGATGTTGGGACTCACCATGTTCGTGCTTTATTTTGTGTTCCTGGTCCTCAGCGTCCTGCTAGAGGATCGAACCCTCACCTGCCCCATCTCCATCTGAGCGGGCTGAGACTGTCAGCAAAAACAAAGACTGGATATGTTCAGACAGGATCAGAGCTGTCTGCAGAAAGTGTCGGAGGAAAGCCGACCACAGACCAAACATTGTCGAACCTGAGACTGAACAAGCAGCTAAGGGGAGAATCCAGCCTCGTGTTGGCTTTCACAGGAAAAGCCAAAAATCTTTAACGTTTCAAACAGATAATTTAATTAAACTGCTCAGAAATTTGTCAGAGAATTTACTTTAATCTAGATCACACCATCGTAATAAGATCCTTGTTATGAACATCAATTAATAGTTAAAAGCCTCTTATAAGACCTTTTAAGATAATTATAAACATAATTATAAACATAAAAAATGTTCATAGAAGCATTATTAAAAGAGTTTTTATAGCTTATAAGACACATTGGCTGTCATAAGATTTCTATTTTGTGTAAGAGCATATACAGAAAGAAAAGTCAGGGGACCCAACACTGAACCCTGAGGAACACCAAACGTGATATTAGCAGGTCCTAACTTTAAAAAAAGCACAACAGGCCATCATGAGAAAGTCTCGGTCTTTTTTCACAGTACAGCTGATAAAAAGGAATTGTAAGTTGGTGATGAATACATCAAAACCAGAAATAAACCCTAACAGAGAGACACATAACCCTTATAAATCTGATTTTTTAAATCTAATTAGACAATAAAAGCAGTTTGAAAGCATAAGGGAAAAACTTAAAGACAATATCATTAATTAATAATTAATAAACAACTAATAATTAAGCATAAATGTTACTGAGCAATTATCCAAGCATTATTGACATGTTTATTATTGTTTATAAGACATATTGGCTCCAATTGTTTTTGAATTCTTTCATGAATGAATGATTACGTACAAATGGAAAAGCCAGAGGACCTAACACTGAACCCTGGGGAACACCAAAAGTGACAAAAGGAGATCATCACTGATGATCGTAGACTATAACAGTCTGAGGAATGTCAATAACGAATGATAATGCTAATGATAAACACTATTCATGTTTATGGCAGGTATATAAACAATGACAAATGTGCTGATTGTGTTTTAATTAACACTTGATGACTGATTATAAGCATCTTTTAAGGTCTTTTGAGCGGCTTCTTAACCGTAAATTACAGAGACCATCATATTAAAGTGTTTATTGGCTGTATATGAAAATGGACATGTCCCTGCCTCCTCCACTTGGACAAAGTGAGGCTGTAATAGGCCTGCATTGGAGCCATGAATCTTTGCAGTAAGAAACTGCTGGTGGAGCCGTGCAGTAGACGGAGATAAACTCCAAACTTAGAGTTTTTGTCTGATTTCTAGCAAAAATATCTTAGCATTAGTAGATGAAAAACACCCTATTTCAGAAATCTGCCCTGAATCCATTGTTATCAGTAAAACCGTAACTTTAATGGTAAACTGAATTTTTACATCCTTTATTTCAGACTCACAGAGCAGAGATGTTAAACCGCAGGATACTTCCTCCTGCTCTAAACTTTACTGAGACTTTGTTTTATGTGAAACCAAACTAAGTGTTTGTTCGTGTTTTGTGTGTAAAAGGACGTTAATGTGAGAAAAAAAAAAAATCAATTTGTCGACATTACTGTGTTTGAAAGACAGGGGGCGCCACCAGGAAAAATATCAACTGACAGTCCCTTTATGCCGCCCGTGTTCAGAGGAAGTGATTGTGAGTGTCGGACCGTCAGGTGTCAGTCAGGTGTTACCGTCTTGTTGAACACTTGTGTTGAAGTGGGTGCAAATGTGTATTTTCATGATAGAAAAAAACTTCTGATGTTTCCAATTCAAGTCCAGTCAGGACCGGTCAAGTGCTGCAATAAATTATTTTTCTAACAGTGAACTGGAGCGTGGTTTTGTTCCTGGGATACACCCCGAGTCTGAATCTCATATTGTGACTTTTAGAGATGCCAGGTGAACTTTTGTCAGAAACAGGTACGAGTCTACAGAGGCATACTGCATTCACTCAGAAAAAAAATTAAATAAAAGGAAAATCTGTTTTTTATTTTTAGTTTTTTTTTTTCTTTGCTGTTTTTTGAATTTTTTTCTTCTGTTTTTTTGTATTAATATTTTTTCCCCCTCTTTTCACACAGATTTTTATTATGTTTTTAATCGTTTTTTTTTTTTTTTTTTGTCTTTCTGTTTTTTGGACATTTTTTTCCCCCCAACTAAACGAGAAATCTCAAAATTCTGCGAAAATCTCATACAATTAGATAACTGCAACCAACTCCTAGGCTACGTTCACACTGCAGGTTATGATGCACAATTCGGATTTTTGTTAAATCCGATCTTTTTGTGCGGTCGTTCACATTTCAACAAATGCGGCATCTAATGTGAACAGAACGCGTCTGTGAGGTGACCCGCATGCCCACAAAGCACAAATTGCTTTCCCCACCTTAACTTAATTCTGTTGGTGTTAGAAATGAACAGAGACTCAAACACAGACAGCGTGAGTGATTTTATTTACAGGTTAACAGTCCTGTACAGAGCCTTCAGCACGTCTAAAAAGGACCTTTTCACATCAGCTGTTATAAAATGTGATTTCTAGAAAGGGCGAGTTAAAATGAACACGGCCTCAGATTCTGCAAAAACATTCATTTGTACAATAAAGAACAAAAATCCACAGATTACTCACAGCTTTTTCCAGCCGCTCCCTCAGGAAGTTTACTTTTTACAGACAAAGTGCAACTTTTCTTAAATTTGTCCTTTCTGCCCGTAACTCACACGCGGTTGAAATTCATAAGACCCTCGTGAGTTTAGAGACGAGGGTCCTCCTTTCACCATGATGATTAAACTTTGATACTTCTTAAAAATCTGTTTCATCTGGTTTCATTTTCAGGACAGTCAACAGTTGTAAAAACCAACAAAAGTCAGTACCTGTAGTTTTAAACTTTGAAAGTGCAGAACAGATGTTTACAAGCATGAACAAAGACTTCGCACACTTATAAAGACGTGAAATCTTTTAGCACGACTAAAATGAAGTTGGTGGTGGAGACCCTGAAGTCATCAGCCTTTGGGAAAGTATTTGTTGTCATGTTTCCATTAACAGCCAGTATCTGTCATTAAACGTCATGTATTTCTATGAGCATTACACTGGGAATGGTGTTTAGTCTGTACCGTAGGCGCCCTCTGCTGGGGAAGGATGATGCATTACAAGCGTTGCTAAATAATGTCAATTTTTAACTTATTAAAACTTCAAAGACGACTGAGAGAGATCTGATATCCTTTTCTTGTAAACCGAGAAGACGAAGCACTGAAGCACAAACTGAACATTTATGACCGTTTCTCCACACTGACAAAGACGGCGTACGTGACCGCGTCCCAAATGAGTGACCGAGTGTACTAAAAGTTCAAAAACATCACCTTTGCAGGACTTCAGAGGCTAAAGGTCCTTACACACCGGGAACGACGCAAATTTCCGACCCGAAAAAACGAAATATTCGGAGGTGAATTTTGACGCGCCTGACTATACACATCAAGCGCGATACGATTTCGCAACTTTCTGGGGGGAAAAAGACGTATCCCGGGGAAAGTCCCGCCTCCTTCGCCTCTGATTGGCTAGAAAAGCTGAAAACGTCATCACACATCATCGTCATATGAGAGATCCGACGCTTTGACTCTCCACAAGTTGTCCTTCAGGTCATTATCTTTGTAATATTTGTGTTTTATATCAAAAATCACTCTGTTCTCCGACTCGTAAACAATCAGTCGGTCGGCCATGTTGGATATGTCAGTGAATCTGACGTCGCAACAACATGAAATCTGATTGGTCAGAAGTGGACACACAGTATGCGAAACTTTAGAAAATTCAACTGTGATTCGAAAAAATTAATGCTGCAATATCGCAGAACGGGAAAACATCACTGATGTGAACGTTTGTATTGACAGGATACGGGTTCGAAAATAATATTGACGTCCGAAATAATCGCACGATAAAAAAACGGTCCCAGTGTGAAAGGACCTTTGGAAATGAAGTTTGTCTTCTCCTTCCTTTGTTAAAAACTTTGAGGGTCTGAGTCCTGATTTACATTTGAGACGTTTGAACACATGTGTGGCAGCTCCTCCTTTTTACAGCGTCGCTTCTTCTGTGAAAGAAGATCGATATGTTCTGATGATTTCCACAGAGGTCCAAATTTGATTCTGTTTTTTGGGTTCAGATTTGATACAGTTGAGATGATGTGTACAGAAGTTTACAGATATTTGACGTTTTAAAAAACAGATATGACAGTCGTTCGATAAAATCAGTCCTAAAGATATTAGATGCAGGAATTAACTCGTCAGATATGTAATTCTCAGTTACCATTAAATTTATAAACGACAGAACTTTCCTGCTAATAAGGTCTTCCATGTTTGTGATTGCTTGTTCAAATTTCTTTCTCCTGCATCACTTCGGTTAACACAAACCAGATCAGAGAAGGATTTCCTCTGTACGCTGAACTCGTGTATGGATACAGTTGTGTGGGTTTGAAAGCAACACCAGGACACAGTCAAACACGACAAGACATGACAATAAATAAAGCTTACTTTGTATATAAATACTTCAAGTTAAAATATTGCTAATATTAGCCTTCATATGCTGTATGACAATATAAATGTAGCGTTAAAAAATCCTCTAGTGTCGTGTATTTACAGGATATTTATAGGGTCTTCACAGAGTCGGTGCCTGGTGTAACAGCGCTGAATGAAGTTAATGAACGAGTGAGTGTTTCTATCATCTGTTAGTTCAGAAAAAGTCTCTTTTTTTCAGGCTACATAAAGCTGAGCGCTGCTGACCGTACCTTTACTGAACACTGAACTGTTAGTCGTCACCGTAGTGCACATTCACAGTCTCCCAACAGGTTTCCTGAGCTCATCTTAAAGCGACGACGACGACGACGACGACGTGTGTGGACGCAGGTCAAATCCCGGATGTGCGTGTGCGGGTGTGAAGGTGAGATGTTTTACAGGTAAGGCTCTCCAAACGTCCTGCGGCACTCCATCACCCCCGTGCTGGGGGGGCGGTCACAGTTGTGGGTCAGCTTCACCAGGCTCGGCACGAGGCGGTCGTAGGCCAGCTTGTACTCGCGGTCGAAGGCGTCTGAAAAACAGAGACGACTCTGAATCCTCTCTGCTCAAATCTGAGGATCTTTAAAACTGTGATCATGTGACTGCCGCGCTTTAAATGTGGATTATAACTCACCGATATCGATGTTATCTTTCCCAAGAGCCACCAGAGAGAGGAAGAGGATGTCTCTGTACAAACTCCTGTGAGAGGAAGAGTTCAGACAACAGCTGTTCACACACACCGTCCAGAAAACAGGATCGGTACATTTCAATTTCCTCTCTAGAAGTACAACCAGATCAAAATATGAAACCAGACAGTAACTCAGATAAAGCCACAATATTAGTTTCCATCAGAGTTTAAACTTAGTCAAGATTTTGGAAAGTTAAACAAAGCGAAGGATATTTTTCCAGATTTCACTGGACTTCTGTGTCCCAGTTTACGACCATTACAAGTTTAATTTAGAGTCTTTAGATTTAGACTCTGTACTTTGCACAGCGCTGTGTATCCAAAACTCCGAATGCCACAAAGTGAGAGTTTGACCCACTAAGGAAACCTCAGCTCTCGGAGTTTCACCTCTCAGGAGTGAAGTTTTTTTTAACAAATACTGTAAGGAAGCCTGATGTGATGGGCAGGTGCTGCTGACCTTTGCCTTTTGACCCCGATCGTCTGTCCCAGCAGCTGCAGCAGCTGAGCCATGGGCCGGCTGACGTCGTTCCTCTGGATGCTCCTCACCACGTTCTGCAGCAGCTCCTCCGTGAACGGCTTCTCCTCCTCCGGGACCGGCCTGGACAGAGGGTATCCTACATCTGAGAAAAAACACACACACACAAGAACACACAAGAACACATGAGTTATTCAGCGAGCTCATCACATGATCATTCAGACTGACGTGTAACAATGACCTTAAGATGATGATGATGGGGATCTTCACACGCAGCCCCTTCAGCACCACAACAACATCCTTTAACAGATGCTGATTGGAGGAACATATTCACCACAGATGCTTTCAAATAAGGATCGACCGATATGGTTTTTACAGGGCCGATTATTAGTAATGATTATTAGTAATCAAGGAAACCGAAAAATGTATCTTTTGGCCTTATTTTGAAACACATGCTTTTATTTTGAAATGGGAAAATCAGGTGTTGTTACCTGCTAGTTTGTTTCTTTTGTTTTACTTCTCCGTGGTTCATGGTGTTTGTTTTAACTGTGGGTTTGTGGTTTTAAGTGTAAGTTAAAGAATCTTATTTTTGACTGTGAAGACTGACTCTGGGTAACGACTGCCGGAATTTGAGAAGCAGGTTAAAGTGATGTGTATTAACCTACTTTGTGTATTCTTCATCTGTACCTGCTATAGTGCTAAACAATTTTATTACTGTCATGTTACAACAGCTGATGTCGGCTTTTTATTTTGTTCACTTTAACTCGAACTTCTACGGTGTTTATAAACATCAGTGAAAAAAACAGGACTCCCACATCCAGTCAGACCACTGCTTCAAAAGAACCGAATCTTTTAAGTGAACGTACTGAACTGAATCACTTCCTCAAGTGATTCGTTTGTTTCTTACATCAGCTGAGCTGCTATAGCACGCAGCATTGCCAGGTGAGCAGCCGGTGAACGAGGGATCACATGCACTGACGCCTGAATCACTTGGTGAACATTCACACACTGAACTTCACTCTCTGGAATCATATTCGTCGGACAAAAGTAACTTTTTTTTTACTGCTAAATTGCCACAAGAACAACTTGCATACAATAGGACACAAAATGTAACAAGAAGTGCATTAAACCCGCAGCATTCTATCATTGCAGCGGTTTGTGAGGGGACGGTTCATGTTCAGTGTGAATTCTTCTAAACATTCAGTGAACGAATCACTCACTGAGTCCAATTTACTGAGCAGACCTGATAAATAGCATACCATAGGACACTTAAAACATCACGACTTATAAACAAGTTCATTTTTACTAACCTGTTTGCCAAAGTGACACAGACAAACACTCTCATCTCCTGGTAGAAGCTACGATCTAAACTGAATCCTGAACTGTTCAGCTCTGTATCGGTTCAGGAGGTCGGAGTCACAGGCTCCTCCCGCTAAGCACTGAATGATTCGGTGATTTGGTGAACGAATCTTTTGAACAAATCTTTTTAGTGAACTGATCCTAGTGATTCAGTACATCTTAAAGAACTGCACAGAAAAAAGAGGACTTGAGCACAAACCAGTCTGACAGTAACTACATGTCAACATCACAAACTGGGGGGAGAAACATTTATATTCTGTGTCATTAATTTATAAAGTTTGTCTACAGCTCCATAAGCTTTGCTGGTGGAGGCGGGATTTATGACCTATACTGCAGCCCGTCACCAGAGGGTGCTGTTCTCGGAGTGGCTTCACCCAGCGAGGAGGCAGACGGCGTCCATTTTATCTACAGTCTATGCTTCAGGCAGAGAGAAGCAGCTGTATGAGAGCCGAACAAGCGCGTTTTAAACTTATTTTATCAGCTATCGGTGGAAAAAGCGTCCGATGCCGATTATTGTAAAAATGCAGAATATCGCCTATTATTGGTCGATCCTTACTTTCAAATACAGAGTACGGCTGTATTTGAGAGAAACATGCTCCAATGTCACAAAATTAACCCCTCTGCCATTATAGTTAAATAATTTCACACTGTACACAAACGCTGACTCCAAACACAGAGAATTCATTAGAGAAGGAGGAGGAGGAGGAAATGATACACGGAAAAGCATCAAGCAGAAAAGGTGGGAAAGACAGGAGCAGCGGGAAGTCTGCAGACAGAACAGCACACAGAAAAAACAAGAGCGGTCTGCAGAGGAGAGGTGAACACTCACTCTCTAAGAACAGAGAACAATTAAGCCCTGAAAGACAGAGAGCAGACAGAGCCTGTTAGCAAACGGTTAGCCAGCTGCCATCACCACGCCTCCCTCTCTGTCTAAGAACCGATTATGAACTCCACACAGATCTGAGCTTCTAACCTGTTCTGTGGAGATTTGAAGACTGTATTTTGTTCAGGATTTATTCACAAAGACTGTCTCAGCTCTACTTTTTCATTTTGAACGATTTTGTTGTAAATCTGCTCAAATCCTGTGCGTTAAATCAACCTATCTAAGTTTATCTTCATCCCCTTCTTCTGTAACTCTTCACTGTGGATCATTCAGGTCATTCACACTCAGACTCAAACGGACTCACTGTAGGTGTTCCACAGGATGTAGAGGGGCTGGATCGCATCCTGGTGCAGCTTCAGGTTGTCCCACAAGATCTGGATCAACACGTGTTTGCTGTCCTCTGACATCCAGTGACGAGGGATCTGAAGAGGGTACAGAAACCGACGGCAGCTCAGTGAGTCTGCAGACTGAATCATGATTGTGAAGATGTTGAAGGTGTGTCTGACCTGGGAGTCTCTGTTGCAGTGGTCTGAGGTGAGGATGAGCCCCGGCAGGTTGCTGGGCAGGTCCAGCCGTCTGAAATACCAGACCAGGTTCCAGTAGATGATGGGGTGATGGTCCACCATGTCGGCCTCTGTGATCACCGGGTCGCCCTCGTTCTCCAGCAGACTCTCCAGCTCCTTCCACAGGACCAGAGGGCTCAGGTAGGGGACCGTTACCGGCTCAGGGTTGTGGAGACGCCACTCCATATTTAGGGGGTCCTGAAACGAGGTAGAGCTTGATCTGGATCTGGTCTTATCACGGTTACAGGGACTCTTTAAAACTCTTGAAAGGTCTGAGGTTTTCATACCGGGGTTTCATTGAGACGACTCGGCAAGCTGCCTGACGTCGGCACACAGAGTCTGGGTCGAGATCTTTCCTCCAGGGGACCGAAAGCGCTGACACTGCGAGCCATGGGTCCTCCAGAGTAGAGCGCCCCCTGTCGGAGGTCTGTAGGGATGTTGATACCTTGCGCTTGAGTTGATCTGGTCCTGTAGAAACAAAACAAGAGCGAGGTGAATCCCTCCAGAACTTGGCGTCTCGCTGCACCCTCACGAGGGTTTCGATCTGTTTGTACCTTCCACCGCCTGAACCCTCCTGGATGGCGATCTCAGGTGAGGGAGGGGAGACAGCCGTAGTAGGACAGGGGGTGGATAAGGTGGAGGTTCCTGTGTCGAGGCCTGTGGAGGCCGAGTACGAGGAGGTCATCGCTTCATCTACCGAGGGGCTGCCCTTCAGGAAGAGCCTGCAGAGAGGAGAAGGAGGAGCATTTTTGATGGGGGGAGGGGTCTAAAAACAACAAAAAGGAGGTAAAGACCGGATCGTGGTCTGCTGGGTACCTGCCGGGTCCTCGTAAGTCTCTGATCTCCACGTTCAGAAACGGCAGGAAGGGGTTTCCACAGAAGGGACAGGTGGTGTTCAGGTTGGAGTCGTCGGCCGTCCAGCCGGCCATGATCTCCTCGTCGTAAACCAGACAGTCACATGTTTTACAGCGGGAACAGCTGGAGATCAGCAGCTGCAAACACACACACACACACACACACACACACACACACACACACACACACACACACACACACACACACACACACACACACACACACACACACCTTTGTTTTAGTCGATCACTGATCAGGATCATATTTCTGTTTGTTTCCAGATCAATTCCTGATCGTTCAATCTCTTCAAAACTAAAACAGAGTTGTCATTTGTGTCTTCTATGTTTCAATCATTGAAATACTCAGTATGTTAGAGTTAGTATGAAGAGTTAGAGAAAACTGTTGCTTATGTAGACGCTCCAGAAAGTCTCATATCAAAACTTTTCCCCATAAAATTAGTAATCACACACTTGATGCTTTTTTTGCTCTCGTGTCGCATCAAAGATTTTGGGCTAAAATACGTCTAAATTAAGTTTTTCCACCTTTACTCGTCTGTCTACTGGTTTTACCTCCATGGCGTAGTTGTTGAAGATGCTGGTGTTGCTGGTGTAGCGAGAAGAGCCGAGGTCGGACTTATCCGGCAGAGGGAAGCCTGGAGGAGACATGACACCTCCTGTAGGAGAAACACGACGTCTTCACACAACTGTACCTTTGACATGATGAAAGATCGTGAAATTTTGATGCGCCGCGCCTCGTCTTACCTGGGAGCAGAGACGTGGGTCTCCCGAGACTGGGGCCAGCGGTGGGGCTGTCCAGTCTGCTGCGGAGGGGGCTGCGTCTGGGGCTTCTCCGTGGTCCCATGGGGCCGTTCCTCTGAGGAGAGACCACTGAGCTCCCGGACTCTCTGCAGTCCTCCTCGTCCAGCAGGGTGGAGCAGTCCGGATCGCAAACACCGAGAGAGGAGACACTCAGGCGATCGCTGAGACCCTCCTGTGAGGAGACGAGAGAGGAGGAAGACAAACATGAGACAGATGAGAACTAAAGCTCATGCTGTGAACCCTGTCAGCACGAGTTTCCTTAGAGTTCCTGTGATCCTGCAGCGTGGTGACTCTGCACTTATCAGTCGTGTGTTTGATTGATGGATAAGTCGCTTCTTTAGTTGAATCAGATACACAAACGGCCACAAGAGGGCAGCACCACTCCAGATTCAGGCTTTTTAAAGACCACTGCTCATATGAGAGGTTTACACGAGATACCAAAGACAAAGATGTCCTCCTGAACTGAAATAAAATGAGACGTACCTTGGTGGGTGTGGTGTACGTGGCGAGTCGAGAGTACCAGCGGCTCGCCTTCTCAGCCACGCCCTTCCCTGCAGAGACCACGCTGGTCTTGAACACGTCCAAGGTCGGTGTGAGGAGAGTGTCCAGGGCGAACGAGGAAGAGGAGGGTGAAGGTGAAGCCAGGCCCATCCTGTCCCTCCTCTCCCTGTACGGGCTCGGTCGGGGGCTGGGGCTGGGGGTGGTGCTGGAGCTGTGACCGGGAGGAGACGACCACAGGCGCTGGCGTGAGATGGCTTCAGAGGGCGAGGGTGGGTGGAAGGTGCGGGAGCGCGGTACTCCTGCAGTCCTGAGGGGGGAGCTGTGGGGCAGGCTGGCTCTGCGGGGGGCAGAGGGGTGGAGGAGAAGGGGGCTGGCGGGGTCCTGCAGGTCCAGGCTTGGCGTGCGGCTGCTCAGCGGGCTGCCCATGTGGTTCATGTAGAGCTCGATCTCCCTCGCCAGGTGCCTGCGGGCGCTCGGCGTGCTGACCTCGTCCTCCTCCGGAGACTCCTCCTCGATTTGAGGTTTAGACCGGGTCTCTGCAGCCAGGAGGGACAGCGGATCATAGCCCGTCTCGATGTCTGTGCGTTTCACGGCCCCTCTCGACGCCTCGGTGCTCACGGCGCCGTAGCTGGCACTGCGCCCAACGGGTTTTTTATGCGTTACTTTAGCACCCCCTCCTGATGCTGGTTTATCTAGATCTAGATCCTCCAAATCAAAAATGGCCTCAGCGTTACTTCTGTCCTCATCACTGGAGTCCGGCCCCTCTCCCTCCTCCTCCTCCTCCTCCTCCATGTGGTCATGACACCTGGACACACCCGTCTTGGCGGCGGCTCCCTCCGACACGCCCAAGATCAGCGACCGCGGCCTCAGCTTTTTACTGAAGTTCGCGCCAGAGAGGATTTTGACGTCTGCGGCCAGGTGTCCGGCGATCTTCTCCGGGTCGGTCTCTCCCTGGCTCATACCGAGGCCGAGGACGGTGGTGCCGCTGCCGCTGCTGCCCACCGTGTCCCCGCTCAGCCGGCGGGCCCTCGCGCTCTGCCAGTCGAGAGCTGAGCCGCCGCCGGAGCTGCCGACCACCTCCTCCAGAGCGCTCTTATGTCTCCTGAGCAAACTGTTGGTGTGGACCTCACCGATCTCATCCAGGGAGGAGGTGAAGAGGAGGCCTGCGACGTGGCCTAAAGGAAAGAAGAAGAAGAAGAAGAAGGAGTAAAAGAGGAGAAGAGCAGGAAGTGTGTCAGAGTTTAATCTTGACTTTCAAATCCTGAATCGTTTTCTAAAAAGAGATATCGAGGTAAAGGTGCACGTCGAGGCTGAAACTAACTTTTCTGACAGAATTTTTAATGGGAAATAAGAGAAACTGCATCGGGAAATATCAGGTGCTTTGATGAAAAATTCAAGATGAAGGCTGTGTGCGAAAGTTAACTACAGGAGAGTCGGTGATGTGAGGTTTGAGCTGCTGATGAACAGAAAAGGCTACAGGTAACAGGATGAACCATGAAGGAATTAAAGTGATCGATCCTGATGTCCTGATGTGGTTGTGGATACTCCTAAATTAAACTTCCTCACCTGCGCTGGCGGAGCTCTTGGGTTTACACGAAGCGTCGTCAAACGGACAGCTGCTGCGAACGATCCCTCGGGGTTTGAAGGAGGACTGGGCCTCCACGTCCAGCTGAGGCAGGCAGTCTTTGCTTCCTTTGCTGCTCTCCGTTTCCGACACTACAGACGAAAAATTACAATTTAAAATTTACTACCAGCTCAGCGTGAAAAAAAGAGGGGGCTGCTCTTTAAAAAAAAAATCCATTAAAGGCTGAAACTCTCTGATGTTGAGAAACCAGAATGAATGAATCATCTCTGGAGGAGAAAGAAAGATCAAGGCAGAGGAAGAGGAAATCCTGAGAGGCTGCGAGGCTGCCGAGTTATCGTTTTTTAGAAGTTAAAGTAGAGAGAAATAAAAAAAAAAGAAGTATCAGGTGATCGGACAGAAAACTAACAGGAGCTGCAGTCGCTCTCCTTCTTGTCGTCTTTGTCCGGGACGCCGGGGTCTCCTCGGCGGACCTCCTCTTTGGACAGAGAGTTGTAACCCAGATCTGATTGATCTCCTGAAGAAGAGGAAGAAAGAGAGACGGATGAGACAGATGTCCCTGATGAACCACAAGATCACAGATAAATATGCGACACAATGCATGGAAAAGAAACCTCGACAGAAAAACAGCCTGAGTTCGTTTTCACAGGTTTAGGTCTCCCGTCGTTTCTGATCGGAGTTTAAGAGAAGTTCAGTTTGACTTTATCGACTTCAACTGTACGATTGTTGACAAATGAGAGTCGATCAACTTCAGGCCAAAGGGGAGAACCTGTACCCACCTGAGAGCTCTGACACTTCATCAGATTTTACAGACGTCTGACATTTGATCGAAGCTGCTTTGGTTAGTAGGAAGGATGTAAAAACAGTCCCAACAGTGGCTCCACTGACCATAATGTTTCTGCAGACTGTGTCACGGCCTCAAGAATTTGGGTATGAAGTATCACGTGCACAAGTTTATCTACAGTGCTCAGCATTAATGAGTACATCCCTTCAGAGTTTTTAGAAAACTTTTGGTTTCCTTTCAAAATCAACATTTTCTTTGTCAGACTAGACAACTAAATTCTCCCCCAAACATAGGCTAATGATTGCAAACAAGATTTTTTAAGCTCCATACAAAATTTTTTTTTCTTCAATTTTTTAAAATTTATTCATTATTTAATTCATTTATAAATAAAAAGAAATAATTTAATTTAAATACAAACATTATTCTTATTCTGAAACATTCTCCTATCTAGAATGAAGGAGCAGAGAGAAGGCTAATCTTATTTTATCTGCCCCTTTATCCCAAGAAATCAATTTACAAAGAACAAACTTAAAATAATAAAATTTATTTAAATCTAAAAAAGCAACAACAGCATAAACAAAACACAATAAAAAATATATTTAATAAAATAAAAATATAGCTGCTGGCCAACACAGACAGTCATATACCATTTAGTTCCCAAGTTACAATTCAGTTAATGTCACTCAAACCACAAAATTACAACGGTATGACAATCAGATATAATGAACATATTTAATTTAAAATCAGGATGTAAAAATGAGTTCACATCAATCAAAGTTCTGGGAGCAAAGCTACATTTTAGTTACCGTATCACCCTTATTTTCATCTTATGGTAAATAAAATGTTATGTTGAACTTATCTTTGTCAAAACTCTGGATATTGTACTTTTGCTCATCTAGATATTGAGTAATACGTTACTTTTAATAAGGGATGTACTGACTTATGCTGGGCACTGATAATCTATTGCAAACGTGTGCAAATTCTCACGATGGATCTCAACAGGCCGTGAGTGTCTGCAGCATCTCGCATCAGGACCAACATTCAGAATAACTCTACAGAAATACTCCGTCTTCTCTCTGAGGAGCTTTTATTGTATAAAAACCTCTGAATTAATTTGAGTCGATTTCATTACCAGCTCAAACCTCCTCACTGGAGCGTTAACCCTGAAGTAGGAGGAGGTGTAAATTGGACTATAGAAGAGATAATAAAAATAACGGCTTTTCTTCTCCTTTATCGTCTCCACTCTGGGACGGCGTTGCAGCGTCGTAGCAGGAGGAGGAGTTAAGCTAATCTTCCTCAGTTACAGTTACAGTCAGGAGGCTAAGCACAGTTTCACAGCTGCTAATGAATCTAAGTCCTCCAGACTTGTTGTTGGAGCTGCTGTCACTCTCGGCTGACTCCTCCATCTGTCTCTAAAAGTCCCTCCGGTCTGCAGGACACCAGCTGTCTGATGATTTGTCTCCCTCTTTCATCTTTGCCACCAACCTCTGCAACCGCCGCCCCCCTCCCCTCGTCTAAATAAAACATACGGCTGCACGGCTCGGCTGAGGAGAGTGACAAAAGTCATGCCAGGACTGTGATAATCAATGACGAAGACTCCCAGGTTCTTTCTTCCTGCTGCGCTGTGAGCCGCAGCTCCATCTCAGACCCTCCGAAACAAAAGGCGAAGTCTCCCGCCGAACAGCGTGGCGTCTTCGTGATTAAAACGATTTCCGTAATCACAAAGAATGTGGCTCCGGGTAATTACTCAGCATAATTGACAATGACAAATCACTCGGTGGTGAAGCGAGTGAGAGAGGAGGCAAAAGAAGAAGAGCGGGAATGAGTGATGTGCCAGATGGAGAGATGTCGAAGTGAGGAGGCGAATACCAGAGAGAGAAGAGCGGGGAGGAAGAGACGGCGAGGATAAAAAGAAGACGTCATCACAGAGCAGGTAAGATGAGACATCGAAGTGACACCAGAGAGAGACAGACAGGTGGACAGGAAGAGAGGTTTACCTGGATGGAGGGTGGCTTCTCTGAGCTCAGAGCCCCCCCAGCGTGAGTGGGCCACCGGGGCCCTGGCGCCCACGCTGCCGCCCCCACCGCCGGCTGCATGCAAGGGCAACACAGGCAGGGCCAGAGTGAAGGGCAGGGTTAGGGACAGAGCAGAGCAGAAACCACAGCCGCAAAACCAGGAGGAGACAACACGGATGGAGAAGGAGGGTGGAGAAAACAGGCGGCGGAGGGATGGAGGATTAAGAGGAGGAGGCAAAAACGAAGAAAACAAACAAAGGGAGGAATGAGAAAGGAGGATAATTAAAGTGTCATCGAGAGACAAAGATGGAGGACAAAGATGGCTGCCTGTGAAAGGTGACGTCAGGCAGCGGCCATGTTGAGTGTACCTGTGCTAGATCTATCATCAGTGGGGTAAACTTTGGCGGAGTCAGTGGTGTAGGGGCCCTGCTCGGTCAGGTTAGTGTCAGCAGAGCTATCCAGGCTGCCGTGACTCACAGCGTCCAGGTCGCTGCCATCTGCCCAAAAACAACAAGGGGTTAAAAGGAGGCGGGGCGCCACTCTGAGGTCACAAGGCTTCACTGACACTCGCCTTTTGAGTGTCGCTGACGGAAACTTGTTGTTTTACTTTTTAAAGTTGTTTTTTTCTGACTTCTGTCGTTTAGTTCCAGTCGTTTATAACTAATCGATGAGAACTTCACATCGAGTCGTTAAACAGCGTTAATTAAATTATGTCACCAGAGTAAAACGATGGCTGAAACTCTTCTAAATGGGTATCTATGTCCTGAAAATGAGGTGATGTTCAGCTGTAATTACTTCAGATCATTAGGATGTAAATTAGTCCTCATTAAACTGAAAACAAACACCGACTCAGTTGTAAGACTTCCAATTCATTACGTCCAATTAACTAAAAGCACATCCTGGGAAGTCTTTGAAGAGATCAGGTCAGGTTAACGTGCAGAGACTTAAGACGCCAACAAACTGTTTACCAACAATTACAACTATGAAGGATTTTCATGTGACTTTGTTTCTTCATTTTTAAAGCTATTCTTTTGTGCTCATAAACACTTAAATCCAATAACTGCTGCGGACTTCAACCTCTCGGACCTTTTAAAGAGACTAAATTATGTGTCATTTCAAAGATTCACACATGAGGAACAAAAGGCAAACAGACGGGAGTTTTGGCTGCAAAACTAACTACTGAATAAAGGGAGACTAATTAGATTAAAAAAACATTAACATTTTCATCCATATTGGTATTTACAGAGCGCATAATAATAATAATAATCATAATCATCCCTTTATAAATGGTAGAGGAGCTCTTTGCACGATGCAAACAAGGGTTCACAGTTTATACCTGATTCTAGGGCTGGGCGATACGGCCTCAAATCAATGTCACGATATATTGATCAGTTCACCTCAATAACGATAAATGGATAATAACTACTACACAAGCTGCTCACCCCCTCCCACATTGACTTCGTCTTCTCCATCTCCTCACCTGTCTTTACCTCTTTGTTAAAGACTGGATGGGGCGGAGTCACGTCTCTGACGTAGGACAGCGTCCAAAACCAACTTTTTTTTATGTATTTTTTTTGACACCGAATATCCAGATACGGGCAAAATGATGCTGGCATTGAAACTATATTTTACTTTTTAATTCTGCTTTTATTTTATCCATCGTTTTAGTTGTTTTTTGATTGTTTTTTATGTCTATTTATGTCCAGCACTTTGTTCATCTGTGGTTGTTTTAAAGTGTTTAACAAATAAAGTTGAGTTGAGTTGTTTATTGTCGTGAACATCGGTATCTGTAAATTTTCGGTTTATCGCCCAGCTCCAGCTGATTCTGCACAGAGGAAAGTTCAGGATGGGCTGAAATGATTGACTTAAATTCAATCAGAGTTTCTGCAACTGTTCAACTTTTGCTCTGTGTGTGATATTGATCTAAATGCTCCTGTCTGACTTTATGCACAAAAAATAAACCGGACAAATAAATTCAGAATTTCTCATAAATGTAAGAAACGAACATGACCCTTAAATCGTTTCTGCCTTCTGTGTTTCAGTGAAAGTCCATTAAACCGTGTTTGGAGTATTGAGTGCAGGTTTTTCTCTCTTTCCAAACAAACCAAAACTGAACCAAAGTAAAGGTTAAAGGTTAAAGGTTAGGAACACGATGCTGACTGAGGGTTCGGGGTGTTTGAGGGCAGCAGAGACTAGCGGATCTTTAATGAGCTTGTGCAGATATTCTGGGGCATGCAGGGGAGTTCAACCATTTCATCTCTGCAAACAGATATACGAAATGTCGATTCTCAGTGCATAACAGGAGAGTGTTTAGTTTTATAATGTCGCTACCTCACAAGCCTTCGACCATCATTTATTTATATTGTATTTATGGTAATGACTTCTTGGATAAAGACTCTCCTCATGGCCGACTAAGTGGAGTTTCAAAGGCCTATTAAACCGGGAGCTGGAAAAAGCAGACAGCCTTTTAATTGGGTAATAAACTTAGAGTATTTTGGATTTAATACATTTGATCTCAGCTTCACACTGACTTTGAGGCTCAGAGTTTGGTCTGATCAGTTCATTTCTGTTATTCATCTGTTTTATGTTATTGCTAATTAACTGTTTTTATGCTAATGTGTCCAATATAAAGAAATTAAGAATAAAAAATGAAGTACAAATGTATTAGTTTTAATTTTGCATGCTCCTGATTCCAGTCTGTTTTCTTTCTTTACAGTGAATCTGGTTTTTGACGCTTTTATTGCTGCAGGTGTTAAAACTCTACGATGGGGATGTGTCAGGGTTTCTCATCGCGGGTTCATGCTTCGTCATTCCCTTCCTCACACATGCAGAGCGTCAATAACGACGACAGATACCTGAGAGGGGGCTCTGTGTGAGGGGGGCGTGGCGTCGCAGCGCCCGTTTGAACTGCGCCACACCCAGGACGACGTTCCTCAGCTTCATCCACAGAAAGTACCCTCCTCTGGTGCTGGAGGGCCAAGTGCTCTCCAACACCGCCTGGATATTAAGAACAAGGAATGACAGGGACAGAGAAGACTGAGATTGGAAAGTCTGATCAAAATTTCATACAGCAGAGTCAAAGTCATTTCATTTCATACTCCAGTGATGAAGCATATCCCTGTTTTTATCATTTCAAAAAGTCCTCCGACATTAAATATTCCCACAGTTATCTGCAGACTGTAACTTTATTCACTTTATTTCAACTTAACATTTAAAAACGACCTCATTTCTGCTCCACTGATCCTCATTATGAATGAATTTTTCATCAAAAGCATTTGAGACGCGGTGAAACTGAACATAGGAAAAGAAAAAGAAAGAGGAGCTGCAGCTGTTGTTCTCCGAGTCACGTTCAGAAGTCCTGAAATAGACTTCAGAAGCCTCCAGAGGAAAAACACGAGTGATATGTTACTGAGCAGAACTGGTTATTACGCCGCCTGCTTCTGCATGAGGAGGAGTCGGAGGATTTGGACCAGGTGAAGTGAGGCTGCCCCCTGCAGACGTGAGGACGACGACAATTCACAAGTTCATGATATCAAAGATTTGTGGGAATAAAGTTTTTATTTTGAGTGAACAAAAGACGACTTCCTCGACTGATCCTCTTCACAAAAGACTCAGACTTATTTCAGGTGTTTATGTTTGTCTTTTTTTTTCATCTGAGGGACGACTGAAGGAAAGAGATAAAGTAACTCAAACATCTTTAGATCTTGAAGGAGCATCCAGTGAAAATACAAACACCTGCAGCTGTTCGGAGCAGCAGCTGCAGCTCCATCAGCCTCCTCGTGCCTCCGGGCCTCTTTCATCTAAGATGAAATAAGATCCTCGGAGGGGTCAGAATAACCTTTACTGCAGACTCATCTGCTCCTGTGTCACATCAGAACATTTACCTTTTTACCCCCTGGGTTTTTACGTCAGGGACTGAGGCGGGTTTCAATGATAGCAGAGCTTTGATTCACCCTGACTCCTGAGTCTGATCACCCAGGACCCCTCTGTGGCCTTGGCAGGAAACTACAAATGTCATTCTGTCTGTCTGCAGAGGAGGTCGTGTGATAAAAGGTCTCTGCCTCGTATGAACCAGAAACAGCAGAAGGAAACAGGTGGATAATTCAGAAACATGAATCATGATGTTAATATGAGTCATGAACAGACAATGAGCGTCAGTCTGTCTCAGCTTTAGGTCAGGAATCCAAAAGTTTTCCGTCGTATTTTCATCAACCTTACAGTTTCACTTCAGGAAATTAATCCCACACTGTTTTTAATTATCAATCTGTCTCTCATTTTACAACAACAGAGTCAAACATCCGCTGGTTTCAGACTCTTAAATGAGAGATTTTACTGCTTTTTTCATCAAATATGATATTAAATTAAAATAAGGGGGTTGTGGACTAGCAGAAGAGTCTTCTAACAGGATACAAAATAAACTTATCATTAAGTTATTGATCAAGAAAAAGCAGCTGATTGATCTGCTTTCAATGTCCTTTTGACACCATTTATAAAGGAGGAAATGTTATTTTAGAATATTTCTGTCCCCGTCTCCACTTCATTCTTGTTTTTCTTTTAACTTTATGTTTTCATGTCTTTGTGGGGGATTTTAGTCTCAGTCTGTGATCTCACTTTGGATACTTTTTAATCGCTGACTTAGTCCATCTCTTTACCATTCTTGCGGATGAAAAAGGGAGCATCCGGTCTTTCCCATATTTTGCTCCGACAAGTTTGTGAAGTTTTTAAGCAGCTGAATCAACAGATTATAACTAACACACCAACATCAGGAGAATCTCTTCTGATGGTGCTTGGATGGTGGATGGGTGTTGAGAGGCTGCATCCTTGAAACTTTGAGATTTATTTTAGAGCATAAGCAGAGATGTAAATAAACCCCAGTGTTTTGTTGGCAGCGATCATATCTGTACCTTGTTGTAGTAGCCGTAAGTGATGGCGTTGGGGTGGACTCCAGCTTTCTTCATCTCAAACAGAACCCTGACTGCCAGCACAGGTTGGCCGTACTGTCCGCACAGCTGCATCAGCACGCGATAGCACACCTGCACAAAGCATGTGGAGATGTTTTCATTCAGACAAACGGACATTAAATCCTTTTAATAAATCTGAAGATGACACAAAAAACAAAAAGTTCATACCTCATCAGGAGGCTGCAGCTTCTTCGCCTGCATCTTCCTGAGGACGTCGTAAGCTGTACGAAGCGCCCGCACCTTTGAGTGGCACACCTTCACGTACGCTGGCAGGCAGATGAACCACAGGCCGTAACAGTGACGCAGCAGACATTTGGACCACAGCTGAGGGATGGAGGAGTATTTCTTGGCGATCTTCTGGGCTGATTTGATCTCCTGTGGATGAAAAAAGGAGGATTAGGACGTACACCAATCAGATATGAAACCTTCTGGGCTGGATGTCCTTCGACTCAGTGAGTCATATCAGTTTTCTTAACCACATTACAAAAGAGATTCAACTTCTATCCCTCGGCTCTTGGTCTCTTTTCAGTGTGAGGACCGCTCCAGGCAGTTCTTTGTGTTTTCTGAATTGCCAAATGTAAAAGAAAGGATTAGCTGATAGTCTGATTTATTATTGACTTTTTGGGAAACTGAAACGTTGTGGTGAAAGAAAATCAACCTTGTACTGTTGCTCTCAGTTTTTGTGGCTCCAGCTCAGTCCCTTAACAGATAAATCAATGATTCATTCGGCGACAGCGGTGAGTTACCGCTCTGCTGACCTGTTTGGTGCGTCTAAACATGGGGGCAGGGCTGGTGGGACAGCTGTGCCTGGCAGCGAGGCGAGAAGAGGGGGTCCGCAGACCTTCCACAGGGTCAAACAGGTCGAGGCTCAGCACTGGAAAACCATCATACCTGATGAAGAGCATAAATACAAGGATCAGTGACAACAGGCACCCATTCCTCTCTCCCTCTCAGCTCTCGATGCCGGCAGGATAAAACATTATCTGTGATTGAATGATTCCTTCCAAGGTTATAGGGATCATTACAGCGGATAATTATCTGACAAGAGAGCTGATAATAAAACTCACGGACACCGCCGCTCATTATGTGTTATTACAGAGCTTTCATTTAAGTGGTTCTCTAAATCTTTTGGCAGGAGCGTTTTCCAGTGAAACGTGGTCGCAGAATACAAATATCCAGACCTACACAGTCCAGCGGTGGTGTTCAGTCTTTGGTGTCAGTGAGAGCTGGACTCCTGCTGGTCGAAAATCTGCGATAACTGATGCAAATTAAAAAAAAAGGTTTAACCCGATGTACGATTTAGATTCTCTGATTTCAGCTCTGCTGTTCACTGTGAGCGTCGAGTAAAGAGACTGAATGTTGAGTGAATATCAACTGTGTAAGCAGAGCTGCAGAAACATAAACACACCGCTGAACTCTGATGTGACTTTACCCTGACTTTATATACGTTTGTCAAACCAACGCGCTGTGATTGGCTCAGTTTCTATTTCTGCAAATGAAATCTGTTTAATGTTTACGAGATTACGAGACACATGGGAATAACAAATAATAAAACTGTAACGATTAAACACACCAATATTACATCCCAGTGGCTAACTTTTTTTTCAAATCCGACCCAGGCCTCTTTTGTATGTAGATATAAATCAGATATGTATCCGATGTGACTGCAGTGTGGACGATCAGGTCGCGTTCATCCGACCTATACATCATCAATGTGCGACAAACGTCACCATTGTTCGACAACACAAACAGGTGCGGAAATCAATGGCGGACGAGGGAACGGAGAACAAGCCAGTGGCGAAAAGAAGAAACATTCGAGTTGATAAATATATGAGGAGACCAGTCAGTTCAAGCCAAAATGGAGGGCTCATACCGAAACCGCCGGTGTTCAAGGAAATTGCCAAGGAATTGGCCGAGCGAGGCATCAAGCGTTCCTGGCTGCAGGAACGCCTTCGCTCTAAATATAAAGAGACAAAGGATGTGAACCAAAGAAGCGGACGCGGTCGTGTAACCTGTCAATTTTATGGAGAGCTGGATAAAATTCTGGCTGACAAACCCAGCTGTCTGCCTTTAGAGCTGCTTGATAACTCCATAGAGGACCCCGCTGACTCTCCAGGCACCACCACAGCAGCCAGCCCAGTGAGCAGCTCTGTCGGCGACACAGGAGAGTTATTCATAAGTTTATGATTGAAGGTTAGCACTGTTGTCAAAGCAACTTACAAAACATGTCTCTTGAGTGGTAACACCGAGTCCTAGTTTAGTTTTGCTTTGTGCGCATGCGGGTCACTTCACGGACGCATTCCGTTCACATTAGATGCTGCATTTGTTGTTGTAAGATCGGCTTTAACAAAAAATCTGAATTGTCGTAACCTGCAGTATGAACATAGCCTTAAAATGGTGGTTGGTTTGGCCAACATTGATCAGGCCACACGGACACTTGAAGATGGAGACGACATGAGTCGAGAAGCAATTAATGAATTCTTTTAAGTCATTTATCCCCACTCTTTTCTGAGAGAGAGAAGAGTGAGTTTCAGTATCAAGAGAGTTGGAACAGAGTGCACATCCTCTTCATCTATAATTGCCAAACACTTGCTCAGAAAGCCGACCAAGAATCAATGTTCCTGCCCCTCTTGAAGGAGAAGTGAGGTCTAGACGATGCGGGATGGTTCAGATTGGAGCCAAATGGCAGTGGTTGGTAAAAGATAGACATGGTAAAAGCAAGTACAGACTTCGCAGAGGGGAATTCAGCACGTTGTTTAAAAGCAGGTGTGTAGGAGCAAGGTGAAAAGAAAACAGACAAATCAAAAAGTCTGTAAAAGATTCAAGATCCAATGAAGCATATAAAACCGCGCTAGGCCGGGGTCATTCCTATTTATCAATACAGTGAGTGAGTGCATGAGTCACATTCATACACTGATGGTGGAGTCAGGTGCAAATATGCTCCTCAGGACTGAATCCAACTCATTTGCACACACATCGAGGCGGTCTTTATGACTTTACATTGAGAGCAAATCGAGGTTTAGTGTCCTGCTCAAGGACACTTTGAAACGTGGACACTCTTACTGCTCTGCCTCTGAGCCGCAACTCCACAATAGAATGAGAGGTGGAGATGAAAAATCCAGAGAGAAGCAGCAGGTAGTGACCAAATACATCAAATTAATGCACCAGAGAATCAGCAGAAGCAAATCTTTGGAAAACTGACTTTGATTTTGTCTACCATCAAAGAGGAGATATGAGGAGCTGAGCGTTTACTTGTAGCAGAGAGGATATTCCTCCCCCTCGGGCAGAGGAGGCAGCTCTGGAGGTGTGATGAAGACTGTGTGCTCGCTGCGCTGGGATTCATCAATCTCTATCAGCCGAGCCTCCTCCGGCCTGTCACCGTCCACCTACAGAACAAAACAAGAACAGAGATGTTTGGGTGGTGGTACTGTGACCTTTCATTCATCACAGCTGATAGAAACAGGGAGTATCCCGTCAGACAGGAGAGAATTTCAACACAGAGCTTGACATTGTGCCCTCTAATAAATATGTCAGAGTGGCTGGGAGGCTTTTGGTCTGCTGATTCATCTCTGTTCAACATTGTTTCACCAAAACAGAATTTCAAAGCAGCTTTGTAGAAGTCAAGCTGATGGCAGAGTTTCTACAGAAGGAGCGTGAGCGAGATCTGAGGGAGGCTGGCAGCAGGTGACCTAGATTTCTGGAGAGAACCAGCCCGTTTTTTTTTTTCTCTCTATGTTCAGCCACCCTCTGTCACTGAACACACACACACACACACACACACACACACACACACACACACACACACACACACACACACGCTTTTTTACAAAAATGATCATCCTTGACATTTTGGTAAAGACAGATGAGAGCGACATGAGTAAAATACTGAACCAGGAAGCTGAGTCAGGATGTGTTAGGGGTTTAAAAAAAAGATGAAATGATGGATTTTCTCAGGACAGTTAGTCCAACAGTTTGATATGAAAATCATAAAACTTTAGACTTAAGGTCCTTTCACACCGGGAGCGTTTTTATCGTGCGATTGTTTCAGACGTCAATATTTTTTTTTCGAACCCGTATCCTGTCGAAACAAGCGTTCACATCAGTGATGTTTTCCCGTCCTGCGATATTGCTACTTTTCTTTTTTCGTATCACGGTCGATTCGCATACTGTGTGTCCACTTCTGTCCAATCAGATTTCGTGTTGTTGCGACGTCAGATTCACCAGTATATCCAACATGGCCGACCAGCTGATTGTTTACGTGTCGAAGAACAGAGTGATTTTTGATAAAAAAACACAAATATTACAAAGATCATATTACTACCCTCCAAAAAAATCATGATAAAATAAAACTATAATTTGTGAATTCTTTCCATATCGCCAAACCTTGTGTCATTGAATTTCCCTTCAAGGATAAATAGTTATTCTAATTCTAATGTCACAGGCATAAACCCTACATAAAGATAATCCCACATGATTTTGTTGATTATAGAGAAGCATCTCTGTAAATTTCAATCACTGTCTAATCCACTGAAGAACTCTTCACAGCGCCTGGTCATATCTAATATTGATTGTGTAATAAATGCGTCAGCTATTGTGGCGAAGCTCCAGGGTGGTTACAGTCATACAGTAAGAAAGATACACGGTATGCACAGTCTGCTTTTGTACAGGCATCACAGCAAAGATCATGAATTGTGTTTACTTGCAGTCAGTTTTACTTGTTTACCACAAAGTTGTCGACTCAGCATGAACAATAAATCGCACGTCTCTTTTCTTAACCTCCTTATCCAACAATATCCTTTAAACAGGTGCCTGAATAACATCTGGGTGAAGGAGTAAATCACAGTCGACCATTTCATCCCTGACATTTGGAATCACTTCACATATTTTACTGCAGTCCTGTTGGACGAACTGACAGACAGTGAATCTTGAAGTAGGTTTGAGCTTTTGTAGGGAGTAAAGAGAGTTTAGGGTCACAATGAGGTCGTAAATTCAGAGGTACTTAATGACAGACTTTAGTGCTAAAACCATCGGTTTAGTTTGAGCCAGAAGGGAGGGAAAGTAAAGCACTCGCTGAGAGTTCACAGTCTAGTTTCAGAGCCGTAGTAATTAAAGTTAAAGAGGTTCAGTGTGAGGGGGAGTGAAGGAGTCCAAAGCTTTTCTTCTAAGAAAACTTTCATTAATTCTCTTTTGTCTGAAGCAGAACTTCAAAGGCTGACATGGTGCTGTGTGATGTCTCTGAGCGCTGATTAAAGCTGCATTATCTCTGATAACCAGATAAAGAGATTGGAGCAGAATTATAACCGAGGTGATCCAGGGGACAGATACGGATACCTGGGAAGGTTTTTAAGGTGGGGTAGACAGGATTCTGTTAAAGAAGCATCTTTTTTTGTGGTGCTTTTAATATCAGTCAATAGCTAATAGTTATTGATTCCATTTGGGAATATAACCATATCACTGTGTTTCGTTATGTCTGTGTAGTCAACATTTTAAAATCTTTATGCGGCCCGCTCTTTCTGACTGTAAACAAAGCCGTTCTTCACCTCCCCAACTTGATTGGTTGTGAGGCAGACGCTGCTCCCCCGTGTCGTTCAGGAGCCCAAACAAAGTTAGCGTGCTACAATATCGGACAGTAGAAACCAACCAGAAAGTTCGGAAAATTGTCTGAATCCTCCTTTGGCCACGACTGCCGACACAAGCAAGAAAACAAAGTAAATACTGGAGACTCTGGAGGAATAACGGGCGCTTAAAACGGAGGTAGACCGGACAAGAGCTAAAAAGCCGGGTCAACATAAACGATGGGGGACGCTTGGGGATCTTGGTGACCCTGTAACCTTTCTGCTGGACAGGTAAACCGCTTTAACAAAGTAAGACAAGTGTCTGTAACAGAAGTGTTTCTTGTCAAACGGACCTGCTGTAGCGTGTTGTAGCGCCATCGCTTAACTGTCCTCCCTCGGGTCCTGGACTATGTCACTTGATCCTCGTTGTAGAAGTCCTGCAAACATTGTGTTTGCTGGTAGTCTGTTGGCATCTACAGTAGCACCAATGCTTTTGACTTTCACCTTGACTGGGCCCCATTTGTAATTATCTGAAGTATTTATCTGCATTATATCTGAATTTAACTGGAACGATACGAGCGAGCAGGAGCGTCTGTTTGTGGGCGGGGCTTGAGGGGAGAGGAGGAGCTGAGGGGAAAACTGGTTGGGAGGGGTAGAGTTTACATTCAAGATTTCTCCTAAAAACTGGAACTTCCTCAGATCCTGACTACCCCACCTTTAAGTGAAGAAGTGCTGAAGGGATGGAGCTGTAAAACTGAGATGAAAAACTACAGCTGCTGTAGTTTGTATCGGGGGTTGACTGATGTAAGTTTGAGTGCTACTTTTCTTCCATTGACTTTGATGTTCAGTGATTTTATTCATGACAATTGATCCGTAATGATATAGTGACAGCAGGTTACCAGATGGCACCTTTTACCACGGACTACAAAATCTCCCCCCGTACCCACAGAGGACATTAGTCATCATTTTTCTAATCTATTATGTGGAGACTCATCATTTAAATACTTCTTTCTCTGCCTAATGAGCCCCATTGTACCACAGACATAAACATCTGAGGTCATTTTCAGAACTGAGGGTCTGCTAACCCTCCAAACTCACAAATATTATGTCATTAATCCTCACTGACGCTCAGACATTGAGTTTTAACTGTGAGCAGACACACATTGCTCTAAAGAGAGCAGACACAGCTGTGATGAGATGATGCAGCAGTCTGTCTGTTTGACAAGGAGCAGGTCTGCTGTTCAGAAGATCACTCTGTGAGACAGGGACATTTGGTCTGTGTCTCTCCGGTAACATTTACTTTGTCTGGATCAAATAATGTGCACGACGGGAAACATCCAGTGTCTGCTGCTGAATATCTAAAGACTACCTGGTAATACTATAAATAACTGCAGGGTCTTCTATACTTCAAATAGTCCACATCTGAGTTTATGAGTCCAGCGTATATCTAGTTTAAAACATAGAAAGCACTGTAATGTACATTACATAACTTGTACAAAGCTTTAATGGAAAGTTATTTATCTACTTTTTGTCAGTTTATATCTAAGTCTTTATTATTAAATATCTAAAGACTTAAATGTACATTCTTAATGTTTAAATCTAGGTCATTAAAATAAATGTGCTTAAATAAAATAAGGCTGTGGGTTTAAATCCTCCTCTTGAGGGTTTTAAACTAGAACTTGTTCTTCTAACCTCTGATGTTGGGGAGCTCAAACTCAAGAAATGGTGTTGACTGTTGTCATAGCAACGTTAGTTTTGGCTTGTTTTAATGGTTGTACTCCAAAGTCGTGAATTCCGAGCTCCGAGTCGGAACTTTCAACTGGAACGACCCCAGAGGTCGGACTTCTGACTCCAAAAGTTGGATGATCCACAAAACTCCTGAGTTGACATTTAAAGACGGCGGCGCCGGTTGTAAACAGTAAGTAGAAGCTCCTGTAATAATCCTTTTATTAACACTTTTTACTATTTGTTGTCACAATAAGTCAGCCATATACAATGGTATTGTTAGATGTATATATATGGAAAAGCTGTCATAGTGTAATTTACATTTTTACTATGTATAGTGTTGTGCTAACAACGGCTAACCGTAGCCTGGTAGTTTCCTGCAGGTGTTTTTCTTCTTTTTTCGATGTTACTTTTTCCGACTTTGTAACTGAAATGCCGATAACTCGGGTGTGACGTCATTCCCAGCTCCGACTTCTGAGGCAGATGGAACGCACCACAAGTCTTAACTATCTAGCGGCTAACAAAGAATTACCGAACAGACATTAAAGTGATTTATTTTTTCTGTCTGACTCACTACGACTCTCTACGTCCATTTCACACATCCTCACATCTTCGTCATAACGGATCCTTAATACTGTGATGAACTTTGTTTATTTTCTGGCCATATTTCTTTTTCACTTACTGTTTGTATTGTTTTCAGTCTGTAATTGCAGTAATTGTATTTAGTTGGTTTGATAAAATAGTCTTTTGTTTCTCCATCCAGCCGGATTTAATTGGTTTTGTTGCAGTGATGAACTACTCTCCCTCAGGGATCGGTACATTTTAACCTTATCTTTCAGTACACTGCTCTGTGCGTGTGTGTGTGTGTTCGTGTGTGTGTTACACAGTGTGATGTGTGCCTTCTTGCAGAGGGAGTAGATAATGTAAAACAGCCACAGTGCAGAAAGACAATCGGAGGATTTAATCGCCCATGGAGCTGACACACAGGGAGGTCGAGGTCTGGGAACACAGGGAGGGGAGGCTGAGGATGCTGGCCTGTGGATTCACTTTAAGTAAGTCTCAATTACACACTCACAAACTCACACGCACACACAGGTAATCCAAGGACAGCCAAGTCTATTACAGAGTCTGTTAGAAGTGACCTGTGGACGTGAGCAGAGAGCCGAGTGTCTGTTTGGACTTTAAGAGAGCAAACACAAAATTTAACCTTCAGTCTGATTGAGAAACACTCGCCTGTGAGCCCGCAGGGTCAAACTACTCTACGCTCTTTCAGCTGAGCGAAGAAGCTACGCTGACAGCCCCTCCAAAGCCTTTCATACGCTGTCGCTGTGGAGGATACCAGCTCAGGGGATTTAAAGAGAAAAAAAAAACAACTTTAAGCTCCGTTAGCGTTTCAGGAATCACTGAGGCGCTAAAAGCCCTTACTCTCCCAAGTCATGAAAAATGTAGTGAAGAAAACTGTGAGCATAGACTTTCTATGAAACCGCACTTTCACTATGGAGAGACAAACGGCTGATGCTGCAAATTTCACTGGAGAGCGGATAATCCGACGTTCATTAAAAATGAAAAGATTCAAGGAGGGAGATACAGTTTGATAAGTCACTTAAATAATGTACTAATGAGGAGGAAGCCCAGAGGGGTCGACAGTAGTATGAAGAAATCTCCCTGCAAAGCCTCCAGGACTCGGTCACATACTGTGCACTAAATCCGAGAACATGGACCACCATCCTGCACGGAGGGCATCTTCTTGGACACACTGCTCTACGCTGCTCAAACTCACTCTTCAGTCATGTGACTAAAGTAACGAGAATTTCAAACTTGTGCCAAAATGTGTAAAATTTCTCTTCAGAGATCATTAAAACTAAGAGACAGATTGAACCACAACGACCTGATTTTAAAATCAGCTTTATGTGGTTTTAGACTTAAACGAAACTGCCTTTGAGACTGTTGTTGTGTCCGCTGAGTTCGATTGTGGGATATTGATGTTAGAGAAGAGTCAAGTTTGTTTCTATTGAACTTTTTCCTGGAGTAGAGCATGCGTCTTAGTTCTGGTTCCAACCCTGCATGCGGTTTTAGTCCAGTTTGTTATTTGCAGAGCCGATGCACCATGCACATGTCCTCCATCTGAAGAAAATAAACCGAGGACAGTGAAGTACTGAGACCTTAAAACACACGTACCTTGGTTGCTTTGTCTGCAGTCCGCTCTGAACTGTAGAGCTGCTCACGAACAGACGTAGAAAGGAGAAGAAAAAGAAACACTCAGGAAATTTGAAGCAAAGAAGAGAGACGCAAGTTTGGCAGGAGAAAAAGTCGAGCGACACAGGAGAGTGAAAACTACCTGGTAAAGCTCTAAGTGGAGCACAAATACGGCAGGTAAACAAAATAGACTTCAAAAGACAGAAAATGTAAAGTGGACAGAAATGACCCGAGAGGAAAAGGAACAACTTCTTAAAAGTTAAATTTCACAGGGTTACCTTGTCCACACAGTCATCAAAGAACGCCAGACTGGCGTCTTTGTCGCTGACGAAGGAGCACTCCTCAATGAAGCGGATGAACATCTGAGTTTTCGTCATGAGGGAGTAGAACTTCTGGTGAGATCGATCCCGGCTCTTCAAGAACCCTGAGGACCAGACGAATACAGACAAATGTTCAGGTCAGTATTTAGGTATCACTGCGAAATTATCAGAGCGATCCTGGATTAAAATAGATTAAGAAAAGAGTTTTTGAAAATATCCAAAGACCGATTATCAGGCTCTCCACCGACACCACAGGTGCTCTGCTGGTGTAATTTCTCACAACAGCCGGGCGCTTGCAGCATCAGTAATTATCGTATCACTTGATTTACTCTCAGACTGTTTTTGCCGCATGATTTACAATTTCAGAGCCATGAAGTGAGAAAAGCAGTTGGAAGTATTGTTAATAATAAGCTGTTTGTTTAAGAAGTTGATCTGTAATTCACTGCAGACATTGATATTAAACATTTTAACGGTTCATTGCGATGCAGGCGTGGACACTCGACTATAGCCTCAGTGTACAGTCAATTACAGCAGACAGACTGAAAGCAACACATCAGTCAAAGATCGGGATAGTTTTATCTTCTAATAACCTGAGATCTTCTCAAACTGAAAGACTATCCATGTTGGGAACTTCACTGTGGTTTTTATTCGACCTTCAACCGTTTGGGACTTCGCCTCGCCTCGCCTGCAAAGCTTTGTTTACCGTCCACAACAGGCTGATTATCTTTTTATTTTGCTGAGTGATGATGTGATGAACTCACTTTCCTCCTCCCACTCCAGTTCACAGTAACAGACACACACACACACCATACTGAATATCAGCTCTCACATCTCTCTCTTAAGTGCGTGTGAAGGTTGTGCAGAGTTTCTTTTGTGATGCAGACAGCGAGGAGGAAACCGATAAGCACAGTTGGCTAGTCTGTACAACCTGAGTGTGTGTTTGTGGTTAGGAGAGGAAAATCACACAGAACAATGTGAAAAAAGCATCTGTTAACAGCTGTATAATCTGGAGTGAGTTATAAACGTACAGAGTGATACTGTCTTATTTACCAAAGCCCAATCCTTCCTTTTTATTCTCTCTCTGTAATGTTCCTTTGAAATGTCTTAAATTAAGCTTCATCGCTCCTAAATGGTTTTCTGCTCCGACAATAATAAAAAAAATTAAATCTTTTTTCTGTCTCAATGTTCTGAAGTACTAACACCTGAACCCCCCCCTAAAAAACAAACAAAGGTAGTTGAAAAAGAAAGGCTGTCTGCTGTCCTAACCTCGCTGAGACTTATTTCTTTGCTTTTATGCAGAATGAATCATAAATGATTTCAGACAGAGCTGCAGATTTATTTTCACATCAGTTTTCTATTTCTCTTAAAAAAAAGCAAGAATCCTCAAGAGTAGTTTTCCTGACATTTCCCTAATGCGGCTGAATTTGTGCTTAAAGAACCCATTACCCCTCTGAAGGCTCCATGTATTTACCTCCCATTACTTCTGCTTTGGATAATATAAGCGAACACATTGTTATCAGTGTAATGGCCTTTTTGTACAACAAGGTGGTAAATGGCTTTCTTAATAGATGCTGAAAGCAGCTTAACTGAATAATAATTCACTGATGTTGTGACACTGACAGCCGGATGGATGACCACTGGCTCCCAGAGCAGAGGTGGAAGCCAAACACTGACGTGAAGCGAGAGAGAAAAACACTTCCTACAGCTGAGAAATGACTAAATCCTGACAGCGGCTGCCTGCAGCTTAAGGAGTATTGATCGCTCCTGACCAAAACTCGCCCCGGATCCTCCCCTTATAAAGTTATCATGTTTGTTTTGCGTAAATGAATGTTTTTACGGCCATCTGTGGGGCTGTGCAGCTGCCTGTCTGTACCAGGACTCTCACGGTTTCTCCTGGATGATCACATTTACAGCTTCAAGCATTTTAAACACAAAGAATTTCTTGCGTGGTGGTTCAGAAGTAGCGAATTCACAGTCCCTGATAGATAGATAGTGTTAAGGTGTCTTTTTTTTTTCTTACTTAGTGTTCTCAGAGGTCTTTAAATTGTGATTATGAAGTTTTTCGCCAAACCCTATTACCTGTGTCATTTTTAAGAGCTTTCCTTCTAAAGAGCTCCAGTCGCTCATTAGCAATTCACCTCTGAGTCGTGGGCGGAGACAGCTCTGCTCTGCACACTCATCTTCACGCTAGCTTGCTGCCTAACACTGTGTAGTAGAAAAAGCAGGTAACATTGAAGCTATTCAGCTCTCTGACACTAATGTCTTTGGGGACATGATGAAAGTTAATATCATAATTAGCTTTCTTACGAGCATTGTAATCCGCTAACACACACTCTTGTCCCGCAATCGTCCTCTCTTTTTCTCAGTCTGGCCTGCATAGCGGGGCCGTGAGGGGCGGAGCTTGGAATTGTGACATAGGAAATCTCACCGTGTCTGAACCTGCTGTTTGGGTCTGCCAGAGATTCACAGCGATTTGAATGAAGAAATACTCAGAAATGCAATTTTGCACTTATTTACCACATGATATGTCCTGTAGCATCAGAAAAACAAACATATGAACATGTAGACAAGAAAAACATGATTTTCATCAGAGTGGGTCTTTAAATGGCGGCTGCTGTATCCTTATATTGGACTAGAAACTATCATGAATTTAGCTCTTAATCTGGTATGTAATTTGATGTAGAAACTATCATTAAAAATCCAATTACAAGGTTTAAAAAATCAAAATACTGTTTTTAAAGCATCAGTTGGTAACTCTCACGTAGGTTTGTTTATCGCCCATCTTTAAGGTCTCAGTTATCACCTCGTAATACTTGTAACAGATGCAGCACTGAGGCACCGTAATAATAATGATATAATGGATGAAGCTCTGACCTTTACAAGGCAGAAAGGAAACAAAATTTCCCCCACGGTCACATTAAGACATTGTGTAATTTCTCTTTGTTATGGATAATCGACAGTCAGGAGTTCACACACATGATACATGAGCTGTTACATCATTACGTAATGCACTGCAGCTACCCTGTTGCTGTATCATATAACACACCAGACACGACCTTGGCTGCAGCCATCCCTCAGCAGAGCAGCCATGATTTCAGCCTAACTCATTTCAGATGGGATGTGAACCGGCTTTTATGGGCTCCCGTCCAGAGCCAGGGGCCGCACTCAAGGCTCTGAGCACCCTTCAGCCTGCAAGCAGCCTTGAACCTCCGACCTCATCCTCTTCTCAAAACCACAGCCTTCCTACCCAAACACCGAGTGTGTGTGTGTGTGTTTACTAAGAGGAAGGGACGGACACTTACGAGAGCTCATGTATTAAACAACACCATCTGTTTTGAAGCGGGCCAGCTGTAGAGGAGAAGGTGCTACAGATGACGCAGTATCCGTTTATGTATTCATGGACTCATTAGCGCTAATCATACACCGTAACTGTACGAGCATGAGTCAAACTGGTTTCACACCGACAAACTAAAGACTGAGTTATACTCAAAAAGTGACGCTGGTGTTCTGATCCACTTTCCACTTGGAACTGCTCTGGATTTTGTTCGTAGTACCAGAAGTAAAGCCCATGACCCTTTAGCAGGAAATAAACCCGTGTGGAGAAAAGATGAGAAAGTAGTTTTAGGATGTTTTCTCAGCAACACGCCCACATTTGCATGAAAGTGGGCGTGGCTTCACTTGCTCCTCAAGGTCCTGGCTGTCAACACCTGAAACCTAAAAAAAATAGCCGTCACTCCCAGATCTTCAATCAGTGTCAGATAAAAGTCGATAGTTCTAAGATTGAGTTTCCGTTATACAGAATAAAAGATGTTGAAGCTCATTATTGTTTATTTATGATCAAAAATTTAAGGAATATAGGGTATCATCGTCCTAACTTGGATGATACAATTCATGATTCACAGGTGTTTAAGAGATAAGGAGCTTAAAACAGACTTTGATCACTGCATCACAACTTCAGGACTTTATATGAAGGCAGCAAAGAAGTAGGGCTGGGCGATATGGCATAAAATCAATATCACAATATATAGAGCAGTTCACCTCGATAACGATAAATGGATGATAACTACTCCACAGGCTGCTCACATTTCAAATTTCAGTATCGGTAAATTTTCGGTTTATCGCCCAGCCCTACAAAGCAGTATTGTGATATTATTGTTATAGTGGGCTTCATATTGCACAGCACCATATTATATCGTTGCCTTTACAATCATATCATATCTTTCATCCTGGTGGTGTTCTTTTTAAAATGACTTCTTCTTCTTCTTCTGTGTTGTTGAATAAAAACATGTAAATTTGAGAGGTCCAGTTTCACAGGGACTTGAAATGAGTCTGATCGTACCGACTTTACTTAGTGACGTCTTTGCAGTTATGTCATGTAGCTACTTCTGGGTGTGTAACGAATGTCTCTTTGAGGTTAATAATCATATCCTTGATGATCCTCACATGTGCACACTCTGTAATCACATGTCTGTGAATCTCAGCTGTCCCTCCTCTCACCGCTGCACTTATTTAAACTTGCTCCTCATCAAGTGATTGAAACAAAATCTGGATCTTGACCCTGATGATCTGGACTGAGGTCTGATGAGCGGGGCAGGAAAAGAAAACAAAATAAATTGTTGGGAACGATTGTTTTCATCAGCTAGAAAATGGACTCAGATGCTGGGAATTACCACAAACATGCCTGACTGATCCCTGATTGAAGAAAAATCATTTAACTTGTAAACAAACTTGAAAAATAAGTCAAAAAAAATCTTCTCTGATGTGAAACAGCGACCAGAGTTTACAGATTCCCGACAAAATGTGATGTTTTTCCGTCGACGCTCCCGGAGCACTGAGGTTTATTTTTGAAATCGGAGGTAAAACGAGAAGTCTGGCAAAATCTTCTCAACTCAAGATCTATTTCGTCGTTTTTTCCATTAATTACCGGCTAATGCTCTCTCTGATTGTACTCGGTTAAAGTGAGTACACACAAAAGTTTCTTGAAAACTGCAGTGATTATCTGTGTTTTCTGTTTATTTACCTCTGAGCACGGTGAACCCACCAAGAGTTTGTTTAACACCATTGTTCTCACGAGTCGGCGGTTGATTTGATGGTCTCATGCGCGATAAAGCCCCTTTAGATTACCAGTAATAAGACAGAAAGCTCTCACCATCTGTATCTGCGTAAACATTTCGGTGGGAATCATTGTTCGGATAAATGTCTTTCAGGGGGGGAAATGTTGGCTACACACACCGTCGTCGACTCTGGACTTGTTTTAGAGTTGAACGAGACTGCAGGGGGAATAAAACAGCTGGATTTGTGTTTCCTGTGTGACTCTGATCTGCGCATCAGGAGAGAAGTGAGAATTTGTCACCGCAGGACGTAAAAGTGAGATTATACCTTGTAGGTCGAAGAGTGAGCTGGCGTCCGTGGCTTTCTCAGAGGGAGCCTGGGTTATGGGTCGCAGGAATGAGCGGTAGCCTTTCAAAATGGCCGCCATGAATCGCAGGAAAGCTTCCTGGATCTCCAGCTCCAGGGTGTGGAGGCTTTTACCGCAGCTCAGCTCTGATGTGTCACTCATGCTCAACTCCAGCAGCCCATCAGGCCGGTACTGACCTGAAGAGAGAGGAACACGACACGAGTCATTCAGAGAATCATTTTTCTTGAGGGTCTTTTGTTGGCAGAAAATTACAGTTTAAGATCCTAAAAGAAACTTTTATTTCTCAGACCACAAATGCAGCAAAGAAACAACAAGTTCATATTGATTTTTCAACAACAAAACACTAACATTTCCACTCAGGAGGAATTCAATCATCAACAATCGGTGGAAAAATCCAGATTTGATTGTTGAGCTTTCATTCATCTTGTTCAGCTCTCCTCCTGTCTTTCATATTCCTGTCAGGTGACACAGCGCCTCTCTAGATGCAAAGATCCAGGCAGCTCGGTTCTGTCTGACAGCCCGTCAGATGATCACCAAATCAGCACCTCATTAAGTTGACTGAGGTGTGACTGTGCGCTGAAACTCCACAGATGCTGGGATAGGACTGCTTTCATGCTGCCTGAAGGAAAAAACTGTCACGTGTATTTCAGAAACTTATTCCATGTTTTCTCGCTCTCTTCATTATCAGCAGTACGTCTTATATCAACTTTTAACGTGGGCGTTACTCAGAAAAACTAATAACTAAGTTCTGTAAGAATTACTGCTGTGGTTATTACATGAGCGGTACCTCAGCTGCACTCCTTCACCTCATGACTCTCAACACATGGGGGGCTGCTTTCCTTCCTGCTCTGCTTGGTGCTGGATTACCGCCGTGCCTAACCTTTGTCTCCCCTTCACACAGAACAGATTTCGTGCTGTTTCAGTTTCATAATCGGGTGATAAATATCATGAATTGTCTCCCGTGCCTTTTGCACGTCTAACACACTGGGGTGAATCACTGCAATGTGGCACACTGATGGAGCACGAGCAGGCCAGTGTTTTATACTTTCACATTAAGTTAATGTGGACCATCTTTAGAGTACAGATGTGGCCGTTAAGATCGAGTTCCCTCTGGTTTATTTCACAAGCTGAAGAAAAACAGTTTACAAGAGCTCGTGGTGAAAAATCAACAAGAGGAAGCGGAGTGTGCTTTCACTCCGGCGGGCCACTGTTTTAATACGAAGAGAGAGAAAAACAAACCCATGACAAATAAAAACAGGAGGGGTCAGGGCGAGTAAAATCTGGTAAAACTGTTCATGTTGAGACAGTAAACCTTCTGGAAAAAGTCCAGCTGCGAATGTTTGAACGTCCTAAAGCTCTGAAAACTGGACTGTGGTCTGGTAAAGGTTCACATGAACATAAAAAGTTTGAATCGCCACTTCTAACTGGGGCTGCTGCCAAAAATACGAGGAAGAATTAGCATTTTGATTTAGTCTTGATGATGATCTTAATATATGCATTAAAAGGTCCCGCACCATCGCACTGCTTCAGGTATTGAAGTTACTGTTTGTATAACAAACAAGGATCAGACTCACATAATTAAGGAAATTAAGTACAAGTTGATACCAAAGTTTCCCAAGAGCCTTGGGGCTCAGATGTCTCAACTCAAACCTCTGGTAGACGCATCAATATTCAGCAGTACTGGCAGAAAGAAACGGGCAAGATTTTCAACTTCACTGAATCAGAAAATCCATTTATTCCAATCCTACAGCTCAATAATCAGCAGGTTTCTCCGGCTCCACATAGAGAAGCATAGAGGGCTGACAATAATACAATGAGTGACACAGAAGGCCAGATGGGTGATTAGGAAAATTGTGATGTTATGAACGTTGATGGGATTACTGCGGGCTTTTTAAAAGGTTAAATGGAGAGGAGGACAGATGATAGTGCAGACTGAGAGGAGGAGAAACGGCGAGGAGACCAGGATGTAGACAGAAGATGATGAACGAAGTTTGACACACATTACAAGAAGATCAATCAGCCACAGAGAAGCTGAAACTACAGTAACTTGAGTTTGCTTTAACTCTGAACCACATCTTCTTAAAATATATTTTGTCTTTGCAGTCTTCTTCATGTTGGTATTGAACTTCTTTTGTTTCAAATCAATATGGCAGGACTTTTTCAAACACGTGTCTTCTTATATTTGATGTCATCTGGATACCTGAGTCCTTAACTTTGAAACAACATCAGTAAAAATCCGACCACTTTGTTTCGGGATGTTCTGGGGCAACTACTTTCAAAGTTGTTTCGGCAAGTTTAAAGGGAAGAAAACACTCAGGAACATGCAGCAAAACTGAGATATTTAGCGGGCCAAACAGGAGATCAAAGTCTGGCTAACCTTAGCAGAGCTAGCACCACCAGCTTTTGGTCACTCCTGCAGGTTAACATACACATGCCTATGCTGAGTACACACTGCTCAGGTCCAGTTGACAAAAAAGACCGTCTGGGCACCAAAGTGAATATTTAGTAAACGCACATTAAAGTTGTATTGAAGTGCAGGCAGAGAAAGAGTTACTGAACCGGAGCAACATTTAAAAAAGTTCCTCTGAGCTTCTATTCAGGATCGGGATAAAGCAACAGGTGACATTACTGTCTCTGTCCTCTACCTTCAGTCAGTCTGTCTGCAGCAGACAAAAATCTAATCTCTGCATATTTACAGGAGTCAAAACATCCGTATTTGCAAACCTGTAAATTAGAAAGTGAGCGGGACAGCAGCCGTGACAGAGGACAACAAACAAACAAACAAACCGAGTCCAGCAACTTCCTACAAGTTTTGCAGAAGTGTGGACACGTTTGTAAGTTCTTTAGGTAGATACCACAACATAAAATAACCAATTTCATCTGCTTTACTCTGTTTTCTTTACTGACACTTTCTCTTCCTTTATTTTAACTTTTTGTTGATCGACCACAAGTCTCAAAAGTTTGAATGCTTGTTTTACCGTTTCAAAAATGTGTTTTTTTAGAGCATGTGACATTGAGCTTCATTTCCAGTAAATCTGACAGTCTTACTTCCTTCTACTCAAAATAAATCAAGAAAACCGCATGATGAGAAAGTTTGCAGGGAGTGTCATTTGTCAAATAACTTTTTATCATCTTTGTTTTATTGCTGCATTCATGAGCTCCGTACTCACCATCAACCAGTTGCTGGTGGAGATTGCTCAGCACATTCATCAGGTTTTTACAGGCTTTCTTTGGCAGGATCTTCCACGTGAGGGCTCGCTTATCTTCATTGCTGGAGAAGCAGAAACACACAGTGAGCTCTGGAGCGGCTAAAAGAGGCCAAAACTAACATGGACCACAGCCGGACCAGGGGACTTAAGACCACCCTGACGCTGCCTGGCTGGAAATGAGGCGAAATATGAATTCAAAATATTCTGACCCTACCTGACGTACCACAAAAATGCATACTCTTCAATTTCAAATGAGCTTGACACTACAAAAATAACCACTTCCAGCCAGGCTCCAGGTCTCTAAACTTAGAACTCATGACCTGGCAGCGGTGCGGTCTGGAAAAAGGAACAATGTGGAGCTCTTAGGCAGGAGCGCGCCACAGGATATATGCAGTTCAGTGACCACACACAACGATGATGCCGTACAATATTTATGGAGAAAAGGGGACAGAGCGGCGAAGAAAGATCAAGTCCTACAAAAACGTTTCAAAGTTAAAGGAAAGTTTCAGGGTTTTGTGCTCACTGGAAGATGGTGTTTGTGTCGAGGTCCACGCAGCTCACGTCGGGCGGGGGGTCATAGAGGTCGAAGTAGCGAGAGTCAACTCCCACGATGAAAGGACAGGGGGCGCTCAACACGTCAGCCAACGCCAGCGGGCAGAGAGGGATGTACGGACACGGCCAGTGGAAGGGGAAAATCATCTGAGGGAGGTAGACGTGGGATAATGAGGACATAGAGGTCAAAGTTCAGGGAGCCACTGTCACATTAAATGGAGTATCTGTATATGTGTGTCCTAATGATGCAGAAGAGGCGGCGTGAAGAAAGCAGAAGTGCAGGAATGTAGGAGACTTACAGACACCAGAGCTTCAGTCACGCTGGTCAGAACTGCGGGTCGTAACGAGTGGACCAGGATCTTATGCTCCGTGACGGCGAACACCAGCAGGGTAACGGCGTTCTCTGGACCCAGGTTCTGAAGCAGCGTGGAAAATCTACCACCGCTGTGGGAAGAAGGAGTCAGAATCGTATCCTAGGGATCATGTTTCCGAGCAGCTGAACACATTTCAGTTTCCTCTCTCTGAACATTTAGTTTTATATTTCTCTCGTTTTTTCCTGTTGTGTTTCTCTCTGTACCTTTCGGGGTTTTTTTTGTGTATTTTCTTTTGTTTCCTGTCACATAATTGCTGACTCTGAAATTGCTTTTAAGTCTAGCTGTGAGAGTGAGCTGTAAATTTGTTGGTTTTAGTGTGCCGACTCCACAATGGACTTGCAAACTATCCAGGAGGATTTTTTTTTTACCGCTTTGGTTATAATGGGTTTTCAACAATAGCAAAACTTTTACAGTGATTGCTCTTGTTAATCATTATGCCAGGATCAAAACTTGATGTCTAAAGCAACAAAACAAGAGATGAAAAAGGGACAAAAATCACGAACGAGAAAAACTAAACAGACAAAATAGACACATTTCAAAAACAAGATTTTTAGATACTTGAGAATGTGGTTTGATACTCTTTAGATCAAAGTATCTCATGTGTTTTTATACTGACAAGATGTTATATAATATTTAAGACCCTTTATCATGAAAATGACCACATTTTCACTGCCAAGATTAGATATTTAAGTATTTGTCAAACAAATCTGCATTTAATCACAAAAATAAGCATAAATTCAGCATCAAGACTGAAGGTCTGCTTTGGTTCAAACACCAGAGACTCCTGTTAACTGGATCCAATTGAACAAAACAGATGTCAACAACTTAATTTCCCCGACTCATTGTTGCCTGAGTTATGATGGATCTGTCTTATAATATCTGAGTCAGGAGATTCGAGACCTGGCTTGTGTCGAGTCGACAAAATAGACCAAGAAAGAAATTTAGATTTCCATTAAAACACGCCTTTCTTACAAAAGAGGATTAGGGACACACCAAGAAGAAAAAATAATCACAGGAGGGAGACATTCTTACTTTCCATTTCAAGATTAAAGTCGTAATTTCGAAATTAAAGTAGAAATTTTTAAAAGTCAAAGTAAAAAAATTGAAATTTTGAGACTAAAGTCAAAATTTCAACTTCATTGGCATAATTTCGATTTTTTTAATATTGAAATTCCAACTTGATTCACAACATTTTGACATCTTGTGATCTCGAAATTTCAATTTTTGATCTCGAAATTTGACTTTATTGACATAATTTTGATTTTTAATTTAGAAATTCGACTTTAATCTTGAAATTTTGACTTTAATTTCCGTCCTATAATTATTTTTGTTCTCTTCACGTGGCCCTAATCCTCTTTCGGACTTTCTTTATCTTAAAAACTTTGTCATGTTGAAAAATAAACCCTTTTTTCTCACACATATTACTGTACAAACTGTAAGAATGTTAAACTTATGGTTTTTGAGTTGCTGTGAACCTCCCAGCAAGCATCACTTACTCAGCAACTCTTACTTTCTCGTTGCCTTTATTTGAAACTTTCATGGATGCATAAGAAATAAAAGAAATGAACAATATTTGACCTCGTTTGGATCTGTATTGTTTGTCCTCCCAACATTAGTCATCGAGCTAAAACAGATCCAAGCCCACAGGTATCCAGTGAAGTCTGGGTAAACCCATGAAAACCTCTAAATAGATTGTATTCTTGGATGAATTGGTAATTAGAACATTTAAGCACTGATCTGTTGTCTCAGACGCTCCAGTAAAGCTTGTTTGCAGTTGTTCTCACCTGAGGGGTAGAGGAGAAGACACCGGCTGGCTCAGCATCAAACTGTCATGAGGAGAGAGCTGCAGAGAAAAGGTGGAAACCGAGCACAAAACATTTAAATATTCATAAATAATGAAGGATCCACACGACTGCAGCCCCAAGCAAACCGAGACAACACCACAGTCTGCAAAAAAAGAAGGATAATCACCCAGTCCTAACATGCACCGTATGCAGAAAAAACACCAGTGGGAATGTTTCAGGCTTCAAAACTTGACTCACCTGAACCAGGATACGAGGCCTCTGGGAGGACGGGAAGGGAACTTTGTGCATAAAATGAGAAATGTGCCTAGAAAAAAGAAGAAGACGAATTAGCGGATGTGAGGCCAAAAATAACAGCAGTTGGCAGCTGAATCATCGGTCTGAGCATCCCTCATCGAGGAGCGAGAGTTACAAGCAGCAGAAAAACATGGAAGTACGAATCCTCTGGTTCACATCACCTGAGCAGGGAGAGGTCAGGTCAATCAAAAGTCATTTAAAGTGTTTCTACAATACTACATCAGCAAAACCGACATTACCTGGATTTAATGGAGCATAAATTAAGAGATGAAACGAGAGAACTTACTTCTCAATGGGCAGAGCGTGTGGGCCTGAGATGGAGTAGCGGTAGAGGAATGTGAGGAACTTCCGGAAAGCATCGAAGAAGGGCCAATGGGAGAGCAGGCAGATGCACTTGTTGGTGTAGACGGAGCGCTGATTCGTGGGGCTGTTCGGGGAGCTTTTGGGGCCCGTTGGTGTAGTTTTGGAGGAGGGCGGCTTGTTTGGATCAGAGTTCAGGAGACCCAGCTGGGAGCACTGCTGATCGGTCAGACACTCCAGGGGGTAGGGCTCGTAGAACTGAATGGCAGCACCATAAACCTGAAATGAAGCATCGCGTTAGTTCTGTCAGAACACAACGTCAAGCGCTGATTCACAGCCAATGGCTAGTAGCCACCTCAACCAGACGATAGCCAGCTGATTCACTCCTCGCTCCTATTGGTCCTTTGCCTTTAGAGCGCCTTATTTAAAACTGCACTAACCCAGCCTCTTCCTCTGCTTCGACATTTAACCAGCAACCCACCGCCACCCCAGCTCCACCCTCGTGCCGGCTAATTGTTCCACTACCCTTGAAGCGCTCCTGTTCCGGGGGGGTTCTGTTCAACGCTGCTCTACGCCCCCGTCGTTTCTGCCTTCATGATGACTTGTTGAGGGCGGGAAGATGCTCTTCCTGCCGCTGGCCTTTCACACATTCCGGCATGGAGAACGCGGGGCCCCTGAACAGAACCTTGCGTGCGCTCCCTGCTATCGCCTTTCATGATGCAAGCGCGTGGAAGGGCAGGGACCCGGAACAGAATCATGCCGCCAAATTTCACTTTGCACAATAAAGCTAAATTAAAGTGTTCCCGACTGAACTAATACCAGGTGGGATACAGGTAACTCAGGTAACAGAAATCCAAACCCAGAGGTTACACTAACATGAAGTCCTCTCTAATCTCTCTTTGTCCTGCAGCCCTCTGAACACGTCAGAACAATCCAAAACCCAAAAACTTTCTCTCTTCTCTCTTAAAAATCAACGCTTGGATCCACTCTCACAAACATAAATCCTAATCGAAACCTCCTGTCATTGTTAAACAATAACTTCCAGAGGATGAAGTCAAACAGATGAACTTGCCAACTCCCAATAAGAAGACGGAGCAGACAGTTGGGAGAGCTCTGAGCGCGGCTCTGAATCATCCCTGCACTCTTAAATAAATGAGAAAATCAATAACCACAAAAATAAAGTAAGTATGGAGCACTTGGTTTAAAACTGCTGTTGAAGATCAGAACCACGAGTGCCAACTGGGGCCAAATACCCTCCCCACCCTTCGCTTACTGGAAATAAGAGTTTCACAATTCACACACAGATCAAAGCGAACTGGCTTATCTGTGAGCCGCCTGTGTGGCTCAGTTATTAACATTTTCCCAAAAGGGACAGACGTTACCCAAGATCTTGTTTGCTGATGACTGAAGGCGGCACATCTGTGTTTTTGTGTGTTTATGTTGTGTTCACTGACTGACTGTTTCTGAACATCGATTACATGTGAGATGAGTTATTGAATTTCTCGTACAGTTGGAGGTAAACACACTAGACAAGACTGTGCATCAGGAATTAAAGAGTGAAGTTCAGCCTCCAGGTGGGTGTTTGGCTTTAGGGAGTGACTGCAGTGATGTGTTGTGTACACACGGGTCGGCAGGCGACTCCTTGGGAATACGTGGAGTCCGCAGACAGCCAGAGTCCAGCTGAGTCTCTCTCTGACCTTAACCGTTAAACCCGCGAGTCAGCACACACACACACACACACACACACTGCTCTCAAAAATGATCCTCTGCATGCTCTACAGGGAGCTGCTCCAGCCCACATGAAAACACACACACACACACTGTACACACACACACACACCAACATGACTCAGCAGTAGCAGCGGCGGAGCGGAGAGTGTTTGGCACCAGTGATCACCGCTGACCCCTGACTGGCCTTGTTCAGCAGAACCGCTGCCATCGAAACGCGGACGGGCTTTTGGATGTTATTTGTTTTGAATCACGATTGTGTTTAACCGCATAATTCACTAATATGTGTCAACATGAGAGTCATCCCATCTGGACCACTTTCCAAACCCACAGACCAGCAGAGTGGGAAGGGGTTTATGTTTAGATTGAAAAACCAAGAATGTGTGTGTGTGTGTGTGTGTGTGTGTGTGTGTGTGTGTGTGTGTGTGTGTGTGTGTGTGTGTGTGTGTGTGTGTGTGTGTGTCTGTGTGTCTGTGTGTGAGTTATAATTTCTCCTCCAGGCTGTGTGCTTGCAAAGACGTAAGAATGCTGGTTTCTCACATTTCTGTGTTTCTTTATTATTACTCAGACTGGGTTTAGTGTTTGTGTCTAATAGGCAGTAATGTCACGTAAAGAAAACCACAATAAAACACTAAAGAAGTCAGACTACGGGGAATTGATTTCAGTGTAATGATCCTGTAAATACAGGTCTTTGTTTTTCAAGCTTCCCTGACAGAATCGGGTTGAAGTTGGAAAGACAATGACATCATTCGGTGTTTGTTTCATCAGCTGGATATCATTTACAGAGCTTGAAAAAAAAAGGATAAAACCCCCATATTGTAGAACTGGTACCACTAACAACATTTATCTGAATCTGCAGGTCTCAGAACCAGCATCTCTATCAGCTGCCTATATCAAACATGGTGGATAGAAAGTAACAACTCAACTTTTGATCAGTACTAGGGCTGGGCGATACAGCCTTAATTCAATATCACAATATATTGAGCAGTTCACCTCGATAACGATAAATGGACGATAACTCCTCCACAAGCTGCTCACCCCCTCCCACATTAACTTCGTCTACTTCAGCCGCTACAACTTTTGAACCGTCCTCCATCTCCTCACCTGTCTTTCCCTCTTTGTTACGGACTAGATGGGGTGGAGTCACATCTCTGACGTAGGACAGCGTCTTAAAGGGACATGAGACCATAGCCTACCTACACACATCCAAAAACAACTTTGATTTACTTATTTTTTTGACACAGAATACACCAATATGGGCAAAATGACATTGGTTATTGTCTTAAATTTCTGTATCGGTAAACTTTCGGTTTGTCGCCCAGCCTTAACTGATGTTTCTCCAGAGTTCTTGTTTGCAGAAAGTGTGCCACTGACTGTCCTGCTAAGTTTCTTTTCTGATTAAATGCCTTAATTTGTCTTAAATTAACAAGATTTTGACACTTGTTTGCACGCACATATTACATGAGACAGAGCGGTGTCAGTGGTTGTCTTAGAAAACCTCACGGCGGGCAACTTTCTATGAACTGAAAAAAAGAGCAGCTTTGTCTGCGCTGCGAATGAATTAGTTCATACAGCGTTTATACAATAACTACATTCTTCAGCTGTTTGTCAGGAGGCCCGTCATACAAAAATCCCTCTGGATGTCAAGTTACGATGTTTTGAACTAACAAAAGGAGCATGCATTCTGACCCACTTTCCTCCCTGACATGTAGGGCACCGTAGTTTTTTCTCATGCCCCACTGTAGTGTGTTTGTTTGTGGTCATGTCAGCTGTGCAGATGGCAGTTGAAGTCTGCTGTGAGGTCTAACAGTCACCGGCGCTGCTGACGCTGCCACTGGGGAAAGAAGAGTCGACCTACAGTATATCTCTATTTACCTTCTCTCCAGAGGCTCCGGTGAGGACAAAGGTGGAAAAAACAGGCAGGGAGTATTTGGTGTTGGCCGGCCAGCACTCGATTGTGGCCCCCATGGGAAGGCAGAAGAGTGGGACAGACTCTGGAAGGGGGAACGACTCATAGTCCTCCTCTGGATATCTGCTGAATAAACCTAAAAAGGGAATAAGAAAATATCAGTCTGGCTCCCCACCACCTCTCCCCTGTGAAAACCAATTAAAAGCCAATCTAGATGCAAAACTGCCTTTCCAATAAGCCTTAATTGAAAGAAAACAAGTCAGATTTATTACAGTCACAGTGATAATGTATGACTGCATCGAGTCTGGGTAAGCTACTAAAAACGCCTGCCTTTAAAATAAGCAATCAGTGTGGGGTAATCAGGCCTTTGGGCCATCCGTCACAGTCAGTGGACACAGAAAAGAGACAATGAGATAGTGCCTCTATGTAGTTCAATCCTTTATTCTGCTGCATCTAATCTTGGCTTCTACTAATGCATTATGGAGCAGTTAAACACAGGCACAAGCTGCACATCCGCTGGAAAACGGTTTGTAAGAGAATCCTGCAACGAGTGGCTCGGTCTTTTTTGGATCCCTTAGCTGTCAAAGGTGATAATCGTTTAATTAAAATTTACTCACTCAGCTGAATCACTGTTTTCTCCTAAAACACATTATTGTCAGCACCTTCAATCAGTCCTGGGATGGGACTAGTTTCATTTGACTGAACAAGTTTTTCTCCAAATTTCTACTGTGACCAGGCCGTCAGGTTTACAGCACTTAGAAAAAAGCTGCAGACAAAATTAGGGATGTCCTGATACCATATTGATATTGGATATCGGTCTGATATCAGCAAAAAAACGAACATCGGATTATATCGACCTGCACCTATAACCTCCAATATCAGCATTCAGATACAAGCAGTCCATTTTAGACTCCGCTCCTGCACCTTGATCTATCAGCGCCCGGATCCAGCATGCAGAGCCCACATAATCACAACAACAGTGTGCACTAAGGTACTAACAAAGTACCAAGTAGTAGGAGTGATGTCAAACGTGTGGCAGTATTTTTCGTTGAAGTCCGAAAAACACGTTGCAGCTGAGTGCAAAACTTGTCGTGCAAGTTTGTGCCAATATCGGATCAATATCGGTATCAGCCAATCCTGAAGGCTACAATATCTGTACCGTATTGGAAGTAAGACAAAAGGCTTTGATTAAAGGCTGGAAAAACAGAGCCCAAACTCCAGGGTCATTTTCAACCTCATTAGATGTCGATCCGTTAACCGGCTGGCTGATTAATCAGGTATATAAACGTTGTTTTCAAATAATCAATACTGGCTAATTCCTGCTCTCAATAGGCTGATAAAAACTATAAACAAACTGCAGACCCTGCAGGCAGCCTTAACAGCGATGTTAGCAAAGTGGTCAAAAAGTTAGTTTGGAGTCCAGTACCTGAACTCGAACTCTCATGTATCCTCCTGTAAAAGTTTACCAAAGTTCCCTGAGTCAGCACCACCGACACATTTTTACCACATACAGTGACAGCACATTCAATCTAAAGCAGCTGCTGGCTCGTGTTGAATCTAGATTCTGTTATGATGTATGTGTAAATATAAATGTAAATGATGTCAGTGTAACGGATGAGTGGATCGAGGGCTGAGTTGTGAGTAGTGAGTTGAATCATCTGCATTAACTACTGACTCCAAAGCAAATTTCCCCAAAGGGACTTAAAACTGACTCTCCTCTCCTCTGCTGTCAGCTAAACTGCTCTCTAATTAGTAGCATCAGTCACTAAAAAGCCAATAATAGTTCATTATAAATCGAGAATGGCGCTTGACTTAAATACTAAAATATATGCTGATAAAAACTGCAACACGTCTTCATAAAACACAAATTATTCTGCATATGCATTAAAAAACATCCGCTACTCCAGGCTGCCAGATGTCCCCATTTGTTCATGCGCTCATTGCTTCACTTCTCAATATGAAAAATCGTGTTTTTCAGCTGAAATCAGTTTCCTCTCCTTTAATGCAGAATACAGAGCTGAGGGAAAAGATTGAACATAAAACTATTAATGCAGCTGTTAAAGCAGATCAATAGGTCTGAAAAAAGGTTAATGAGTATCAAAAGAGCTCCTGGAGGTAATGCAGCTCCTGCACAGAGCATTTGTTTTAATGATTTACAGTTGAGTATCAAAAGACAAACTATAGATGCATATTAAAGGATTAACTAAGAACAAGTAACTGCTGCTAAATGTGCATATCTGGTGTGTTTCATTCCAAAATGAGAACCATACATCCACCAACAAAACAAATTCAGCTCGCTCGTTCTGGATCAAACTGTGGCATGAGTGTATAAATAAAGTCAGATGTTGCAAAACATGTCTGTTTCCAAAACTCCTCAGCTCGAAGCGTGCTGGAATCCTCCTGGCTTGAAATGTCGAAAATAAACTTCAGCTCTGTGGGTTGACTCATGCAAAACATTAGTGAGAAACAGATAGGATCTCTGCATTCACAGTCTGCTGCATATTCAAGACATGTTCAACAAAACATGAGCCAGCCAGTCTGAGGCCGGGCCAAACACAGCGGCAGCGCAGAGCCAACAGTGTTATCTCTTAATGACGGCCTTCTGTCAGCCTTAAATTCAGAGGGATCCAACGTGAAATCAGTGGTATTATACTCACAGAACAGTTAAATATATTGGTGACTATTTAAACCCTTTAAACAGGAAGAATACGGGCCTGCAGAGGCTTATCTCATCGCTGCAGTTAAGAGGCATCAACACGCTTCAACAGGTCTGAGCCTGCAGGTGAATGTCCTCATGCAGCAGGTTAACCCTACAGAAGTTTTTAAACAGCCGCAGAAAACAAGAAAGAAAGCAGCGAGTCCGATTTTATAAAACTTATCACTTAACCTGTCTGATTTCAACAAGTGGCTCTGCAAACATATCTCAGATTATCCTCCTTCAGTCTGAAGATTATCCGTTTCACACAGAAGGACAAACTTTAAGAGCTAAGAGAGGTTGTTTCCCACCACAGTTATTGGATCTCTCAGTCTTATCCCTCAGAGCAGGAAGCCCACATCAGTATTCACATCTTTGTGCACCGGTAGTTACAGGATTAGGAAGGCTTACCTGCTTTGTAGGCAATCGTGTTGGTTTTGGCCACAGACTTCTTATAACACAGGTAGACGGAGGAGCCCCACTGAAAACAAGAGCAGAATGGGAAAGTTAACATGCGAGCGTTTAGCGGGCCTCCTCTGAGATCAAAAAGAAACACACTTAAGTATTCAAAGTTGGAGTCGTGGTCCAAACACAACAGGAGAAAGAACAACACGAGTGGTTTTCCCCCTGAAACTTTCTCTGCTGCTGAGTTTTGTGTTAAAAGTGTTTAAAAAAATCTTCTATATCTACTAATCTAACGTTTTTACCACAATGTAAACAGGAAGAAGCAAAATCATCAACTTTGTGCCAAAATGATATAAGGGTCATCTGGTTGTGTCTGGCATCGCTCTTGCCATTCCTATTCAACCACTATTCTTAGGGCTCTATTTTCGTGCCTCGCCGGCAGCGTGGTGTAGGCGCGGCGTAAGTCAGGTCAGCTGTGCCGACAAGGCTTTCCCAAGCACATTTTGGTAAGTCTGGTTTGGCGTTAGTATCCCCCCTCCCTAACTCAGCTCCTTCCAGCAGCGTAAGTCGTAAAGAGGGAGGGGATAAGGGGATTTTCGTGCCCCCCAGCAAGCATGAAAATGTCACTGCGCCAGCTGATTCTGTCAACACCTCCCCCTGCTGCGCCACCACACCCAGCTTGGTGGACCTCGGTGCGCCTCAGTCTATGAAAATACCAAATTGGCTTTGCACCGGGCTCTGCCAGACGAAAATACCACTGTGCTGGGTCGGCCACCCTCCGCCGCGCTGCTGGCGGGCACGAAAATAGAGCCCTTAGGGTTTGACCAATCAGAATCAAGTATTTAAGACAGCCAGGTTATAAGTAAAAAATTTTTTAATAAAATACAGCTGATTTCTTTTAAAGGTTTCTTTGTTTGGTTTCAAATGACCAAATAATGGTTGAATCTCTCTTGTTCTTCATTTAGAGCTCTGGTAAAACAGGATTTGCTGATATGAGACAGATAATAGAGAAGAATTTGTAAACCTGAATCATACTGATCCAGATTAAACTTTTGAACAACTGGGCGGCGTGTCATTTCTGCGAAAAGTTTCTCTCTTGGGAGAAATCTGTGAGGAACTGTTCACAAATATTGATGTTTCCTGTTGCAGCCGATCCCAGACTGTAAAAAGCACACTACACAGACTCTAAAGCTGTGTTGGGGTTGGTTTTATGTCCACCAGCGTCTCTTTCTCTCACCATGCTGCTGTTCAGGTTCTTCTCCACCTTGCAGAAAGTGTGCGGGGGCGTCTCTCCTTTACTCGGGATGATGATGCAGATGTCTGTCACAGCCAGGGCCGTGTGCGGCTGGCTCTCAGGCGCCCGGCGATACGTGATATAGATGCGCTGAGAGGAGTTCCCGCTGATGTTGGCGGGGCGACCGGATGGCGTGGTCTGAATGAGATGGCAGCCCTGCTTCAGCCGCTCCTTCCACTCGTACAATACACTGCAGGGGGGGGGGTGATATAGCACTCAACATTATCAACAGTGTAGGTAATAAAATGATTGGGATGCAGGATTAATCAACACAATATGCCATCATGATTTCATTGAGCCAATTAGGTGGAGGTCCTGAAGTGGGCATTTGTCCCAGCATGCACTGGCTGACAGAACAGAGATGATTAAGCTTAATACAGGCGCAGCACCTCATCTCCAGCAGAGCAGAGCTAATGCGATTAATAGAAAGATATATGAGCTCATAAAAAAACACAAAGAGGGGGAAATGATTGTAATGATGTAACGCTGTGATGTTGTTTGTGAGTCTGAACTGTAGCTTAAATCAGTGAGCGCTCTGATTTCTTTGTAGTTGGCCATCTTTCGCAGTGAAGTGTATAAACAACAGCTTGTTTTATTCATGCTGCACAGAAGCTCCATGAGTTTGCACAGAATTTAAAACAAAAGGAGATCAGAGCTGTGAAATGAAATGAGGCACAGCAAGCAGTCCATGCACTTCGTTCAAGATCATAATAGAGTTATCTCTTTTTTTTTTTGTACGGGAAAAAACTAATAGAAAATTGAAATTTGTTGTACCTGCCAGTCTGTTTAAGGCTGGATGATATGGCCTCAAATCAATATCACGATATATTGATCAGTTCACCTCGATAACGATACATGGACGATAACTACTCCACAAGCTGCTCACCCCCTCCCACATTAACTACGGCTACTTCAGCTGCTCCAACATTTGAACCGTCCTCCATCTCCTCACCTGTCTTTCCCTCTTTGTTACGGACTGGATGGGGTGGAGTCACGTCTCTGACGTAGGACAGCGTCTTAAAGGGACAAGAGACCATAGCCTACCTTCACACGTCCAAAACCAACTTTGATTTATTTATTTATTGGTATTTATGACACCAAATATATTGACACGGGCAAAATGACGTTGGTTATAGAGCTCCCCTTTAAATAAAACCCAACATGTTGAAAGAACGTTGCATTTCTTTATTTTAGGTAAAAGTGCAATGCATAATATGCACTGCACTTTTACCTAAAATAAAAAATTTTAAGGTAAAAGTGGCAGCCGAGTCGAAGCGCACACATAATATGTGTGTCGCCTGCAGCCGCTCGGAGTGGCTTTTCACTTCCGGTGGTGACAGGAAGTCAAACCACTGTTGTAGTTCTTTTGTGTTGCTAGCGCGGTCAAGAGTGTTGGCTCTCACTGAGAGATGACTACAAAAATGGACGCATCTATTCATCTGGTTGTTTAACACGGCTGAAAATGATCATCTATTAATGTTGTTCCCACTCCTGTTGCTTTTTTTCCCGTCCCATCCCGATCATAGGATTAATTAAAAAATGACTCCCATCCCATGAGATTCCTGCAGGAATCACATGACCCATGGGAATTCCCGAAAAATGTCATCCTCTAGTTATTGCTTTAAATTTCGGTATTAGTACATTTTCGGTTTATCGCCCAGCCCTAGTCCCTGCACTTCGTTCTTCTACAAATGGGCTTGATTGTGTAATGAAGTTCAAAATAGAGTTTTCTCTTATTTTGTTAGGGATGTGATTTTAAAGACATAATATCTGACGCTAAAAATCTAAAAGAAAATTGAATTTTGTTGTACCTGCCAGTCCATAAACATGAAGATTAATGTATGGATCATCAGACTTTGTCAAAACATATTAACCCAGCAGCACAGCTTTACAATGAGGCACCAGAGAACACTCACACAAACCACTTAGAGGACGGGCACTCAGAGGTACGTAACAGAAGCAGTCATTTTAAAACATTCTTCTTTGCGCTGCCATCATGCACTTATCCTCCATTACTGTTTCGAGTGGAGCTCAACAGGCAGCGTGCGGTAGTAAATGAAAAGAGAAAAGCATTTAAAGTGGCCGGCTGTGGTGGGGATTTTCATTCTGTCTGTTTCTCAGTTTGGTAACCATCGCGGCTGCAGTGATTGGGCTCCGCTCGCAGCAGGACCGAACACTGTGTGGACATTTTTCTCTGCTGCGGGATCGAACTGTTTTGTGTTGATGCAGTCCCTCCCTTTGGGTGAATGCAGATGGCGTGCTTTTGTATTGACAGAGCAGCAAGAAACCGTGTGTTAAATCAGACACTGAGAGCACCTCCAAAAAGCTGGAGTGGCAGAAAAACGATGGTACCACAATAGAGAAAGATGAAAACCTGTTTTTGCACAAAGCTCTGCCACTTGCAATCCCAATGTTTCCACATGATCATGTTTTTTCATGACACTCTGAATGCCTTGGGTGAAAAAAGGAATTAAACTCGGCAGAAAACACCATCAGGGCTGTTTCCCACTGTCTAATCAGATGAATATTGGTTAGCCTTCAGCAGAGACGACGACAGAAATTAGAATTGAGTCCATTTATGAGGACAGCAATTCAGTTGTTGCTTCAATTTGATCAAAGACGCCGCAAGCTTCTTTAAAAGTGTTGACATTCAAATAAAACAGAAAAACAACGTGGTGTTCCTCTCACATGGAAACCTGCAGAGTCTCTTTTTTTGATCAGGTCTTCAGAGAGACAGAGCAGAGCAGAGGTGTTATTGCACTCCGACTAAAGCGATGATGAAATGGCATGTGACGGTGTCCGGGTGGATTACCACCTCCGCTCACCGGTTTCCTGGTTGAAACCTTAGAGGTGCTAATGTTCCCTGTAACCTTTCCTAGCCCTGAGTATTGAATGAGGCCAGATTGATTGCTTACAGATGATTCCCTCTGCTGCATGAGAAACGGTTCACCATCATATGAAGCAATAAGTAAAGATGGATGTAAATGATGTCGAGTTATGCACACACACACACACACACACACACACACACACACACACACACACACACGTCAGCTTCCCATTAGTCTCACAGTGTCTGGGAAGTGCAGCCTCTCTGAGCTTTCAGCACACAAAGCTGCTGATAGCGTCTGTGCAGCCTCTGTGTCAGTGCCTGATAAGCACTGCACTCTGTAGTGTCAGAGGCCAACATGAGCCTCCTTAGCATTGTCACCACCTGCCTCTGCCAGCCTGAGGTGTGAGCGCTCCCAACAAACAGCAGCGCTGATTTCCCACACCTCCAAAGATGTTGCTGAGGACGACACCTGTAACAGCAGCTTTCACACCGTTTCACTTTTTGTTGCAAAAATCACAAAAGTGGAACAGCTGCAAGGCAGACAGAAACTGACTGCTGTGGAGAAGGAAAAAAAAAAAAGTGCTGCACGGGAGGATTTTTTCAGGCAGAGCAAAGCAGAGCAGAGCGCTGAGGGTTTTTAAGAACAGACATGATATGGACGACTTTTCCATCGGGGACCACAACAGCGAGGCACAGCGGGGAAGAAATCTGACAGTTACAGAAATAGCCTCAGTGTTTGCTGATTATCATTAGAAATGAGAGAAATAATGGGTACAGCATGCTGCAGTGCGTAAATAGCACAACTGCACAATAGAGTAAGAGGCTCAGAGTTGTCCAGGAAAAATCTGCATTACCATGTTTTCAGAAAGCATCACTTTTATCAGAGTTTAAGAGAAGGGGCTGCAACTTCAGTCCTGATCTCGTCCGTGTTTTAGCGTAAAAGCTTTGACTCATAGGTGGGGTAGTCAGGATCTGAGGAAGTGCCAGTTTTTAGGAGAAATCTTGAATGTAAACTCTTCCCCTCCCAACCAGTTTTCCCCTCAGCTCCTCCTCTCCCCTCCCTCTCTTAAGCCCCGCCCACAAACAGACGCTCCTGCTCGCTCATATCGTTCCAGTTAAATTCAGATAAAATGCAGCTAAATACTTCAGATCATTACAAATGGGGCCCAGTCAAGGTGAAAGTCAAAAGCATTGGTGCTACTGTAGATGCCAACAGACTACCAGCAAACACAATGTTTGCAGGACTTCTACAACTAGGATAAAGTGACATAGTCCAGGACCCGAGGTCAACAGTTTAGCGATGGCGCTACAACACGCTACAGCAGGTCCGTTTGACAAGAAACACTTCTGTTACAGACACTTGTCTTACTTTGTTAAAGCGGTTTACCTGTCCAGCAGAAAGGTTACAGGGTCACCAAGATCCCCAAGCGTCCCCCATCGTTTATGTTGACCCGGCTTTTTAGCTCTTGTCCGGTCTACTCCGTTTTAAGCGCCCGTTATTCCTCCAGGGTCTCTGATATTTACTTTGTTTTCTTGCTTGTGTCGGCAGTCGTGGCCAAAGGAGGATTCAGACAATTTTCCGAACTTTCTGGTTGGTTTCTTCTGTCAGATATCGTAGCACGCTAACTTTGTTTGGGCTCGTGAACGACACAGGGGAGCAGCGTCTGCCTCATAACCAATCAGGATAGGAGAATGGCTTTGTTTACACAGACATAACAAACCACAGCGATATCATGATATTCCCAAATGTCATCAATAACTAATAACTACTGACTGATATTAAAAGCTTTATTTGTATAAACACCACAAAAAAGATGCTTCTTTAACGGATTCCTGCCTACCCCACCTTTAACCCTAAAATCATTCTGCTGTTCAGTCTGATTATGCAAATAGAAAATGCCTCTTGGTATATCCAGCTTCAATTTAAAACCATTACAAACACTTCTTTAGAGCGGTCCCTCCAGAACAGCTTTAGCTGCATCAGCGTCTGAAGACACAAAAGAATGAGTCGGCTATTATCTCCACAACATTTCTTTTCTTTCCCATCAAGGTCACATTGGAAAAAAAGATGGAGGTAATGTTCTGAAGCGAAAGAACATGAATTTTGTGCTGGACTGAATTTTGGTCATTTATCTGTGTGGTTGCTCAAACTTTTTAGACAATATGTTGCACTGCAATACTTTTTACAAACCTTTCAAACTGTTATATGTTTTGTTCTTACTCATACGAGCAGCATTAATTACACTTTAATGTGTCGGTCCACCACTCTGGTCTGAAACACATTTTCACCGCAGTTATTGGGTTTGGCGCCATGATACATTTGTGAGACGAGGAGGATAATAAGAGAACAGTCTGTACCGACTTCTTTGGATTATTTCTGTAGCTGGAATGAAATAATTGGACCAACCAGCCTGCACTCTCACCACTCAGGAGCAGAGTCTTCAAACTATCAGTATAAGTCTTGCAGAGACAGGTGGCTGAATTGAACTGTAAATTAACACACAAATGTTTTTTGTTCTTTGTCTTGTTTGAGCACCACTTGGGCCACAAGGGTGAAGGAGACACGCTCGGTTCTTACCCCAGATCAGTGAGAGGCGGCTTGTCCCGGCCCCGCCTGTAGCACAAGAAGATCTGAGGAGCCATGAGGCCCCCGCTGTTCAGGTCAGCTAAATGGCCGGTGGGCGTCTCCTGTATACACGTGAACCCTGGCGGCGCCTCCTCGCCCATCGAGTTGATGACCAAGGCCACATCGGTGATGGGAGCTTTCGGCTTGGCCGTCTTGTGGCAGACATCATCAAAGTGGATTTCCTGGTCCAACGGCTTGGACGGGTCCGTCAGACCGGCCACCACAAAGTAGTCGGCTACACGAGGGCCTTTGTCCTCCATCATCTCCCATCCCCGCCGGCTGCCTGCACGGGGAGAAAGGAAGAGACAAAGAGAGAAACAGAGCGAGAGAGAGAGAGAGAGAGAGGATGAATTTTCATTGTTGTTGCAGGTACAGACGGTTCTTACGTCCTTGCTTTGGCAGTAAAATCAAAAATCCAACAGTCATAAATCTAAGTCAGAGCAGGACAGTGGAAGGGCAAATAAAGAGAGAGGGTTCAATGTGAGGAGGAGAGCGGCCGCTAGGTACCAGGCCGCCATTAGGGGTTTAAACATTTCGCTAACAGACTTTGATCAGAGACACTTTGGTTCACATGATCAGCTAAAGAGTTCAGCGTCCTGGCTCAAGGACACAACACGGGGTGGGTCTACAGAGGACAGTTAGTTTTGGAGGATTTGAACTTTACCCTGACTCTGAAAACTAGACCAGCAGAGTCGAAGCCTGTTTGCTCACCGAGACCCGGAGCAGCGAGGTGATTCGATTACAGACCAGCTCCACATGAAAACCTGCTGATGAGAAACTCTGTGATATCATGGAGCCTGTTAAGCCGGGTGTTAAACTGTATTTGACTTCATCTGTGTGAAAAGGGGCCTAGAGGGGACAGGTCCTGACTGCATATCCTTTACTCCGTCTGCAGAGAGGCACATTAACTCGGATCAGTAAAGAGGAGAGGGAAGTCAAACAAAGTCCCTCGGTTGAATCACAAACACAACAGGAGAGCAGTTTCTGCCTCAACAACAGATGGATGATCAACTAACTCTGTGACAACCCTTTAGGGAAACAGTGTGATCCTGATCCAGTTCTGAGGCTGACCACAGCTTGGTTGCTATCTCGTCGTGATCTCAGAGAAAGGCATCGGAAAAAAAAACAGAGGAAACAAACAGGACCCCTGGGATGATGGTCTGAGACCAAACTGCTAAAAGTTCAACAGCAAAGACACAATTGAGAGGAAATCAGTGGTGTGAGGAGCGGCTGAACTGTGGCAGGTCTTCAAAGAGCAGCTGCTTGAGGCTTTGCCAAAAACGATGTGTTCAAGGGTCTCTGCTTTCTTTTTGCCATTTTCATCCGTTTCTGTGGGAGAATCCGCTTTTTTATTGTGATGCAATTTGATCCGAGTTTGAAATTGAGAAAAATGTGCAGCGAATACTCATTAAACTGAGAGTCTGTCTGTAAAAAATGAACAGCAGCAGACTTTTGTAGTGCTTCAGGGTTCGGGTTTGGTTTCCTGCAGATCAACTAAGCGCAGAGCTTTTCACTCAAAACGACTAAATCACAGATAATACATCACTCCAGAAGATAACCTGCAGTGGCCCACATGAAATCAAGCTGAAGGAAACTCAAAGAAAAGACTGAACAGAGTGAAATGTAAAAACCTTTCTCATTCAGTCTGTGTGCAGGATACAGCCTGGAGCCCAAATTTAAATGTGATGTGATGTTCTCAAAAGAAGTTACATAATGTTCTTCCCTCTCCAGACAAAGCAGGCCGACACTTTGCATTAAAGTCTGACAAAATGTGCTGAGCAGTAGAGAAATATGGTGTTCCAGTTTTGTTTTATGGAGGAGTTTTTTCTTCAGGGTGTGGTGGTCTTCAATCTCAGTCAGCCTCAGTGACCAGAGTCATCATTCAACCTCCTGCGGACACTCCACCCTCCAGGACGTGAGGGTCTCTGGATTAAAAATGGAACTTCTCCCCCCGTGCTTGTACTTCTGCACTTCTCTTGGACATTCATGCAAAAACACAGAAACATGTGGCGTTCCTGACATCTTGTATGAGAAATGTTTACTCACACTGAAAGTAACCTGACCGGGTGCCAAGTATCGAGTCCCCCCAGCGTTCAAACTGGAGTCAGAGTTGCCAAAGAATAATTCAAGTTGAGTCCTATTCAAGCCCCCATTACAGAAATTAATTTGTGACTTCCTGGCAGGAATCGAGGCTGAACATCACGGCACGTGAGCATGCAAGCAGGCGTGCAACAAAGATCCCAACCCTGCATGAAACTGAATTATTACAGCCTTAAATAAAAAAAACAACTATGATTCAGACAGCTCTTCATTTTTCTATTCAATCAGACATTTGTTGGCATGATTCAAAGGGGGTGTGATGGCTGTTTCATTATCTTACAGGCTGGTCTTATACAGAATTAGGAATTTTGCACAAAGATAAAAGTTTCAGTCCCACGCCACACTGACACAAACAGAATCGAAAATTTAACATCTGTTTTTTGTCCTAACAACCACCCGTTAAATAGCAAAGATGTCAAACTTCATTACCGCCAACTAGGGCCCGACTGATTCAGCCCACCTTACCATGTTCCCTGCTGTGTTGGTCTCGGTCACGCCGAGTTAACGGTGAAGCACCATGTAATATGCAAGCTCAAGTTAGAGTTAGCCACCTGCTATTAGCCTTGCTACACTGTTAGCCGTGCCAGTAATGGTAGAATAATCAATAGTACACATTAGTGATCACGCTACTTCTTTTACTGAGGCAGCTGCATGTCTCCAGATGAGAGCGGACCGGAAATGAGGAACGTGAGTTAAGACGCGGAGGCACCGATCTGAGGCGACGCGTGGGGGGTCTGAGTCCGAGTCTGAGTCCGAGTTTGTTCAGTCGGTCTTCTTGTCGGCGTTAAGAGCAGTAGCCTACAGTATATCTACAATATATAGTATCCCCCACATATCTACAGTATAACTTCATAAAAAATTTAAAAATCGGCCAATTAATCGGTAATCGGATGTTTTCCCCCCCTAATAATCAGTATCGGCATTGGCCCCAAAAATCCATATCACTCTGGCCCTACTGCATACAAAGATCATTTTGTCGTCATAAATTCACAAAGATGCTCTCAGATTTCGCTCCTTGTAACATTTCTGCTAACAGAAACATCAAATTAACTCTTCTTTAGATTCTAAAATAACTCTTACCAATGATCAAACTTTTAGAGAATAACTATTATCCTGGAAAACATGTACAACCAAACTGGAACGGTGCAATGGTGTAGTCAATTTTAGGATATCAGGAAATCAAAGATGTTTTTTATCATCACAGACCTGTGATAGTATGTAATAATTGGTCTTCTCCTCAGTAAATGTAGTTTTAGAGCATGGAGAGAGTCCATCATCATCCTCTTTTTCCTTGCTAATGCCTCAGCAAAAATCATCAAACCAGTATTTTGGGCAAAGAATGTTGACAGTTTTGAAATCAAATTTCAAATCTGACAAAAACGTGACGGACAAACCAAACGCAAAGGTGGGAGAGCTCAAGAGATCACTGGATACTTTATGTTGTTGAATATAACCAAAGACATGTTGGCCATCTTTTGTGGTTGACTATGAAGGATTCAGAAGGTTAGTTAACAGCCAAAGAAGTATACGGTCCCTTTATGGCCATACTTCAGTCAAACACTATAACCAGCTCTCTACAAAAAGGCTACAGTGACACAGAACCTTGAGCAAGAAGCAAAAGCATCTGACTCACCATTAGAAGGGTGGACTTAAGTGGAGCTAATTCCTACTAAACAAGGCTGAACTAACATTTCTACAAGATCAAAAATCTTCCTCAATGTTGGGATTTGAATCGTCTATGTTATTATCTAAGCCCTGTTTGACCCTGAACCACAACCTTCTTTATACTTCTATCAGTACCTGTGTCAAAAGAAATGTGATGGCTGAAAAATAAAGGTAGAAAAAGAAATCATGTTTTTGGCTCAAGTATTAAATATGTCACTGTTATATTTCTGTTTTACAGCTTCCAGGCTGGAAGAGAAACGACTTAGCTGTGATGGTTACCAGTTTTTCCAAAGCGTGCAATGCTGTGCCTGGGAAAACCAGCCACATCTGTATGAAATACAGCGTTTAAAGGGAGTTCCCTTTAAAAACATTCCCAAGATGGTGTTACAGACAGTGACAGAGTCTCACCCAGAGAGTCATTTCATTACAAGCAGATTTTCTGACTCCAGACTTTCTGCTCTTTTGAATTCTCCATAATTTAAGTGGACAAGCTGTGATTCCAACCATGTGAAGACCGAGGGCGTGCAAAGAGAGGTTTAATTAGCAGGAGGTGTTCGCTGATCTGAGTGTGTGGGATCAGGAGGAAGGTGAAAAAGCTGCATGTGTAAGAAACGGATACATGAAACTGTTAGGAGCTCCTTTCTTTCAGAGACTGTCGTTAGAACAGAAGAGATCGAAAACGCACAATCTCTCCAGAGTTTGACCTCCACTGCTGCATCACTGGATTTTTATTTGTCTTTGTCTTTCATCATCTGCTGTGATGACAACATTTCAGGTAAATGTGCTCTTGTGACACTTGTTGCTGTTCTGACTGTCAAGAAGAATAAAAATAAAAACAGTGAAGTTCTCCTTTAATCCCAGTGACATTTCAGCCAAGAAAAGTGTTGTTTAGCATAAATCTTACCAGAGCTGGGTGTTGACTGTTATAATGAAATGATATTTGCTGAGTAAATGAGCTAAGCTTGTAACCAAATAAAGGGACAGTTGTTTGTCTTTCTCTGATTATCACTTCCAGCTATTGACAGATGGTGAGAAAACGCTGGTTCGCTGTGTCCTGGCTCCTGCACTCACATTACAAATGCATCTCACCACTTCCTCACAGTAAGAAGCTGATGAGAAAACAGTCACGGGGAGGTGATTTTCTACGCCAAATGATGTCTGGTCAGCCCTGATAAGGCACAAAAAAAGAGGAGTGCAGTAAGCGAGGTGGACCTTCGCCTGAGGCCCGATGATTCCTCTTACGGCAGCGGGACCTTCAGGCAAGATCACATGAAATCTGTCCTTAAACTGGCAGCTGTCCCAAGATTATCAAACAAGTTCAGACCTCCTACCTTGTTGGGCACAGCTGCTTTATCAATGGCAGGACACCTCGAAATATGATGCTGTGGGGCTGCCCAGTTTTACACACACAGGGTCTTCTTGTTGACTAAGCGATAATAAATTAAGAAGGTCTGGTTAGACTAAGACGATTAAGCGGGCAAATGAGCCACAATGAATGCGAAACAGCAGGTCAGAGTTTAAAAACAGATCTATCAAGCTATCAATAAGACATATTCAACAATGGGCTGCGCTGAAATCAAGGAAAGCAGTCCACTTACTAATGACAAGTGGTAATAATAGCGTCTGCGCCTGGTTGTGATCCAAAAGTAGAGTAATCCATTTGCAATATCAAATATGTAAATTCCTGTAAAGACTTTTAAAACAGAGTGGAGGAAAGTACAATTAACAGTTTAAGTATCTAATTACAGCTGTCAAGTTTGCAGCTCTGGATATACAAGGTTGTCCACTGAGACCTGAAAAAAAGCAGATTTATGATATGAGAGGGAAAAAAACGATCTGACAAGAATCTGGCACGCTAACTTGTGCGACATGATCATTGTATACCTGAGCTAAGTGTCAACATTTTAATTTAGTGAAATACAGCACCCTAAAAACACTTTCATTCAGATTAGACACCAATGACATCAGTGCTGAGTTTTGTATCCTTTAAGTAACCTGATATTTTGATATACCATCAGGAAATTGCCCCACGATACGATATTATCACGATACTTGGGCCACGATACAATATTATTGCGAGTCTTACCATTTTGCAATACAGTGAGTATTGCGATATATTGTGATTTATACAATTTCCTAATCCGTTTAGCTAATTTAGCATTTGTCTTCCTTTATGTTTGTCTTATTTACTCAGGATTTTATTTTGACGTACCACATCTTGCTAATATTTCATATATATTTGTTGTACTAACTTTCTCCTGCTCTAGGATGTCACCTCTGCCAACCTCACTGGACAAACAGCTGATGATTTTATTTTTCCATTATCATAGATTTGACTTCATATTAGCAATTAACTTGAAAAAAATATATACTTGGTAAATGAGGCGATACGATATATCACCAGACAAAATATTGTGATACTATGCTGTATCAATTTTTCTCCCACATCTAATAAATACAATAACATGACCCCTAAATGATCATTTTAACACAAAAGTTAGTCAGGTAAAAGCTTCATGATGCTGCAGGGAAAACAGTCCAACCTAGAGACAATCAAAGGTGTCTTCTTTGTGTGAAATAATATCTGTTAGCTGGGAATTGGATTTTATACATAAACTGTCAGACAATCAATGTATGATAATCTCCTAGAACCATGAGTCTCAATAGCAGTATTGATCAGCTCAAATGTCAATGACTGTCTGGTTTTAAAGAATGCAGAACCTGGTCTTCAACAGAAACCAGTCTTGATCGCCTTACCAACAGATGGTATCCTGAATTATCAAGAGTTATCTTTTCGCCGTTTCACCTCAGATCAATACAGGAAGATCAAGATAGACAGGAAATAGAGGACAGACTATGGGATACCGTGTATAAAAGGTCAGGGCTCAGGGGTAAAAAGACAAGACCAAGACCACTGTGTGACCACTCCTTCACACGTGCGACATGCTGTCTACCAGCTGAGCAAAATGGGCTCCAGAAAAAGAGCGTAAACAAGAAGTGAGTGATGACTTTTGGGTGAACTCTCATCAGGTTACACCCTGACATCCTCCATGTGAACTTTTCTTCTTATTGACGCTACATCACCTCACATCAACAGCCGATCAAAACATGATGCTGTGGGAGCAATAAGAGCAACGTAAGCATTTCTGTCATGTGGAGAATGAGAGGGTCTGGGTGGGATATAGGTTGGGAAATGCATGTTCAAAGAGTGGCCGCAGCCGCCCTGAGGGCTTCACATCTGTCTAAGCATCCTGAGCCAAGGACCACAGTCTACATTCAACATCCTGTCCAACACACAGCTAACTCATAAATGTTCCTGAGATAGAACACACTGGAGCAACACCCAGAGGACAGGATGTGGGACATGTGCTGGTTTCACTTCAGGAATATTTACTTGGGAATCGAGCAGATGATAAAACAGAAAATGCAAAGAAATACTACTTTTTAGTACTACTTTATACAAATACAGCTGTGCTATTGGCATAAAAACAGAATAGCTGAGGAAAATCAAAAATAGTGGGGGGACAAACACACACACATTCCTTCTGCACCCCCAGATTTCCTCTGTCATGTGAGCATGTGTGTGTGGGGAGGCTGACAGGATGACAGACAGCCTGAAGAAGAGGTGAGAAATTGATGAAGCTTTTCTGTCTGTGTGTGAGCTCAAGGTTGCGGGGTCACATTCTTGTATTAGCACGGACTTGACAAAAGGCAGAAACTCGAGTGGTCGACCTGTGTGGCTCCGTCAAACGCATGGTAAGCACATAAAACTTTCAGTCTAATCCTGGGTCAGTCCTTCTCATTTCATGACAAATTCAAAGCACATGCAAACCATAAAAAAATACCATCATGCATAATAAAGGAGGGGTGCAATAACAAAGGGTGTTGGCCCTTCTAGCAGCTATCTCATTTCTTGCAAATCCATGAGTCTTTATGGAGCCAGAGGGATTTTTGCATGAAACTCATCTGGCAGAAACAGCCGTGGGTATTATTTCATGAAACACACAGAAAGTACAGTTAACCCCCCATTTAGACCCAACTGTAACATGAAAAGGTGACCCAGTTTTCCACAGCACAGGGTTCTGGTGTACCACCTCCCCTGTTAGACTGACCACATGACAGGCCAAGGAATGATACACATCCCCACCACGCTGGCAGGGCGCTAAAAATACAAAAGCACACTACTGCGGCTGCACTGTGGCACACATTACATAAGGATTGCATACACTGCTTATGTGGGACTGCTGTTATTGTCTGCAACCTGCTTTCTGCCTGCCCTACATTTTCGAGAATAGAAGAAATCATCATTGTGGAGTTCACCGAAGAGACAGAGGTGACAGAGTGAAAAATGTATTCCAGATTTCACCGTTTCTATCTTCACTTCGACCTGAACTCTTCAAAACACCCATTTGCATATGAAAACACGCACTGCATGAGAAAGTCAGCTGTTACCGAAGGAGCCCTGGATGCATGCGTTATTATTGTTTGCTCAAATAGGTCGTTGAACTGCCAACAGATGAGCTGTCGTCGTTTCTGCAGCAAAGTGAGGCAAGCGAGCGCAAAAGCCTCATGGCTGATATTTACAATAGACACGTCATGTCATCCACGTCACACTTTTGAACAACGGAAGAACACGCCGCTGATTTATTGCATATCCTGCAGGCTTAGTTTGCACACTACACAAGATATACCTCAAAGAGCACTCTCGAACAAGTCCATCTGGTTTCAAAACTACAAGAACAAGAGAGAGGACATCGAGCTACAACAAGCACAGAAGAGTTCCTCCCTCAGAAACTTAAAGCCAACAAGACCTACTGATCCAATGTGCTTCTGCTAAACCAGTGGTTCTCAAGTCCAGTCCTCAAGGCGCACTGTCCTGCATGTTTTGGATGTTTCCCTGCTCTAACACACCTGATTCAAATGATTAGCTCGTTATTAAGCCATTACAGAGCTTGATAACGAGCTGATCATTTGAATCAGGTGTGTTAGAGCAGGGAAACATCCTAAACATGCAGGACAGTGGGCCTCAAGGACTGGACTTGAGAACCACTGTGCTAAACAAACTAAAAACATACAATCAATCAAACTGCTTTACTGGATTAGCTATGATCTACGGCTGGCGACATGGCCTCAAATCAATATCACGATATATTGAGTAGTTTACCTCTATAACGATAAATTGGACGAATGGATGGATAACTACTCACCCCCTGCTGCTCACCCTCTCCCACATTAACTTCGTCTACTTCAGCCGCTACAACTTTTAAACCGTCCTTCATCTCCTCTTTGTTGCGGACTGGATGGGGTGGAGTCACGTCTCTGACGTAGGACAGTGTCTTAAAAGGACATGAGAGCATAGCCTACCTACACACATCCAAAACCAACTTTTGTTTATTTATTTGACACTGAATATACTAGTGTTGTAGTTAAAACCGCACCTACCGAGACCAAGACATTACCGAGACCAGAGAGGACCGAGACAAGACCGAGTGAAAATGCCTTCGATTCGGAGACGACACAAAAACCCTCAAAGACCGATCTTGAGTACTACAAAACTACTGTATGGTAACTGTTAGCTTACCTGTCTTTATGCTTCCTCTCGAGGTGACGGTAAAAGTTTGAAGTCTTACCAGCTGTTTCTGTGAGTTGTGCACTGCAGAATTTGCACACTGCCGAGTGTTTTCGCTTGCATGTCTTTTTACAAATAAACTCCTTGTGGTTTAGGAAACCAAACTTAATCTCCTCTCCTTCTGTCGTCTCCATCCTCTCTCTGTATGGAGGGGGTGTGTCAGTAACTCAGACTGTGTGACACTGAGCAGGTAACTTAGCAGCTGGGGGAGAATCATTATTGCCAATGATGTGAAGTTATTAGCTTGACCGGTCTTGTTCAAAAACATGAGTCTGCTCACTCCAAGACCGAGACAAGACCGAGTGAAAATGCCTTCGATTCCGAGATGACACTAAGATCTCTAGTACTACAACACCAGAATGTACCGATATGGGCAAAATGGTTATTGTCATAAATTTTGGTATTGGTAAATTTTCAGTTTATCGCCCAGCCCTACTTTAACCTCATCATTTTTCCAGTATCTTCCCCCATAATCTGGCCTTTGAATGCGGCTACTGCCACTGTAGAGTATATCCTCACAGCAGAGTTTGGTGTTGCAGACAGATCCAGATGTTTCACCTAATGGATCCCACTTGAGCATCTGCAACACATCAGCACATCTTGAGAATCCACACAGAGCGATAAGCACTCACAGGATTGAGTGCTGATTTGCTTCTGATCATCTAATCTGAGGCACTTGGGTGCAATTACCGAAGAACTGTGGAATCAGGGCCAAAACCTCCACACCTGGAGTTGAAGCCTTTTAGTAAAAGGTGTTTACAAGAATTTCTGGGCTCCTCTAAAGCGAAAGATGATCCGGTAAGAGAGATTTCAAAACTTAGCCCTTGAAAACATTTTGAAATCAATTTGTGATGCTAAATCTGTGAGGCGTTCCTCCTACAGATTTATGGATTAACCCAGATGGATCAGAAAGCAGAAGAGAACCATCCATTGCATATTTAGCCCATCATGCACAGATCATCCCTGGATTCCCTGACAGCAGCAGCAGCATCTCTGAGATGCAGAGTCGTGACTCACACCGTGGTGCCTGACACATAGGCACAAAAATCTGCTTCGAGGCTTAAGTAGTCTAATCCAAACATCTTCATCTGCTGGCCGCCCTACTTCTCCCCTGGCAGACTGACCTGGACGGGGAAACTGGACGTGGTCTGGATGTAAACGCCCTGGAAGAAGAAATCAGAACCGATTTCTCTGAGCAGGAAAAAAAAAAACTGTGAACATTTTAGACAGGATGTGCTCAGGCTGCAAGCATCTTTAAGAGGTCACTGGAGTCTTTCACAATGGACCTGCAGCATTATGGGTAATATTTATGTGTTACTGAATGATTTATGGTGTGGGTGGATTCTGCATAAATGCTTTAAGGCACCGTTTTCCTCGAGATGTTGCGCACCATTTGTCTTCGTATAGCTGAAATCAGTATCTTAAAAGACGTCATTGACTCGCTTTAAAAGGTCCTTTATTACATGACACAGCTGGTTGCCCAGATTATCTGGGGTCTGTCCAATGCTCTGTGGTAATCAAGCAGCATAACAAACGGTCTGGGAGCCAAAGAGGCGAAAAAACACAGAAACTTTAAACTCAGCCACAAGAAAAGACAAAGACAAAGCCCAAACTCACTGACTTATAACCACAGCGGGACGTCAGGGAGGAGTTCGATAAGATATCCAGACCCAACAGGGCTTTCCGTCTCCTCCACAAGAGCTCTATTTAAGCAAACGTGACAAGAGAACGATTTCCAGCTGTCTCGAGTTCACGAGAACCAGAGCCAATGAAACTCACCAAAGGGACTCTGGTTTTGAGACTCTAACGGCCCCCGGGTCCCCGCTCTGGGCTGCAGCTGTAAAGACAACCAGTGCAGACACAGCCACAGCAGGGCAGACACGTGGAGGAGGTGAAGAGGAATGTGCTCGAGAACATAAACACAAGCCAGTAGGAAGCCCCACTAGCCAAGCATCTGCTTCCAATTTGCCCGGAGCTGAGGGTGTTTGGGCTCTCGTGCCTTTGAGCAGCATCAGGTCATTTCACAGTGTGGAGGGAAGATGACCCCTGTGAGAAAGAAGTGAAGTTTGTCCATGTATAACTGTAATATTTACTTTACATCGCCAGACACACCTGACTGAAATATAATGTACTGCTGGGCCCGACTGACATAACTGCAGCTCATTAACTCCCAGCTCCCAAAATGACGTTAAAATATGAAAATAGAAACGTCTCAAATGACTTCACTTTTCCTGGAATGATTGTCAATTTAATTACACAAAAAATTACCCATCAACACGTTCTTTAATCGCTAATCGGAGATGTTGCTAATGTCGGCATGAGACAGTATTCCTCCAAGACAATTAGGATGCATTAACCTCTGCCGACAGACTTTGTGTTTTTTAATTAGGTATGAGACTGTTGTTGTCAGCTTGTTCATGTGTTTGCATACTAAAGATGTGTTTTCTGGGGTCTGAAATAGATCTCCCTCAAGGATAATTCAAATTAAATTTACCTTTACAACCACCGATCGTGTAAACAGAGTTCCACCAGATGTAAAATAAATATAAACAAGCTGTTTCCCAAAACTGAAGCACTCTTCTCTGTGCTGGTCTCAAATATGCAGCCTGTTTTCACCTGTAACTGAGGCACTATGTCAGTGATGTATCAGTGCAAAAGGATGTGACAAATAACAGAAGTCTCATAGTTTGTTATAGAGCTGAGTGATATGGCCTCAAATCAATATCAGGATATATTAAGCAGTTTAAATAGATGATAACTACTCCACAAGCTGCTCACTACCCTCCCGTATTAACTTCGTCTACTTCAGCCGCTACAACTTTTGAACCGTCCTCCATCTCCTCACCTGTCTGTCCCTCTTTGTTGCAGACTAGATGGGGCGGAGTCACGTCTCTGACGTAGGACAGCGTCTAAAAGGGACATGAAACCATAGCCTACCTACACACATCCAAAACCAACTTTGATTCATTTATTTATTTGTCACCGAATATACCGAAATGGGCAAAGTCACATCAGTTATTGTTGTAAATTTCTGTATGGGTAAATTTTCGTTTTATTGCCCAGCCCTAGTTTGTCAACATTTTTCTAGTCCTCTTTAGGAAGGAATTAGCAGATGAGTTTGTGAGACATGGACTGAATAAAGACCACTTAAGAGACCCATCTATTCCTTGACTTGTCAGTGGGGGTGCTTTGTGGATCCTCAACTCTCAGTTAATGCTATCAAATACTCAAACCATAGGATAAAACATAATATTATCATTTTAAAGGTCAAATTACGTTATATTTGGACAGAAATGAACTTTTCAGCTTTCATAAATATGCACCAAAGGTCACAACACATCTATTGGTTAAAGTGCAATGACCCCAGATCTCTGACTGTCAAGTCTATGGTCCATACTACACACCAATGTTTAATATACAGTCAAGAAAATAGGTCAAACATGTTTGAGGAGATTCGTTTTCAACTCAGTCACATACTGAGTGAGTGGTGACAGAGGCCGTCTCAGCAGAGGTTCAATTGAATCAGTTCGGACAGATCCAGGATCAGTTCACCTTGGCAATTAACATACATTATTACCTTACACCTGGCTTTCTTCTGTTCACCTGTGCTAAATACTCAATTCTGATTGGTGAAACCTCTCGACAATGGTTATTTATTCTTAATAATAGCACAGGGACAACCTCATCACACACTTCAGATTGTTGAATATAAAGCCAAAGGACATGTGGACACTTTCTGTGGTGGACAATGAGGGATTATGGGGGTTAGTGAGCAGAATGAAGTCAAAGCATAAATCCTCATCATGGCCACACTTCAGTCAGACACTTAACCAGCTCTCTACAGAGGTTAAAGTGAAACAGAGCATCTCTGCCACTGTGGCTTTTTGACCTCACAGCTCAGAGCTACACAAACAGCATTTTTCTGAGATTTTGTCCTTTAAAAAAAAAAAACACCACAAGAATCCTGAGTCATAGACTGAAAATTATGAGATTACTACACCCTGAGATTTTGATACCTCTGCATTTCTCCACTACATAAGGTGTAATGGGTGATTTCAATGGCTCAAATAATATGCTTGAAAAAAGTGAGGTCACTCAAGAGGCGTAAACTATCCTGAGAATGCAGAAACCACCATGGACAGCAGAAGAGCTCACCAATGTGTCTCCCAAACCACAAGGTTTAAAAGACAACAGTTCAGCTGCAGGCGGAGTGATACCTATGAGTCATGGTGATACAGCCTCTGGGGGAGATGGACTACCGTCTTCAGGCTTCAGGTGCAGCTCACAGGGTTCTGGACCAGACTTCTCTCTTGCAAATCAATTGAGTGTAGTTGAAGTCCAGTAAAGATATCTGGATGTGGGCTGTTAGCTTGGATGTGAGTGTCTGTTACATAAAGCTCAATCATCAGTATGACCGATGTGTGTTCCACCTCTTTTGCATTCAAACCACTTGACCACATAGACAAAGCCAGCAGAAACAGTAGGAGACGATACTCTTGTATTGAGACTGACAACATTATTATATGGAGATATGTAAATACCTCAATAAGTACCACATAGAAGCTTTATGCATACACATTTTTGTCAGTTTTTACAATCCAGAAGATGAGCCTTTTCTTCTTTCTTTGACAGCCCTCAGCTTTTTCTCAGTTTTGTGAAATGAACAACAATCCTACCCTCGAGCATGAAGGTTACACTGCGAGGGAATGCGCTGCTTTATTCAAGGAGGACAGCGAAGGTTTGGCTGCAGCTCAGGCTCTTTGTTTTTCTCTGCAGGTAAACTCCTCTCGACTTCATATTAAAGCTTCAAAGTGAAGCACTTTTCAGAGCAGGAGGATGCATGAGGTCAGGTCACTGATGTTTTATCCATTAACACTCACTAAAACCGCTTTTATATGAGCGATGTGATGAACACAAAAGAAGATCACAAGGTTGTTAATTAAGTAGAGGGGTGAAACACTGGGTAGAATGGAAATAACAGTGTCAGTGTTTGCAATTTGTGCCCTGTTAGAACGAACCCGCTGCAAACCTGAATACGATGATCGCACATTCACGATGAAAGAGCTGAAGAGCCTGAACGGGGCCTTGAAAACTTTCTGCAAGGTCTTGACCTACATTTGAAAAGCTGTTTTTAAATTCGCCTCAAGTTTGAGGCGATCGGTCTCTCTTGGTGGGCGGGGGAGACTGATGTGTGTTTGTTATGGATAATTAAGCACAAACCGGGATAAATGGCGATGCAGCAGCGGGGGAAACAGCAGCGATCGACTCTGACATGCAGCTACCGCTCCTATTAGCATCAAGATGTGATTGCAATAAAAAAAAAACCCACACAACAACAAGAAACTACCAGGAAATCGACTCCCTCCACCTACACCACACATGTAATACATGTTTGTATAACACTAATGTCTGATAATAATGACCTTTCTGTGTTTGCTTCCCTCAGACACTTTTTAACTTTTCAAGATTTCAAACCTGATCTCATCAACATGCCCCCCCGGACATTCAATCCCTCCAACTGTTCTCCCGGCTGGGGTCAGACAAACCCACACATTTGATCCCCAGTGTGGCGTCTCCTGTTTTGCAGCTTGTAAACATGGGGGGGCTGCTAGATCTGATTTAGTGACGTCTTTAGCGTCTCCTGATAAACACCTATTTCACTCTGAGGGATGAGAAGAAAAGGGAAGACAGCAGGAGAGTAATCCTTTACCCCTATGAACCTGGCAGCAGCAACAACAACAGAATAAGGTGAGAGACTCAGACAATAACAGCCTTCGAAAGAGGAGGCCCGACTTTTGAAAACCCGCATCCAAGAAAGTTTCTGTCGAATCTATCAAACTGAAAAGTTCTTTACAACCAAGTAAACCAGGAAAAAAGTGTGAAAATTAAAATCCTGATAAGATATTTTGCTATACTGTCCATCCCTAGAATAATGCAAGAGCACAAATCCAGAAATATACAAGAGATGTAAGTCAGTTCACGGCAGGAGTGAATCTGTTTTACTCTGTAAGCACTCAGCGACATCAGAAGAGCGGGGACGTCAGGTTGAGGGAAATGAGAGGGGCACACAAAGACAAAAGAATGAATAGACATGGATGCAAGTTAGAGCACACAGAATCAGCACAGGACCCAAGACTTTGAGAAAAACCCTGAGGTGACGACACACTTTTATTTTTTCAATTTAGCCTTGCAGTCTGACCAAACCCTGCGTTTCCAAAGCTGTCGATGAGTTCTGGAGACTAAACAACTACCCCTAGAAGAAGCAAATTTAATGAAACCAATCTGCACACACGCCCTAGAACGCTGTCTAATCCCACAGAGGAAAGAGTGAATGTCGAGTTTTTACTGCTCTGGCACACGGCTTTGCTGGTAGCTGTGAATCTTGAGATTACGAGGAGTCCTAAAACCGTCCTGTGAAGCACCAAATGCCACCCACCAACTAAGGAGGACACATTCTGGCTTTCTCTCTGCAGACAATACTGGGAGCTTACAGCTAATTAGTGTTTGTGGATGGTATTCCCTGGGAACATGTAATCCTGTCATCAGTCTTTCTTCATGCAAATCCAGAACAGCTTTTATTTGCCCGAACAGAGTCTTCTTTTGGTTGTATGACAGGAAAATGGGAACCATGCTGCACGGTGACCTTCAGGCTGCTACAATACCCTCCTGCTCTTATCACAGACTATTTCACATCGTCGAAACATCGGTTCTGCTTCCAACAAAAATATTAGGGGTTATGACATCATCTGCGGTAACAAAAGAGACGCCTGTTCAGCATTAACAGTTTCGGACAGTCTGGAGTCTGTGGCGGAATACGATCAGACATTTGGGCTGCATCAACCCAACATTTCAACTCCTGATATCAATACTGGGCTTTGGTAGCAGCCAATGTCAGTCATGATCCAATCCGGTCCAGTACCAAGCGTTCCTCGTCCAACAATGACTCACAGAGCTGTTTGTCTCTGACATTTTTCTCCCTTTCAAACCGTCACCAGGGGAGTTCCTTGCATCTTTGCCGTACAGCTGAGATTGTAAACATCATCATTTCAGCTCCTGGTTTTGTTCAGCTGAACTTGTAAACTTTGACATGATAGTTCTCAAAATGCTTGATTGAACTGGTTTTGTCATTACTTTGCTATGCTACCACCACCCCTCGAAATATAAGCTTTGCACTGATTGCAAGTAGTTGGCGTAGAAAGTACTGAAATACCTCCAAACTGCTGAGTCTTTGTAATTAGCGTCCTTCAGGCTAGACCAGCTCTCAGGTCTACGAACGTGTTCATGATGCAGTTTAAACACAGAAATATCAGAGCTGAATCAAAGAGATCTCACCTATGGAGTCAGTTATCAACTTATTGTGTTTGTCAACATGTTAGTCTGACTGAAATCTAAAATCTATTCTAACATATCTAGATAATAACGCAGTCAGAGATCTATTTTTCTCTTTTACATATAAGCCTCTACTGGACCAAAACTGACCTCTCTGACCGAAACTGGTCTTCTAATCATCATCCTTAATGATGAGTTTGCCAATTGAGTATCTGACCAGTACCCAACACCAGGGTCAAATCGGTGATTCTCTTTCAGGAACTACAAAGTTGGAGGAAAAGTTTAGATCAAATTCTCATCTTCTCTACTTTGATTGATTAGATGTTTCATGAAATCTGATTAAATTCTTGCAGTGTTAGGGAGAGCTTTAACATCTCTTTGGCCCTGCTGGCCTTGTTCATATATGATCACATAAAGAGTTTTGAAAACTTTTTTATAATAATAATAAAATAATGAAGGTTTGATCCTGTGTAAATGTATTTTCTCAGCTCGTACTCATAGGAGGAAGCTTTGACACTAATTTGGATGCAAACTGAGGAGGCCCCATCACTAAAGTGTGACATTAACTGATTACAGGGATGACAACAGTGGCAGCAAGCAGTGAGGAACCTTTTCTGACCCAAACTGGCTCAATTATGAAGAAACCTTTATAATATTCATATTAAAAGCAAACATTAACATCATATCAAACATCATAAATCTGAGTAAATGGCAGTGAGGCTCCTGCACGGAAATGTTTCTGTGTCAACCAGCCAAAACTGAAGACTGCTACACTGCTGCTCAAACTCGAGCAAAGTTTCAGAACAGAAAATGTTCCAATATGATGAATTTATTATGCATCTCTCAGAGCCAAAACAGAGTAAACTCTCTCTGGACCCCCATGTAGCCTCATTCAATATTCATAAAGAGGTCATCAGAGACACAGAGAGTAGTTTGTACACTCAATGGAGCAGAAAAAAACACTAAAATGCCAAAAGCGCAACTGTCACTTATCTCAAGCATCTCCAGCTCTTTTACTGAGTTTTCCTTTGCTGCTACCATCTCTCCCATCGCTCCCTCTAACCACAACCTCTGTACAAGAAGAATAAATTGACATTAGCAGGATGATGAGAATTCATTCAGTCGCTCGACTATTATGTCGCCTTATCATTATGACAGATAAAAGAGGCTAAAAGCTCCTGTGGCCTCCGGCTTCCTAATTAAAACACATCATGGTGCCTGCATCACTGCTGCAAACAATTCATAGTCTCCACATCTCTGGTTCAGCACCATCATGACATCATTACTCCAAACACAATGTGCTGCCCGGTCGTACAATTCCTTGACTTTATGTGGATGCCAGACGTCAGTTTCACTGAGAGGGCCCACAGTGGAGCTCTCCAAGGGCATGAAAGTGTAGTGGTTGTTCCAACATGCTCCAGCTCTGGGTTGTACCAGCTGTGTGTGTGAAAGTAGATTTCCCGGTTCATTTTACTCAATATGTCACTGCTTCAATATTCATCATGGTGGCACTAATAAAATAAATGAATGAGGGCAGCATGAACCTGGATTTCCCACGGCATCGTAATGCATTTAACTGACAGTTTTGCACACTAACAGAATAAATAGAACCATTAAAATTGTTGCATGCTGCAGCTTAACATGCAGAACAAGCTTACAGTAGCAGTTTCCACAGACATTTTTAGCTCATTAGCATGTTTGAGTGTCACTTAGCAGCACAACCAGGTCATCAACGGTCGAATGGCAGAAAACATCTGCTCAGGCGCCACTGATGACGCGGGTGTGCAGATAATGGTGTGTCAGCTGTGCCAGTCTGGGTAACCTCTTAGTTTTATAGGATATGGTGCCAATACAAATGCACTAGGGCTGGGCGATATGGCCTCAAATCAATGTCACAATATATTGATCGGTTCACCTTGATAACGATGAATAGACGATAACTACTTCGGCTACTTCAGCCGCTGCAACTTTTGAACCATCATCCATCTCCTCACCTGTCTTTCCCTCTTTCTCACAGACTGGTCTCTGACGTAGGACAGCGTCTTAAAGAGACATGAGACCATAGCCTACCTACACACATCCAAAAACTACTTTTATTTATTGATTTATTTTTTGGACACCGACTATATTGACATGGGAAAAATGATGTCAATTATTGTTGTAAATTTCGATCTCGGTAAATTTTCGGTTTTCGGTTTATCGCCCATCCCTAAAACACATCCATATTCCCACAGCATGAGCATCTTAGTTTATGGAGATCATTACTCACTTCGACATGCTCACTATGTTATGCAAGATAGAAAGAACAATAACATGCTGCCTCATCTTGCCTCAGGTGTTATCCTGCTCCCACTACAGGAGCTGACACGTGGTGTCAATTACAGGTGGACAGCAGGCGTTAACCCTGAGGCTGGAGTCAGGGAGAGAAAAACCAGCGTTACTGAGCATGCATGAGGTCTTCAATCGGCCCAGCAGACACGTCTAGCTGTCTACCCTTTGATCTTTTACTCACTCCCATAAATCACATATACTTGGATCTGCACGAGACTTCACAGCACAGTCAAGCAGCCTGCAAAAGGTCCATGCCATTTGGCTCTCATTTGCCGGATGACAGTGGCCTCAAGAATTTCTCTTTTTCCTCTCTGGCATTCCAAAAAGGCGCCCCTCTGCCCTCTAAACATGAACAGACACGGCAAAACAGACAAGCTGACAAACTCCCTGTCCATCATGTGCACATCAACAGAACCTGGACAGCAGAATCTACATTAGACTAAGACTTAAACGTAACCAAAACAACAAAAAGAGCCACGCAGACAGAGGAATTATGGAATTCCAGTGTGGGTTACCTTGCAGGAATGTGAAGCTGAGGTTTTCCAAATCACAGTCTTTGAGAGTATTTCTGTCACATATGTGATTTGACCAGACTTGCCTGTCCTGTGTGACACCACTTAACGATGCGGAGGGGAATTCTTTGGGAAGTAAACTCTCAAGATGTCAAGAGTCTTTGGCAGCCGTCACCACAGAGCATGTCTGAGGTCTGATGCCAAAAAAATTGTAGTCAACCACTCCAGTTCGACTCCCGGTGTGTTTCCTCTTCAGCTGCCTTTCCTCACATTTCTCACATTTTCAAACCACGAAATTTGCAAAACACACACTGACTATCTGTTCAGTGTAGCTAAAGCATTATGCCAAGAAACGTGTGATTTTTGCAGCTTCTTCCAGTTAAAATAGGGGGGAAATTCACCAACCTCCTCTATGATGGTCAATGAGGTTGGATTGAAAAGCTGGAATAAAAAAGAGGCTTTGTGCGCCAGCTTTTGCACCAATATGACTATACTGAAAGCTGCTTCTTTATGAGAGTATATCACACCATTATCATTAAACAATTTTAGTGCCTAACACCATCTGCTAAGCAGTGTAGCTCTGCTCAAAGTGTCATGTAACGGGATTTGAGATGTTAAAATGTCACAGTTGTCTTTTAAGCAAATTATGAATTCAGCTGCAAAAAGAAAAGACCAGTTCAGCCTCCGTGGAGGATTTCAGACTCTCGGTTTCTGAAGTCACTGTCCAGGGATCTGAGTGGGAGGTTTGCTTCGATGATGAAGCCCTGTGCTGAATGTTCTCTGCAGGGAGAGGCTGCAGACAGATGCAGAGGTGGAAAAACACCAAAGTAAACATGGCAAGTTACACTTCAGAAATGATCCAAAATCTGACTGTTGTTGAAGTTTAAAGTGATGTGGCTTGTGTTCTGTCTTATATGTACGATAATGGCAGATCTGGGCACACATGCCAACCAAAGTCTTCCACTTCTGTCAAATTCAGTTTCCTTCACATAGTCATTTTTGCATCATCTGACTTCACTGTAGGAATGCAACCCTGTGGCAGCAGACAGTACGCTGAGCTGGGATGTCTATGCAACACATGCCAACAACTCGGCTCCAAAAGCCAGCTCTTGCACATGAATAATACATGCAGTTTGATGGCAGGAGCAGATGGTTTTTGCCAAACGAAATGATCTGGATCACTAAGAGCCGATCACTAGGATCCATGTTGAGAGAAGAAGGATCCAAACCCTGATCTCACATGGTAAGATGGATCACTGACAACTTGAGCAAGATCAAACAGCCTTTGTAGATTCGAAGTAATCCATAGATATAATGCATTTGAATAAAATTGTTATAATCAACCTTTTCTGTTGCAGGAAGACAGGCGACAGACCATCAGACTTTTACTGGGTTTTACCCTCAACGTTAATGTTAGCATTTGTTCGATTTGAACAGAATCCACAGAGTAACTGCGATCAAAGTTGGCTCATTAATAAATCACAGAGTTAAGTTTCTGATTTAAGGTCCTTTCACATCGGGAGCGTTGTTGTCGGACGTCAATATTTTTTTTCGAACCCATATCCTGTCAATACAAGCGTTCACATCAGCGACGTTTTCCCGTCCTGAGATATTGTGGCATTTATTTTTTCGGATCACGGTCGATTTTTCAAAAGTTTCGCATAAAGTGCGTCCACTTCTGACCAATCAGATTTCGTGTTGTAGCAACTTTAGATTCACCAGTATATCCAACATGGCCGACCAGCTAATTGTTTACGTGTCGGAGAACAGTGTTTTTTGATAAAAGATACAAATATTACAAAGATAACGACCTGAAGGACAACTAGTCTTAGCGTCGGATTTCTCATATGACAATCGTTTGTGTGCTTTAACAGTTTGCTAAACGTCTTTGTTTTAACTTTCATCTGTGCTAACATAAGCTAACTGCTGTGAACATAGTTTCATGTGCTTATCTTATCGCCTCTGATTGGCTACAAGTGCTGACCGTTTGGCTTGAGCGTGTGATGACATTTCCAGCTTTTGTAGCTAATCAGAGGTGAAAGAGGCGGGACTCTCACCGGGAAAAGTCTTCCCACAGATGCATCTTTTTCCCCCCGGAAAAACACAAACTCGCATCGGGCTTGATGTGTATAGTCAGGCACGTCAAAATTCACCTCAGAATGCCTTAACTGTGTTCAAGTGTGGGGCATAGCCATAGGTTCGATCTCACTGCTTATTTAGGCAGCCTGTCCTCCTCTATGATGTATGAAAATACTTAACAGATGACTCCCTGACAGACAAATGAATAGTCAATGCAGGTTTTGCCTACAACAGAGAATTTACCTGCCCTATTTATCATGAGACCTTTATTTGCTGCCAACTAATGCTGGAGCATCAAATGTCTGCTTAGCTGAGATTTTCTGATGCATGTGCTGCAGACGGTGCTGAGAGTACAGACCATACACCCTGTCCCCAGTGATGATCCGTGATACACAGCAAGTGACAGCCTTTAATCTGGACCTCAAATGCTTCACAACAAAGGAATCCCTGCCCCGAAATGACTCTCCTTGCACATTTTGTACCACTGCCTCCAGCAAGGTGAACTTAGAGGCATTTTCTGAGATAAAGAAGAAAAAAAAAGTGAACGACCTAAAATATCCCCGGGCAAAAAGGGTGCACACACAGGGAGGAGGTTAGTGTTTGGGGTTATTTTTAGTTCTTTAACGACCTCATGCTACAGGCTAAAACAGTCATATATCACCTGATGAAAAAGGGGGTTTAATGTGGTGTGACTAGTGTTCGGTTGACATCACGCACACAGCGGAGGTGATTAAAACAGTCACGATGTTGGCGTTGATTGCAACAACCTGTGGCACAGCAGCAGCACACTCCTATCGTGGCTGCGGGAATCAACTACAGAGGAAAGCGTGAGAGATATCGGGTCAAATACAATGACGGCACATTTGTCATTAACGTACATGAGAGAGAGGGCTGCAGATGAAAAGATAATGAACACAAAAGTGAGGTGACAGGGCGAGTGGACGGGATTTCGAGCTTGTTTTTAGCACGTAACTAGCAGCTGTTGGATAAATCCCTCTGTCACTGTAACGGTTCTTCATCATTCACTCACCCCGTTCGTGGACGTTAAATTAGTCCTCCCGCTCAACTTCAAGCCGGTGTCGTCTATCGGTTCTGCTTCATTCCACCACCGTCGGTACCGGAGAGGTGAGGTAAACTGTTACTAGTGTTTATTATTTATCTCCCGTTAACCGTTAGCTGTCCAACCCGAGTGAGGCTTCTTCTTCTTCTTCTGTCTGTCAGTCACTGAGCGGAGCCGGCTGTCCGCTCCGCCGCCATCTTGGTTGTGATGGGAATCCGCCGTCCAACCGGCGGCGCGCACACACAGACACACACACACACACACACACACTCTCGCGTCTCCTGGGTCGGTGTCAGTTTTTACATGACAACAGTCAGCCTCTCCTCTCCTCTCCCAGCAGGACATAAACACTATAATCTACCTGATGCTGACTGTGCTCGCAATTATGTCTCTTCAGTTTATCTTGACATTAACACCGGATCATTTATTGATGAAACTGACCCCAATCTGCTCTAATTAATGAAATAAATCAACCTTACTGCACAGTAGGAGCCCACTGACGGCCCACATGTGACTTTTATGCTGTTACTGCATCAACCCTACTTTTATTTCTTTGCTAAATGAATCCCATCATTCCAGCCTTCCTACAAAACCCAGTTCCAAAGACAAGATATTTAATGTTCAAACTCATAAACTTTATTTTTTATTTTTTGCAAATAATAATTAACTCAGAATTTCATGGCTGCAACACGTGCCAAATAAGTTGGGACAGGGGCGTGTTTACCACTGTGTTACATCACCTTTCCTTTTAACAACACTCAATAAACATTTGGGAACTGAGGAGACTAATTGTTGAAGCTTTGAAGGTGGAATTCTTTCCCATTCTTGCTTGATGTACAGCTTCAGTTGTTTAACAGTCCGGGGTCTCCGTTGTCGTTTTTTACACTTCATAATGTGCCACACATTTTCAATGGGAGACAAGTCTGGACTGCAGGCAGGCCAGTCGAGTACCCGCACTCTTTTACTACGATTTGCAAATCATTGTATTTGGTTTTATTTACATTTATCACAATTTCCCAACTTTAATAGAATTGGGTTTTGTAAATTTGCTTAACATAGATTTCCATTGCTGCTGAAACTTAGTGGTGACTGACTCCAAAATATAACCAGCACAGAGCTGGTGAAGGTTTGAATCCATTTCTCGTCATCACACTAAGTAGCACATGCAGTCTGTGTCAGCTTTGACAGCTTGTAGTGAGAAGTAAACAAAGTACCATGTGTACCAAAAGCATCCTGTAACAGCACTGAACAAACATATTTCGCTGAGCTCACTATGGCTGCTGAATACCAATGAGAGAAGATGCTGTGTTTCCTCTGGCAGCATTTCAGCCGTAGATAGATAAAATGTTGGTGGTCACTACCTGCTGCTTTCTGATTATCAGCTGAGAGAAGTTCAGTATTGTACCTGCTGTTTTATGTGCCACCTGTGCTGCCCATAAGCAGATTTTTCCACCCTTGCAGCTGCAACAGGCAGCCAGTTTGTCTGCTACCCCTGACTGCATGCACAACAAATTCTTGCTTTGTAGTTTTTTGCGTGCGAGGTGTTTTACAGCCGAAAGTGTAACAAATATGCACCTTTTGAAAACTGTGCAAAAGGCATGTATGCTGAGAGAATAGTAATACTCCTCAGCCATCCTCAAGGAGGTTAAGAAACTCCACATCTGTCCTTTTCCACTTGTCCTGGGAGCCAAAACATCTGCATAAGGTCATTTAGTGTCACACGTTTGTCTTTCTGAGCTGCTTGTGGAGTTTTTCTGCCCCCAAGTGACCGAAAATCTGCAACTTCAAACAGCTGGCATAAATGTGGGCTACAAAAGACAGGGGCAGAGGGGAAGATGAGAAACCTAATACACAAAAGGGTGACATAAGACACGGTTGAATCTGATCAGGGAAGGGCACACAAACACGGAGAAGAGGATGGGGGAAAAGAATGACAAATAACACAAGAAAAAAATGAGTAAACACAGAAACAGGGAGTAAAACAAAATGAGAGATATCAGGCTCAACAAACGTGTCACTGATGGTCTTGTCTGCTCTTGGATACCATAAAAATAGGGTGACCATACGTCCTCTTTTATCCTGATATGTCCTCTTTTTTAGGGGCTGTCCGGCCTTATCTGGGGGAGTTTATAAATCCTTCAAATGTCCAGGGTTTTGTATGAAAGTTTTGAGTTTGTGAAACGTGGAGTAACTGAGTTAGAAGCGCATAAAAAACACTCGACCCGACCTGAAAAACCCTCAAAATTTTGCACCCAACTCTGTCCAGCATAGTTGTGTCCTCTCTTTGGGGATCCAGAATCACATCATACCTGAATCTTTGAACATACCTGAGCAAACCCAATTCTGTGGGATAAGCTGCTGTTCAGGATCATTACGTTATTACTCGTCTGTCTTTGAATGTGAACATTAAACTGGATTTGTCCTGACGTTTTCAGTCTGCATCAGCGCTCAAGATCTGCACTTGGCCTCAAAATCCATGTTTGTGTGCAACATCTGTTCATACACTCAATTCTTTTTATGGGTAATAGTTAAAGTTGTATTATCAGATTTCTGAGATGGGAACTCACTCATTTCAAATGCACGCTTAATAATGTGATATAAAAGTTATTTAAACAAAGATAACCCCGTGATTAAAGAAATGTCATGACTGTAGTCTGAAGAGAATAAAAGTGCATGTCTTATTCTTTGTACCTGACTGTGTGTGTTAGTAATGAATGTCAAAGGGAGAGTTTGTTTAGAGTGGACAGCAGTCTTATCTCCAGAAAGCAATATTATGATTTTTGGATTGCACCCAAATACTCCCACTCCAAACAGCCAGCCATGTGTTTTTTGTAGCTCTGCCATAAAAACGCCTTTCTCTCTCTCTCTCTGCACTTCTTCTTTTGTTTCAGCCGCTCTGTCGAGTGAGATCAGCGTTAAATATCTTAACAAGCTGCCTGATCTGGTTTGCATTTTCAAATCATGATGTACGGACACTTGAAATGCTCAGTTCACAAATTTTTTTTAACAATCTGAACAGTACAAAGACTATTTTCTTATTCATTACAGCCTCCGAGTCTTTAACATGTAAAATTATATGAAGCTATTTGCAGTTTCAGGTATAAAAAAGAACTTCTTAATAGCCAGATCCCCAATTTAAACACAAAGATTATGCAAACTGACATAATCCTATAACATCAAAGAGCAACAAAACTTTTTGAAGACAAAAAAAACGAAGAATTGTCTTATTTCTTAAGATCTCAAACATGACTCGAAGGATAAAACAAAGACACATGAAAAGAGAGGCTGTGAAATCTCGTCTCATCTTGAAAGTCCCATTGGGCTTAATAAACTCTTCTCGCTTTGTTTTTGAAGTTTTCACTTCTTCCCTCTAGTGGGGAAAGAAGAAGAAATATCAAAATGACCAAAAAAACAAAAAAAAATCATCATAACCAGAGGATGGCGAAGAAAGGAATCCACAGTTGTGAGGATATCTGCAGGAAAATGAAGGTGTGGCTACATACAGTATCTTTATTTCTCTTAAAATCTGCCTCTATAATCCAGTCTAAAGTGATTTAACCTGTAATCTGCATCAAATAGTCAGTTATTCTTTGTTTCTGTTTTGCACCACTTAAATATCAGTCTCAGCTGTGAACTGCGTCATTGTGATCACAAGCTTGTGGAGTCTGTCTGCAGGAGGTTCAGCCGTATGTTGTTGTTGCTTCACACTTCAGAGGCTAAAAAAAACAGCAAACAGGAGTTTGTAACAACCTTTGGTGATTTAGTATAGTGGGAAAAGACATCTGCCTAGAAGATGAAGGTGGTGTTTTGGAGAATATTGCGATGGTTATTGTATTATAAATTTCACTGAGTTGTTACCGATGTGTGACAAATTTGAGAGATAAAAGAAAGCAGGATGAGAGTTTTGTGTCAGAAAATGCAGAAGTACGGGACAGGTTCGCATCTTTGGGGTGCACCAAAATCAGCAAAAAACAAAATGTGCATCATAAGGCTTAAAGAGTTACGCCTTTATCACATATTAGCAATCAATACAGGCTCTTTTATATTATTTTTTAGGCCTTTTACTGCTGCCACTAGACAAGGAAAGAAACCTCAATAAAGGAACCATTTGGTGGTTTGATCAACACTGTCCCCTCACACCGAGAAGACTCCTGAATCAAATCCCTGACCCGGCTGCTGCCTTCCTTTGTGAGGTTCTCACGCTCTCCATACACATGTTCCCCTGTCTTCTCTCCACAATTGAAGACACATTTGTGTGTCAGGTGTGTGTATGACCGCCTCCGTACGTCAACCCTGTGATTGATGCTGCATTCACGTGCTCCTTGGATGGCCTCAGTTTCCGAGTGTTGAAGTCGTTCATCACTTTGCTTGCCTGCTTTAAATTCAGAAGTCGGGTTAAACGTTACTTGACTGTTAAATCAAGCTGGATGATGATAAATTATCTAACATACTTGACTTGTTATTTTGGATTTAATACCCAACACACATAAAATAATACCTTCAGTAACTATTAACTATTCTGCATGGACAAGAACTAACGATAACACCATGTTTTCTCTTCTCATTCGTCTCTAATTTAATATGTACTTCACTCTGATATAGAAGAGTGTGTAAATACTATATGTGTTGACACTTTCACCTGTTGTTTTTGCACATAGGATCAATTAGTGATTAAAGCATAGGGCAGGCATGTAAGGTTTCAATGGCAGTTTGTAGGGCTGGGTGATAAACCGAAAATTTTCAAATTCCAAAATTTATGACAATAATCAATGTCATTTTTCCCATATCGGTATATTCAGTGTCAAAGAAAATAAAAGTTGTTTTTTTAGATGTGTGTAGGTAGACTATGGTCTCATGTCCTTTAAAGACGCTGTCCTACGTCAGAGACGTGACTCCACCCCATCCAGTCCGTAACAAAGAGGGAAAGACAGGTGAGGAGATGGAGGACGGTTCAAAAGTTGGAACGGCTGAAGTAGACGAAGTTAATGTGGAAGGGGGTGAGCAGCTTGTGGAGTAGTTATCGTCCATTTATCGTTATCAAGGTGAACTGATCAATATATTGTGATATTGATTTGAGGCCATATCACTCAGCCCTAGAGGTTTGCCTGCCATAAATGACTCTTGTTGTTGTTCTGACTGCAGCAGAAGTTCATTTTCCAACTCTGAAACTAATTTTTCCAACGTGTCTGACTCCACATGAAAGCAGCATGACTGGCGCCCTCAGCTTG